CACAAACTGGCTTCTGTCACTAAATCCCTCTCCCATTCATACATATTAAAAGTGATTTTTGAGCTGTATCTTATAGATAAAGCAGCTAAGATTATAGTGAAGGTAAGCAGGGTATCACAATCCCATCAAAAACACAAACACACAACAGCTATCATGAGTCCATAATTTATCACTGACAGCCATAGAGGCCTCAAGTTGGGCAACTCAGGTGTAGTTGCATGCACAGTCTTCTTTTTTCTTCTTCTGCGGGGAAGGTTACAAACCCCTCCTTTCATAACGTTTCTGCACCTCCTTTTTGACTACACGGCCCACAAAGTGAAGCTTTTAGGATTTTTGTCTTAAAAACACTGGAGTCATGTCCTTGCATTGACTAGATTTCAACAACTGCTAAAAAAAACTACTTTGGAGAAACACTGCGTTACAGGGAACGAGTTCCTAAAATTTAAAGATGGAAAGTGTTCACTGGGCTCTCCTGCGGCAGTGGTGTTGGACATTTAACATAGTTCTATAGAAATCAATCTTCTCTCGGATGGTCTTTTTCACTTTTGGGAGTCATACAGAGCCATGTTTATTCATCTAAGTCAGTCCTCAAAACTTTAATCAAACAAACGGAAACTTTTAATCGAAAAACATCTATTTATGAAAGGACCTAACAGATTAAGATTACAAAAACATTGTATAGCTATCTGGTTTCTGAATCCACACTCCTTTTAAGCTGATTTTTTTGCAGTCAGGGTCACCTCTGGCTGTCAGGGTGACCTCTGGTTGTTAAGATGACTGGTGATTGTATTATCACGCCACGTTTGCCTTCAGAGGGGGAGTGTGAGACTCGGACATGTGTTGACTTTTCATCCTCTGTCTGAAATGATGGCTAATGAAGAATATCAGACAGGTATTGTTCATTTTTTTATAATTTATTCTTTAAAAAAAAGTGAAAGATTCACAGAAATGTATAGTATTTTATTGTTTTAGACATATTCAAAGTTGGTCAGTCCTTCAGTTAGTCGGTGACAATGAAGTTTTTAATTCAAAGGCACATTATATTTTTAAATCCTTGAATAAACCAGATTAAAAAGAACAGTTCATAAAAAGTCAGTCCTCATTAATGACCACTGAATGTCCTCCTCTGCTGTCTCTGTATCCTCTCCCGCTCTGACGCTGACCTTGTGAGCCTATTGGGGCGGAATGATAGTCCTGTGATTGCCTAACTGTGAGCCCGGGGGGAGTATTTTGATCTCCAACAGATGGAGGGCAGTGTGAGTAAAAATTGAGAGATGCCAGGGTAAGCTGAAAATAATTCACACGGGAATTCATGTTGATTTATCAAAAAGTCTTTGCACTCCGTCTATTTCCAAGTTAATTGTTTTAGAAGTTCTACTTACCTCCTTTCAAAATCATAGCTGATCCATTTAGAGCTGATTCAGTCCAAGTTTCAAAGTTTACCCACACTCATTTCAACATGTCATTGTTTCACATTTGTAGTGTTTTCTTTAAAATTCACTCATTCATTTGCTTTTGTTTATCTCCTGATTTATTTGACTTTCAACAATGTAAATAATACAGGTTGTATTGCTTTGATTAGAACTGTTATAATTGGGTATGGTAATATAAGTGGATACTTATGTCACCAAAGCAGCTTAGATAAAGGAATAAGTCATTTGATGTCTAATTTCTATGGTCTGTTTTATGAGTAATTTGCCATCATATCTACAGACTCTACGAAAATCAGATTCAGCTGCATTGGCCAAGAATGTTCACATATAAGGGATTTGACTTCAGGAAAATAGCTGCTGTATCAACTTTATCCCCTGATTTGTGCTGCACACATAGGCATCTTTGACTTTGTCTGTTGAAAAAGTTTTGTCACTTTTGAATGCGCTGGCTGAAATTATAAAGCAACATATGTAATTGATACATTTAACACTTTGTCAGAAGTTAATTGTTCTCCAACACAAAAACATAACGGGAATTTAGAGTAAGCCCAGAGCGTATGGCCAGAGCTTCACCAGGATCACAGAAGAGATTTCAGGTTCTCTGATTGGCCAGTGCTTTGGTCTCTCTCTCTCTCTCTCTCTCTCTCTCTCTCTCTCTCTCTGTTTAAGACTCTGTCCCTCTCTTGCTTCCTCCAAACACACATACACAGAGACACAGACACACACATATCCTAAGGCAGGGTCACCAAAGGAAGAGAGCGACGAGGTTATTTACAACGGTTATTTAACTCCTATATTTGGGTTTTAGCATTGAAGGTAAAGAGGTTATCTAACAAAGAGACATTTGTGAAGAAACAACTGGCTCCTTGTTTAGAATCACTAGTTTGCATTTCCCTGTATCCCTTACATGCAGTCAACTAACTGACTTTATAGCCTTTTCAAAGCTCAGTATTTTAGTTGGCCTTTTATGCTATAAAACACTAAAAACATGCTTGATGAGCTCTGGAGAATTTTGCCCTCTGTCCCTCATTAACATGTGAAACAAACTTTGCATTCAGTAACAATTACCTGTGCAATCAGGATATAGGTGAGCTGGTAATCATTTCCCAGCCTTGTGTCTATTTAACATCCACACCCTGGTTTTAGAGAACAGAGTACATATTTGGTATCAATAGTTACTTATTATATATCATTAATAATAATAATTTTAATAAATACTAATAATTATTGTATATTTTATGAAGGAATGAAAAGCACAAGTTTCTTTTACCTTTCAGTTATGTTCTTTACAGCCTCACCGCTGGTTAGATTTTTCTTAGAATGACCGAAGAGTGCATTTGGGATTCCAAAGGGTTAAATGAAAAGGTTAATTTGTGACGCAAGAGCCTTTTTCATGACATTCTGCTGGTGAACCAAGACTCTCAAGTGTTTGCATTTTTAAATTGCATTCATCCTGAATGTGAACTCGAGAATTTGTCTTGGTGGTTCCATGTTATCCTGAATATATGTATTAGGTGTGGTTTCTGTATAAACCATGAACAGGTTTCTATCCACACAGAGACATAATCTTGGATGTTATCTGTGACTAACATTTCAGATATACTCTCTGGTGATGTTACAATATTAGAACACTGTGTGATCAAATGAAAAGGACATATTTCACATGAGGAGTTAATCTATATTTGGAAATAAGAGTGGATCCTGATATTTTCCTAAGTGTACACACAGCAAAAAGCCACAAAACACTATTCATGTAACAGGAAAATATTTTAATGAAGTTCACCTCGAAGCACATTATCAGCAAGATGATAAAAGTTTTCTCACAGTTCCTTTATTTTATAAATCCAAACTAGTAAAGTAGATAAACTTCACAGCTGGACTATGGCACATTTCCTCTCAGTAACAACAAATGTGGAGGGAAACCCAAACATAGCAAGCAACAAACACTTCATTTTTTTATTACAAAGCACTTTACACCACTGTACATACTCACGTAAAAACTAACACATAGACAAACAACCCATATCAAATGCATCTTTAGTTTTTTCTTCTTTGAATAAAAATAAATAACATATTGCGACTGAATATTTTAGTATCCCGACACAGAAATTGCAAAATCTCCACGGCATTGCTACTTTTTTAAAGCTTGGACAGTACCTCTACCACATGGGAAATCAACCCAGCAGGACAAAGTGCTCGAACCTGGCAGCAACCAAAATCTGTTGTTGGTTTTTCTATTTTTCAGATAAGGTGTTGTATAGTGGATGACACATGTTGTAGTACTTCATCTGTTTTTAGGAGCCTCTGCTTTAGCCTCCTCTGGTTTAGGGGCCTCTGCCTTTGGCTCCTCTGGTTTAGGGGCCTCTACCTTTGGCTCCTCTGGTTTAGGGGCCTCTGCCTTTGCTTCTTCTGGTTTAGGGGCCTCTGCCTTCGCTTCTTCTGGTTTAGGGGCCTCTGCCTTTGGCTCCTCTGGTTTGGGGGCCTCTGCCTTTGGCGCCTCTGGTTTAGGGGCCTCTGCCTTTGGCTCCTCTGGTTTAGGGGCCTCTGCCTTTGGTTCCTCTGGTTTAGGGGCCTCTGCCTTTGGTTCCTCTGGTTTAGGGGCCTCTGCCTTTGCTTCTTCTGCTTTGGGAGCCTCTGGTTTAGGGGCTTCTGGTTTGGCCTCCTCTGGTTTAGGGACAGCATCATCTCCACACAGTTGCCTTTGTGAGAAAGTTTTATAGTGGTGTGAACACTTAGATCTTATTATGAGTTTGTGAATTTGCACTAACAAAGGAATGTGGCTATCCTACCTTGCCGCTTGAGCGTCTGGTTTCAAAAATTTACAGACTTCACTCTGTGCTGCTAGTTGCTTTTGAAGAGTTTCAGTCTCTGTCTTCCAGCCCGCACTTTCCTTCTCTGTGTTTGCTGTAGGATTTGTAAGATAACATACGAATTTTGACTTATTAAAAGCAAGGTTATGACCAACACTTCATCTGGTGTAAAGCTTTTGATCTAAAGGAGTAAAAATCCAAAGAGGAGGTACTATCCTCTTTCATCATCTTTCATCAATGAGGCTCAAAAATCAGCACTTACCCTTTACATCATTGAGTTCTTTCTCTGCTAAATCGTGGACTTCTTTTTCACTATTCTGCAAGAGGAAAAAGACTTAACAACAGATTGTTTTTGGATAAATCTCATTGAGATGAATGAAAGAATGACTGAATGAATGTGTGGAATGTAGAAATGAGGAAACTGTCTTTGGCTTCACAGTAAAATCACATAATTACCTGACTCATAAACAAAACAACATTTAGAGAGTACTTTGAATCCTTCCACTCAGTTGCACCAAATAGCTTTGACCCAAAAACATGATACTTTGTCGAGTGAAATAAATTCTTTGGTTGTAGATTACTATATCTTCAACCTTTGACCTTTGATGTTATCCGATTCAATTTTAATTTGCCCTAAAAGAGTCCTCCAATTGTGTTTTCCTATGGACACCAGAGAAATGATCAGCTGTGAAGCTACAAAAAAAGTTGCACAAACTTAACAGACAATAAACGACTCTGGGTGAGAAGTAGGCCTATCAAAACACACGGATGATGTACTTTGAAAGAACCACACAGGTAAAGAGCACAATGGTGCAGTTAAGGGTTAAACAGGAAGTGCAAGATACACTAGCAGAACAGGATTGGCTTTATTGTTAAAGATTAAATTATAAAATCAACAATGGAAACTATCAAGGTATCAGTTTACAGTCAGCAATACGTCCTGGCTGCTAAATTAAGCTTATCACTGTCTGTCCTGGAAATGCAGGAATTAGTCAATCTTTTGATGAGTTGTATCTAGGTGAAACCAGGTGAAACAGGTTTTTGGTGTACCTCTTTGGCACACGCTGGCGTGACTAGGATTGAACCCAAGGATTTTGAGTGACTTTAGAAAATACATGTTATAGCCTGACAACTTAAAAAAGTACTAGAAGTGTGTATTTCCTCCATTCTTAGCAATACTTCGAGAGACAATCTCCTGGTGTGACTGAATCAAACCCAACTTTCACATTTTCGCCTCTCACCTTGCTTGACAGACAGGTGTCCACTTCTTTCTTGGCCGCCTCTGCCTTTGTCTCGAGTTGTTTCAGTTCCTCCTCCAGAGTTTTGAGCTCCCCCTCGGCAGTCTCCAGCTTGTTCTGCTTCCCTGCCTTCTCGGTCAGGTAGTCTGACAGCACATCGTTGGTCACCCGCAGCTTGATCTCCTGAAACCAGCTCGATCTGTTTTCTTTGTCGTGCTCCTTTTTCCGAATTTTCATCACTCCCAGCGCGATAACGGATATGGCTATCAACAGAGGTAGGATTACTTGCGGCTTCATACTTTCACAAAGGCCTATGTGGACCTTCTTACTGTTCGGTAGTTCGTTCTGGGGTGGTAATTCTTGTCCAACAGGTGTTACAGCAAAGGTCCTTTAGCTTCCATGTGTGTTTCAGAGACAGCGGGTCTTCGGGCTGAGTCTCCCCTGCGCTCGGCTCTCTGCTGAACTCTGAGTCAATCAAGGAAGCAGGCGGACTCACCTGTGCTTCTGGATTGGACACTGATTCATGCCTGTTGGATCTGTGTGGTAGCATCCCCCACAGACCTGTCACAAAAACACGCCCTGTGTGACACTTGAAAGAGACAGGTCGGCTCTGTACAGTATGTTCATCTTAATTTCTGATGAACTTGATTACCCCATGTACCTGTCAAAGCTAACTCGACCCAAAGAACAATAGCCTACCTTTGTGTTTGTGGATTAACAGAGAGGCAAATGACAATTTCAACACGACATCTTTACCAGTTGGGTATGTGAATATAGGTTAAATCTGAAACAACATAATTTTGAGTTTAGGCTCTTATTATTCAAAGGATAATGTTTATCCTGAGACAGCTACAGGCAACAAGTCCTGCATTAAAAAACAACTTTTATCTGAGTACCTTTCCACATAAGACAAGCTCCCTCATCGTAAAACCCGTCTAAAAACCCACTTTTATTCCTTGGCTTTTAACCCAGCATGAGCTTTTTTTATTTATTTCCCTCTGAAATTAATAAAGTATCTATCTATCTATCTATCTATCTATCTATCTATCTATCTATCTATCTATCTATCTATCTATCTATCTATCTATCTATCTATGTATTTTGTATATATTCTGTGTCAGTTTTGGTTGTATTTGAAGTGCTATATAAGTAAAGTTGAGTTGAGTTGAGTTGAGTAGAGTAAGCCAAAAGACAGTCAACTTCACTTTTTTTTCTTCAGCTTTATGAGGGTTTTGAAGAATGTGTAACTTTTTAATGAGAGCACTTAAACTAAGGAGTGGTTTATATTTTTGTAGTCTCTATAAAAAAGATTTTAAAAGGTCTTTTTTTCCCCAATTTCGATACACCTTTAGTTGTAGTTGTAAGGCATGCAGCTTAAGGGCAGAAAATGGGCACACTCAAAACTGTTTTCTAAAACTGGAAAGACAACTTTTACAGCCCTTTTAATATAGGCCCACATCAGAGACAATACTGTAATTCTAAAAAATTAGGCCTTTATCCCAGTAATAAAACTAACATTGCATTATACACTTGGGACTACACCAAAGGACGCGTGGTTCAAATCCGGTTAAGGAGTATACGTGTCTCCCGGAGCAAGGGCGACAGTCTCAGGTGCAAACAGGTGGATGGTCACGCCCTGCTCGTTGAGCAGGTAGAGCAGGTAACAAGTAGAGCGCCATCACTCAGAAACAAGGACCCACGCTAGAGAAGACAAACGTGTGTAACAGGACAGACACCCGGAATGAACTAAGTAACCGTGCAGGTTGTTTCCACCCGAAGATCCGAGCTTTCCCCGCTTGTCCCTGAAGATGAAGATCGCGATAGTCTTGGTCTTTCTGAGCATGGTCGTCATGATCGTGATGGTTTCCCAGGCCGTGCATCAAGAGCTTAAAATGCACAAAGCGAAACAAAACGCGGTGGAGAACACGGCGGAGGTCAAGCGGAAAGAAGAAGCCATCATCGAGGTGAAAGCTAAAGTGTCAACTCTGACTAGATCACTGAGAGCCGTCAACGATAAGATTGAAGAGTTGAAGAAGAAGAAAGATGAGTTGATAAAGTCTACAAATGATTTTGGTCCAAGTCTGCAGACCTGTAACACGGAGAAGGTAAGACACACACACACACACACACACACACACACACACACACACACACACACACACACACACACACACACACACACACACACACACACACACACACACTTAAAATTTAGCTCTCTGTTAAGAAAACTGCTACATAGCCAGGCACATACATGAAAACAGGCACATCTATAGTCGGCCAGGAAGTAAAAAATCAGCATACACTTGGTGTCTGGTATTGCAGGATTAACCTCCTCTTCTGTGCAGTTAAAACACTCACAATATGTTTCTCCTGATGCTGCCCCTGATCGAACTTTCACCTGTGTCTTTCTTTAATAGGCAGACATTGTGAAGAAGAAGACAGACCTGACAAAGCGTGTTTCTGATCTCAAAGGTAAGGCTGTTTTTGTTGGTTATTTCAGCTGAAGGGAAATAATAAAAAAATAGGATTTTGTAGTGAGTTTTTTGCATTTGTATTGGGCATTTCAAAACTGATCAGAAGTAATGTTTGAAATGCCATAGTTTGAATCTACACCACACCTGTAGCTGCAGCTAATAATTTTACACCTAATAATCAACACACTGGAAAAAATTGAAATCATAATTTATTCACTACTGTTTTTCTCTGTCATTTCCCCAGCTGGTCATGAAAACTCCAAAAAGACAGCAGAGGAAGAAATTAAGAACCTGAAACAACAGATTCAGGATCGAGACAAAGCCATTTGTGCCTTTGCAGATACAACCAAGGAGGAGGCACGGTAAGATCACATGAGCAGAATAATGGTCAATGATTAGCTCTGGTCAGAAAATCACAACATTAGAACCACAGGCCTTGTTTTTCATACAGTACATACCTATCTGTGTGACATTGTTGAGCATTGCCCCATAATATTAATGGGGTTTGGACTTGAGAAAACAGCAGAACACTAAATGAATTTTGTTTTTTCTTTTTTGCAGGAAACTGTGTGGAGTTGCTGAATCCCCACAATAAAACCAATGCTGGATTTCTTGACAGGCACAGGAATATAGTTACTGATGTGATTTCAGTGCCGTTTTGTTCAAGAAAAGAAATCCTATAGAACTTAAGGACTGTACATAAATTTGCACATACATGGGAAGTGAGTTTCTATGTGTTTGTTACTGTTTTAGAGTTAGATCAGATTTTTTGTAAGAATTTTTTGGCCATTTATGTCTGTTGTCAACACTTTGACTCTTGCCTTGACTGTTGAATAAAATTTAATAATATGTTTAAGGGATTGCCAAAAATAGTTGTCTCTGATTCAACCGGTTTGGCTACATTATGTTCCTTTCAACTAAGAATACCTGAGGATCACTGTACATGCCTGCTGCCCTTCCCCTGGTGAAACCTGAAAGACTGCATCTAAGTTCAATACACTGTGATACCTGTTTGATGTGTGCAGGCAGAGGAATTTGTTTAACAAATTTAGTGCATGTTGATTTATAATTAGAGTTTGCGCTTTGTAAATATGTCTCTGCCTCATGGTTCCGTTTTTGGAGGTCATCATAGTGTGATATAAACCTGTTTAAATGATTAAATATATAGTAATCCAAACATGTCAAGTTGATCACCAGCTCTCCCGATTGAAATGTGTGGTTATTATGCATGACCACGACTAAAGAACTTTCAAATGAGCCAAGGACCGAGCATCACATACATAAGCCTATGACTTAGTGAGCCGTCTTGCCTCAGCTGGATGCCCCTAGTGAAAGATAAATATGAACCTGTGGCTCCCTCTAGTGAGGGAGTGGGAATATAAAACAGTGTTGCTGCAGCTCTAAACCACTATGAAGAGCTACCCAAAACACAATTCTTCTCCTGTTTCTCTCTGTCTCTCAAGCTTCAACTACATAGACAAAATTTCAAAGAGTGATTGCATCCAATATGTTTTATGATCTGTAAGGGGTCTCTACATATGACTTCAAGTTTGGACATCTAAAAATACATACAAAATACAATTGTAAATGATAGCTGTAGCTAAATCTGTAACTGAGTCCAAAAGATCTGGTAAAAGGTTTTGCAGCACATTTCAAAACCATTAAAACTTTATCTGCTTTGAAACACATTAACTACATTGCTTCGTGTCATTTAAACTTGCAGATATGTGAGCTTGGTCGGCTGAAATTTGTAAGAAGCTTGTTTATTATAAAAGAAGAAAAACTGAAGAAAAACAAAGCAAACAGCATATAATGTTTTGGAATTTCAGGGTGACCACTGGGTTGGTCAGTCATATTTTGAAAGTGGCCTCAGCCAGTCCCGTGCCCAGCCAATTGGTGTCACTTCAGAATAGTTTAGATTTTTCTGTAGCCCCTGATGAAGATGTACCTTTGTTTGTTAACTATCACGTTTTGTATATTATATATGTATTTCCTATATATCTATTTCTAAACTATGGTGGCTGAGAACCGCCACTGCTGAAAATAAAAAAGAATGCAAAAAAAAAAAAAAAAGAAAGAAAAAGAAAAAAGAACGCCACTGCTGCTGCACTTTTATTTTCGGTCGTTAACTTCCATTGCTGCTTTATTTCTGCACTGTTCCTTTTTCTATTTGCAGTGGGCTTTGGCTTCTTTTTTTTTTTCATCAGTAACTTCTTCTGTTTTGGTTTCTTTATTTTTTTTTCATCAGTAACTTCTGTCGTAGTTTCTTTGTGTGTGTGTGTGTGTGTGTGTGTGTGTGTGTGTGTGTGTGTGTGTGTGTGTGTGTGTGTGTGTGTGTGTGTGTGTGTGGTGGTTCTCGGCCACCGTACTATATTCTATGGTATCATTTCGTTTTGTGCTTATAATGTATTGAATGCCCTGGTACGTTAAATAAAATGAAAAAAAAAAAAAACAATCGCCCAATCACAATGCAAGTTGTCAGACACGTGACCCGGTGACGCAAGGCTCTCCGCGTGCCGGAAGTTGACAGTTATTCATCAGATGACACATGAAAGTCACCGGCGAAACAATCCCAGTGAGCCACAAAAGGACGTTGTATTGTTTTATAAGATAATTCGACTACAGCGGCTACTGTGAAACAGCATAGGTAGTTTATTTTGGACTGTAACGTCTAACAAAAGCGCTGGACAACTACCATACATCGCTAGCGGCACGTTAGCTACCTACCTGCTACAGAAACAGACAGATCTCAGGCAGAAAGAGCAACAACATCAGGGGAGCTGCAGGGATGACGAGGGGTCTCGGTAGAGTATTCAGTGGCTTTAAACGCCTCGTCACACTGTCAGTAATGTGGTCTATGAAACACCCGATGTACAGCGTTCCCTTGAGGAGCCCCTCTGTCCGGAGCATGGCGGTAGGTACTCTGAAACTGATGGTGTTCAAAGGGGCTTTCTGTTTTAGTCCAGATGGTTCTCGGTTCAATTATGGGCTGACTGAGCCTGTGGTCAAATATAAAGGACGGTATTTTTGTACATTGTGTTCAAAACCGTAAAATATGTTTGCCTGTAAGTTTAAGCTCTTATATCTTTGTAGGAAAACTGTTTTGAGGGCTGTTCAATCATTGGCTCCTGTAATAATGTGGAGTAGTACAAGAACACTGCTTATACACAAATCAAAAAAACTGCTTACTATGGGACTATATAAAAAAGAAAGACACAAACACCCCTTGGTTTGTCACTGTTACCTGAACGTTTATGTGTTTATTACAGCTGTGACACCAGTGTACAATACTCTACACATGAGTATTTTTATTTATTTATTTTTATTTATTTAACCAGGCTTGTCCCATTGAGATCTGAGGATCTCATTTGCAAGGGAGACCTGACCAAGAATGGCAGCAATACATAGTTACAACAAACAGTCACACAGACTCAATACGGAACAGAAATGTGAGGAAACATCAGTTAAAACAGAGACAGTCTGACAGTCAAAGACACCAAGTTTTGCAGCTTAAATTCAGTCTGCAGATTATTCCACGCAGAAGGGGCAGAGAACCTGAAAACCTTCTTTCCCATTTCAGTTCGGACTCTGGAGACAACAAACTGTATAAATGTCAAAGATCTCAGGTTGTGTAATCCGTCCTTAATGATCAATAAGGAGGAGAGGTAGTCCGGAATTTTTTCCAAGAATGTCTTTGTAAATGAAAACGTACCAATGATCAAGCCGACGAGTACTTAAAGAAGTCCAACTGACTTTGGAATATAAAGTATAAAGTGTTGTGTGTAGTTTTTAACAAAAAAATGATGGGCTAGATAAGACCAGTTGTTTACTGCCCAGTAAAGGTCAAAGGTAAGACCATACATTACCATACCGACCAAACATTTATTTAACCAAATCTTGATTACACAGTGTCAGACAACATTGTCAAGTTTTTAAATAAGTAACACAAGCAGTACTTTGCATGTTAAATGAGGGTAATGCTAAGTTTGGTAAACAAAGGAATTAAACACAAGACAAATTAACCCATGCAAAAAAACATATGAGACTGACAAAAGTGGCACTGAGTGAGTGATGTACCTCTGGATTCTGTCTCAATACATGATAGACAGTCCAAATAAGAAGTAAAAATAGATGTTGCAGGTGAAAGGTTAAAAGGGGCCTTTCTTGGCTATCTTCCAGCCCAAGGACTCGGATCACCTCAGGGTCTTAAAACCTTTACAATAGTCTAACCAAGACAATTTATCACATTAATCCAATACCTAGTTTTATCTAAAATAAGTCCAGGCCTTTTTACAGCCTTGACCCCAGCTGCCTGATATGTCACAAGGGATATATACTGTAGAAGATAGAGAGACAATAAGATATATGGTATTGAGCATTTTTCCGATGCTCCAGGATTGTTCAAAGCCTTGGACTCCACCCCAAAATAATTTGAGTAGATGGTTCAAAGCATTTTCCTGTTCTGCAGGTGCTGCCGCTGCCTTTTGGTAAACCCAAAGACTTAAGCCTGCCGAACGCCACGTGGGGTCCAGAAATGATGCAGTTGTATGAGCATTACAACAGCTTGTGTAAGGTGGAGGTGGAGGCTGAGGGAGGACAGAAGAAGGTACCGTGGAAGAGGATACCTGGTTACAATCGTCTCCTCAAGTATGCAACAGGTAATAGTTCTTATTATATTTAGACAAAATGAAAAAATATGATCACCTTTAAAAGAAAATAAACTACAACTTCAGCTGTCTCCCTTTTGTTATTGTTTGCCTTAGGATACTCTATTAGCTGCTGACAGTTTGGTTGTGTTTATGTTCCATAAGGTGGAGTCTATCTTAGTAAGATGATCCAGTCGAAGGCTCGTCTTTTTACCCGGAACATCAGAGAACCAGGGGCAGCATTTGAGTATGCTCTGTTTATTAACAGTGAGGAGGAGAAGTGTGTGGGCATTTGGCAGGTTGGACACCTACTGGAGGGACCACCAGGGTAAGATTACAGTCACTGCTGTACAAATCTTTACTGTACTGTTTACTGTTTAAAAATCAGTTATATTGTGCGCCTTTAATCTATTTGTAAATTGGTTGTGAAAAGGTTTGGCTTTGTCCGAAATAGTCCAGCAGAATAGAAATGTATACAACCGAAAGCTTAAAACTTTTGTGGCATGTCTTCACCCCATCCCCATTACCTGTCTGTCTGTCTGTCTGTCTGTAAAAGAACAACCTGATTAATTATGCTTATTTAAAAGGTCTCAAGTACACTCAACTACACTTTTAATCTGCAATCTTTGCTGTGTGTTTTCAGACATGTCCATGGGGGGGCAATAGCCACCATAATTGATACTGTAACAGGCTGTCTTGCCTCTCTGTCTGGAGCTGTTATGACTGCCAACCTCAACATCAACTACCGCAGGTACAGAATTAACATAGTAACCATTAGTATGCAGGTAAATAGTTGTGTTAATCGATTTGTATTTTGTTCAGTAATGTAATACCTTAATATTGTTTAAATATTCAACTAAATGTAATGTTACATATTTCCCTGTAAATGCTAATTTTTAAGTGGGCTTAGAATTTTTTTCAGTACATATTGAAGACCTTTTAGATGCAACCCTCTAAAGTTAATTTTGTTATTCAGCCTCAGAGTATAATGTATTTGGGATGATTGGTGAGTCTGTAGCCTCACTTATAGTGAATATGAGGCACATTTTCAAGGGTCTGTAGGAATATCACATGCACGGTTCAGTTGATGAAATGTTTTGTAGTAAAGATGAGACGCAAAGGTGCCATTCAGCCCTTGGTTGCATTGTAGTGTACATTAATTTTGAATGATGATTGCTTACACAATTTAAATAATCATCAGTCTCTTAAGCTGTAACAACACGTAACACTCCAACTTGCTTTCCATGGCCAGTCAAGGATCTAATTAGAAAGAAGTGTATTAGGTAAGCCAACAGCCTGGTGATGTGAGACTGTGATCAGTTGTGAGTTTTTGCTCTAACAAACACTGATGTCATTAAAAAGCCCCATCCAGCTTGGCAACACAGTGGTGGTGGAATCCATCGTGGATAAGAGAGAAGGCAGAAAAAAGTTCATTTCATGTAAAGTGACCAGCCCTGATGGAACAAAACTGCACACAGAAGCAACAGGTAATAAAAACTGTTTGTACACTCTGTATGAGACACATTAAAGTTTGATTTAAGCCACATCTGACATGTTTGCTTTCATTCAGCGCTGTTCCTGTCAATTGATATCAACCAACTGCTGCTGGGAAGGTGACATGAAAACACCTGCTCACCACCTCCTCCAAAACTGTCATCAAGCTGAGGTCACATCGAATGTGTGTGTGAGAGAACATGTGAGTGTGTTAAGTATTTTTGGGGAGTGGAGTGATAGAAAATTGAAGATACTTCTATAAACATGACATTGTTGACTTTAAATTATTCATGCATCTCTACTTGCCAGTATGTTTTTACTAAATGTTACGTTTCTCATCAACTACCTCTTCTTTGTCTTGCTAATTGGATATACAGTAAGCACGAGAGTTGCATTTTATCAGTGCCAAGTTTTCGCTACAACAGCCTGCACCCTGTCCTCTTGGAAGCATGTTTGAAGTGTAGCACAGTGGGGTGCAGGCTGGGGCAGCTGGACTTACCGGAGATCTCAGCTGGAGATCACAGAATCACGTGAGGACCTCACGAGATCTCACAGGAATCACACAGTAAACGCAGTTTATACTCAAAAATACAAACAGATTACGCTGTCTTTTAGTGGCTGATATTGTTCATTTTCATATTCACTTGTTGCATATCTTTGGTGAAGCATATTTAACCGTTATTTATGAAAGTACCATATTGAAGGTTATTTATCTTAACTTTGGCAGTATTTATCACTTTTAACACTGAGGCCTTATAAAGTGAGACCAGTAGGTGCTGTACATTAGTATTTAATATCCGTCAATGAAGACTTGCATTGGTATTGTATGAATAAAACTTTTGTTTGTCAGCAAATGAAACTGTTTGCAAAAGAGATAAAAAGTGTTTGTCTTCCTTTTTTTACTTTGTCTACTGAGGTTATTGCATTGGATATGTCTTGAATTAAGAATTGGGTTGAAATTTAACCCAATACTTAATTATTCTTTTTATAGAATTACTTATAGTTTATGTTAAAGATTGTTGTTAACGACCTCTAAACTATCATGTTTTTATTCAATGATAATGGTCATGGTATATAAATGAAGATGTTCTAGGGAATTATATATATATATATATATATATATATATAATTCCCTAGAACATCTTTATACATCTTTATTATATATATATATAAATATAGATATAGATATATAAAATTCTTTAAAACTTTTAAAGTTTCTGTGAGACATTTGATACCTCTAATGAGCTAAAATAATAAGATAATCATACAGATCGAGACTTATTTATTACATGCGGAATATAGTTATTCCACATGTAATGATGTAATGAAAACCTCTTATTTCATGATGCTGAGAAAGCTGCTTGTCACTGAAACGTGGAAGCATTAGTTTTGACTTGACTGACTTGGTGCCATAAAACTGTTGTAATTGATGTGTTCTATTTTGTAAGAAAGCACTCTCTGTTCTTGCTATCGGACCAAATTTGTTGAGAAGGACCTCCATACATCAGATAACATGCTCTTGACTGCCATGTGTCTCGAATGAAATGAAATTTGAGGTCAAATTTTGTTGCTGCCTTCAGATTTTACATCTCAGTTTGTGCAGTTTTTTAGCTAACAGCAACTCATTTACTAACTGCTATAAAGTAAAGTGCTCTCTCGCTCCTAATTTAATCATTATCATTAGATACATGAGAAATGATGTTTATTCAGTCGTAGCAGACGAGTCACTATATTCAATAAAACTCTGCAGTTATCTTACATTAAAAAAAAAAAACCTGCTGTTCACTGGTTTTGCTGGTGTGTTTTTTGTCTAACACATACTGCTAACTGATGTATTGATTTCAGGTGAACTTTTGTCACATCCACTTAAAAAAACAGCAGAGTGTGGATTATTAGAAGGTACTGCTGAGTAAGCTAAAAAAACCCAGAAGTATACCTCCTCTTCATTCTGCTAACCATGTGTGACTTCAGTTGAAACACTGTTTGAAAATGTGGTTTCTGGGTGGACAGGCTCATCACAGGTGGTCTTCTGAGGGCCCCTCATATCTTTAACCCAGGCGGAAGTGCTACATTAGAGCCATCTCTTTGGTGTCAGTGCGTGTGTGTGTGTGTGTGTGTGTGTGTGTGTGTGTGTGTGTGTTGGTTGGCAGATTTTTTCTTTTTTTCCCCTGAAGTCGTGTGGTAAAGATGGGTTTGAGGAAGCCATAGGGGTAGTTGTTTTAAACTTCTACCAAAACCAAAACCCTCTGCAAGACCCGTGTCCTCTCCAACCAAAAGGCCTGACTTTCCATAAATGATAAAAGCTCTAAACTTTCAGCTTTACATGTTTAAGTTATTTTTTTTCTGTAAGTAGAAGCACATCATAGATAGTGCTTTTAGGTGACTATGCAGTGAGCATTTTTAAAATGTGCTGTTGTGAGTATATCCTTTGGCAATAATGGAGCCTAGAAGTAATAGCACTAATTATAGTGTTTAATTCAACATTTTAGCTCCAACTCTGTGGAAGTTGGGGGAGTTGTGTTTTAAAAAAACTACATGAGTATCATTCTAGTTGAGACTATAGGGGAGACTGGGGCTTGTTGTCACATTTTTTACACTCATATTTCTTAGAATCAATACAAAATATACATACAAAACGTGTACCAGATGAAAGACCAAAGTCTCAGGTATATATTTAGTATTCATGTCATTTTCATATCTTGTGTCAGTGCAGAGTTATAAGCAATGAAATAGAGCGTGTGAATATGTGACATGTTGCCCCACCATCGGGTGGTGGTGGTTGACATGGTAGTTGACATTAAGGTCATTTATTGTCCTCCAGATTGATTTATTAGCTAGGGTCACCTGCTTGACTGCCCTCAGCATCATGTCAGGCACTGCACTGCCACATCCTGTTTTTGTTTCGTAATTCCTGACCATGTTTTCTCGCTCTCTCCTCTCCTCTGAACCACTCTTTTTTGTCTGTAAAAATTAAGTCAAAATTTCATCATGACAGCTGCTGATAAGTAGACTCTCTACATTAATTTAATCCCTTTTAAATATATGACAACTAACCCCAAAATGACTGAGACATGTTGCCCCAAACTACCATGTTTGCTAATAAAGTAATTTGCTTAAAGTTAGTTTAAAAGAGAACAATGACAAAGGTATGACATGATGACTTAATCTCTCCTCTAACAAGTCCACATGTATCACTGCTAGGATTTTTATCTGGAAGAAGCTCATTTTAAAATACATGAAGTTAATTTTTTTACTTTGGGTTGTGCGAAATGGTTAATTGGCGCTCATCTCAACTCACAATTTGCTCTTTTTTTCTCAGACAGGATGCAACCCCTGACCATGCAAAGGAAGAAAACTAGTACTCCACTTTTCAGTTGCGCCCTCTGGTGGCAAAGATAATTGCAATGTGACAACTTACTAGAGCCGACCCAAGCCTTAATGTGGCCCTAAGCAAAATTTGATTTTAGGGCCCTCTATTTCTGCAAATAATATTGATTGTTGATCATTCACACATCTTCACAAATCTCTTTGATTAAAATTCCATGACATGCAAACATACCTTTATCTCGGTGTATTTTCTCTTCTTCCTCTTTCTTTTCTCTGCTCCTGAAGGATATGTCCTTTTTTGTGACATTGTTTTGCCCCACAACTACCTGCGCATTGGATGCTCAGTGCTCAATGCACAGCAGGAGGTTCATAACAGTAGAAGAGCTCTGACATATCAGCAGTAAGAATCATAGGCCTACATCAGCAGCAGCACTAAAATGTTTTTACTTTATTTTATTTTTACAATAATATATATGCAATCACACAGAAAGCATCACTCACACATGCAAAAAAATAAGAAAAATTTAATATATATTTTTTTTAATTGCTCTTGGGGGGCCCCTACTGGCTGCGGGCCCCTAAGCAGGCGCTTAGTTCGCCTATGCCTTGGGCCAGCTCTGTAACTTACCCATGTGATATCAAGCCCCGGTCTCCCCTACTCTTTATGAAGGGGGCATTTGTATAAGCACCACATTTACTACAATTAGATAGAATGACAAGGAATGACAAATGCTCATTTTTCTTTAACAGTTTTGTGCATCCCCCAACACACACTGTCTCTCTCACACACACATTTGATGAAGTGAGGTGTAATTTCTTTTTAATTTAAAACCAGCCTCTCTTTTTAAAAGCCACTTAAACAATACCAGTCTATGGAGAGGGATTTTGTCCAAGTATCCCCTTAAGCTGTGAAGTGAAAAACCAGACCTGCTGTGGCATTTAATGTCTCCTCCGCGGATTGGAGTTTCTCGATTAGACTGGTGGATATTTGTGGCAGCAACATGGGATTATATTTCTCAACTGAGCACTACAAAGCAAAACCCGATCCGTTGCTATTACGTAAGTGCCGGTGACATAACTCTCCCTAGCCTGGGACGGTCAGGGCGCAGAGAGAGAGCGCGGGGGGGGTGGGGGCCGTGGACCGGGGCGCACGGCCGGTCCAGCTGCACTCTCTCCTCTCTGCTGCCGCTGCCTCGGGGGGAATTAAATTATTTCAAAACAACCGCACAAGAAGACGAGGAGGTCCACTCTGGAGCAATAAGATGAGGACTGAGTTCTTGGAGCTGCTGCTGCTGTAAAGAGAGAAGGAGGCGACATGGCTGTGCACGTTTTTAAATGCCTGCGCCGACCCGGGCGCTAGAACAATAACAACAGGTAAGAAGATCTGAGTTTGGTCACTTTATGAGTTTTAATTGCAGCACGTGGTGTTGACGTTGTTGACATGCGGTTTGTGTGTGTGTGTGAAAGAGAGAGAGGGAGAAGTGTGTGTGTGCGTGTGTGTAGGTCCAGCCAGTGTTTTGACAGGAGAGTTATGGAATATGAGGAGCTCAGCGTGCTTCAAACTGACACCCCCATCAAAACAGGTAAGAGCCAACACTGAGGTCACACTGTCCTGCAACAGGTGTATGTACATGTTAGAGCACACTCCAGGTGAAGTGATACGCCTTGGTGCTTTGACCCCCTCACAGTTTGTCATAGCTGTCAGCTCCCAGCGTGCCACTCTGTAACCCACTCCCACTCTCATCTATCTTCCTTCCTCCTCTCTCTTGCTTACTCTGAACACCTCTCCACTGCCACCATTGACTCAGTTGCTCTGTTTCTCACTAAGATCACTTTTATCTTCTTTCTCTCCACTCCCATCCATCTTTACCCCAGTAACCCTCCTCATCCCTCTCCCTGGGGTGTGGTTAAAGTGCTGTGAGTGGGTAAGAATAACAGTAAGCCGGGGTAATCCTTTAGGATTAGTTCTTATTTTTGCTTCTGTTTTTGGTCAATGCGCGTCTATTCAAAGCCTCTCTGCAGCTATAATCAAATTGTTAGCAGCTACTTGGGATAAGACATCATGTCCCTGTACCACAGAAACCCACTGTACACCTGCCATCTATTCTCATAGCATTTAACTATATCTTGCTGCAGATTACTTGCAGTGCAATGAGTTGATTTGAGTTAATTTGATTTTGAGTCATCTTGACATTGCAGGACAAGGATATTCATAAAAGGACATTGTAAGATATCACACAAAACAGTTTTCTCATTGATGGTTCATCAGAAACAGCAGTATTGAAGAATGCAGAGAGTTCATGCCACATGATAAACAGTTTTTTTGTTACCGTGGGCGATGCCTCTTACAGAAGGATGTATTATAAAAAGAAAAAAAAACATTCAAAGCAAGGAAGGACATTGACTTTTTTTTATACCATGTATGTAAAAATTTGATTTAATACAGGATTTATGTAAATATGTTAGTTTCAGATTTGGATAACGCCATGTTTAAATTGAAGGTCCTGCAAATTGAAACCAGAAAATTCATAAACACCAAAGATATCAAGCAACATAGTTAGTTAAAGCTTTATTCTTTCTCATTTTTGAGATTTCTGATATGAGGACTCACATCTTTTTGCATTCAGTATCAACAGGGGAAAAAAAAACAAATTAAATGCCAATTTCAAAACAATTTCCATCAAAAATAAATTGTAAAAAAAATGTCTACAACAAGATCAGCCACATTTTTATGACATATTACAACTTTTCTTTTAATAGTGTAACACGAAAAAGCTGAACAATCCTTGCAAAGACATAGTTGCTGTCTTGAATATCAGCGAAAGTGGTAGTTAAGAATAAACTCATTCATATAAACAGGAGTTAGATGCCTCAGAAATGTCTGCTGTTGTCTGGTGAAGATCAGAAACATTTAAGGCTTTCTTCCCAATCTATTCCAATCTCTTGGCTTTAAAACAGCAGCCAAAAAAGTCACCATGTTCATATTTGTACAGTGAGGGATACAGATTGTATTTCAACATATTATATTAAACAACATTTACTGTTACACCCACTTCAAAAACACTGGCCTGGTTTTGGTTAGTCAAAGTTTTGCTGTGTCGTTGAATGTCATTGATGATTTGCAAAACTCTTAATGCACCAAAGTTTCCAGTTAACCAACATGTTAAAAGAGTGAACATTAGATTCTTTCTGAAGTTTGTGCATCGGACAACTCAAACTGGATCAAACAAGGTGCATCAGAGTGAGGTTTAGAGTTGGTTTAGAAGCATCAGCTTATTTATCCTGAACTGCTGTTGTAGTGTTTCAGTCTGGTTAAAGTGGAGTTTCATTGTTGTTGTGCTGATTTTCATACTGCTGAGATAGCCTTTCTGAGGCGACAAGTCTTGGTTTTAGTGGCTGGTGTGGGTGTCTCTTCATTTTTCTCCTACTGCTGTGTTTGTATCTCGAGTACTGCTCCATGTCACTCTTTAATATGCCCCTGAGGTCAAATATCTGTTTGTTTAACATAAAGATATATAATCATCTGATATAAAAACTGTCTATGGTGTTCCTGAGGGATCATTTTTGAACTTAGTCTTCCTCTACATGTGCAGCACTTAAGGCCATTGCCAATTCATGTGTAACAGTTTTTTTTCCTAAAAAAAAGATGAGGACAACATCTTTATGAGTCTTTATTTTTTTTATTCAGAAACTCAAAGATTTTAAGTTTTCAGTTCTAGGTGATTAATGGGACACAAAATATTCACATCTTATGAAGCTGAGGTGTCAGACTTGTTAACTTTTCTCTGTTGAAGTCCTTTCTGAGTTTGGTGTTAGCCATCAGGAAAGTGGTTTCCAACAGTGTCTCACTGCTCGTTTGATTGATCAGGCGTTAAGGTCTAAATTTTTAGTTGACAGAGTACATTTTGTTCTAACGTTTCTCAGCATTTTGGTCCTCCTGTTGATCCATTGTAAGACTTATACTACAATATACTTGTACTCTTTAGACACCATTGTGATAGTGTAGTTGTTTTATGCTTTACGACTTTGAGTTCTATCCTAGTTGTTAAAGCATTTTGTCCATTTTTCAGTCCATTGGCCGCTAGTGTCTTCAATTCAAAAATACACTGTTGTTTACTGTGTTTTTTGGAGATTCAGTGATGAGGTCTACCTTTCTATGGCTTATGACCCCAAGAACACTGGAGGGTTAGATTAGCACAAAAGATATCTAACTGTACTTAAATATCTATTACAAGTGCAAAAAAGTGAATGAACCTCAACCAGAGGCTCAGGATAGAGAGAAAACATTAGACAATTTCAATGGCCGATGACTGATATGGGCCCAAAAAAGCCTTCGACAGCAGATGTAGTGAAGTGTTGGCAGCCATTATTACCCCAAATTCCTGGCAGTGCCTGACCCAAACTCTTTTAATCTTATATTGGCATAAAAGATAATAATAAGTAATGTATCTAGCTTTAATTCATTCTTATCTCCTCATGCTTCATTGTTTTTATTCAGGCGATGTTGGCAGCCTGCTCTCTGAGTCCTGTTGTTGTTATGTAACACAGCAACTGTCACTTCAGCAGCCCTCGATGTCAGCGTGTGGGGATATTAGTGAGATTTGGACTGATGAGCAGTGTTAATGTTTGTGACACCGTATTCATCATCGACTTAGTGTGTGTATATACTGTAGAGTTTATTCATGCTGTGTCACATTTAGTTCCCACAGAGACTGTTGTAGCTGCTGGCATTAGATGACATTTTTCCACTACTGACCGACTGTCAAAACTGCTCATACAGTTTTGTGTAGAGATCACTTTCACCGAGGTAAAACAAAAAATCACCACATCTCAGAATTTGCTGTAGCTAAGTGTGACATTTATTGTGTTTCGAGTGGCTTTAAATCAGGAAAAAAGTGACAGAGAAGTAAATGAACTGCTTGCTCTACCATGTGAGTGTGGGAGTAGTATTTTGTGTATTAGATAAAAGCCAAACTTTCTAACAGGTCATGTTTCCCTCTGCTCTAAATATATTAAACTGAATAATAAGAGGACACTGAGTCTGAACTCCCACAGCTGAGTCAAAATGAATGACCTTCTTGTGTAATAGTATGACATTTTAAATCCACTTAATAGCTCTTACAAACCTGTTTTAAATATCCAAACTGGTTGCTCTAACTTTTCAAAAAAGCTAATAATGACGTCTAAGACTTGCTTTTAATAACCTTGATAATTTAAAATGATTCCTTTACATTTTGTTTTGCAATCACCCTCACACATCTTCTCAGTAAGTGTTGAAATCTCTTTACATTTTCCGTGTGTGCTTGCACCGCACTGCTTTCATTCCATGCTTTCTGCTTATGAAGCAAAACTGATTTGATGATGGGAGGAAAACAGTGGAAACCACAGAGGGCCTGATCAGGCGCCAGACAAAGACCGGCTAGCTCTATGTCTTCCATTGATGCTTATCTCCCCTGTCTTTAAACCTCTTTGTCTCAAACACATACACGCACAAACTCCAGAAATAAACACCTTGGTTCAAACCTCCACGCATTTGCCCACATGCAGTGCAACTTAGACTTTCTCACAATTGTGGTCAAACAGGCAGACAAAAAGAGGACCTATTGCTCCATAGACACCCACGTTCCTCTACCTCTAACTCCTGTGTGCGTGTGTGCGTGTAGAGGGGGCAAGGGTGACACAAACATAACACAAGTGTGAACAGGACTTCTCTCTCCTGTCTTATCTCTCTGCCATGAAGTTGTCTTATCTGTCCAAATGTCTTTGTATTGTGGAAAAACACAAAAAAAGGTTAAAGGCTACAAACTGTCTTCAAGCTGCCATTGAAGATTTGGAAACAAACTCTGAATTTATCCCAGCTGAATCTGTATTCACCTTAAATGAGTGTAACTTTTAACATCCTAAAATCATCGATTATTTTTAGGTCAATGTTTCGCTGAGTAAAAAGTGGATTCATTGGTAGAAGTATTGATCGTTGTCCTTAAATGGCATGTGGCGATCAAAATGTTCCCGACCAAAACAAAGTGGAAGCGAAATGAACCTGAGGTGACTAAACTGAAAGCACTCACAATCTAAAATGCCCCGTTCATATTATAATACTTGACTGTGTAATCTGAACATGACTTTTTAATGTCAGTTTCTGAATTTAAAAAGTGTCATCAAATCATTTCAGTCAAATAAAAAGTGCATTTCATGGTAAAAGTATAACTTGTAATTTCAGTGGTTTAAGCGAGAGTCGAGACTCTGTTGTCCAGGTACTAAAAAGTTGTAATCGTGAAAATAGACAAAGTTATTTTTCTAGCTCTGTCAGGTTTAAAAGAACCTCGCACATGGATTTAATACTCAGTAAAAAGTATCATTGTGTTGTCCAGTGTGGCATTTAGACAGATTCTAGGGTTTGATGTTGATCTTTTGAACAAATCGCCGCCTTTGATTCACCGACTCCTTTATTTCTTCCACAGGAGGAGCCGTGTCCAAGAAGACTCATTTGAGTAAGTTCTCCCTCAGATGCAACATGTTTGTGTGTGTGTGATCATGAGCATGCGCACGTGTTAGTCTCTATGTGGAAATGATTGTTTATGTTTGTGCTAGATATTTGTGCATGCATTGCGGTTTACTTCACAGTTGGTGAACATACAAAATCGCACCTGTGCAGAGATATAGATGCACACGCGCACGCCATGCAGTAAGACCATTAGCAGCACAGTGTGATGCACCTGTGCCTCCCTCCTCACACACACATACACACACATACACACCACAAACACACTATGATAAAAAAAACATACTTTTTGGCATCTGAATGCAGATGAGAGTGATAACATAGAGTCTTATTTTAACTTCTCTGGTTTGACACTTTCTGCCACAAGTGAAGCACACCTGGGTAAGTTCGCAAGTGTGGCGGGGCTAGGTGCTGCGTTTGTGGTTCGACTTAAAACAAGAATATAGAGAACACATAATGATGATTAATTTTTATTAATGGGTTCTTAGTTAAAGCTTGAATGGTCCTCCTGCACAGAGGAGAAATGGATTCAGGTTTTTGGAGAGTTCAGATCAGAGTCATGGTGAAAAGTGAAGTTGAAGATTCTACCCATAAAAACATGAATAAGCTAATATACATTGCAATAATTATATGTAGTACGTTCATACACATCATTTAATTATTTAAAACCCCTTCTACATGCACCTGAAAACAGTGAGTTTAGGGGCTTTAAGAGTAATTTCACATCATAATGTTGCTGCTGTCTGTTTGAGAAAAGTATCATGGATCAGAGTTGGAGGTTCATGACGACCACACCTGAACTGCAACAAGCCAAAAAACAGATCAGAAAGTTTTAACGTCAGCTGACAAACTGAAATATTTTAAACTGTGCAGCATGAATAAAAACAGTCCAAAAAGTTTGATATATAAATTAAATATTACCTGACTGAATGTTTCTGTGATGATTTTACTGCATCGCTGGTGTTTCCTGTTCAACATTTGATTTATAGACAGTCATGAAAAGTCTCAAAGGTCCCCAACATAACATTTTATTTTTTACTCATGGTGCAGAGTGAGGGGGTGAAGGATAACAACAAAGGTCTGGGGAAAAAAAAGTACCTTAAGAAAGAGCAAGGGACAGTCCCCCCCCCCCCCTTTGTCTATCTCTTTCTTCTTTTTCTCTCTCTCTCACGAACACACACGCACACACACGCTACAAGGAAGGTGAGGCGGTGACTGTCACTCAAAAAGCCTCATTGTGTTCACTAAAGCTGCAGAGAGCACCTGACCCGGCACACTAAACGAGGAGAAAAAAAGAAGAAAGAGTAACAGAAAAGAAGAGTGATAGAAAAAGCGAGCGGTACAGTAAGACTGTGAAAGTGGGACAAACGTCTGAGACAAGTGGAGGAGTGAGGATGATGCGAGGTAGGGATAACATCTTTGTGTGTGTGTGTGTGTGGGTGTAGGTGTCATTGTGTTTGTGAGTGTGGGCATTACAAAGTTATCAGTGACATTATTGATTAGCTGGAAGGATCAAGATTTTATTCCATCTATCTCAATTTCAGTGTTTGAAAGTTTACATAGTGGAAACATGAGTGAGACCCCAAGTGTCTTTGGCTTTTTCAAAAAATATATCTGATGTTTCTCTGCATTTTCTTCGAGTTTTAATCAGATCTTTTAAAATACTTTTCAAGAAAGTGTACAGAGTAACACACATGGCTTTAAATGTATTATCCTTAATTAAATTACAAGTTAAGGTTTAAGCTTATTCATTTTTGTGCAGTGCTGCAGAATGAATGAAAAACTGTCGCTTTTTAAAAAAAAATTTTCAACAAAGTTTACTGTCTCTGCTTGGCTAATCCACAATTTTACTCTATTTAATATTCAAGCTTTTTCTGATTATAAAGCGCTCACACACCTTTGCAGTTTAGCGGTGATAATATTTGTTCGGAAACTTTATTCCTTCCCCACAGATTTCTCTCTGAGCTGACTGTTTGGTACGTTCACATCGGTTGGTGTTTCAGGTATACGGTTTGGTGAACTGACTCAATTCTGAGATCCTTTGATGAGTTTTAAATTTGACTCATGTCTTGAAATTTTCCTCCCTCACCTTCCTCCTCAGCCTACAGTACAGTGCACTGAGTTTAAGACCGCCGGTTGCATTAAGAGGGGATCTTTAAATATTAAAAATAAAACTGAAATTTTTTAAACTCAGATAAATTTATGTTGCAAAAATACTGAAGAGATAAAAACTGCATTTCAGCTCAGTGGGGCCTGGTGACAGTTGAGAAGTCAACCTTTTTGCAAATGCACTTCCACTGAATTCTTAGCAACATTAAAGTGAAAGAGAGGAAAACAGGATGCTTCATAACCACAGTGCATCAGTTTGACTGGACTAACTCTACACTAACACAGTCGACAAGATACAGAGGAAATGCTGATAATAATGTGAGAATATACTGATTGAAATGATTAAAACAATGATGTTCTTACAAATTACTCACTTATGAAACAGATGCCCCCCTAATGAAACTCATACAACTACACATCAAGTTGTGAGAAAGAATTCAGGTTTTCGCAAGCTGCTGACATTATCTGTCTCTGCTGTGTATGTGCAGGTTGCAAACACACTCTGGCATTTAGATGCAAACACACACAGAATTGTGCACAGCTGTTTGTTATACAGCGTTGAGATGTAACACACCTCACTCCTGCAGCTGCAGCTGCATTCATGTGGATACTGTGCACATGAATGCAACAAAGCGGGTTGGCACTGGTGGACAGTAAACTTCATATATATTTTTGTCTTCAGCTTGTAGTTGAAAAAAGTTGTTACACATTAATAGTAGGCCTGATAATGTCAGATATTACGCACATGTTCACTTTATCTGACTTTATTGTTGCGCTTGGGGGGATTCCTGTGTAGATTCATAAACAGTTTCTTTATCACAGAGGATTTCCTTGTTCCTCTGGGTGCAGAAACCTGCACAGCGCTCCAAAAGCAGCAAAAGCGGTTGTCTTGAGATCAAAGCTAACATCAAAATCACAGATGACACATTCCCCCAAAAATTAGGTAGATGAAACAGTGGAGCTGAATCATACCCTTAACTACTGTCAAAGTGTTCCTCTTTCAAACACCCCAAACCAGGCCTCACATCCTCAAAGCTGAAGATGTTCATTTGTGTTGAGATCAGTTTTGATCTTTTCATTTTTTCTCAGATAAAATAATATTTGCATTTTTTCCCTCAGTATAGGTCAGTTTATGAATTAAACTTTGCAATGGAGAAGTTTTTATATTTATGTGATGACAAAAATCCTGTGGTCTGCATTTAATTAAAAATAATGACAAGTCCTCACAATAAAGCATTAGGAATGATAAACCCTTATGTGAAATTAATCCCAATTATCTTAATTTCAGTTATATTCATTTTTCCTTTTTTTTGCTTTTTTCTTGTATTGTTCTCTGTGTTCATATTATAAAAATAAGTGATTTATAGTCCATGATTCAACTCTGACAGCAGATGAAATTTCATTGCAATGGATTTATATTGTTTTTTAGGGTCATTATAGACTACCAGATTATTATTGATACATACATATATATATATATATATATATATGTATATATACACACACACACACACACACACGATATGAGTAGTTATTTTCAGATCTTGTGTGAACTATTAAAACCTAATTTTTTAAAGTGTACATGTTTAAAATATTCATAATGAGCAGATACGCTGCTGGGTCTTTGTATCAGTCACATATACGGCTGCCCTTTGGCTCCATCGGTTTGCTCTGTTGTCCTTTTGAAAACACTCAAAGGTTCATTGTAGAATCTGTTTAGAATCAAAATGCCTTTATTTTACAAGACAAAGTATCATGAAAATAGCTGACACACACTCAGAGTCAGGGCCATCAGATTTTTAGGTAAAAAAAATAAAATAAATTAAAACATATTTTTTTAACCAAATGGTCTAAAGGTTCAAGGCTAATGAATCCTCTGTTTAACTGATCCACTTAGGTGTACTACATGCCGATGTCGACCATGGTTTTAATGATGATGTTAGTAGGCTGGAAACTGTCGGCTGTTTGCCATGTGAAATGAAGACATTTGAAGTCCTCACAGATCCTGCAGTGTGTTTTAGAGTGTTTTATTGACACACTACAGCAGTCCTCATTTATTTGCATGAGTTCACTTTGACCCATGCAGCCGCACTTTCTCAAAAAATTAATCCTATGGAGGTGCACCAACCACACTGGCAAAAATATGAGAAATGTAATTATAAATATGATTCAACCGCATGTTTATGAGTAAAGAAATCTATGGTGTAAACTTTTTATATGTAAAACAAAGACAAAACACGCTTGATTCAACTTTTTTGAGATTAATATAACATTGTATGGAGATTTGATAGTACCTGTCTTTTGGAGAGATCAACCTATGTTTGTGAGTCTGTGGGTGTGTGTGTGTGTGTGTGTGTGTGTGTGTGTGTGTGTGTGTGTGTGTGTGTGTGTGTGTGTGTGTGTGTGTGTGTGTGTGTGTGTGTGTGTGTGTGTGTGCCTTCTGTTTATACACCCTTTGATTGTACTGTCACTTGCGTGTGTTCTAAAGGTGAGCTTCCGTCGGAGGAAAGTTGAGGTTTTTTGTCCGTTTACAGTGCAAAGAATACATTGCTGACTCTGAGATTTTAGGTAGGGTGGTGCATCAGAGTGGCAATCTGTATCAACCCCCCTCCCAAGAAAAACCTCCTACACACACACACATGCACGCACGCACAGTCTGCGGTCAAAACCTTGAGCTCAAACCTTTCAGCCTGTCTTCCTTTTTCACTGTTTGAATTTGAACATAACACATATGTATGTATGGATGGATGAATTTGATATTAGAAAACTTAACGTATATTTTACGATCATCAGCGAGTTTGAGATCAGAGTTTTGCTGTGTCCAGTATTGAGGAAAGTTAAAACGCAGTGTACATTACAGCTGAGCAAATGTTTCAAGATTTCTTTTTGCTGCTGTGTACGGAGGCACTGTCAGCACGAACTGAAAGCCTCTGCTGTTGTTTGGACAGTGACAACATGTGCTTCTTAACTGGCAGAGAATAAGTCATTGACAACCCAAAAAACAGATTATAAGACTTTCCTTTGGCGGTGTCTCCGTACACTTTGAGAAGTGTAGGAGGTTGTATGCTTTTATTTTGACAGACACGCCATATCATTTTTATCGCTGTACAGTTACACTTCTCAAACCTCATCATTTTTTACCTCATTTGGCATAGAGTGTATTATTTTTAAATGTTCTTTTTTGTTTGTTTGTTTTATTTCTTGGGACATATTATAATTGAATTTTTTTTATTCAGACAAAATGTGTAGAATTTCCATTTAACTGCCCATTGGATCCATACGTAAACTTTCAAAACTACTGATGCATAAGTGAAAAGAAAGAGGAATTGTAGTTTCAATCATGTTTTTGTACAAGAAGCGCTTATAATCTAGACACTGTTGCTGTGCCTCTATTCTGCTCACACTGTGTAGGCTGTGTACTTGCATAGCTTGTGAGCTTCCATATTGTGGTCTCTCAAACTGACTGAGGTTATCACTCAGGTTGAATGAAACTCTTTTCTTCTTCATCTTCAAATTGCAAATCGCCAACATTTGGTGCATTATCACCAACATTTAAAGAGTGTGCATGCATGAGTGTCTCAGTCACCTCCACAGCTGTCTGTTTGCTCGATTGACTTAATTTTAAGTTTGCTGGGATGAATAAAATTCATCTTTTATATTTAAGTTGCCTCTGCGTAACAATAGTTCCTTTCACAATGTGACTGTTCTGCTGTCATTTTTGGGATATGTCTTTTCTTCTTGTACATCACCGTGACAGGGATCTTAGTACACATCTGAATACTCACACCGCGCCACATTTTGATAGTCTGAGCATTAACTCGCACACAAAACAGAAAGTGCTGCTATGGAGGACTGCAAATTAAGAGTAAACAAAATATCTTTCTTGCAAAAAAAGAGACATGGATGAAATAAAGGTGGTTAATTTTCTTTTTCAGTATTTTTATCGCTCTGCACACCAACATACACATTCACCAGGAGATGATGGTTTTGCTTTGTGGCGAGAGATCACAAGGTTAGACACAATGACAGACGAACAGGTTATTAGTGATTATAGCCATACACACTTATCCTAATACTTCAAGTGCATGCAAAGCTGTTTTTTTTTGTTTTTTTTGCATGTGTTGTTTCACTCAAAACAACTCCAAGCTTGATTCATTTCCGAGGTGTTTTAGACTAATACTGTCTGAGTGACTGAATGAGAATCATCAGAGGTGTAAAGACATGGAAAATTACCAATGAAAGATGGTGTGTGTGATTGCTGTCTATGTTTATGTGAGTGCTTGTGTGTATCTGAACAGTGAAAGGTTGTGGGTCATGGTGGATTTCCTGTTGTCTGAGGTTGACAATCAAAAACGAAATAGTGAAAAACAGACCACTTCTGCACACTCTGTCAGACAGATATTCACTAACATGCCTCAGAAGTGCAAGTTGACAAAGCAGCGAAACAGATCAGTGTGTAGAGACGTTTTCAACCAAGTCAGAGTCAGAACCTTGTTTGATTTGTGGGTCGCTCGTTGGAATCAACCATTCACCGTCATTAGCAGAAATCTTATCATTTGTGCAGCGGCTCCTTCTTCTCTCACAAGCTGGCTGTCCTCTTCCGGTTTGTCCCTGTGGCACCAGATAAAGAGGGCACATACTGACACACTAACACAGACTTGAAACAAAATCTGACACAGTTATACACGGAAATACAAATACCACTGTAAATAAGCGTCTGCATGCACTCGTAAGAGTTAGTCTATCAGAATATGATCATACAATCAGTGCATTTCAGGAAGGTGAGAAGATAGCATGCAAAGATAAGAAGGTGCATGTGTGAGATTAAAGTGAGAAAAATGACAATCCTCCACTTCCTGAATGTGTGTTACCATTCACTGTTGTGAAATCATTCAAGTTAAACACAGTTTGATGCCAGTGTGGTTTACCGTTTTAGCGGGAAATTATTAAAGTGTTTCAAGTTTGATGCCAAGACTTGTTTTTTGACATTTGTGACATTAAAGTAAAAAAAAAAAGCACCTGATTGTGACAAAAATCACCACTGAGCAAAGAGACAGGGGGGTGTGAGAGCTCACACAGATCAGGGGCATGGGAGGGTGGGGGTGAGAGGGGAATGGCCATTACTGGCAGTGATGAAGGAGGGTGAGTGCATTACTGGCAGCTGTGTTCTTTGTGAGCGAGATAGAGAAGGATTCACAAAGACAGAAATGACATGAAAGAGGGACAGTCAGAGTGAGAGATAAGCCAGTCAACCACTTGAAAGAGCTCTGAGGTTGACACCTTCGTACTCTCCGCCTTTCTCCATTTGAAAATATTCCACGTCCCCAGAAAACTCTTTTTGTTGTTATTCATTCAATTTTATTGAGGCAAGAGACTTTTCAGAGGAAAATACCTTTTGGTTTGCTCTGGTCAAACAACAACTGATTGATGTTGAAGGGGAAGTACAGCAAAAAAAAAAAAAAGCTTGAGTTTGCACAGTAGGAATCGGTAATCACTTTGTTTTCTTGAGTGAAATTTTGCAGTGTCATCTGGGTATACACTTGTATAGTAACCAACTGTGAGGGCTGAAGCCTCTGCACAAGAGTTAAGTGATCTGGCTGCTCAGTTTAACTGGATTTCTGTTTAGATGAGATACTTTGTTGTAAAATGCTAACAGCAGAAGCTTTCAAATTGTGCCACCAAATCCCCATTTAAACGTGCTGCAGTACAGAATTACTTTATATGACACCACTGCTCTTTCCATTTGTGCCTCAAGAAAAATGGCAATATTTCTTTGATGCTGTTACAACCCTAATTTAAAAGTTTGAACACTGTAAATTATTAGTAAGAACAGATTTCTCAAAGAATTTAACAGCATATTTAGTTGAAAACAGTGAGATGGTAAATAAACAGGGCAATATACTTATTTTCTAGTCTTGGGACCAACCAAAGTGCTTTTACATTACATGTCACATTCATACACTGTAGAAAGTGCTCATCAGGTTATTACATGACCAGGTATTAAAAGTACATTTCAGAGATGAGAAGAGATTCGCAGCTTTGTGAGCGGCTGGGTAAGCAGATACTTCAGCAACCTTCCTCAACATTAAAATTAATAATGGATGGTTTTGATCTTCGGGCCTTCAGGTGGTACATTTAAACAGACATTACTCTGTAGTGGAAATCCCCGCATGGGCTTAAAATCACTTAAACCTGCAATCACAATGGCAGGTTACAACTTCACCATGAAAAGATGAAACTATATATAAATATGATCCAGAAATGTGTGTCACATCTTTGGGCCCAGGACTGTTTAAGATGCAAATGAGTTTTTATCAACATTTTACACATCATCCCAACTCTTTAGAAATCGAGGTTGTACAAAACCTTCATCTAAGATTTCAGCGTGTCCCCATACACTAACATCCACTGTTGAATAATCCTCCAGAGCCGTGTCGTTCTGATAGGGAAGCACAATTCAACAGAACACCTGGTGCTTCTCCTCCTTGCAGCATTTAGTTATCTGTTTAGCTCGTTCAAGAGAAATGTATTTTTGGATTGACAGCTGTTTACATAAAAGCTTTTATTTCTGTTTTTGTACAGCCCAGATTGAAGTTATCCCGTGCAAGATCTGTGGTGATAAGTCCTCTGGAGTTCATTATGGAGTCATCACTTGTGAGGGTTGCAAGGTGAGATGGGAGGTTTACAAAAAAAAAAAACTGACAAAAAACACCTGATCGGGATTCAAAAAATACATCAAACATTGAAGCAACAAGATTGCTTTAATGTTGTGAGTTAAGCAGATTGTGTTTCTGTTTAATAAGAAGCTGTAGTTGCTTAGCTTTGCATGAAAACTATAATTGGAGGGGAAACCTTAACCTGGCTCTGTCTCAGGATAATCCACTAAAGCTAACTAATTATATCTAACACATTGTATCTTGTTAGTTTTATCTGAAGAGTCCGTGAGTGTAACTATAACAGGTTGTGGATTTACAAAGGATTATGCGTCAATTACTTCTTGGAATTGCCTTCAGTTGCCACAACCAGACTGGGTGTTTTCTGAGCACTCTGTGGAGTTAACCTGCAGAGTTAACTACATGGACAGATACGTGACCCCTGACCCTGCCTATGAACGAATAAGCTGAAGTCTCCCCATCCAATCACCATCCAGGATTGAAAGAGACTGTTTTATTGGACAAAAAGTATTCAGAGTTGGATTTCATTTTATAACGCTTCTGTTTGTCTCAAAACTCCTGTTTCTCAGGGATTTTTCCGTCGTAGTCAGCTTCCCACTGTATCTTACTCCTGCTCAAGGCAAAGCAACTGTCAGATTGACCGGGCCAGCCGCAACCGCTGCCAACACTGCCGTCTTCAGAAGTGCTTGGCACAGGGCATGAGCAGAGATGGTTAGACACACACACACACCCACACATAAACAGATGATTTTCTTTTCTTGATGAAGTCCTTGTTCCTAATGTGTTATTTTCCCCTCCTCAGCGGTGAAGTTTGGACGGATGTCAAAGCGTCAGCGGGACTCTCTGATCGCTGAAGTGGAGAGGCACCGACAACAGCAGCAACAGCAGCAGCTACAGGGAGACGCCCAGTCTGTCCTGTCCTACCCTACCAAGGCCCGCCAAGATTGCTCCCAGCAGCTCCTCCAGCCCATGGCCTACCCCTTCAGTGGGGAGGCAGAGCTGCTGTCTTACACCACTGATGTTCACCCTTACCTGGTGTGCTCGCCAAATGAGGCACAGGTGACGGCGATGATGTATCGAGGGTCTGCCATCTCTCCTGCATCGAGAGCCCAGGGGAGGGGCGACAACAGTGGGCATCTTGACGTAAGAGGTAAGGCATTCATGCAAGCACACACATCGATTTATCATCCTCTTCTTATTACCAATATCTCAGTTGTCTCTCATTCTGGCTGTAGGGTTCAACTCCAGACAGCCATCTAATGATCTAATGGCCATTCATCCCTACAACCCACTGGAGGACCCTTACGGCCTCTACCCTCACTCTCTGAGAAACATAGGTAAGTAATCAGCACAGTGGTCTGCTTCACACGCCGCTGAGTCATAATTGAAATCTGTGTACAAGTGTTTATTATTATTAATTTCAGATGAGCTGTGCGCCAGCATTGTGCGCTCCCACAGAGAGACCAGCCAGTACAGAGTGGAGGAGCTGCAGGCGCTTCGATGGAAACTGTTCAGCAGAGAGGAGATCCAAGCCTACCAGAACAAAGTACACACAGAAAATCACCCAGTGTTTTAGTTCCCAGACTAGATTTTTACTCACATTTTGTGACCTGAAAACAGAAGGCGCCTTTCAGGTGTCTTAATTCTGAGGAAACTTTTGATTCATCAAACAGAAAACTGAGAGTGGTTGTTGAATCATTTCCTTCATCTTCCACCTCTTTCTCTCTTAGATCACAGGGGATGAAAGTAAATGTTTCATGTCAGGTTAATGACTTTGTAGATACTCCTTTAAGCAGCCCATGTACTGTGGTGTTTAGTAAAGAGGGAATATACAGACATTTTTGATTCTTCATTAGAAGAAAGAGCGGCAGAGTCAATTAGTGAAAAGTTCTTAATTCGTCATAAAAAATTAAATGATCTAAATGTTCTGTTGCCGAAACCTTACACTCTACAATATTCTCGCCCTCAGTCCGTGGATGATATGTGGCAGCACTGTGCTATCCGGCTAACAGATGCTGTACAGTTTGTGGTGGAGTTTGCAAAACACATCCCAGGTTTCCGCATGTTGAGCCAGAATGACCAGATTGCTCTCCTGAAGACTGGTGAGTTGACCTTCACTCACGATCAAAAATGCTTGAACAGTATCTTTTACCTGACCTTCCATCTTTTCTCAGGCTCCATGGAGGTGGTTCTGGTCAGGATGAGTCGCTTTTTCAACACGGAAAACAACACAGTTTTCTTTGATGGGAAATTTGCTGGAGCTGAAATCTTCAAGTCTTTGGGTGAAGGTTTTCTTCAAACTTCAAACAAATAACACAGATAACACCGTTAATATGTTAGTTTTATTAATGTTTGTGTTTTTGTTTTTCTTTCAGCTTGTGGGGATTTGATCACAGCTGTGTTCGACTTTGCTCATGGTATGTGTGCTCTGAAGCTCACTGAGCAGCAGATTGCTCTCTTCAGTGCTCTGGTGCTGATCAATGCTGGTAAGATCAACTCAGCTGTCCAAAGGCCATGATATATTTTATTTCTCTATTTTGAAACTTAAAAAAAATAGTAAGGACACTTCTGTAAGGAGTTTTTTATGTATGTGAAATAGGCTGAAGTTCATACTGATACGATTTTTTCACAGTCCAACTCTCATCTTTTTTAAGTGTTCTCAGTGGTCTATAAATTGTGATTATGAAGTTTTTAGCCAAAATTGCGTTACCTGTGTAATTTTCAAGGGCTTTTCTTCTGCAGAGCTCCAGTAGATCATTAGCAATTCACCTCTGAGTCGCGGGCGGAGACAGCGCTGCTCTGCACACTCCTCTTCATGTTAGCTTGCAGACTAACATTGTCAGTTTAGTAGAAGTGGCAGGTAACATAGAAGTTATTCAGCTCTCAGACACTAATGTCTTTAGGGACATGATGAAAGCTAATATCAAAATTAGCTTTCTTACGAGCATTGCAGTCTGTTGACGCACAAGCTTGTTCCGCGATCATCCTCTGTATTTCTCCTCTATATGCAAAATGTGGCCTGCATAGTTAGGCTCCGGGGGTGGAGCTTGGATTGGTTACGCACAAATTCTCACTGTTTCTAAACCTGCCGTTTGGGTCTGCCAGAGATTCACAGCGGTTTAAATAAAGAAATACGCAGAAAAGCAATTTCACATTTAGTTTTCTCATGATATGTCTTGTAGCATCAGAAAAATGCCATAAGAACATACTTTTAAAAAACATGATTTTCATCGGAGTGGGTCTTTAATGTAACTTTTGATGCAGGATTAGATTTGGTAGAAGACACTACTTTGGCATGGTAACAACGAGATAAGAACCACTTTGTCCACAAGGGGGTGCCAAAATTGACACAAACTGAAAGTTCCTCATAGGAGCTTTAAGATCACCAGTGAAAAGCATTTATGTAATTACTCACTTTCAAGCTTTGATCTATAAGGAAACATACCTTTTGAATACTGTCTTGTTATCACTTTAGAGTTGAAAAGTTCCTGGTTACTGTTTGAAGTTGAAGTGGTTTTAACCTGTAGTGTTCCAATGGACTTTTGTTTTATTTCAAATAAAAGCATGGGGAAAGCTACACAGTCAGAAAACTATGGATAATCCAAATTTATAACTAATCCGGTATCACAGCATAGTTCTATTTAAAAGGATATGTATAGTCTTTTTTAATTTACTGGTAACTCTTATCCTCTTATTCTAAAGCCTCTGGCTGGTTCCTGCTCTGGGGGTTTAGCTTTAAGACACTCAGTTTTCTTCTTGTCCACTTTTGTATTTCAAAGATAAAACTTGGCATCTCGGTACTGTTGTCATCCTTTGCTTTTTTTAAATAACAGTTTTTATAACTGAAAAGCTCCAGTGTTTGCTTTTTAAGACAAAATTTTCTTTCTCATTTTAAAATCAGGCAGTCATCAGATTGGTTGATGCATTATGGTCATCATATTAGTAAAACACTTTTTCATTTGTTTCAAGAAATCCCAAAACAAGAAGCCACAGTGCCCCCCAGTGGCTGTTAATAGACACAACATTATTGTACATGACCACACAGATCTATTTAAATCTACTACAGTCAGGGATTTCAGTCAATAAAAAGTTGAAAAAAGTTATTCTTAATAGTTTTTTTCCTCTTCGTGCAGATCGTCCATGTCTGGAGGACAGGAGCAGGGTTCAGCGAGCGCAGAAGAGTGTGGAGTTAGGACTCATGCACATCCTACACCGAGACAACCAAGAAAATCTAATGCACAAGGTACATGTCTCAGAATAAGACATGTCTTCTTAGCACACAATATTGTATTTCACTCATGTTCCCTTTTGTGTCTGTCTGCAGCTCTACCAGAGGATGGCGGTGTTACGTTCACTGTGCAGCCTGCACATGGAGAAGCTGCGTTGGTTCAGTCAGCGTTACCCGCTCACTGCTCACTCTCTTTTTCCTCCTCTTTATAAAGAGTTGTTTTCCTCTGAGCCTGAGCTTCTGCAGGGGACCAATCATTGATTATTCACTTTGATACACACACACAGACACACAAACACAGTATTTTAACTCCCAGACAGAATCTATTTTTTTCTAATAATGAACAGACATGACAAAAGTACAGTAATTGTAGTGTTTTGAGTATCACACGACCTCCAGCTGAGCTTTTTCTTAGATAGTGGCAAACATTGATTTCTAAACTTTTGATTATTCCAGGGGAATGTGTTTTGTTGTTCCTTGATGATACATTGTAAGTGGGGCTCAGGGTTTTGAAGCAGACTTTATGTATTGTAGTGGATACAGAGATTCAAAGAGAAAAGACACAGGTCGCTCCTAACTGAAATGTTAAATTGTAATCCCTCCAAAAATGACCTTAGGTGTGAGAAGCACTGACTTTCTACCGAGTTAAAATGTGGCTTTGTGACGCTTGTACTTTTGAGAAGTGCACATCACAAGCAAAAATTGCAACATCCAGAAGAACATTATTCACAAGTGTGCAGCTCATTCAGCAATTCTTCTCAACATGTTGACCTAGTTTCATAACATCATCAAAATTACACAACCCACCTTCTTCTCCTCTGTGATTAGTTGCTTAACACGTCCTAAAAGCTCATACTTTCATGAAGAGCTGAACCCTTCCTGTGCACTGCTCTTCTGGGCAAATGGACAAAATAAAATCTACTTTATGTTTCAGCTTTTTTACTTTTTCACAATGATCCACAAACTTTATTACATTGTGAATCCCTAAAGTGGGACAAATTTGACTATAAGCCCAATTGAATCAATAACTGTACAAGACGAATGACCAAAACGAACAGACATTCTGTTATTGTGTTACTCATGAAGGAGCTGTAGTTAAAATAAAAAGCTGGAGACCCTGTGAGACCTCCTCAAGAAACAGTGGATGTCTCCTCTGCTTTGATCGTCTTGTTTTCTCTTTTGGTGTAGAGTCACGACCAGTTGTCTGCAGGCTGTCTGCTCAACATCTTTATTGCATTAATTTATTTCATTATGTTAAATGCTCAAAGGTTCATTTGTTTAAATGCTAGCAATCCTTACTCTGCTTGCCCTTGCTGTGGTGACCTCAGAAACCAGGAGTCCAAACAGGGGTGAAGGATCAGATTGTACATTCTGTTTTTTTTTTTTCTCTCTCTCGATAAATGTTTCTCCTCAGGTGTTGGTTGTCACAGATTAGCCGAAAAATTCCTCAAAGCAGAAATACCTCTTAAATGTTTTCCTTTGTGAGTGAACTAATCCTCATTGGCTTTTACATCTATGAGCTTTGGAGTTGTATTAAATATTTAGAAAAAAACAAAATACAAAAACAATGATATTATAGAAATGTTGTCTTCTGCTAGCTTACTTCTCCTTTGTCCCAGATAATCTTGCATATATATTTTATTTTCTCTACATGACTTTGAATAAAAGCAGCGAGTGATGAGGAAATGTTGAGAGGTTTCAGCATTAAGTACTGTACGCCTGGATGTTGTCCTTTTTGATTATTATAAAGATAATTCCATGTAAACGTTTTAATAAACTGCTGAGGCTGTAACACAGAGCAGACGTGGGGCTGAGTTTGTCTTTTTGTGTAATGAAACAGTGCAGACAGAAGCTGTTTTCATAATTTGATAATAAAAATCCTGAACACAGGCCTACACAGCTTTTCCCTGTAAAACATACTGTAGCTTGGTGATAAAAAATAATATGCAACTCACCGGACAAATTGGAGGATTTCACTGAAAGGAAATATTAGTCACTGTGGATCATCAGGCATATGATGGAAAGTTGACTCTGAGTTGTTGTGTATACAAACTGTTGCTAACCAAATTAAAAATACGTCTAAAGAGTGACTCAAATAGATGTGGTGAGTTTTGTAATGTTCCTGAAAAAGGGAAAAAAAATCACTGCATGTTTGAGGCTGTGTTCTTGTGTTTGTGGTTGTTCTCCAACAAAGAAAACATTTAAATGCAGTTATTTTCTTTTTTCATTGTTTTTGAGAAGACATTTGGTAAACAAGTCTTGCTGTTTTTTACCCCTCAATTTTCTGGTAGCAGCTCCTTTACTCGTGATAATCCAAGGATTCATGCTTTGGTTTCCCCTCAGTAGTCTCTTCAGTTTTTTCCTCGGAGGCTGTTCAGGGTCAATAAAACCCTGAGACGTAAACATGCTGTGTCCTTCTCTGTGCTATCTAAACGACACATTGTCCTTTTAGTAGTTGGAATTGTCTAAATACTTTTATGACCGATTGGAGATGTGTTTTTCCCAGGGAGGTAGTGTATTACAGCCTAGTCTGGGTTTGTTTGCAATTCTCTGATCTCTCCAGGGGGATTTCTGTACAGTTTCCGGACCCCCATTATTTACAGCTGCCAACGGAAAACTTTGATCCTCCTGATATCTCCTGTATATGATGGGAAAGAGCTGAAGGCAGAGCAGCTAAAGGCAGGATAATCCTACAAGTTTAAGCTGTGGCACACATTAAAACAGAGCCACAGAGGGAGTGCTTCTTTTCTCTGATTTGGATTTTGTTTTTTTTTCACAAGTACATAGTTTGAGAGTTTGTGTGGAGGTCACAGTCATTCTTCAGTCTGGAATCTGAGAGGCGATGATAACCCTGGAGTCAAACTCTAGAGAAATTGCAAGGAATTTAAGGCCCTCAATATTTAAGTAAACAAGAATTAAAAATAAAGGCATGACATTAAAAAAAAGCTTTTTTCAGAACTTTAATTCATTTTAAAAAGTGTTTTCATGTACACCCATTTAAAGAATGGGTGTACACTGTTTTTGCATTTCACATATAAAAAAAATATATCAAGCATGCTTTAATCGTGAAAAATGAAATAAAACAATTAGATAATTCTAGTGTTAAGAAGACTTTGGAAAGTAAAATATTGCATTATGAAAAATGAAGGATCATATCCCTCTCTGCCTCAATGTTTTTTATTTTATTTTACATCAAACATTTTTTTGTTTTGATTTTATCATTAAGGTTTAAGTTATCCCCCAACAGTCTAGCAGCCTAATGGAAATGCAACTTTAAACCTGTGAACAATACAGCTTTACATAAAAGAAAACTGATAGGCTGTGGGACATGATAGCAGTTGGACCGAGTTGGACACATAAAAAATTGATGATTAAGATGACAAATAGATTATAAACTTGTGATCGCGATAACCTTTGATTTTTTCATTTGAATTTTTTTTTTTAATTTTACCTCTAACTAAGGTGGCCGAGAACTGCCACTGCTGCAAAAAAAAAAGAATGCAAAAAAAAGAAGTCATAACGGAAGTTGCTGATGCAAAAAAAAAAAAAAAAAAACCGAAGCCCGCTGCAAAAAAAAAAAAAAAAAAAAGTGGCGATTGTAGCTTTTATTAAATCTGCACTTGTTCTTGTTTTATTTGCAGTGGGCTTCGGTTTCTTTTTTGTATTTTCGCATCAGTAACCTCTGTTGTTGCTTCTTCTTTTTAAAATGTTTTTTAAATTTATTTTATTTTTTTTATTTGCAGCAGTGGCGGTTCTCGGCCACCGTATTTAACATCTCAACATAGCTGAAGGTTCTCGACTCAATAGGCCATGGTGAGACCTTTTCAACCAACACAATATTTAATATTTCCGTTCTGAAATAAAAACTAAATCTCTATGTGGGCCTACTTGACGACTGGCTCACATAAACAGTTTTTCTTAATGATTAGGAGGATGTAATGTCATCCTAACTACTAAAAAGTGAGGACGTGAAAAACAGGCTTCCACAGAATCGTCCTTAAACACAGACTTGTTTAAACACATGATGATAACTTCCCAGCACCCAGGATTTAAGAGGATCACCTATGAGTCATGGAGAAAAACTTCCCTCTCTTCCTCCTTCCCTCCCTCTTTCTCTCCCTCGTTCTCGTCCCCCCTGAAACCCCACAACAAGCATAAAAAGTGCTGCTGTCCCGAGAGCGCAGACGGACAGCACGGCGGCGCTCGTTGGACCAATTACGAGCCGGCTGAGCGTGTTTTTTTTCTGGGCGGCCTCTGCTCCCTCTCTCGGTCCTCCAGTAGCACAGCGAACAACCAGCAGCAGGACAAACAGTACCGGACACACACCGACAGCTTCACCATGGGGTCGTCACGGGCTCTGTTCTGCTTTACGGCGTTTGTCTTTGTTTTACTGAGTTCAGCATCCGAGGGTTGGTACTACTACTGACTTCTTCATGTTGTTGTTGTCTTAACATAAAGTTGTTGTGGCGCGTGCTTCTTGACTAATAGCCGGGCTCCATTTTAGTTCGGTCAGGCTGATATAAACTGCGTTTATTCAGCATATAGCCTAACTAAACAGGGATTGAATGAAGAGGTCTCTTCTGAAGTCTAACATCTGTTCACAAAAGTAATATCAGGTTTCAAAGTAGGAACCATGTACAGGTAGCTTTGCGTTTGTTTGACTGGGAAATATCAATATTACAGCCATATTAGGTTGTAATCTATAAAAGATTTTGCATAGGGGACGTTGATACATGAGAAAGATTTAAAAATAGCTTCAATTTGACTACCTACTTCATGGAAGTAAAATATGATGCAAAACGTATTTAACTCAGTTTAAATAGATATATCTTTTGAAATGTGAATTTTATGCAAACTGAAAGCAACAACTTATTTTCTCACAGTAGTTTTTCTTTTATGACACAACTAAAGGAACAATTTTTCCACCGTTGGCCTCCTTCCAGCATCATTTGTGCATTAAAAAAACAGTGAAGTGTTGCATAACTTTGTCTGGCTCTCTGCTTTCCTCTCTCTCTCTCTTTCTCTCTCTCTCTTTCTTTATGTGCACAATTTTCCAGATGAGCGCATGTTTGAGCAGCGTGAGGTCACCTTTGACCTTGACAAAATCATGCAAGGTGAGTGTATTCACATACTAGTGCAGTATCTCTGCAGGGACCAATTAGAAGCTCAGATGTTCACAGTGGCATTTAGCCAGACCTCACTACTTTGAGTGGTTGTTTTCAGGTTAGAACCAAGGTTTGAGACTCCACTGGTTTTACTTATACATAAAGCTCAGTTTGCAGGTCATGGGATGTTCAATTTTACATTTACAAGACTGTGAATAAAGTGTGTCTTGTGTCCTTTTAAAAAAATATATATATTTTTGATTCTTGTGTTTCAGAGCTGGAGGACCCGAATAAGTTCATGTTGCAGTCAGAAGTGGACTTGTCAGACCTCCTCGATCACAAAGGTATTATCTCTTTACCTGCATGTGTACTTTGAACATTTGTCATTTCCACCTCCAATGTTTTCTGCCCTAACCTGCTTTAGCCAGGTGAGTAATTATTTCTGCAACCAAAGCTGATGTCACCATCATTGCACTACTTGACTGTTAATAGGGTTCTTCACAGAGCAGGTGAGGGTGCCTTCACAATGGTATAAAGAAAAACTCTTATGAAGCACTCTTAAATGATCTTTTTATTCCATCAGAGAGTTCCAGTCCAGGAATCCTGACACCAAGAGGGCGTTAGTATCTGCTTTCTTGTCTTTTCTTTAAATTTTGAGGTTCCTTATCAGGAACACCCTTTACTGTGAAAATATCAAACTACTGTATGATTTCCAAAAAAAGGTCAGCCAAGTTTTGGACCAAGGTCTGCTGGGGGTCCTCCTATACTGGACTACGAAGTCCAGTTTCCCCTCGGCCGTCCAACCGCCGACAATCTTGAAGCCATCTGTCTCCATGGAGACCATCGTCCTCGCTACCCAGACTCCTACTTTCCTGCCTCTGGTTTTGGCCAGCTGAGGCGAAGAGCCAGTGCCATCAACAGGGCTGAGTCCTGGTTCAGTACGTGCTGCAAAGGGAACCAGACGTGGGGAAGGGAAGTGACACTGTGTTGCGCCACACAGGCAGTAAGTTTTTTGGATAGATGATGTAGCTGATTGAGCAGATTTTCTCTTAGTATGAAAATAGGATCACTGTCTGTTCTTGACCTGATTGCCCTCAGTTTGGTCTTAGTTTGGCTTGTAGAGGCTCATATGTGGAGTCCTGTGAGTGTTTTTTCTCTTTCTTAACATCATCGCACTTACAGCTGGACTGATCAGCTTCATATGTTAAGTGCACAGTCATTTCTCTAGGCTCAGCATCATTTGAGGTATAAGTGACTCACAACCACTGAAAAAAACAACATTTATTAACTCCTGACTCTTCAATCTTCTTTAAGCTATAGGTCACTGGCCTCAGTTTTGAGTCTCTTCTGGTCTCAAATCAAATAACATTGTTTTTTCAATTGAACATTTTCAAACTTCCAAGAACAGACTACATAAAAGACCACAGTTTGTCTAAATGTGTCAAAACATTTCCTAATGCTCTAAAAATGAGAATATGTTTATGGTAAACACTTGAAAAATAATGTGACAGGAATTTTGGGCAACTTTGACTGTCCTTAGAAGCAGGGGGAGTAGCAGGGAACATGATGAGGAATGTAGTATATTATGATTGATTCAATGTTGAGACAGAGTAGGGGTGAAAATTGTTGTCCATCTAACAGCTTGTGTGAAAACTGTTCTCAGAGTCTTGATACAAGCAGATTTTTCCGTAGCTTCATATTTATTTAACCTTGATTACTAAATCAGTTACACAACAGGCTTTCTATCATATACTCAATTGAAGCAGAGCTGTTTTATCTACTGTGGGTATAAAAAAGGATCTGAGCATTCCTCACATTGCAGAGATGATTGTACTTGCATTTTTTAAACAAAGTTGAAAGCCTTGGGCATTGCCAGTAGATAAGTACGTCAAATGCAGCCCAGCTTTACAGACATAACAGACAGGCCTTGGCATGAGTATTGGTGAACTATCTGAGGGCAAGAGACAAACCTGTTTCAGATTATTCAGTGAAGAAAACATCACCTTAATCCTAACGCCTTTTCTGTGATTATCCACAGTTTTTATTCAGAATATGACCTGCAGCAGGCTGAGATTATGTCGGTGTTTAAGGACTTGATTTGTACAACCTGTCTTATCTGAGCTTTTTTTCTGTACCTGCCACAGTGGGAGTTGTCTGTTCAAACATTCTGTGAGGAGGACTCTTCGGTAAAGGATCGTCTCTATAACTGCTGCAGACTAAAAGGTAGTGACAGGCTAAAGTGCTTCAGCAACGACGCTCCAAATCCAAACTACAAGCCCACAGAGGAGCTTCCGGTAACAGCGCTTCCCTCTGCTGACAGCTTTAACTTTGACCCCAACACTTGCCAGAGGTATGATGAAATATGTTAAGAGCCGCGATAAACTTACACAGTTTGAGTTAAGTAGCTTTACCAAGAATTTGTATCTAAATTAATCAACTCTAAGCCAAAATACATACTCCCTTTGCTGGGACTATAAGGAGCTTTCATTTTGTGTTGATTTTAGTAACCTCTTAAGAGGAAATCAGCATACTGTATTTTTATGTAGCACCATACTAATGCCTTAAAAAGTAAACAAAAGCAAGCATTATATTTTTGCAAAACTAACTTAACAAAAGGAAGAGAACAAAATGACATGAACGCAACCTAACTTTCTGACTTAAAATAGGAAGGGAAAAGTGAGAACAAAACATGAAGGTAGCTCACCTGGACTGCCCTCAAACAACAGTCAGCTGAAAAACTCTATGAATGTAATGGAAACACAAATAAAAAATCCTATTGCAAACACACACCAATCAGAGGATACAGAGTTTGTAAAAAATGAGACGAGCCACTGGTGACAGTTTTCAGCCACAGAACTAACTGAGAACTCAGACTCTCAGGATGCTGAGAATCAAACTCGTCATGCTGACAGCTCCCTCTTTCCAGCCAACCACTGCCGTCCACTTACTAACAGTGGCATAAAGGCAAGCACACACGCATGCACACAGAGCAAGCGAAGCCCTCAGAAATGGGTTTCACTGTCTTGAACAGTTATCAGTACCTAGAAACATGTTTTTCAAAATTTCCTATTTTTGTACCATGGAAAAGATTTTAAAAAATACAGCTCTTGGCTACTCACACTAACAAGCTACGTATGTGTTGCCACAGACCAAAATTTATTATACTTTTAAGCCAAACTTTATCTGAAAAAAATATTTAAAACTTGTTAATAAGCCTATTTTTTGCACAGGGATTCTTATTTAAAAAACAGTCAGATTTGACCTTATTCTACATATTTAATAGTGCCCTGATAATAAAAAAACACAATTAAAATGAATCCAGGAAGTATTGAATATTGTCAGATTTGTACTATGCTGTGTTATTAAATGCAGCTTGAAGATAAATATGATCTAAGGTGCTCTATTTGAATAATGGCTAATTATTTTGTAAATTTAACTGCATTTTTTCAAAGATTGAAGGCTTATCATCGAGCCAGTATTATGCCACCGTGGTCTCTATAATGTGCCATGTGTTACTTCTATGGACAGCTTGATTGTCTTGTGCAGACTCACTAGATAACACAGTATAGTTTTCTGCAGCGAAACCTCGGCTGCATCAATGTTGTGGTCCAGCTCTAATAAATGACAGGGCAGCAGCTCTTTGGAACTGATGAACAAAACCAGTTTAGAGAAACCTCACCCTTCTCATCCTGGACATGTATGAAAAACTACATTATGTGTCATCTAGTGAAAACAAAACAGAGCTGCTGAACTCATTTCCGGTGATTAAAATTTGTCATAACCACTAAAAGAGTTCATGTATTAATCTAAGTATGTCTCATGTATTACAGGTCAGTGATGACTCCGTACAGCGTCAAAGGAAACAGAAGAAAGAAAATGAAGAAACAGCCTACTTTCCAGAAAATTGACATCATTTTTCCTCCTGGAAGACCAACTGTGCATGTCATTGAACCCCTGTGCCACAACCAAAAGCTGCGTCCTCTCTATAATATCAGGTGTCTGCCAGATTCAGGCTACGAACAGGTGGCTCGTCAAGCGAAGACCGTCAATCGTATAGAAAAGGGATTCAAACAGTGCTGCAGACAGAACCGAAATGTACTCAACTGTGCTGATCGGAAGGTAAACGAAGAAACCTGTACACATAAACATTCTGCTTTCCCAGTCATTTCAATCTCTCATTTTCTTTCTCCTTTTGTGTTACAGTGGCGAGATGAGCTTGACAAGTTTTGCCAGAGTGAGAACAGTGAACAGGGAATTCACAATTGTTGTTCTGTCGGCGAGGCAAATGAGCGATACAGCTGTTTCCAAAGCATTTCTCCTGATCCACATTTCAATGGGACTTCTGCCTCTGAAGAGCCCTCACTGCATAACATCTGTGACACCCACAAGATCATCAAGAAAAAGTAAGACATTAACATCTGATTGTCTGTTTGTCTGTCTTCTACAGTGCTCTGTATTTTTTAAATTTGGTGTTATCACTTGTCGTTGAATAATTACTATTGTGCGTGAAGAATATGCCGTAAGGTGCATACTAATGATATCTCTGTATTTCAGGTTCCCTGTTGGGTTTCCTCTCAAAAGTTTTGTTCACCAATGCTGCCCCCTGGCTGAAGAAGAAAAGATCAGCTGTTTTGATCAGAGGGTGAGTTAAAACAGGAAGTGAGTCTGGGCTAAAGAAATCAAAAGACAAACCTGCTGTGTAACATTTTAAAACCAAATTTGAGAAACTATTCACCCTGCCTTTTCCCATTGTCTGGGCTTTTTCTCTTTTTTAATATCAGCTAACGGAAATCTCAGGAAACCTGTGTTCATCGCGGAAGCCGACTCCTCCAGCTGTCCGCCGTTGCTGCCGCAAGCCCTCAACACAAGATGCTCCTGAGTGCATCTCGAATATTCTCATGGATGCAATCACCAAAGCAACAAATGTCTTGCGCCAAAAGAAGAAGAAGAAGTGCCCTCTGTCCTAAAACTGCGTAAACTCTTGCTGCTGACCCCTCTGGCACTGAGACAGGCTGGCAAAGTGTTTGGCCATCAGCAGAGGTGTCTTTTATTTACTGAAGAGGAACAAGTGTTAAATCGTGTGTAGAGGTCTGTGAGAATATTCAAAATGTGGACCCAGTTCTAGCTTCATGCACTTCCAGTGTTTGATACACATGACAATCATTGTTTTCACAAGAATATGTTAACAAAGAAAGAAAACTTCAGTAAAATTCTTATTCTATAAAAACAAACTGTCACTGTACCACTGATTTTATAAGCTGCTCTTCACATTAATGATATTAAATACGTTTGTTGATTCCTTTAAGCTGCAAGATCAGCTCTCTTCCTTTTATACAGTGTTGTGATTATTGAATATATAACAGCTCTAATAAAAAAAACATTGTCAAATGTGGCTCTTGTGTAGTTTTCTGTCATCAGTTTCAAATCTTTGTTTGCAGCTTATTGGAGCCACACTGGATAGAGAAAAGTAAATGTGATATGAAATGAGAGGAAGGACTTAGATGGATGCAGAAAAGTGACAGCTCATTAGTTTTTGTTTTTTGTTGTTTTTATTTCCATGTGCTGATGTTCTGTGCTTTACGACTGTTTGTCAAAGCACTTTGTAAACTTCTGGTTTTAAAAGCGCTATTAAAATAAAATAAAATAATAGTAATAATAATTACAATAGAACAGAATATTCCTTTATTGATCCCCCATGGGGGAATTTTTTTGCCACAGCAGCATCACAGACAAAGATAGTGCAAAAATGCATTTATAAAAATAAAGATAAAGTAATATTAAGAACTAAAATATTTTATAATGGAAAAATGGAGAAGAAAATAAAACTATATACAATATACACAATTATAGTACAAAAGAGCTGCTGTGACTTGCTGCCACTCTCAGGGCGCTCAGTCTGTTAATCTTATATAATAATAATAATAATAATAATAATAATAATAATAATAATAATAATTATTATTATTATTATTATTATTATTATTATTATTATCATTGTTATTGTTATTGTTATTGTTATTATTATTATTATTATTATTATTATTATTATTATTATTATTATTATTGTAAACTGAAACTAAAACTCTTCCCCTTCAGGCCTCTTGGGGCGCTGTGGTGCTGCTGCGACATGAGCGTCAGAATGTAACTGTCGGCTGTGCGCTGCTGCCCGTGATGTGAACAGTGGAATCATAATGGCGACTGCTGGAACAGCAGACTCGGGATCAACAGCCCCGACAGGTATTTAGACTCCGACCATCCCTTCATTTTTGTCTGCAAACGAACGTTCAAGCTGATCTGTTGAACCTGTCCGTGTCGATGAAAACGGTTTCAGTCGCTGATTTGCGGTTTATCGGGTCCCGGTTAGCCGGTTTAGCCGTTAGCATTGAAACCTCACAAATGAAGTAACCGTCGACCAGCGTGTTTGACTGAATAGATGATATATCTTAATGAATGTTGTTTTATTTGGTTGATCAAAGCTAGAAATGATCGAGTATTAATTTGCAGCATGTATCCTTATATGTAGCAGGAATATCGTTGGTGCTGTGCTAGCTGATATGTTTTATTATTTAACCCGTTATTTCGTTCACTGCTTCACTCGGTGTTTGTTCTGACCGGTTATCTGCACCGGGATGAAAACTAATGAGAATAAGTCCATTACCAGTGTGCAGTAAGTGAAGAGGACATACAGTCCAGAACTGCTCTTCCAGTCTGGGGGACTATATTGTGCTCTCCTCTCAGCCTTCATCGCCTGTTCCACCCTCCGCTTCCTCTGTCTCTGTGTCTCTCAGATCTGTGGTTAAGTTTTCTGGTGAATTCACTGCGTATTTGGAGCTTCATCCCTCCATCATTTACGCCTGAAATTTACACATTATAGATTCTACACAAGCTTCTCATATAGATCCAGTCAATTAATTAAAGGGATATTCCGGCGTAAAATTAATTTAGGGTCAAAAACACCGTTACACCGAGTTAGACACCCCCTCCAGAATGCCGACCGCTTGCTTCTCTAGTTATACCAACTTTAGGAATGACCTCAGCTTGTTTGTAGCGAGACCTCAGACCAGTCCATTACAGGCTGCAGCGGGGTGACGCAGCTCAAGGAAGAACATTTATGACTATAACTTGATGGAAATGCAATCAGACCTAGACGCTAAGGCAGAAGAAATATCACGTCTGCAGTGCAAAATGACCAATATGGTGATTATTACTTCAAGGAAATGATAAAGAAATGATCATAAATGTTCTTCCTTGAGCTGCGTCACCCCACAGTAGTCCATAATAGACTGGCTGGAGGTCTCGCTACAAACAAGCGGCTGCTGGAAGATAGTAGGTGATTTGTGTTTAGTCTCTTTGCTAAAGAAATTAAAAAGATGTTTGGTGGCTTGTGCTTTGTTCATGGCTCCTCAGACCGCACGATAGCAATACAGAGAGGTCCTTGAATTAATTTTACGCCGGAATATCCCTTTAATGAATATGAAAACAGTCTTCTCATTGTTGATGCAGTGATCCTTCTTTGTTTGCTGTGGCCACACAGACACAGATGGGTTGTGGAGGGGCAGTTTAAGTTCTTCAAGAGGTTTCTGACTTTTCTGAGGAGTGGACAGATGATGGCCACGCCGTGTCTTGTTAATCCAGTCAGTTGTGCGTCACCCATTACCGTCTCTCTACGCAGAGGAGTTGCTCCAACCTTTGCAGCCACTCAGTCTGAATCAGTGAATAAAAATAGTGGCTTCTGAGCACTCTTCTCGCTCCCACATGGCAGAGAGCCCCCAACTGTACAAATACAAGATATAGCATTCTGACACTCACACAGAGGCTTGAGTAGCAGTAACATAATGTGATATTCCTACTAGCCCTTATTGGCCTTGTTTCCCTATCAGGCTAACAACCGGTGTATTTATGGAGGCTTCATAGGCAGAAAATTATGTTAGAAGTGTGTGTGTGTGTGTGTGTGTGTGTGTGTGTCCCATATTATTGCCTTGTGCAGGCTGCAGGCTACATGTGAACAAGGTTGGCAGGGAGTTGTTTAGTATACAGAGAGGAACAGATGGGTCGTCATTGTTATTAGGCCCGTCACTGACGAGCTCAAATTATAGTAAGTAATTGGCTTTAGTCCAGTCATTCCTACCCGGAATTTACTGCCCAGTGTGTTATATTATCTAGTCCTGCATTGACTTTTCCAGAAAAAAAAGCACTGTAGTTGAATGAAGACCACAGTTAATGGTTGTTTATTTGACAAATTTGAGATTGTCATACATGTTGTGATTTTATTTTATTTTTTTATAAAACTATCTGGTTATGAAATAGTGTCTGCATGCCGTGTTTGGTGCTGCTCATAAACCGGTGAAAAACAGGCTGATTATGTCCTGCTCCACAGATATTAGGACTCAGTTCTGGAGGAGAGCGTTGCAGCGAGGTACTTGCATGGGTGTGCCGGAGTGTTTCTGTGTGTGTGAGCAGAAACTGCAACCATAGTGATGATATAGTGTGTAGCTTTACATAATGAAGGGGGAATGTGGGCAGCAGAGTGATGCTCATTGTCTCCTAGGGGATTGCTGTTTGTGTCCTTGTTAACTGAGAAGAGCTGCATGGCATTCAGTGATTCTGCCTCATTATTAACACTCCCACCTCTCTCTGGTTGAAGTGTGCTCTCACTGTCTGTGCATGGTCTGGATTGAGTCTGCTGGGAGTAGATTAATTCTCATTACTACAGCTGGACAGTGTTTTCAGCATCATTTTGTTTATATTGACCTGTGCTGCTGCGGCATTGAAGTAGATGTTGCCATTGGATACAGGCTAGAAGTTCTTGTACAGTGGGCGAGATAGTAGGTTTAAAAGCAAGTTTACATAAGGATACAGGATATCAAGTCGAGTATTACTTTATCATCTCCGTGTGCCCTTTTATAAAACTAGTTTGCGCTGCTGCTCATGTGTGGCAGTTTTATTTCTTATCTTTGGTGAAAAAGCCTGAAATTTCACCTCTTTTTTAAAGCTTCATTGGTCTTCAAATCAAGCAGGATGCAAAAATCAAAGCACAGGAGTCATAATGAAACACAAAGTAGGTTGTATTTTCAAATGAGGTGGCGCAGAGTCGACACACATCTTCAGGGACATGATGAATCTGGAGCAGCTGGCTCAGGGGAGAAGAAGTTCCAGTTCACAGTGAGCTGGCAGTATAGGGGACAGCAGTCAGTAACTGAGTCCACATTTAGGTCTGCTGCTTGATAATATCAGCCAACACGGCTAATAGTCCTGCTAATTAACCAGCAGAGGGATTATCACACAGCCAATAACAAATTCTTTCATGTTCAAAGCTGCAGACTCATTTTCAGAGTTCACATTTCTGACTGTAAACAAAGATACAACAGAGTGGAGTCCAAACAAGAAAACCAGCTTTTCCTTTAGTGATTTTTTTACTTTGAGGTTCTCGAGAGGAAGATCATTTCTTGTGCTGTAAAACCTATTTAACTCCTTTTTCTGTCTTTAGGGACCAGTGGTATTCGAAAAATGGCCCCTCAAGAGGTAAGAACTTCAGAAACGTCATTATTGAACTTAAAAACATGTCTGTGTTGTGCACCGTTTTGTAAATGTTAAACTAGTGAGCCCTGCGGGGGGAAAAAGAACAGGTTCAGAAAGGTAAAGTGTGGCGTCATACGGCCTTGTTCAGAATGAGACATGTGTGTTTTTGAAGTAGGAGTTATTTGTCTCCCTAGTAGTGACAACAAGACTGTTTCTTGAACTGTTAGTTAGCCAGGAGCTGTAAAAAAAGGCACAATGAATCAAAATAAAGGCGAACATTAGAAGAGTTCAGATTAGCAGGAGTTTATTTATTATCAGAAACAAGGAAACAAATGTGTGAAGAACTGCAGCCACAGTCTCAAGGAACTCAAAGTCAACTTAGAGGTGTCAGTAATCACCAACTGAAGGCAAAGAGAAAATCTTTTAACCGCTCTTCCTCCATTATAAGTTGACCCTTGTGGAAAGTTCAGGAACCTGTCAGCTGGGCTGGTATGACTTTATGCAGCTGTCATGTGAAGATGGTTATCCCAATGCAGCTCTGATACAGCTGCCTCTTTGTGCCCTGTAAACACGAGCACAAACACATGTTTTTCTCTCGGCCTTTCTCTGCAGATGCCTGGGTCTTCAGGCACCACTCAGAGTATGAAGAAGACCATTGGACACCGGGGGGTTGAGACCACCACAGGAGAGACCACCTATAAAAAGGTTAGAAGAGGGTTTGGGGGTTAGGATGGTGTTGGGTGGTCAGTGACCCCTATGTTTAATTTTGCACCCACAACACTGGACAGAGGGGATTAAAGGGAAAGGTGTAAGTTGTTTATATTTTTAAAACAATTGAGAAACTCGTCTCATAGACGCACAAACAGTCATGACATCACAGGGTTGAAATGGTTTAGTCCAGTCTTTCTGAACTTCCTCTCTCTGACCTCTCTAGACCACATCGTCTGCTCTAAAAGGTGCCATCCAGCTGGGTATCACTCACACAGTCGGCAGCTTAAGCCAAAAGGCTGAAAGGGATGTTCTGATGCAGGACTTTGTGGTGGTGGAAAGCATCTTCTTCCCCAGGTTGGTACCAGAGCCTTCACTTGAGTAAATATGGGGAATTTGTGGTTTTTAATGTAATGGAGTTAAAGGTCCCGGTGTTTTTGTGTTTTTCTAGTGAAGGCAGTAACCTGACCCCTGCTCACCACTACAGCGACTTTCGCTTCAAGACATATGCTCCTATTGCCTTTCGCTACTTCAGAGAACTGTTCGGCATCCGGCCAGACGACTACCTGGTCAGTATTTATACCAAACATGTTCATATAAGAAGCATCAGCTCTTGATATTGGATTCAGACAGTGTTACATCATTGGTTGTAATGCAGGAATTTAATGTTTAGCTTGAAATTCAGAGACAGAATAATATGTATTTTTAGTCTCAACTTCAGGTTTAGTGAAATGAGTTCTGAATACACTTTTCATTTTGTAGTATTCGCTGTGCAATGAACCACTGATCGAGCTGTCGAACCCCGGAGCCAGTGGATCCATCTTCTACGTGTCGAGCGACGACGAGTTCATCATCAAGACTGTTCAGCACAAAGAGGCAGAGTTCCTCCAGAAACTCCTGCCTGGATATTTTATGGTGAGCCTGATGAAAAGTGAAGATGATCGTGCACTCTGATATCTTCTCTGTCAATCATCTCATCGGTTTCCTCCCCTTTTCGCAGAACATCAACCAAAACAAGCGCACCCTGCTGCCCAAGTTCTATGGACTGTATTGTGTTCAGGCAGGGGGCAAAAACATCCGAATCGTAGTGATGAACAATCTCTTGCCTCGCATCATCCCCATGCACCTAAAATACGACCTAAAGGGCTCCACGTATAAGAGGCGAGCGTCCCCCAAGGAGCGGGAAAAGGCTGTACCAATTTACAAGGACCTGGACTTTATCCAGGACATGCCTGATGGCCTGCTGCTAGAAGCAGACAACTTCAACGCCCTGTGCAAGACTATACAGAGGGACTGCTTGGTGAGTCTCAAAGACAATTGTTTTTATTGGCTGATTGATTTTTATCAGGATGTGTTTTAAGGCTAACAGGACACATTTTGTAACTCAGCATGTTATGTAGATACAGTAATTTTGACTTTGTTCATGTGCAGTAGTGACACTGCAGTAAGTGAAAAGTCACTCATGATCTGAAATGCAGATTTAGAGATGTTGGGAGACACCACTATTGCTGAAATACAGGGCCATCTAGACAATACCACTTCGAGGGAAGTTCTGATTTCAGGGAGACAATACCAGACCACATACTGCTCATATACCAACAGTGTGGCTCTGTAGTAGAAGAGTCCAGGTGCATCACTTGCTTGCTTAAAAACCTGACTTGTCCCCCATTGAAAGCATTTGGTGCCTCATGAAACAATAAACATGACAAAAGAGATCCAGGACCAATAAACTTCGCCCACGCCTCTACGTGACATGTACGTCATCATATTCACTTCCTTGTTTACATTGAGAAGATGAACACGTGTGACACTAAGCTCTCACATTTACCAACAAATATCATCGCCAAAGTTCATGCAAGTCAATTTCCAGATGTGTTACATGAAAGCGGAGGTCAACTCTTCTTCACTGCCTGCGATATTGTGGTGTAACACATGCTAAAGTCGTCGCTCAACAGACACTTTTTAACTACAAAACATGCAAGTAGAACAGCTGAAACTCAAAGAAGACAGAAGGGACAAGTCACAATGACGGAGGCTGTTGCATCGAGAACAATAGCAGTGGCTAAAAAACTCATAAAAGACTGTTGTTGCTAATTTGCAATTGTCCTTGTTCCTGTGATTTTAACAAAAGAAGCCTTAAATAATCGCAACTTTCACCACAAATTTTTAGAAAAGCTGCAGCAAAATCAGACAGTTTAGGCCTCAACAATCACAAAAAAGCCAGTGAAATTCTTGAGGGACTGATTAGATGTAGAAATATGCCTGCTGATCACTTTGAATCACAATATCATTTTATTTCATCAGCTCTTAACCGCTGTGTTTGATCACGTCAGGGCTTCAGCTGAACTATTGCTTCTCAACTGGCATACATGCCACAGAAAATAAATCACAGCTAAAATCCAGTTTTAGGGAACAGAGAGGAGTTATTTTAGCAAGATCTTTTGCACACTGATGATGAGACAGTGATTTGATAAGTCTTAATTTAGGCAAAGACGCCTTTTTGGGGGGATACTTCAGTTCTTACATCCACTGACATTTCAAAGGGAGATATTTACTCCCCTGATGCTCCTCATCTGCAGTCTGTGACACTCAGAGGCATAATGGAGACTTCTTTGTCAAGTTTATGACTAAACATGTCGCCTCACCTGCGCTCTCTTCACCTGTTTACTGAGAGTCGCTGCCAGAAAAGGGGAAGGGGTTTTAAGTGGAAGCACATATGGCATTTAAACATTTTTAATCACATTTGTTTCATAAAAAAACTACGGCATTTATCCAGAAAAAAAGACTTCACAGTGGCAGTTTTGTTCCAATGTCATGCAGCTTTTATCAGATTTATTTTTTATATGATTGTGATTTCGAACCATTATCATGAAATGCTGGTGAGTATTGAGTATTATTTCCACAATAGAGATAATGGATGTGTTTATTTCCATGGGCTGCCTACAAGTCGACTGAAAAGCAAACTGTTTTTCAAAGCCATTCACTGTCGTTAGTTTTGACAGAAATCTCTGCTATTTCACAGCACAGGCCAAGGACATGGTTTCAGAGAAAAGTCTGCTTTGTCAGGCTGTGTTTTTCCCGTCACTCTACGTCGGGCTCCTGCACCATTTCAGGGCCGTCAGCAGCCCAGTTTGAAAGAGATGACTCAAGCTTGCATGACACTGAAAGCTGATACGTTGTTTACTTTCAGGGAAGATACCTTTTTTAGAGGATGAAAGAGACAGGCAGAGAGAGACAGTGTAGGGTTATCAGAGGTGGGAAAATGAGGAGCTAAAAAAAGAGGCTGCACATCCTGTTTTCATCAAAATCTTGTTCGAAGAGGAGAAGGAGAAGAAGAAGAACTTTATTGATCCCCAAAGAGAAATGAAATTTGTTTGTCTTTTTTGCTTTGTACTCGTCAATTTATCAATTTAATAGTGTGTCACCCAGTCTGTAGGCTAGTTGATTGGCTATTGTTTTGCTTGTGTAACATTCAGCACATAAAATGAGGGATACCATAATGAATGCAGTGTTACCTGTTACCTCTGTACTGCAGGCTTTGTAGTAGGGGTGGAGAAAAAAACAATACAGCGTAGGCCTGGACGATATAGAAAAAAAGCATATCGATAAAAAATAAATCATATTGATCGATATCGATAATTATCGATATAATTATTATAATTATTTAACATATATTTTAATTGCAGCCCTGGATGTTTTATGCTATTGCTTAATGACCTACTTTTAATAAAGTACACACAAGCACTGAATTCAAATTCAAACCTTTATTCAACCACCTTTTTTATTTTACCACAACTGAAAGTTTTTTAAAAAAGAACCAAAAAAAAAAAGAAATCAACTTAAGTGGCCTGAGTGACGTCAGTAAATACTGACAAACATAAAGACTAAAGTGACCAGAAAATCTGATAAATAAGTATTTACATAGTCTTTTGATGAAAACAAACAAATATATAAATAAACAGAATAGCTTTAGGTGGGAATAGCATACTACCAGTTTTAACTGTGTGGGAAACTGCCCACAGCCTGGTGTCTGAACACTGAAATATTTCTCCCGGGGTCGGGAGATTTATTTTTTTTAATTATCATGTGATTGACTTAATACACAAACTAAGCACGAGAAGCAGGACTTATCCACGCCGGTGTTGTGTCGTAGAATGCACCCCTGCCGAATGTACCCCCTGCTAGTAGCCATGATCCAAATACTCGCGTCTTTGTAAAATATGAGCTCATTTGAACGTATTTCCTCCGCACCCTTCTCACCTTTTCAACCCCTGACCCATTTTCATGCCTGAAGCGCTGTGTTTGAGAAATACTTGCGGCCGGGCACTTCATATCGCGGGTCGAGAGTGGCTAGAAGCTGGTCGAAGCCAGGCTTTTCAGCGGTAGTTATTGGCAGTATGTCCCTCGCTATGGAGCATGTTACTGCATGGGTGATGTCCTTATGCCGCTTGGACGCTTTGTCTTATTTTTGGCAAGAAACGAAGTCCAGTTTGGTCTGCTTCACATGCTTTGTGCTGGTGCTGGCAGCGGTTCCAGAGGATTCCTCCGACGATGACGTGGAGCCGCGGCGCGGCCGACACAGCTCGTACTCCTGCGGGTGCGATCGGTTTAGATGGTAAAACAAGTTGGTTGTGTTACCAGACTTCGTTTTTACTAATTCTCTGCAAATTTTGCAAACGACCGCTGTTCGCTTTTTGTCAGACTTCTAAAAACCAAAACATTGTCATGCTGGTGAACTACTGAAACCTTTTTTCGGGACAATGTCCTCCGCTTCTCCTTGCTGTATCATTTTTTCTAATACACGTGCTGTCTGTTGTGGTTTGATAGGGGCTGGGCTTGGTGCCGTAGCGTACCTGGGTCTGCGTTTGTGATTGGTTGGGAGGAGGTAATGACTGTAGTAAAAGCTACATGATAGGCTATGATGAAAAAGAAAGGGAAACTGTGTTTTTCTATCGAACTTTTTATCGACCCGTTTTTTTTCTATCGCACCACACGTCTATCGATCATATATATTGTTATCGAATTATCGTCCAGCACTAATACAGCGTAGTATCGCGGTATTTTGTCCGGTGATGTCTCATTTACCAAGAATCGATTTTTTCAAATTAATTGCTAATGTGAAGTCAAATCTATGAAAATGCAGAAAAATCAATTGTTTGTCCAATGAAGTTTGTAGAGGTGACAACATGAAGCAGGAGAAAGTTGGTACGACAAACATGACAGCACCATGACACCAGCAGCAGGGCACACATGAGATGGACCTGACACATGAGGTTTGCTGCATCAAAATAAAATACAGCTTAAATAAGACAAACATAAGAGAAAGACAAATGCTAAATCAGCTTAGCAGTTAAAAAAACTGTATAAATAATATCGTATTATGGCCGAAGTATTGTGATCGTATCATATCTAGGGGCCACTTGTGATTCCCACCCCTACTTTGTAGTGAACACAGTGTAATGTGCTGTTTTCATCGCAGTGAGCCACCCTCAACCATGTCGGTTGGACAGTTTACAAAAGATATCCCCCACTTCTCTCTCCTCTGAGTTGTCCCTTCTCTCTCTCTCTCAATGCAGCGCAGTAAAAAGGAGTGATTAAGGGCTTTTAACCTTAAAAAAAATGAGCATTAAAATCAAGAATCTCAAGCTGACATTTGATTGATGTAAGCAGAACTGGTGTTGGTTGGTAATGCCCGCTTGAAGGCCCATGTCTTTCTCTATCAGCAGATTAGTAAAGTAGATATTAGTAAAGTAACACATTATAAAGCGCCTGCTGCCAGTATGACATTTTGAACTACAACCAATAAGGGTGCAATGGCATCATCAGAAACATGGTAGCTAGAGAGCAAACGTGTCTCGATGCTGTCATGGACCTGTGACAGCATGAAACAATAGGTCCTCCTGGTCAAAAGTGCAGCTTTGTTTGAGCTCCAGTGGATCAGAAGGGAGGGGAAAGGTAACTACAGAGCCCATTGTTCCATGCATGCCTGCCAGTCTGCCTGCTGCCTCAGATGTAGCAAAAATGGTGAATACTGGAGTTGGTGGTGAGGAACAGAGAGGCGATTTTCAGTCTGGCGTGTAGCAGCATTGTGGTTTCATTATGTCTAGATATGAGGAAGGAGAAGAGTCGACGGATGAACAGCTTTGTGCATCCAGTGATGGGTCTGTCCAAGACTCTAAAATCTAAAAATCTAAAACATTTGAGCTTATTAGCACCTCTACCAACCCTCTTGGGTCCCATGACATTATATATCTCACATTGAACCGCATTTAAATCAGACCACTGCTGTGCAAACAAACATTCATTATCTGAGCAATATTAAATTCCTAGCTAACAGATGTGAAATCACACAAATAAATATTTCAGTGGTTAGTTGCTTGCAAAATGGTTGGACTCATGAGGAGGCCTAAAGTTTGGCTCATTACCTTCGACAGTCTTCAGGTTGGGGAAAAAAAGGTGAAGTTTTTGGTTGTTGCTGCGGTAAAGTTCCACCCTCCTCTGAATTCAACAGTGGGAATCACACCCAAACTTTGAAAATACGAATACAGTGTTAAAAGCAGCTGGAAAACTCTAAAAAGGTGACAGATCAACTACGATGTGTTGAAAGTCCAGACAGGAAAGTAACGATTAGGCAACTTAAATAAAATGTCATCTTGTCTCATTATTTTACATCAAGAAAAACAGAAAATTTAACTTTCATGAAACAGTTTTGTGTGGGAGAAATTTTTTTAGATTAAACTGTTCAGCTTCCTTTACTCACGGCAGAGTTTTGCTCCTATGATAGACTCTCATGTTGTCATGATTTATTCGCAGCTCTTGCAGAGTTTCAAGATCATGGACTACAGCTTGCTGATGGGGATCCACAACATGGATCAGGCCATTCGGGAGCGAGAGCGTGTCGGGGCCAACTCGGGGGACAGTGGGGGCTCAGAGGGAGCGGTGACCCCCGATCAGCGTCGGCCACAAGCTCAGAAAAGTCTTTACTGCACGGCCATGGAGTCCATTCAGGGAGAGGCTCGAGGGAAGGGAGTTCTGGACTCTGAAGACCAGTAAGTTTGATCGCTGAGCTGACCAGAAGCAGAGCTGAGAGTGTGTTTTTGTCGTTTGGTCTGTAAACACAACATGACAAATAATTTTCTCTGAATTTGTTCCTCCAGCATGGGCGGGATTCCATCACGCAATAGTAAAGGAGAGCGGTTACTGATCTACATCGGTATTATTGACATCCTCCAGTCCTACAGGTCGGTGTCTCACAGCAGTCTTCACAGCTCTTCTTGAACACGAGCCTCTACTTGAACCAGTTAAATAACTTCAAGTACTTTCCCATTTGTTCAGGTTTATTAAGAAGTTGGAGCACTCCTGGAAGGCTTTAGTCCATGATGGGGTAAGAGCTGAACAAAGAAGAGTGAATCCATTTATCTGATCAGAGTAATGTAAAGTTGTAGTGTGTCTTTTTTGAACTGTTAAACATTTTTATTCAGACAGTGAAAGTCAGCCATTCAAAGCTTCTGTAGTTGGCTGCTGTGATGACCTTCTGTTTTTCTTTGTCTTTTGTTGTTTGTAAACTGTTCATCTTTGGGTTTCGGACTCTTTATTGGAGAAATCCAAGTGTCAAAAGATATCACTTTGGACTTAATGAAGTGAAGGTGGACATTTAAATGGTTTACTTAAGGTTAACATAAATGGTAATGTCATTTAATGATTGAATTAGTAAAAAGGAGTGAGATACTGTATGTATGTATCGAACAGTTAATCAGTGTATATAGATGAGATCTGCTAAATTTGAGGAGAACCTGCGACCTGTCATTCTATAGCTTAAAGGCCACATTAATAATGGAGAGATTTTGAGAATAAAGTCAGGGGATTTTGTGAGTAAAGCCGTTCTTTGATAAAGATGAAGCCATTATGGAAAAGTTCACAAATTTAGAAAAAAAAAGAGGCTTTAAATTTACATCACTAAACTTTTAAATAAAGCTGCATATTTACAAGAAAATCATTTGGGGAGGGAAAGACCACGTGTTTTGTTATGTCTACTGACAGTGCAGAGACTTCAGGAATTTTAGATAACAGAGACTTTCCTCTAGTGTTGTGAAAGAAACAAACTTTTTCACAGAAATTTTCACTATCATGTGAACAGCAAAGCACACAGCACTTTATAACTAATCGTATATTGAAGTGCTCAAAGTAAGAAACCACACACTTCTTCCTGCAAAGTGAGCTCAAGCGTATTTAGGTTTTGTGGACTCCGGAAATGAAAATACGATATAGAACGTGCTTGTTAGAATTTCATTGCGCCTTCTTGCAAAAAAAATGTTTAAAGAATGCAGATTTATGTATCTGTGTCACACTGTAACTTTGGAAACAGTACGCTGTGTGAAGTGTTGATTAAAAACAGAATTTGATGGTTGATGGAAAACCTACTTTTGCATCTCAGAAGTAGGTTGGAATAATTCAGCAAAAAGGAAGAAGGTCAATTCAGCTATTTTGATAAGGTGCGAACACACTGGTGTTTTGAAACCACAAAATAGTTTTAGTGCAATGTTGAACTCAAGAAAATGACGTGAGAAATAGATGCTCATTTTAAAATGACTTTGACAACATTTTTTTAAGCCTGCTGATCAAATAATTGACATTGAGCAAACATCAAATGTTTTTTCTTGTTCTAACGGCTCTGATGCTTTTGTTCCTCGGTAGGACACAGTTTCGGTTCACAGACCTGGCTTCTATGCAGATCGTTTTCAACAGTTTATGTGCAACACGGTGTTCAAGAAAATTCCACGTGAGTATACACACCTGTGAATGTATTTGTTGTTGATTTCCCGGCACAGTGACCGTGGTGATAATCGTGTAGTCACCCGTACTTACTCTGTTCCTCCTTCTTCAGTAAAACCTTCGCCTTCTAAGAAGAGCCGTGGTGGAGGTCAGGGAGGTCTTAGGAGGGCCCCAACTCTAGGAGGTCCCACCCCACTCTCCCACGTGACAGGACAGTCATCTATTGACTCCAGACTAGCCTACCACAGCCACTACAAAAGCACAGACTCAGAAGCAGACTGTGGTAAACAAAACAACTGATGTGTAATGAAGTATACATGTTACTTTTTTTTATCCACACTTTTACTCACTGCGTTCTCGTCACTTCAGGAGTGCAATCAGGCAGACCTGATCTTGTTCCAAGGACCCCCCCACCCATAGAAAATGTTGCTGACTGTGAGGCCAACCTTTCCACCTCATCTGTAGGCAGCACAGGAGTCGCCTCTGGCTCTCCTCCCCTCCGGTAATAAAACCAATACATGACGTTTAATCGTTGACTTTAAACTTAGATTTTCTTTGCACTGAACCTTTACCGTTTCTGCAGGTCTGTTGGAGTGGAGGTACACACATCAGCCAACACAGACCTTGACCAGGGGGGTCCCTCCAGGTACAGGAGGCAGTGGTAGCTTGTAAAATTTCAGCCTCAGCAAGTTAAAAACACAAATCAAATCCTAACCTGCTGGTGTGTGTATTCTTTTTTCCATTCCAGTTTGGGGGCAGAAGAAGCTGCAGATAATCCAGGCAACCTATCTGGAAACGAGGATGTAGTCTCACTCTCCGACATCATCCCTGAGACTAACATCAATTTCGTAAGTATAAACCGTACGTTTTAAAGTCTGAAAACTTTTCAAAAGTGTTTTTTTTCAGGTAGTTTTTGGTGCGCTTATCGAACCTTTTTAGCTCTCACTTTGGTTTCATCTCCAACAGTAGAAAGCAGACGCCGTGCCATGGGAAGACGAGGATATCTCATGATCAGTCCAGATGGATTGAAGAATAAACACCTGTCAACACGGACCCTCCGCTGCATCTCTGTTGTTCTTTAATCTGTAGAGTCAACACGGGACTGGCTGGATGAAGCAGCGAGTTGCAGTGGAGGGTGTGGCAATGAAGAGCGCAGTGTGTGTGGTAGGCCTCGGCCTTTAACGCTGTCACCGTGCGCACACATTTACCACAAACTTCCCAAAATGTTTTATATACACAACCTGGAAAAAAAGCATAAAGCTCTAAATTGGCAGCTCTTTGGTAGCTGCAGCATCAAAACATTAGATAGAGAATGATATTCTCTATGTGCACAAAATGAAGGATACTGCGGTTACACCACAAACAAAATAATAAGCAGTACATTGTGAAGGAAAGACCAATTTCACCAGTGATGAAGGCGCTGGTGAAGGTGGTCAAATCACCCCTGAAGAGTTAATCATCCACATTTTGCTGTATAAAGCAGGAACACATACACACAAGAGCACACAGAGTGCACAGCCTACATTTGTTGGAGTGAGCATCTCCTTGTGCGTTCATGCACAGCCTGAATGAATTCACATCGCTGTGATTCTCATTTTGTTACTGTTACTGCACATCGATTTCCCCTCAGCACTCTTCGTGCACTTCAAGCTATCACTGCTCGTCGTTCAAATCAACACGTACTGCTGTCTACTCTGCAATCATTTCTGTATTTTTTTTATGGTGGTTGTACAGTGTTTATGTTTGAAATAGCAGGAGGATAGGTGGGAACACCTACACGGTGGTTTTATGATCTTAAGTTAATCTGCTGGAAACCACAGCGGTGCTGCAGAGGTTCAACTAGATCGAGCAACCGCTAAATATACATTACATTGTTTTTCTCATGCAGAATGTGTCTTATTTATAACACGGCAAAACACATTTGTGCGACTCCTGAAAAAGCCCCCCTCTGATGTGACTAATGTGCTGGAGTCTAAATGAATCAAAGAGAAGAGCATCGCTGGCCATTAGATGCTCTTAAATGAAGGGTGTTAAAGCTAATGGAATAGTTCCAACTTCTGACATTGTCTGTGCCTTTTACGTGTTAGCCTCTTCTCAAATACAGGAAATGTAACTGGCATTTGTTACAGGTTAGTGTAGTAACTCACAGAGAAAACCTGCCTTACCTCTACTACTGCTAAAGTCAACAAACTGCCGCCTGTCAGCTGTCAGGTTTCTGAAAGAGTTTTCGATTTGAGGGTGTAAATCCTGATTTTCACTATGATCTGGTGTTGAATTGACTCTTTAGACAGCAAAATGTTATTTGAAGATAGTAAAAGGTCTGCCAGTTTTTTACCAAGTTTTACACTTTAAAGTGTACGATAGTTTTTAAGGGTCATTAAATAGAAACAGTTACATTTTGGTCAACTTGCAAATGTTTTGACCATAGACTGTATATACTATGGACAACTTGGTTCCGCCTCCCACCTGCATACGGATTTGAAGCCAAAAGGCTCTCAGTATTTCCGTGATTTTTCTTCATTTCCTGAAACCAGCGCTGTGCTGAGAGTGGCTGTGATGCTACGAAATCCCTAAACGCCAATAGGCTGTATCAGGTGTCAATCATAGAAAACATGAACCCCCTAATAACTTTTAAAAACGGAGCTGTACAGAAAAAAAAGAGGACTTGAGCACAAACCAGTCTTACTGTAATTACATGTCAACATCGCAAGCAGGGGGGAGAAAATTTTATATTCTGCGTAATAACTTTCTAAAGTTTGTCCACAGCTCCATAAGCTTTGCTGGCGGAGGCGGGATTTATGACCTATACTGCAGTCTGTCAACAGAGGGTGCTGTTCTCGGGGTGGCTTCACCCAGCAAGGAGGCAGACTCTGTCCATTCTATATACAGTCTATGGTTTTGACGGATTCATCCCTTAACTCTTGAGAGACTTTTTAATGGGACAAACTTTTCTTCTTGAATCAAAACTAAACTGGACATTTTGTTACACTAACCTGCCATTAGAGTTTCAGAGAAGAGGCGCATCATAAAGATGACACTAAGAATCAGTGTTTTCAATTTGTATGCATGATATGGAATCATTGATCTTGAATTGATCACACTGCCACCACAGCACTGGCTGCATGTTTTTCCAGTGTTAGGTTTTGGTCTGAAGGTCCGTCAGCTCATCTCTCCTGTATGATACTGTAGAGATATTATCGTTCATTTCTGCTGGCTCCAGAAATGACAGCTTCCCTCATCTATTGTAAGACCTGTATCACAAAAGTCTGCATAACTCCTGTTTAAATCTGGTCTTGTGGTCTTACGCAGCTTTTATTCCACCTTCTGTAAGAATAACGCTTTTCTTCATAGTTTTTTGGACGTGGATCTTTTAACAGCACTAAACAAGTTCTTACAGTGGCTGTCAGCTTGATTTGCGTTCCTGCAGCAAAACTTCCCACCTTAGACGTCATCTCATCGGATGTATTAGTTTTTATTTTTGTAAGGCACATGTGGTCTATGCAGCAGAGAGGGAGAGGGAGAAACATGAGCTGTGGATGGAAGGAAAACTTCTCATGTTTATTGTGCACAACTGAGGATTAAGGACTGAGCCTTTTTGTATTAAAAGCCAGTCATGGCACCAAAGAAAAGCGAAGAGAGTTCCTGTGAAGGTTCAGGATTCAAGTGAAAATGAAAGTAGACACTCCTGAATGCCTGCTTTGACTTGTATTGTTGTATATGGTAATAGCACTGGGATGACCTGTGTTTGAGGATATTTGAGAAGACTGGATTTTATTTTTTACTTTTTATTTTTTGGTCAAAATAATTTCCTGTTTGAGAAGTTGGATTTGACTTAATCTCAGTCCCCTTAAGATTTCAGTTTCATTACCAGAGAATTGGTTTACACTGTGGACCGAGACATTTCAAGACTAAAACTCCACATTCCTGTGAAACTGAAGTTGAATTTACTACAATAGCTGTAGCTCTTAGAATCTGCTATTTACCAACTTTTGTGTAGTTGGGATGATAAAAACTTGGTATTGATTATTTCTCGTATGTGCTGATATGTAGATTATTAAATATTTTTGACATATTTGATGGTTGAGTGTGAAACAGCCACCAAAGAAAACACTCTGAGAAGTCATTGGAGAAAAAAATACAGATTGTCTCTGTGACACCCGCACTTTGGTGTGATCTCTGTCCTCTCTTTGAATGGCTGGTGCTGTGTAATTACTGGAAGCAAACCAGTTCTGTCACAGTTGTTATGTTTTACACTATGGCACAAAAAAAACATCATCCTTTGGTGCTTTGAAGAGCAACACACTCAGCATAGACACTACAATATATTTGAAGTAATGCAATATGAACCACAATCTGCAACCTTTGAGCGTTTAGAAGGGTATTTATAATTTAATGAAGGATTGCTGCAGGCTGAAATGATAAAAGTTGTATTATATACCGTAGATGATTGTACAAATATTGTGTACTGACAGAAGGATGTCTGAAACTTTATAATGTGTGTTGCCCATGAAGGAGGACTATTTGACAGCTTCACTTTTTATATTTCATGTTTAGATTGTGATATGATAGATTTTCTCCATGACGATTCTGGGATGTTAATCTCCCACGCTTTTTTCTACATGAATGTTTCACACGGCTTACAAGCCAACATTGCTGGTTGTCCTATATGCTTCAATTACTATATTTTTACTGTGTATAAAATGTGTATATGTACATAGGAGTCACGGAAATGCCTTCTCATGCAATATATGCTGCCTGTCCCTCCTGCCATGTTTCATTTATGTGGTGGTGATGTTTTCATGTCTTATTTTAAAGGATTAAACATATTTTCTAAATCATGTTCTTGGTCTCTCTGTATATTTTGTCAAAACCTGTGAAGTGTTTCTGAATCATGGTGTGTTTTTAACCCTCCTCCTGTGTTTTTGTTTTTAAATGCTTAAAAGAACCACTTAAATTAGCTTTTTTGCATCAAGACTTTTTGACTCTGTCAGGAACCTCTATTTCAAAAAATTAAAAGAATTAATTGACAAAATTATAAATGCTCTTATTGAGATTATGGCACTTGTCGCTATTGACCCGGTTGGATCAACATCTAATAATCAGAGCAAAAACTGAAATCATAAATGCACTGCCGGGCACCATACTGACAGTCAGATCCTCCTCCAACCATATGAGATTTAGAAAAAATTTTATTTTGCGAAGTTTTTCCCTGCACAAAAACTGTTGGGCATGTCCAGACGTGAGATCAATTCAGTATAGAAGTCTGTTTGAGGGGTATACTGACAAAGAAAGGCCCAGAGGACCACTACAAAAAATAATGCAAGCAATATTTTCATGGATAATGACTGTAACCTAAAGATGAGAACCAAACTGGGTGATAGAGAATTGTTTTTAGTGTAATTTACAGCTGATTTAAGACACGGGTCAAAACCGACCCTTAACTTGGTGAGAGGAAGGATATAGAAAAAATACTCCAGTGTTTGAAGACATTTTAATCATGTATTTGAAACACTTTGATTGAGAATGCTCCATCATTCATGGTTCAACATTGATGCATGACTTCATTCATCTTCCACATAAACAGCTCCTGTGATCTGAAAATCCAGGGCTCTCCAGTTGAACACGTTACCCGGAGTGAACTGTTCGTTCTTCACATACCGTTGGATCTCTTCATTAGAGAGCACGTAGTTCCACATATGGACTTTGGTAATCATACCTAGGAACGACTGAGTTGCATCAAAACCTCCACCGTAGGAGTCTTGCTCTTGGCCCAGGATGGTGATGGGAGCCCCTTTGATGGGTCCAGTTTTGATAAACCTCTTGATACTTGGCTTGCCATTCACCCACAGCTGACTCAGGCCATTCCCAGAGTTCCAGGTGGCACACATGGAGTGCCACGTGTTTGGTGGAAAAGACAATGACAGGAAGTCAGTGCCTCCATCAAGAGCATGCATCCTGATCACGCCCCCTGTACTGGGCTTAAAGAGGACAAAGTCATTGTTGAAGGATGGTGTTGCTAGGGAGAAGAGGCCGTAGTTCCTGGAGAGATCTGTCTTGAATCTGAACAGACATGCCAGGTGTTGTTAGCTGGGAAATTCTTTATTTTTCTGAAGCAGGAGAGGATAATGATGTAACAGTTTTTTTTTTTTTTACCTCATACAGACAGTCGCAGAGTTGAACAGAGTCATTGAGGTCAAAAGCTTCACATGGTCTGTGCCTGTCTCTTTGGGAAACACGAAAACTTTGCCCGTCAGATCTGTACAAAGGAGAAATCAAACCGAAAGAATTTATCACAAGTTATTGTTTAACAATAAGAATTTCCTGTGATTCGAATAAACAGAAGCTTTCTGTCTGAAATGACTTTGAACTATGTAAACACAAGCCTGTGTATAAAAGTTCACATACCTTGAGGTACTGCAGAACACACTGCGCACATCACAACGAAAATCAAGAGTTTCTCCATCTAAACATTTGAAGAGTCATTGTGTTACCAGAGAATAGTAAAAAGTTTTTCCTTTATTCGTTTGCTCATAAAATCACTTCAAGTTAGCAACACTTTGATTCATAATCATGAGAAGCTATTACAGGTCCCAAACACTGAGTATATCGTTTCTTAAACAAATGAAATGAATCAATCCATGTCATTGATTCACATCAACAGTTAAATGAATCACATGTCACAGCACAAGGTGAAATTCATCTTTATTTTCACTTAAAGGATGGAGGCAACCAACCGCAATAAAGCATCAGACTGAAGGTGCAAAAAACAGCAAAGTGCAAAGCATTGTAAAAAGAAGTAGGGCTCAGGGCAGTTTAATGCTGAGATACTAAGTCAAAGCATACACATGCTGCCTTGGTTGTAATTTGTTGATAACACAAGTAACTTTTGACAATTTTTTAAAAGGTCATGCAGCATGAAGGAACAAAATAGCAAACATCTCAGTTTGACATTTCAGAAAAGTTTGAGAAGTCTTGTTTACCTTGTGGCGTGGCTGTGTCACTGTCCTGGTGGGGAATGTGCACCCTAACGTTGTTGGATGTTCTTTTATTCAGGACAGACAATGTTTACCTTTCTTTATCACAGGGGACTATGGACTATTTCCCAACTATCACTGAACCACAGAGGAGAAGCTGCTGTGTCAGGGGGCAGCATAATGATAATTATAATGATCAACATATTTAATGTTTCAACAAAGAGTCAATGTCAACAAAATAGTGGTTGCATTGCTTGTTTTGTCTCATGTTATAAAAGATGTATAGTGTTTGTGTCCTGTTGATTCACTGAACCCTGTAGCTCCAACTTGTTGCTCACACAATGGTGCAAAAGGTCTCAGAAAATACATCCACAGCTGGCAGGTGACAGAGGTTACAGTGGTGGCAGCCGTGCACAGATTATTTTCTTCTTTCTTTGAAGTGATCACAGAGCAAGTGAAAATAAACTTTGACTGACAGGTACCACAGGACTGAGGATTAATCAGTAATGCAGTCTCAGGTTGTATTCCCACTGTTAAGCCCTCTGTTTTATATCGTCACAGTGGAGCTGAAGATACTGATGGAAACTGCCGACTTGCTTTATATGAGTTATCTACATTGAAAGGAGGAGCTAACTTGCCTAAAAGTATGAGCCAACTTGCCTCCATGACACAATGAGCTGTCTTGTCTTCTAGAAAAAAGCTGCTTTTACTGAGAGAAGGAGAAACTGATGGAGTCGACTTGAGTCATGGAAAGAGCCACTCGACAGATAAGGCAATGTAACCTGTCAGAGTGACAGAATCGGCTCTCTTGCCTGGCAGAATGAATTCCCTTTCCTGACAATATAATCTTGATGACACCGAACTGAATGAGCCACCTGACAAAAAGCTCCCTTGTCTCACTGAATGAGCTGGGGTTTTTTTTTCAGACAAACTGAGCCACTCACAAGATGAGCAACCATTCCCCACAGAATGTGTTACCAATGTAAAAAGAATGAGCTGCCTAATAGGATATGATTAACTGACCGACAGAGTGACAGAAAGACTACCTGAATACACAAACTAATATGCTTCACAGAGTGGTCTACCATGGCTGGGAGAATTGGTCATTTTATCAAACCAAATGAACTACTTCGAAAAAGAAAATGAGCAGCATTGCCTGTCAATATGAGCTAACTCACCAGGATAAGCTATCATAACAGAAATTATTATTATTATTATTATTATTATTATTATTATTATTATTATTGTTATTATCAGAGGCATGGGCTACATTCCTATTAAAGGAAAACAAGTTTGCAATTAAATTTTTTTCTTTTCTGTTTCTCTTTTCTGTCTTTTTCCGTAATATCGATTAGTCAGACAAAGAGTCTTTACTTTTAAGAGTAAACATTATATATAGGGAGAAAAATCTCATTTCAAACTTGTCTCTGTAGTCCATTTCCGTTTTTTTTTTCCTGTACCAAAAACGAACATCATTACCCATAAACCCTCACGGTGACGTAGTCAACATCGGATATCAAGATGGTGCTCGAAAGTACCATGGTCTGGTAAGAAATTAGAAATATTAATAAAACCAATATTTACAAGACGTGTTTCATGAAGGATATGTTACTGTTTGCTTCGTGATATATTCGTCTTACTTGGTCGTTGATGGTATCGAGCAGCAAAAGAAGATAGGCGACATTGTTGTGTTTTAAAGTGAAGATGCTCCCTCTATTCCCTGAGTCACTCTATAACCTGGCTATCGTTAGCAAGTCTTAACCCATCATTAAACAAAGACATTTGGTTCATACTTTGGCATTTTGATAAACCCTTATATCTTTTCGTGCTAAATCATGTTTTAACACGGCTTTAGGTTTCAAATGTAAAACCTAAAATCATCGTCAAAGTTGACAGAGATTGGTTCTGCTTGATGTGTTAGCATTTGCTAGCAAACTACTCTAGACCTGTCATATCCAAAACAATGGAAGATGCGGGATCTTTTGTTTTATTTAAACACTGCAATTTCGAAATCAAGTCGTTATTACTATCAGCTTTTAGAAATTGATACTGTAATAACATTGTGGGCTTCATGGAGCGTATACAGTTAGTGGTGTAGCTACCGTCAGAGCTTCCATAAAGTAGCATTATATCAGCTTTACTTGTACTGTACTGTTACATCAACTGTTCTTGTTTTCTTAATGTTATTTCCTTTATTTACATTTTCATTTAGGAGCCATTTTTGTAAACCTGCCGAAAAAGGTCGTGTTTGTGTTGCTTGTTAGTTAGACTCAGTTATTTCCAGTCCAGTTTCCACATTTTAAAACAGAGGACATTGTAAAACAATTTGAAGCAGAAATACAGAAACATTCTAGATTGTGAAAGTCACACAATTGACATTTCTACCTGATAAATTATCTGTACAATAACAGATTTACCGAACTGTGATGGGTCACTCTTTCATTAATCCAATGCTCCAGTTTCTTCCCTATTATAGTACTTATTGTTTCACATATTCACATATATATTGTCATATTGCAAATGCTGGCCTATAACAGCCTACATGTGTTTAGCTTAAGTAAACGAGTCTTTTAGCAACAATCACTATGAACACTATTGTTCTTCTTTTCTCCTTTTTTTATGTAAAATGTTAATTTTTGATTTTATCAGTGTGGACAACAGTGAGTACATGCGCAATGGAGACTTTCTGCCAACGAGACTGCAGGCGCAGCAGGACGCAGTCAACATCGTTTGTCACTCCAAGACACGCAGCAATCCTGAAAACAATGTGGGCCTCATTACCATGGCAAAGTAAGAAGCAGAATGCATCATCAAGTTCATTCACAGTGTTTTTTTTTTAATTTAATTTTTATTATTTTAAATATTATGACAAAAATTTTCCTGCATCTCTACCCAGCAACTGTGAAGTGTTGACCACACTAACTCCAGACACAGGCAGGATACTGTCAAAGCTGCATGCTGTGCAGCCTCGAGGAAACATCAGTTTCTGTACCGGCATCAGGGTGGCACATGTAAGTTTGTGAATCTTTACATAGTTGTTCCCTGAAAAAGAGCTGAAGCATAATAAGAACTTCCAGAGCATGGGGAGGTCAGCGTAAGGTAATATCCAAAAGATAAATAAGCCTTAATTTAAAACAAAATCAAACACCACAAATAATAAAACTGAACCCTCTCTCCGAAAGTCAGAATAATTACAGCAAGCAGTTTGAGTTTTCAAAGTGGAATGCACAATTAAGAGTAGCTTTTCCCCCAAAAGTAAATATTTTACCTTGTGATCAAAAACACCAGTAACTAACTGTAATGCTGCTGAGTGTGTGTTTAGAAAGTCTTCCTAGTTTTTCATACACATACATTTTGTCACCCCTGTTTTGCTTCTTTTGTAGTTGGCACTGAAGCACAGACAGGGTAAAAACCACAAGATGCGCATTATTGCATTCGTTGGCAGCCCAGTGGAGGACAATGAAAAAGAAGTGAGTTACGTCATTGCACAAGCTTTTTGTTCAAACACTTATAACTTCATGTTGTATTTATCTAAGTTATACATGTGAACTAACAACCTCTTGTGGTAAGGAGTTTTATTATCTAAACTATTCAAGTAAAGATCACATATTTAACATGGCGTGATGCAGAACATGTTAAGTGTTGTTATTCACCTTCTACGTGTTTTTTTTTTTAAATGATAAAACATTTGTTCATAAGTCTCACATACCCCTGACAAAACATGTATCTTCTGACATTTTTTAATCTTGCAGCTCGTCAAAATGGCAAAGCGTCTGAAGAAGGAAAAAGTCAATGTGGATGTCATCAACTTTGGAGAGGAGGTTAGTATTTATCTAAACTACACACAGATTCTTTTATATATGATGTATTATGCCGGCCCACATGCCTACTATCAATTTTCCTGCAGGAAATAAACACAGAGAAGCTGACAGCCTTCATCAACACACTAAATGGCAAAGAGGGTGCTGGTTCCCACTTGGTCACTGTGCCTCCAGGCCCCAGTCTGGCTGATGCCCTGCTTTCTTCACCTATCCTGGCAGGAGAGGGAGGTGCAGTGATGGGTTTGGGTGCCAGTGACTTTGAGTTTGGAGTGGATCCCAGTGCTGACCCAGAACTGGCTTTGGTAAGAGAGCAAAAGACAGATGCAACCATCACTGAAATTTGTGTTGAATTCAGTTTTCAAACTTTTCTTGTTATTTTGCCTCAAAAATCCTCATTACAGTTATTTTCTGTGAGAATTTTACCTTTTTATTTTGTTGCTCCTTTCCAACACATCTTTATGTTTAATTCTATTTCCTTTGCTGTTAACTCAACTCAACTCAACTTTATTTGTAGAGCACTTTAAAACAACCACAGCTGAACAAAGTGCTGTACATAACTAGACAAAACAACAAGATAAAAAACAATCAAGAAACAATTAAAACAATGGATAAAATAAAAGCAGAATTAAAAGTAAAATATAGCTTCAATGTTTTTAAAAACTAATTTAAAAACATAGAAACAAATAACTAAAAACAAACCATAGAACACTAAAACAGGAGCCGAGTCTCATGCAGGGTTAAAAGCCAATGAATAATTGATAAAGGACAGTTATTCTCATTATTATAATTTCTTTCTGTTCTCTTCCTCCTCTCTTTAGGCTCTGCGTGTGTCTATGGAGGAGCAGAGACAACGACAGGAGGATGAAGCTCGCAGAGCTGCTGTTGCATCAGCTGCAGAGGCTGGCATTGCCTCCCCTGCTGCAGATGGTGTGAAAAATAATCCTCTCATTTATCTGCTAACATAGAATCTTCACATCTTAAATGGATGATTAGTAACTGGCTGCCAGACTGAGTGTTTTCACACTGCATATCTATTTTCTTTTTCCTGCTGCAGAGTCAGAGGAAGCCTTGTTGAAGATGTCTGTCCCACATACAGAATCATCCACACCTGCTCTACCAGACTTCAGCCGCATGACAGAGGATGAACAGATCGCCTATGCTCTGCAGATGTCCATGCAGGGAGCAGGAGCAGGTTGAACACTCGTCTTAAATTTCCCTGACCAGTGATGAGAAGATAAGAGAAGATAGTCAAGCGGAGAACAATTATTCATCATTTTGATTAATTAAAAATGCAAATACCGGAATTATTTATAGAATCTCTTTACGCTCATTCTGGTTCATCTTGGATTTGTCAACTTAAAAAGTGGACAGCCTGGGGTTTACCAGAGGCTTTCAGTCAGAGGGGTCTGCAGAAACACAATGTGGTTTACTTGAAGTTTTCAGTGATGATTTTCATCGACTACTACTGTTGCTTCAAGTTTTTAGCACATGGTTTTGCAGTTGATTTAGTTGTTGTCAGGAAAATCTCCATACCAGAGCCCATTCATATTCTTACTTATTGTTCCCACAGACCATACTGGCTTTGGCGTGTGGTTTGAGACTTTAAAGAGGAAACAGAACAACCAGTTTTTGTGACTTTGACTGAAAAGTTTTTTATATTTATATATTTGTACCATTGGTTTGTTAAATTTTAAGTCCAAAACAAAAGAACATTGAGTATCTGACCCTTGATTCTGTTGTATGCTTTACTGTTAAAGGGTTTACATTTATGCTTGTTGAGATCATTATTAAATGTAGATGTTAGTATTTTGGCAGGGGGACACTGTGAAGCCTGAGAAAAAATCTCACATGTCTGAGTGATAATCCAAAAAAACATTGGCAGGGGCCTTAAATTTTTTTTTTCTCAAATTCTGTGGTTGGTGTTAACAAAGTCACCTATTTGCATGAAGTGAAGAATTTTAGAGTACAAGCCCTTGGTTGCTTTTAATAAAAAAAAAACACCAAAAATGCAAATCTGCAAAAAAAAAAGCTTTTTTTTATATTGGTAACTTTTTGCTTGCAGAGTTTGGTGCAGAGGAAATGGACACAGGAGCTGATATGGACTCTAGTACGGCTAAGGTAAGCATAAACATTTTTGTTGGATTGAAAGGTGCTTGTTATAAACTATTTTCACAAATATTTTTCTTTGCTCAGGATGAAGAGGACTACGATGTTATGCAGGATCCAGAATTCCTCCAAAGCGTGCTGGAAAACCTTCCCGGAGTTGACCCCAACAATGAAGCCATCCGTAACGCCATGGGCTCGCTGGCTTCCCAGGCTGGTCCCAAACCTGACACCAAGAAAGACGAGGAGAAAAAGAAATGAGAAACTCGAAGAGAGGAGCTTAATATATGACAAATGAAAAAAGAACTAAGAATTGCACTGCATGTGTTTATTCACAGAAAAGTTCTCCCTCTCCTTGACAGGAACTCTTTGGTTTATGTGGCTGGGTTAACTGTAAACAACTGTAACAACTTGTTTGATTTCTTTGTGTCAAGCAGAATATACTTACTATGATTTTTTTGTAATATAACCACTCAGTAACAAAGACAGACTTCCAAAATAAATATTCAGATTACAAGGTGGGACCACACTTGTTTTATTGAATGCAAACTGCCTGTGGTGCAGAAACAAAGTGTGGTTTACTTACTGTTGCTTCAAAATTTTAGTAAATGCTTTTGCCGTTGATTTGTCAGGAAAATCTCTATACATAGTCAATTTTTATATTCTGCAAACCATATAATTTTTCAATCATACTGAACATGCTGTTAGTCAACAATAAGTATCACATTTATTCATAAGATAGAAGAGGTTATTTTAGACAAGATGTTTTATTGAAAAAAGCAAATGCAAGTTGAGAGATTTGTCGACTTAAAAGGTTTATAACAGGTGTTTTTATATTTCTACAGGTTCAACAATGACACGTTTCGTCGAGGTTGAGTTGTTTTTAAAACAGTGGACACAGTTTTTTATATAAAAAATCTTGAATTAAGTTAAAGTGTAGAAAAGTTTGAATGAATTTTCACGACACTTGTTTGATCCTGTTTACTCGTGGGAAGTCAGCAGCAGCGTCGCGTTTGGTGACGGTAACGCTGTGCGACAGAAAGAAGTCAGGAACCAACTTCACGAACTATCAGGTAAATGGATTGAAAAGCGTGCCTTTAAGCGGTAAACAGATCAACCAGAGGTGAATAAAACTGGGTTTTTAAAGACCCTGTCACCCTGGTGGTGCTCTGATAGTAGTGAACGGATCTATGGATGGTTAACATTAGCGAGGCTAACAGTTTGGTGCTAAAGTTGAGCTAACTGTGAGTCAGAGGAGACACTTGTTGCAGGAGAAGTTTGACCAAATCTTTGTAGAGCTGTGATCAGGAATGCTTAGAGATAAAAAACGACTAACTGCTTCTTTTTGTGATCGTTAACCCAAATCGAAAACTGGTTGTCACATTTTTTATTTTAACAACCGAGGCTCACCTGTGCTATCGATCCAAGACTAGATTTACAGTAGGGGAGAGAGGGGTCAGTTGAGCCACCCCTCGTTGCTTGGAAATGATACAAGAAATTGATCATGTGACCAAATATTTAGGAGATGGGCATCAATTCATGGAGTCTGTGAAGGTTAGAAGCACATGGGTGAAGGGGTTAGACCTTTATTTACAAAAACAAACATTTTTCACTCTTGAAAGTGAATTTAGTCTGTTAATTTTAAATGTGTTTTATAGGGGAGAGTGAGGTAAAGTGAGACATTTTTTACATTTGCTCCCCTCTAAGTGAGCTAAAACGATATATGGTGTTTCAGGGTGTTTCCTAGGAATGGAAATTATCAGAATGTATTCAGGATGAAGGGCAGAGAAAATGTGATTGTTTTTAAAAAAGTGGTTTTGTGTCTCAATTAACCCCAGATTAGTAAACTGAGACAGACCTAAGAAATCAAGGGGGTAAAGTGAACCACTTACTTATTCCGCTCTGAAACTATCATAACAGCAATGAAATCAAACACAACATAACATAATCCAAAATGTTTTAATTAACATTCAAATGACAGACAGAACCGGTCAAGGGGTCAGAACACAGGAACCTTAGAGACAGCTAGTGTCTGGGCATCAGAGCAGAGAAAGGGAATCAGAACCAGTTAGAACAGCCTGGGACTCAGAGCCATAGACTGTATATGGACAACTTGGTTCGGCCTCCCGCCTGTACACGGATTTGAAGTAAAAAAGCTCTCGATATTTCTGCGATTTTTCTCCATTTCCTAAAACCAGTGCTGCGCAGTAGCGTTGTACGCATTCGGCAGGAGAGTCACAGAGAGTCGCTGTGATGACACCCTTATAATTTTAAAAACGGAGCTTCACAGAAAAAAGACGACTTGGGTACAAACCAGTCTTACTGTAACTACATGTCAACATCACAAGCAGGGTGGAGAAAAATTTATGTTCAGTGTAATTAATTTCTAAAGTTTGTCCACAGTCCCATAAGCTTTGCTGGCGGAGGTATGCAGATACACTAGTTAGAGACAAAACTGTGATTGACTTGATATAGTGATCAGAAATATGAAAAATGGCTCATCTTATCCCACTCTCCCCTATAGTAAGTTCAGCGTTGATGCAGCTATTATTTTCTGGGACCACTTTAAGGCCTCTCCTTTATGTCAGTGTTGGTGATACATGTTTTGTTCCCTGACAGGTTTGAGCCTCGTGCTTGCAATGGGGGACATGAAGACCCCAGACTTCGATGATCTGCTGGCAGCTTTTGACATCCCAGACATCGATGCTAAAGAGGCCATTCAATCAAGTCCTGAGGAAGAACCTAAGGAAGAAGGAACTGATGGTGATGAAGGGCAGAGTGGGTCCCCCTCATGCTTTCCCTCCCCTCTGGCTCCACACTGTGACCCCCCTGTGGTCAGTGTTATTGTGAAGAACACTGTGCAGCCCGAGTCCTGCGAGGAAATCAGCGAGTCTGCAGGGAATAAAACAGACCATTCGTTGAACAGTGGTTTGAACCCTCAGGTGAAGGTCAACTTTAGTGACCACACATCATGTCTTGGTCCCAAAATCCCCGCTGATGCCTCTGTAGATCCTCAGATTGCCAATGGAGTTGAGGATTCAGCCTTCAAGGATAAGGGACTGTCCAGCACACAGCCATGGCCCCATTCTTTACCATTGTCACCCCCACAGATTGCAAGTGAGAGTCAAAGTGATAAAGAAGCTGAGGTTAAGTCTGACCAGGAGGAATCTAATGTTGTGAACAGCTTGCAGCCTCTCACCCACCTCCAGTCTCCTGAAAGTGCCAACCCCAACTCCTCCACACCTCCCTCCCAACACTCCAACAGCCCTCATCGTCCTAGAACCCCTCAAGAGGATGAACCCTGTCGGCTGAACAATTCATCTTCACCCTTTTCACCGATAAACAGTACTATTAAGACTGTTATACACTCAGATGAGGATGACTCCGAGCCAGACTTAGGAAGTCCACTAGTGATTCAGGAGAGCCCAGATTTTGAAATGTCTCCCCCTCCAAATTTCAAACACAGAGCAAGAGAAAGGTCCAAGCTGCTTGAGTCTCCTGTAACCCCTCCCAATCTGGTGTCTTATCCTCTTCCTTCTCTTGCACCTGCAAATCCTAAACCACAACTTGAGGAAAAGGCCCCCCCAACCTTGAGTCCTCCCTCTTCTGCTCCTCAGCCACAAAGCCCTCAGGTTGACCCTTTATTCAGTGCATACTCCAGATCAGTCCAAGAAGAAAAATACCCGGAGCATGTTATTGATGAAAGGGACTCGCCGGAGAGCCCGCCACCCAGTGAGACAGGCCTTATGGTCCCCAAGATTAGCAGTAGCCCTGATTCTGCTCAGACATCAAGGCTGGCTGCAAACCACAAGGACTTTCATCACCGAGCTGTGGTCATGGAAACTGAGCCTGAAGAAAAAAGATCAGGAGACAGTAAGGAGCTGAGTGAGGAGAAGGATGGATATGGAGACAGTTTAACTGAGGGGAGGAGCACTGGAGCAAATTCAAAGCATTATGCGTCATCTGATGGCGCTGAGACGGTTTCAGCCCCACTGCAGCCCCTCAAGGTGAAAATCAAAATGTCTACAGGCGGCGTCACAAAGACAGTGACTGGTGACCCTAAAAGAGGTGGTAAAGCTACTGTCAAGGTTGTGGATGCTTCAAAACCAGATCATCATATCACAAGATCCAAGAAGGAATCGGCACAGCAATCTCAGACACTCCAGAGTGACAAAGACACAGCGGACGCCCCGCATAAAGTTTCCCCTACAGCAGTGAGCATCACTAAAACTGCAGCCCTGCCTTCTGTCTCTGTCCCCTTACCCAAAGTCAGCCCAGGAGGGATCACCGCTCGCAACCTGGCCCAAAAAGGCGTGTATGGCGGGATGGCGCTTGCTACTTCATCACCTTTGCTTTCCGCTCAAGGCGGCAGTAGACCTGCCTCTATAGTGAACAGCACAGGAGCCATCATATCCAAGAGTCAGACCAACCTGGTGGACGCTTTCAACAAGATCCTGAATAACAAGAACCTCCTGCCCAGCTACAAACCAGATCTGTGCTCCCCTCTCCCTGCAGAGTGGGGCCTGCCTCTTCCTGCACAGGTATACTGTTATTGTGTTTTGCATGAAAACAAGGTAGAAAAAAACCTACATTATAAAGTTTATTTATTCATCATTAGAATTTTTTTGTAGCTCTATTATGTTTTTAATGTGGTGGTATGCTTCTTCTTCTTGTCTAATTCATAAATGCTGCTCATAGAAGAAAGATAATCCAGTTCATCAAAAAAAAAGATTGAGTTTAACACTGTGACTTAAAGGGATATTCCGGCGTAAAATTAATTTAGGGTCAAACACACCATAACACCGAGTTAGACACCTCCTCAAGAGACGAATGTTGCCGACCGCTTGCTTCTCTAGTTATACCAACTTTAGTAACAAGCGCACGATAGCAATACACAGCGGTCTGAGGATCCATAAACAATCCTCAACCAAAACGGCACTCTATAGCCACAAATAATGCTCAGAACAGCACCTAACTTCATCAACAGTACATATAGGGTCCTAGCCACAGTACTAGACCAAACATCTTTTTAGCTTTGCCTGATTTCTTTAGCAAAGAGACTAAACACAACTTACCTACTCTCTTCCAGCAGCCGGTTGTTTGTAGCGAGACCTCGGACCAGTCCATTATGGACTACAGTGGGGTGGCGCAGCTCAAGGAAGAACATTTGTGATAATTTCTTCATGGAAATGCAAACAGACCGAGACGCTAAGGCAGGAGAACTCTGGTGTCTGCAATGCAAAATGATTAATATGGTGATTATTACTTCAAGGAAATGATAAATAAATGATCTTTAATGTTCTTCCTTGAGCTGCGTAACCCCACTGTAGTCCGTAATGGACTGCTCTGAGGTCTCGCTACAAACAAGCAGCTGCTGGAACACTCCCTTGCAGAGTGTTTGACCCTACACTAATTTTACACCAGAATATCCCTTTAAAATGTAGGCGTTGACCATTATTTTATACCAAACTCACAATATTATCCACATGCCTTAATTTTGTATACACGTTTCCTCTGCTAAAGAAGATCAATGTTTGATTCCCTGCAGGGTTACCGCTGTCTGGAGTGTGGTGATGCCTTCGCCCTTGAGCAGAGTTTGGTGCGACACTACGCCCGTCGCTCCCTGAGGATTGAGGTGACCTGTAATCACTGCGCCAAGCGCTTAGCCTTCTTCAACAAGTGCAGCCTGCTGTTACACGCCAGAGAGCACAAGGAGAAAGGTCTGATCATGCAGTGTTCGCACCTGGTCATGAAACCCGTACCTGTGGAGCAGATGATTAGCCAGCATGATCCTTCACCCACTGGTGAGGGGAAAACGTCCCTGTTGTTTATTTTCACTTTTCTTGATGTTCTTTGTGTTCATGTTTCTCTTTTTTTCCTCTCTTGATTCTTCAGGTGGCTTTTCTCCATCTCACTTGTCCACCTCTTCAGGGGCATCAGCATCCTCTTTAGGCACCGCCACCTCAGACCCACCACCCCTGTTGAATAAAGCAATACCCAACAAGACAGCAGAGGCAGCGCAGTACACCAATAATAAATGTCCTGAGTGTCAGGCTCAGTTCAGCACCAAAGAGGAGGTGGCAGAGCATTTTCAAGAAGTCAAACCTGCGCAAACCACAGTGAGTCTTTGAGTTTGTTTGTGTTTCTGGAGGAGGGGCGTGTGTGTGTGTCTTATTTCCTCCTCTCATACTCTGTTTTTCTCCAGCCATGCTCCGAGTGTTCTCCTGCCATGCTCCTGCCTAACAGCTGCAGTGCAGCTGCTCACCAGCGCATCCACCAAGGCTGCCCTCCTCACGTCTGCCCGGAGTGTGGGGGCACGACCAAGCAGCCGCTGTTTCAGACACATCTAGATGAGGCATGTCTGCATTTTGCACGCCGCATTGGATACAGGTGTGATTCCTCTTCATGTTGTGAACGAATCAAAACTCTACTGAACTGTTGTATGATCACATGAACTCTACTTCTCAGCCCAGTGTTTTATGTGTGATTTATGTCCATCATTTACTTGTTAATGATCTGACTCAGACAAAGATGGAAAGATCTCTGGTATTACCTCCTCTCTGTAAGTGATTGTTTGAAATCTCTCCTCTGTAATATAGGCATACTTGAGCTGTTTTTTTAGGGTCATAAATTTTGCCAATACTTCCACCTTTTTGTGGAAACACCTTGTGGTTAAAAACTGCTCTTTTGATTCGTAGATAAAGGACTGAATCACAGAAAACCTCTCGATTATTTTCTTCCAGTTTATTCACAATTCTTCCTTTCTTTCTGCGCAGATGTTCCAGTTGCCTGGTGGTGTTCGGAGGCCTTAATTCAGTGAAGTCTCACATCCAACAGGCTCATTGTGACATGTTCCACAAATGCCCCAGCTGTCCCATGGCTTTCAAATCTGCTCCCAGCACACAGAGCCACATCAGCGCCCAGCATCCCACGCTCACTGAGACACAGACTATGTACGTTCAGACATGCAATCAGATCTCACTTTATCTCATGATACAGCTTTGTCTTTTTATCACATGACCCACCCTCTCATTCTCTTACAGGTTGATTTATAAGTGCGTCATGTGTGACACAGTTTTCTCAAACAAGCCCCTGCTCTACGTCCATTTTGACACTCACTTAACCACTCAGAAGGTGCATGTGTTTAAATGTCCTGAGTGCACCAAACTGTTTTCTCAGAGGAGCTCCTTACTGGATCATTATAAGGTATACACATGCTCATGTAATATCAGATATATCTGACTTAGAGTGAAAAGAAATACCACCCTCTGTCTCCCTCTGCTCTTAACTATCCTCTCTGTTTTCTCAGACCCACAAGACTCCGGGATTGAAACAGGTGCTGCCTTCACCTCCAGCCGCTTCCTCTCGTCCTCAATCGTCTGTGAAGTCAGAGAGCTCAGATGGGAAGGAATGGATGGATGAAGATAAAGAAGAAACGGTGAAGACAGAGAGGATGAAGGCCCCCTCAGGGTGGAAGTGTGCACGTTGCCAAGCACAGTACACAGACCGGGAGGACTACATTACTCATATGGCTAAACAACATGGCAGGGTCTGAAAGTCCACCACCTCATATTGTATCATGCATACAGTTCATCTACATCTACATTTGTTTTAAAAGAGTAAATATAATTGTGCATATGTTTGTTTTTTTGGGCTTGTCTTCTGCAGATTCTGAAAAAGTTTCCCTGTAACAAATGCGAGAGCTCTTTCACCACCACCTCCAGTATGAGACGCCACATCAGAGACAAGCACAAAGGCATGAATCGAGGCTTTCGATGCAAGTAAGTCCACCCTACCCTGACTTCTTCAACCTTATTTTATCGCTAAGATGACACTTTAATTCCCGAAGATTAAACCATTAATGCTTTGGGTGTGGTCAGAAGGATTTCACAAACTGCACGGTTGAAAATGTTTGGAGCATACCTGCCAACACCCGTTTTTCCCGGGACTCCCAGGACCGTAGTTTGATGGTCCACATTCATTCATGAATCGGATCACTATATTTGTCCAGAGTTTCCAGGTTTCCAGACAACCGAAGATTGTCTTGTGTTTCTGCTGAGCCTCACAGACACTGGATTGATACTTTCACTTTACAATTTGGGATGATTCTGGTCGGTTTAGGCTGTAAACTATATTTAAGCAGCGTTTGTTGCGAAATGAACACTTCAATAAAAGGGAATCAAACACAAGATATAATATTTACGTTGATAGTCTTGCACCGTCTCGGAGTGATGTGTTCAGGGCAGCCTCAGATAAAAGAGTGCTGTATTACACACACAGATGTTCACAGAGCCTCATACGGGAGAGCATGTAAAATATATGAGGACTTTAACACCAATATTAGTGGACTAAATAAGTTTAAGGCGTATCGTAGCTGTTATTATTTTTTAATACCATTTGTTTTTGTTAAAACAAAACAAAAAAGTGTGCAGCTTCACTTAGACTTATTTGGATGAGCAATTTAATTACAAATCCTCTCATAATTAGCTCATATCCACCGTACAAGGTTACCCCAAAACTGCCCAGCTCGTGCTGCAAAAATCTCCTGGATTGATAATAGTTTCTGAAGATTTTTGATTAAAACATGATCAAACTGAACTAAAGCTACCAAATGATCTCTTTAGGTGAAAAGACAAATAACTCGTGATGGTGTTTTTGTTATTTTGAAGGTTTTGCAGCGACAGCAAGAAAACGTTTGGCAGCAGAGCGTTGTTGGAGAGACATGTTCAGCTGAGGCACAGCGCAAGCACAGGCAGCTTTGACGTCTCGATGGTACGGCTCTGTTTGTGTTTTTCTTCAGAAATGAAACACTCCACAAAATTTTGTAACAGCGAATTGGTTTTGATCTTAGGGAGGCAGAGATGGGGTCGACGGTTCATCCGGACAGGACAGCAGTGTGGGGACCCGCCGGAGACGCAGAGCAGCTGTAAAGAAGGATCAGTATGAGGATTCAGCAGATGGTGCGAGTCCAGTGAAGAAGCTGCAGTCCTCTTCTTCCTCTGCTCTCCCCTCTCACTCCCTTCCTGGATCTGGGTTCCGCTGTGCCCCCTGCGGCTTCACCACAGAGGACCAGGTGTCATTCTTGGACCACATCAGCCAGCACCAGCGAGGAGCGACAGAAGGCGGCGGTCAGCAGTGTCAGCAGTGCGGCGCTTGCTTCACATCTAACTCCTCCCTGGCACGACACCGCTTCATCACCCACAAAATCAAAAATGCATTCAGTGAAAACCAGCAGCAGCAGCAGCCGCCTGTCGGCACGCACTCAGCTTTGGTAACCCCTGGTAACAGCAGGAACCACGATGAGAAGAGTTCTCTGGACAGCTCTGCGCCGGCATCGCCATCGTGTGTCGCTTCTGCAATGGAGGAGGAAGACTCACTGGCGTGTAAAGTGTGCGGAAAGCGATTCGAAAAGACAGCCGATCTAAATACGCACTTCAGAACTCACGGCATGGCTTTTATCATCGCAAGAAATGCAGGGAAATCTACCTAAGGCGCCGCACATGGGGTCAGGCAGTGCTGTCAGGTCACAAGTGCCTCATTTGTCACTGACCCCTTATGAAAGCACCGGCTTTCCATTTCTTTGCGTCTGCACAAATTTAACCAAAGAGTCGTGAGTTTGGGTTTGGGTAATTTTCACTGGTAAAAATAACATTAACTTTCTGTCGGTTCACTCAGGACATAGTGCAGCATTTCTGTCCTCATACTGTCGAGATAAGAGCAAGTTTTTGGTCATATAGAAAAACGTTTGACAGTTTTTGAATCCATTTATGTCACATTATGCATGTAGAGAACTGTGAATTATGAAACCAAATCCTGCTGTGATAAAAAGCTCTTTGATGAATGTTGACAGATCAGAATGTGTATCACCCTTCAATAGAGATTTTTAATGTGCAACCTGGGTTTTTCTCTGTAAAGCCTTTTGTTTTTCCTTTTGTTTTGTTTTTTTGGAGAATAGTGCGGAGGAAGATTTGACCAAATTACTATTAAGAGTGTAAAACTAGCACTTACCGTCTGCTATTTTCAAAACCAAATTGTGACATTTCAGATCTTTTCTTGACTTAAATCTTAGAATCTCAAAGATTTTTAGTGAAATCAAACTGTAACGCCTTAAGCCTGCAGATGAAAGCTCTTGATTTTTTTAGTCTTCTATACTGGGCGCTAAGTCGACATTCCCATATGATGTAGAATAGAAACAGACTTGCAGTAAAACCCACAGGTATGGCGCTGCCTTTTGGAGTGAGGTCCACAAACACACCTGCATGAACCAAACAGAAATCTTTGAGATTCATATTTACAAAGCAGCTTTCAATTATTCCTCTGCGGTAACTATTCAACAAATCCATCAGAAGACTGATCATTTACCAGAGTTTGACAAATTCTAGTGAGCTGTGGAGTTTTCTCTTTTCTTTTTTTTTTTTGCTGTGCTACTCAGAAGGAATCTGACACAAAGACGGTACATTTTTAACCTCTTAGTTATCCAGCTAAGACGACCGGAACTTCATCCCAACTTTTTTTCAGTTATTTGAGATCAGAATAAGAAATGTGGATTTGATTTCCCATCATGTCATCAGACTCGTATTGGGTTAGGGGTTTCCTCTTTCAACATTGACACATGCCCCGGTGGTAAATGTGTTGCTCAGACATTTGTAAATATTACATTTTATATAATAATCTCCTTTGTGAAAGAATGACATTTTAATCAAAAAGCTTTGCTCTTGGGAACAATCTGGCATTAACTGAAGTGCACTTGATGTATACTGAATGTGGTAAAACTGAAATTAACCTTCATACCTTTAAGTGCAATGTACTGTATTGACATCAGATTTACTCCTCTGTGTGCGAGAGATGGAGACTCTCCATCTTTAAATTTGTGACTTTGGCTGAGTGGGATTATAAACAGAAACACTGGTGTATACTCTGTGAAACTGATGTTTCTAATTTAACTTTTGATTTGCTGAATGAGAAAAGTATGAATTGTGCTTCAGTGAGACTGACTTCATTTCCAAACAGATTTTCCAGTGTGGTTTTTGGACTGATAGGGATCACTGTGTGTTACTGACACATGTCTACTGAGCTCTGACAAAAAAACAGAGATATCGCACAAGTTTATCCAGATTGTTTTTTTTTTATATATACATCAAATGATGGATGGTTTCAGTGCTGTGTGTTTATTAAGTTACATTTTCTATTTTTTTTCGCTTGCAAATGGCTGGTATAATAAAATACTGTCTCATGAGCTACAGGATCCCTAAACAGAGCTAATATCAGTGCACTTGGCTAATTCTTCAGAGCAACTATCCCTAAATGTGCTGCAGCTTCTGTTAACTACTCAGGAGATTATCCGACGCTAACGAGATTGTTAGTAAAAGAAATGTGAATTAAAACTGAATATTGTCTCTTTTTCTTTGCAGTAAACTCGTAATCAACAACAAGAGAGCGGTGAGCAAGTATTTTATTAGTATATCTCTCGGGTTTTCACTTTGCATTTACTCAGTTATTACACAAATATCCAAATAAAACCTAACAGAACGACATGACAGAAACAAACATTAAATCTTCTCGCTCATTCTATTACAATATAATTTTTTTTTTAAATATAAAGAGTATAATATCTCAAACTTGATTAAAACAAACTATGTTCTTTCAATAGGTCCTCATATTAGTAATAGTAATAATATGGTCTTTTTGTTGCTGTTAACAATCTTATACTTATATAGAATTTAAATCAGACCACCTATAAGAAACAGCGAAGCGGAAGCAGCATGTTGTCTGACTGCAGACGTGTGTGCTTGCGTGTGTGTGTGTTGCATTTGGACTCGCTGGCTCTCTCTATTCCTACAGTAACAGAATTCCCATCAGTAGGAACAGAACGGGCTTCATGAAGGACATGATCCCCTCCATAGTCAGCGAGGGACCCCCTGGATGGGAGAGACAAGAACTCTGAATGTGAAAAAGTTCCTCATGATTATTTTTCTGCAACAAAGACTTTTCTGCGACAGTTAGAGATCTTTGAATATTTGACATGAGAAGTATCTTCGGTTGTATTTTTATCTTCATTGGACCATAAAGAACGCTTACTCGTCTAGTGTTGTACATGAGTAGATGTAGGTAGGGGTTAAACTGGACTTAGCTTAAAAATGTCACACTTGTATGACTTTTTCAGAGCAAGTTATCCTATGAGCAAATTAATCCATAATGAAAATAATCACTAGTTTCAACCTCTGTGAAGTTCATGGTGAGCCCCTCCTAACCCAACAGTGATAAAATCATACATGTAAAGCAGCTCTAATGTAACACACAGAAGTGTTCGTTCTTTTTTACCTGACTCAGGAGGTTGTGCTGTGTTACGCATGTCTATCCCATTTTTGGCATTTTCAAGAGCAGACAGTTGATCATTGTTCAAGGCAGCCAGCTGTTCTTTGGTCACCATGGCAGCATTGTCTGGACCAAAAGCCTTCAACTGGATAACAGAGAGCCCCTGGAAGGAGCACGGGTGGGACAGAAAACCAGAGGGGTGGAAAAAGTTTTAATTTATTTTCAGTAATACAATCATTTACTAATTCTATTATGAGCAAGAGCTGTGCTTTCAAATCTTATCCACAGTTGGACGACTGAGAAGAAGCTGATTTTATAGACTTTTAACGTAGGATCTTAATCTTACTTAGCGTTTGCGATAAGATAAAGTAACATACCTTTAAGTTTTTAGGTGTTATTGAAGGGATGCTGGATATCTTCAGAAATGAAAGGACTGGTGGGTCCAACTCAGACAAATCAGTGGCATTTAACCCGACTGAGGGGAGCAGAAATATCAGGTCAGTATTTCAAAAATGCTGCTGATCGAATTCACAACACAGTGACTAAATTGAAGTGAGAACAGAAAACAGTCAAATCTAACCTATGAGGTTGCCCAAGCCAGACACTATTGTTTCAGTCCAGCTTCTGGGAGGTCCAAACGCAGCCATAACAAGTGTTTTAAGCTTTTGAAAGCCAGTGAAGGAGCACTGAATATCGTTGATAGAGTCTACAGCCTCCCTGTAATGAACACACACACATGCACATGATACGTCGCTGGAAGACAGGATCTCGCTCTGCAACTTCTAATGCAGTCAAGATGTTTGAGTACGCTTCAAAGAATTCCTCACAATGTTACTGAGTATATCTTTTTCGTGTTGTTGGTGTGATATAATAGTTTGCTATAAATATGTGAATTTAACCACAATTTTTGTAGTGAAATTAATAAAAAAGTGATTTATGTAGGGGGAACAAACTTGAAGGCGTCCACGCTGATCTGTTTGATCTCGCTGGAGCTGAAGCCACAGATGAACCGGTTCAGTGAAACTATCTCTGCCTCTCCAAGCTGCTGTGCTGTCTGGTTGTTGTATTTAGCAACAGCCCTCCACACTGCCTCCATCTAGTGGGATGAATTGGCTCTATGACACCATGATCATGGATACGAAGTTCATAAGAACATGAGATTGTTTTTTACTTCACCTGTATATCATCCCAGTCACAGTCGGCAATGTCCTCCAGTGTGTCCAGTGAGAAAGGGAGCGCTTGAAGGTCTTTGTTGGAGAAACCACGAGTTATACATCCCAGCTGCACCACCTCATCTTCAGTCATCTGAGATAGAGGGCCAAAGGCCTGCAGAGAGGCATAAAATGTTAACCATAGACTGAATAAAAAATGGACAGAGTCTGCCTCCTTGCTGGGTGAAGCCACTCCGAGAACAGCACCCTCTGTTGATGGGCTGCAGTATAGTTCATAAATCCTGCCTCCTTCAGCAAAGCTTATGGGGCTGTGGACAAACTTTAGAAATTTATTACACTGAACATAAATTTTTCTCCCCACTGCTTGTGATGTTGACATGTAGTTACTGTCAGACTGGTTTGTGCTCAAGTCCTCTTTTTTCCGTGAAGCTCCGTTTTTAAAAGTTATTAGGGGGTTCATGTTTTCTATGATTGACATCTGATACAGCCTATGGGCGTTCAGGGATCGCGTAGCTCACCCGGGGGAATACGCTGTTTGAGCCGAGCGTCATCACAGTGACTCTCTGCGACTACGCGGCCCAATGCGCGCATCGCTACTGCGCAGCTCTGATTTCAGGAAATGAAGAAAAATCCCAGAAATACCGAGAGCTATTTGGCTTCAAATCCGTATACAGGCGATAGGCGGAAACAAGTTGTCCATAGTATGTACAGTCTATGATGTTAACACTCAGATTACCAGCCCCTCATCTTGTATCATTGCCCCAGGGTAGACCTCTGCACCCCAACAGATTAAAACCACCTCTACTGTACCTCAATAGCCTTTTGAGAGAGAACAGACAGTTGGTCTGCTCTGAAGTCAGGGACATCTCCAAGTGTGTCAACAGTTTCAGTGAAGGTTTCTCTTGACATCAGTTTAAGCTGTGCAGCTTCCCAAAAGACATTGTTGGATTTCAGTTCTTCTATCAACTCTGTAGTAGGAACTTTAACACCTGTAGTGCTTCCATCATTTCTCCCTGAGACTGACAGGAAAGAAGGACAGAGCAGGTGATTAAAAGGAGCGAAAGGAAAATGCATCACCGAGTTTCTGGAGTGGCATCACTGACAAAAATAAGAAGACACAATATCCTTTTCTAACCTGTTCTCTTTCTACGTGCTGCATCCAATTTGTTGTCGACGATAGTGTCAAAGAGCTTCTTTCTCAGGGTCTTGGACTTGCAGGACTGGCATTCATTCAGGTAATAGAGCAAATCCTTCATCCATGGCTGACAGGGATGGAGAGAGAGGAAAAATAAACAAAGTAAACAAAAGTAAACGCCACTTATTTCGTGCTCTCTCACTTTTTTTGTTTAAAATATGAATAGAAACACTTTTCCTAATCTTAAAATGACTCAAAGTATTGTTACGTGTCACATTCACTCATTCACAAAATAGTGTCTTAGGCTGCTATTCCAAGTGCCTATCAATCAGGTGACATTCAGTTTGACCAAACAGTGGATGGGAGTGTCAAGGATGCTGCAGTCGTGTGATGTTCCAGAAACAACCAAACCAACATAACAAGAAAAGGATACACAACAAAAACCTACTGGTTATTTTGCGCAATGGAGAATAAAAAAGAAAAGAACAGGACCAAGGATTGACCCCTGAGGCACCCCATATAACAAAGAGGAGATGTTGACATATACATACCCACAGAAACTAAAAGAAGTCAACTTAAGATGTATAAAAAGTACGACTGAAATGGGTTTAGTGTTTAATTCCTCAAAATGAAAGTACAATAGCATTTTTTTTTTTCTCAAAACTAACTCTTAAAGTGTATGACACACAGCTTGGAAGCATCAACAGGTTTGTAAGAGTGAGTAACAGCTTCTAAATGTTGTGGGGTCAAGTATCAGGCAGCAGGTGGAACGGAGTAGATCTGAGACTGACCCCTTGAGGATGCATCTGGAAATGGGTTCATTGTGTTTGGACATTTTAAGCATTTTAAGCATTAAACATTTTATTTTAAGGTGAAAGTTCAAACCAGGAACTAGTTAAGACATGTTACAGACCTTATCAAACGGCAGATCAACCGGGCAATCGTCATATGAAGCTAGGAGAGGGAACAGTGCCTCTGTAGTCTCAGCTGACCAAGTGGATCCAGGCCTGCAAAGGAAAGGCAATTATTAAGAAAACCACCCATCTCTTACTCTCTCCCTGATAACTGGGGTGTGAAATGGAGGCCTGTCATACCCATAATTCTTTTTGATCAGTTGAATTAGATCTGCTTTGTGCTTTTCAGGAATGTGCTTGCAGGAAGCCATTGTCTCCAGGCTGTAGTTGCGAACACCAGAGTCCATGAGTTGCAGTTGTGGTGGTGGAAGGTAACACAAAAATGGTCCAAGCCTTTCAACATCCTCGATGGCTAGTGAAGATGTGCTTGACCCCTGATAAACACACAGTAGATAACTCAGACTGACGCACAGTGTGTTGGTAATAGATATGAAGCAGTACACACAGAATACTTGTGCATGCCTTTGTCAGGAAACGCAGAGCTCTTTGAGTTAGTGCGAGACGGGATGGAAGACCGGCTGATGATGAACTCGGGTCTGCCTCTTCCATCTTGTCGAGGAGGACAGAGCACACCGAATCAGGCAGTTTCATCACTTCCTCAGGCCTGGGGTAGTTAAATAACATACAGAGAGTGAGCGCTGGCACTTTTAACAGAGGAGAATTCTCATTGAGATGAAGTGAGAAAAAGAAATCAGCTTTTACTGCATATATGGAAGAAAATTCATGGGAATGTCTCTCATCTCCTCTTCAGTGATGGTTTGGAAAAAGTCAGGTCTACCTTTTAACCTGCGCGCAAAAAGCCTCCGGGCAGCACATCTAACCTGAAGAAGCACATTTATCATCGACAGGCGTTCTTTATTTTATCTAACATGTGTACATTCACTCAGTTCATACCTGCATTTTAGACAGCAGCCGTGAAGCTGATGTTATGCTTCGCACCATGTCTGGAACATCATTGTCTGATGTCTTTTCAATCATCTTACAAGTTACTCCTTGAAGAACTGTAGAGATCTTCCTCATTCTGTTACTGATAGTGTTGTTATAACCATGTAAAGCAACAAGATAGATTATACAATAACAAAAACACTTCTTAGTTTACACCAGGCCTGCTTTGATCCAAATACCTTGAAGTTCACTGTTTTTTTAAATAAAGATTTCTGTTATTGATCATAATGAATAAAAACTGCCAAGTAATAATTCAATACAATATAATAACATCTCTGTAGAAGATGAAAATGTGTATAATGAGCTGGTAAACATCAACATTTCAAAATGTGTCTCCAAAGCTACAGGAACTCACCTAAACTTAAACTTTATTGTCTTAGAGATTTTTTGCATCAGGAGAGTTGCCTGGAGAAAATAAAAGATAGTAGTTTTCACTCAGAGAACTTTAAAGCTGATTTATAACCTATATCATTTCATCACCAGTGCATCATAACTGGAGTAAGAAGCGACTGTTCAGGATTTACCTGTTCCCTAGTCCAATTTTTTCCCCCCACTTGGTCCCAAGAGGTGATGTTTGCTTCTTGCAGGGATTTTAGAGACATGCAACGAAGCAAATTCTCAGGCAGCTTCTTCACAAGTTCTGAGGGACCTGTATTCTTGTATAGCTGCAGGGAAACATTCGATTTGTTTGTACAAAAGAAATAGGGATTTTGAACTTTTATCCCTCTTCCTGCTTCTTTCTCTTTTTCTTCATTTTCCTTACTCACCCCCTGCAGCAAGGCCTTCATCCTCCCCTTATTCATCCTCTTGCTGATGTTCCTCAGACCCTCTATGTCATTCAGAAGCTCACTTGCTCTGACATGCTTGAGGATACAATTTGGCAAACAACTTGCGACCGATCCGAGGCCAACCAGCTCCTCTCTTGATATGTCTTTACACTGTAAGAGAGAGCAGAGTGAGAAAACTGAGATAATCAGGAAAACTGAGAGACAAAACTCAGTGGTTCCCAGACTCACCTTCTTACTCCCCACTATTTTTCTAAGCAGTGCTCGCTTCTGGCCACGAGTCCATTTGTAATCAGGCCTATATTTCCGTATGGCTTTCAAGAGATCAGCAGAAGGAATCTTGGACAGTGTTGTAGCAGGCAACGAAGTGATGCTCTTGCCCAGCTCTTGTAGTTCTTGAGAAATGTTGACATTTGATATCATGGAGTTGGCGAGGTACTTCTTGAGCTTTAAAGTCAGGAAAGAAAGAATGAAGACGGCAAAACATTGTCAGGATGTTACAAACTGAATGAAAGTTGTCATGAGAGATGATACCTTTTTGATTCGGGGATAGCTGTCATCGTCGCAACGTTCAAGCAGAGAGAGGAGTTTCTTGCTGAGGTTTCGGGTTAAATTTTGAGGAGGATTGTAATAACAGACCAGCATGCCAAGTCTGAGGAGGGTATGAGATAAACAAGTAGTTACTCCAACAATGACAGGAAATTGGCTGCCCTTAATTTGAGGTAGATAAATATAACAAAAGCATGTTTTTTTCTCTATGAGTGTCCATCACATGCTCACTCTTTTACCTGTTAAGCTCAGACTTTTTAAGTAAGGGTTAATCTACAGTGAGTGGGTGACTCTGTCCACCCTGAAAGAGTTTTGTTTTGCATAACCACCTGCTCACAATACATCAACTTGTTAATTATCTGTGTACTAACCAAAACCACAAACAGCTTGGCACTAAGTGATAAAGATAATGTAACATTGATTTAACATTGATTTTTTAAGCAGCTGAACCAGTTGGTAGTGGTAGCTTGTAGATTAGATTCATGTTAAATCTAACATTCTCAGTTCAGGTCTTGACATAACCCTGATTAACGATTGTATTATGTATTAAATTTACCATTTTTTATTTACTGTAAAGTCACATTTTTTAATAACAATATAACAAGCAAGTTCCTCTGCCAACCATGTTATACTCTGGAGTTTTCCTGCAATGATATACACATCCATGCAGGGATACACACTTCTCCATATGTGGTGCAAACTCCTCTTTGCGACAGCACTCTTGAAGTCTCTGCAGCAACCTCTTTGCAAATCTGGGCACCATCCTCCTGACTGGACCAAGAGCTTCTTTCAACTTGCCTGATTTGAAAAATTCCTGCAGCTAAAAGAGAAAGTGAAAAAAAATAAAACAAAATTGACAAATTAAATGTTTTCATTTTCAGCCTTCTGTACTGCTCTCCACGCTGCCTTTCTTACCACTTCTTTGGGAGAAGAATCTAAATCTGCTGCTTTTAAATAAGACAAGAAAGGTCCCAATGTCATCAAGGCGTCTGAGTTCAGCCATTTCACTGAAGACTTGCAGCGCTGCATCTCTCCTACAGAATAAATGAAGCTGTTACAATCTCACTGAATGGAGCAAAACCAACATCAGAGATGAGATTCTTTTTTTGACCTGCACAGTTACAGTCAACAGTAAAGCTCTCATAAAGAGATACAGACAAACACAAGTGTGTGATAAGCTGCTGTTTTCTCATCTGCTTCCCTCTTTCAATACTTACTCCCTGTTTCTATTTCTTCCCATTTACTGTCTGATTTGCCTCATAGTTTCTTCTCAACATCTTTCTCTTTATTTGTTCTCCGCTGGTTCATCTTATCTGTCAACTCAGCAGAGGCAATTCAGATTCTTTTCTCACTTTTCCACCATAACCCTTCCGTCTGTTCTAGCTCTACTACCTTATTCTGTAAGAGAAAGAGTTCATCTTATCTTTTCTTTCATTTACCTTAATAGATGAGAAAATTCAAATGGATTTTATAGTACTAAGCACTGTATGAATTGAAGTTCCTCCGTGTTTTTTTTTTTCTTTTTCTTTACCTGATTTGGAGTCTGATTTTGGCATTGTTGTACAACCAAAGTAGTTCTGGGTGATCTGCTCTTTTTCCCATCCCAGCACCTTGGCCCTTTTTTCTTCACGCATGTCAACGTACATCTCTCGCAGCATCTTTGCCCTGCAATCAGAAACCCACTTAAAATTCCCAAGAAAAAGTTCTGCAAGATACTGAAGGAAACAATTTTCAAAAAAAAAAAAGGACACCTACCACTTTTTCACATCTTTCTTTGCCAGTTTCTCAGGGAAGTTCACTCCTGTGGAGGGCATGTCCAGCACCACAGGTTTGGTGCCTGACAACAGTGTGTCATAGTCATCTGAGTCTGTATTGTTTGAACCCTTTTTAGTCAAAGCTTTCCAGCAAAGAGAGGCGACAAAGGCTTTCATGTAACATGCAGATGCCTCCTGAGGGAGTAAGAGACAAGGCATGTACTGAAACAGCACAGATTCACAGAGGGGGTCTTCTTTCAAGCTCTAAAGGAGATTACTGACCGAGGAGTTCCTCATCTTCTTGATCATGCTTGGAAGGTTGCTGAAATTCATCATCTCTTCTTTCTAAAAAAAAAAGAGAGAAAAAGGGGGAAGAGAGCTTTAAAATAAATACCAAAATCTGGAGTAACGTAGACAAATATCTGCCAGCTAGATGTGCTTTCTACCACTCAGTAAGTGCAACCACAGTGACTCTGGTCTGATGTGGCGATGTGCAGACCCTCTATAGGTCCTAAAAGATCACTTATGTGGATAAGGTGGTGGTCTTTGTTTGCATTCACACCATTTTATCCACATCACCAGGATGAGCTCGGCTAAGAGAGCCTCCACCAGGAACAACTGAATCCAGGATGTTCATGAAAGAAGTTAGAGGGGTGTCGGGTTGGTCCTTGTCTTCGTCCTTGTCTTCGTCCTTTCCAGGCACATCACTGGGCGATAAAAGAGAAGGAAACTGTGAAAGCTGGGTTTACATATGCAGTGGTGTCTTCAGTTCATTTATTTTATACTTTTGTAATGCCAACAACTTTAACCCTTGAAGCATCACCTGGGTTCATATTTAAACAACTAAAGCCAACACACAAACCACAGAGACAAACAGCAGTGATTCATCAGCATCATTACCTTCTCGCAAACACAGTTTTCAGCAGCCCCATCTGAGGCCTCGGGTATCCTGTTACACAAGAGGCCTCATATTTATTATCATCAGACAGTTCAAACACATTCAGGACTGGTCTGAGGATTTTACATGTCGAAGGTGCGGCTCATGTCATGACGGCTACTCATAATACTTCAAAATAATACTCAAACAAACACACAAGACATACTGGGATTGGGATTCAAACTGTGAACTTTGTATGTCTTACCTTTGTCCTGACACTTCTTCATCTGAAATAAAATGTAAACATATTATCTCGCAGGTAAATGGTGATATATTTTACCTTTTAAACAACTCAGCCAATATTACAAGGAAAATAGTTAATGTATAGATTTTGGGTGGTGGCTGGCAGCACCGGGTCAAGGCCGTGAGTGAAGCCTGTGACTGGACTATAGTCATGTGGTGGATACCAACCACTTTCAGGATTCTTTTAAAACTTACATTTATATAGGTAATAACCTTACATACATTATGATATGATATGATATGGTGTGATATGATATGATATTAATGATATGATATGATATGATATGATATGATATTAATGATATGATATGATATGATATGATATGATATGATATGATATGATATGATATGATATGATATTAATGATATGATATGATATTAATGATATGATATGATATGATATGATATGATATGATATTAATGATATGATATGATATGATATGATATGATATTAATGATATGATATGATATGATATGATATGATATGATATGATATTAATGATATGATATGATATGATATGATATGATATGATATGATATGATACGATACGATATAATTTAATATAAAATGATATAATATAAAATAATATAATATATCATAATATAAAAGTAAATTGAATACAATTCTCTCTGAACAGATATCATTGACACTCAGATACTGTTGACGACCATATGCTTAACAATATTTTGCATATGTTTCAGTCAGTTTCTATGCCCGGGACATTACATGGTGTGATTTTCAATGCAAATACCACCAGTGATTACATCTTTACACTTTCTATGGTTCTTCTAAATAAAAAGGTTAATGTTTCCACAACTCTGGCACAACTAAATCAAGGTGAAAGGAAAACTTTAATGTCTTTAACTTGAAATGTGGATAAGTAAAAAATAAAAAACAATCAATGTTTTTCACATTATTTTCTTCAATGCATCAAATCACACAAGAAGTTACATACCAGTGTTTTGGTCATGTATTTGAAGTCTTGTTTTTTTCCTTGAGTCCTGTCATGTTCCACGGCTGAACAGATAAAAATCAGTTATTATGGTATGACCCACAATGATGTGATGTTTAAGAGGAGGGATGTGTGTGATGTTGCTGCTGCTTACCAAGAGCTGCACAGGCCACAAAAAAGATTAAGAAGAATGTTCTTCCTTTTGGGGCCATGCTGAAAAAAAAAAACAGCCCACCCACCTGCTGAACAAAGAGATAAAATAAAGTCTGCATTAATATCAACAGGTGACTGGGATGTATTTTGTTGAAATTAGGTGTTGTGTACTCAAGCGTCATGGATCATTATGAAACATATCTCCATGTGAGCCACCAAACTTCCTCTTCAGAGATTTTGAGCTCATACTTCACTATAGTTACCATCTCTATCCTCCGTCCTTTGGGAGGCTCTAAAGGCTTTGGGGGATGACATGCTGTGAAAAACAGGCTCTGTGGATGTACATAATGTTCTGGGAAGAGCGTTGATTTTTTTCATAGCATCTCTCTCATTGTAGTACTCTCTTAAACATTTGCATGATGCATTTGTCTTCATTGAATTTGTTTCCTGTCATTTGACTTCTTGTTCAGATGTCCTGCACACTCAGAACAAGACACTGCTTTGGTATTGCACTGCCAAAATACTTTGTTTACTCCCAGGGTTGGAAATTGAGTGTGCAAGATACATAGACTTTAAGGCATAAAATATCTTAAAATTAGTATTTAAACACATGAAAACACATGAATACCTGTGCTGACAATAAAAACACCTAAGCTACCACCACACAACAAAGCTATAAACTTAATAACTTAACAGAATAACATTTTGATGCATGTTAGAATGGTATTTTACTTACAGAGTCTGACTCTTCCCTCTGGTGGAGATGAAGAAATGAAATGATTCAATCCAGGAATGATTCAAATTTTCAATCAGGATGTAGACCAACTGAAGATGTGCGTCTTGTTCCTCTGCCTCCCTCTCACATCTGAGGTGAGCTAGGTGGGTGGTTACCTGTCCTCTACTGAGGCAGAGCAGGTGCATGGCATTAAAACATCGCTGTGTTTGCATATGAGTGGAGAGAGACAGGGGTGTAGAGTTTTTTTAAATGTATGATGCAAGTGGTGCATTGTGGTGTCAAACACAGAGTAAATCTGACACAATGATACTCAATGCAGAGTTACAATACGAGCAATAAAGCGGAGAGTCTGGATTAGATAAACAGCTTTTCATTTATTCTGAAGATTTTTCTGACAGGATATAATTTTGTCTTTCCTTTTGAACATTATTTTAAATCCCAGCTGGAGATATTACATAAGGTCATAAAATCAAACCCATAAATCACAACGAAATACACAAACATCCACCAAAAAAGATAAACAAACAGAAAACCTTAATTCACTCTCTCCACTGGAAAATTGGCAAACATATAGCAGGCACTCGTGAAAAGCAAGCCCTGATGTGAAACAAAGCACCCATTAAAACAGTGATGTTGGTTTAGTGTTTGTTCTGTATGTCTTTTCTGTCCTGTCAATGAGGAGTAAATCTGACTACTCCCCTTTACATGGGCTCTGGAAAATAGCAAACATTTTTGTCTTTCTGATCATATCCTTGGGCCTCATCTATAAACATTGCATCCACACAAAACAAGGCCTTTGTGAACTATAAAAAACAAACTCTGATCCATGCACACTTACAGTTTGGAGGCAGGGGAAATGGCGACTCAGGTGGTGAGAGGGTGAACTGAACGGTTTTATCTCACTTTAAAATTCCCTCAAAGTGCAGAGGAAAAAATCAGACTTCATAACTCAATCATTGGATGTTACAATCGTGAGTGACATCAACAAATATTTAACAAGTACGCAGCACAGCATTTTTATCAGTATGCTCTAACTGTGCAGGAAAATATCCATGTTATAATTTTAAGCATCTATGAGGAGTTTCTAACTAGTTATGAAACAGACTAAGATGAATACTGATGCCTCTATGTGACTTATGGTAACAATATTCAGAATTTCTTTTTAGTTCACTTCTGATAAATTTATTTGGCCATTTAAAGATGGAATTTTTCATCACAAACTACAAGTACCTGACCACTTTAGGCACCAAAATCAGAGTAAATCAAAAGTTCTTTACTGGAGCTTTATTATATATTACCATCACACTAAAATCAATACTTTATAGATAGATGTTGGGGGTAATTTCTAATGACACAAAAATAAAACTTACTGTAGCTTCATCATCAATGAAGTTAAATAATATTTTGACAGGAGAGTTCACTCAATGCAGACTACAGATATCTGATGATTTTGGGCGGAGGAACATTTTGCATGCTTTGTATCTTCAGGAGTTTGTTCACTCATCAACCATTTATTTCACTCATTTGAGTCAGTCATGACAAACCCCCCTCTTATTTGCCTCTCGGAAAATGTTTTGATTGTGATCTGAACATCATGTTATCAGGTAAACAATTGTAACTTAAAAAGGCCCATCAGTGAGTAGTTATGAGCGGGGGAGACAAAAAGAAAAATCAGCGTTCTTGGTGGTGGATACGTTTCACTCCGTGCCAATCTTTCTATCCATTTTGGAGCTGATAACAACCTGAAGGTTTGGGTTGGTGAAGTGCTCTGAAAAAGACCATCAGAGCTGGTTTGTGGGTATAATCATTTTGATGTGTGTAAGTAGATAATTTCAATCAAACATTTAACAACTACTCCAACTGAAGTCCTTATTTCTTGTAGAGAGAATTTGATAAAATATTGCATTTATCTTCCTACTGCTAGCAAAGTCAACAACACAAAAGTACAGGTGCTTATAAAATCTATAAAAACTATTAAAAACACCATCAAGCTATTCCCCTATAAATTGTACATTTAATAAATCTAGCAGTGACAGCTTTTATCACTAAACAATATACATACAAGGGATTTTACTGAAACATAGGCTGTTCACTCAAAAGATTATACAGCTGACCATTCATGTGTGTAACTGTGCTCTCACCTGCAGCAAACTCCTGTATGTCAGTAGGTCTTTCCAGAAGCACATCTCTGTGAGGACAGCAAGGTGAAAACAATGAATAATATTCAGTATGACCTGTATGTCAAGATGATCAGTTCTTCATATACTCATCCTCTGAGGCAGATGATTAAAAATTAAAGGCTTTTGTTTCTTTTAAAGACATTGATTGGAAACTTGGTTGTATATCAGCAGCTTTTTGTTATTAAATTGAAAGTAAATTTGTGTATTCATGAATGCTGAAAGATTGTGTTCAGTTAAATATTGTAGAGGAGGGTGGGGTAAGATGAGACATTTTTCATATTTCAGATCACTACATCAAGGCAATCCTAGTGTATCTGCATATATTTTAAGATGTTGTGCATCCCTACAAACCAACAGAATGAGTGTAAACTGTCTTGATAATATAGCATGACAAAAAAAGTGGTCTTCTATGGTCAACTTATCCCGTGTATGGGGTAAGTTGACCATAGGAGCGGGGTAAGTTGAGCCGTATCTCTACTAACCCCCCCACTCTCCACCCCAGCCCTCCCTCACCTTCTCTCTCCCTAAATAACAGTCACATCTTCATATTCATGTGTATTTTTATCTATTATACACTATTCAACTGGTACAATAATTCTTTTTATTATTATTGCATATAACTGCTAAAAAGCTGTTTTGTAAAGAGACATTTTAACATGAGAAAGTCTTTAAGTGATTCAGAACATTCACAGCTGTATTTTTGAAAAGAAAAAGTAAAACATTTCAACAATCTGAACTGAAACTCTGATCCTCTCATCAGACTCCTTTACTGACCCCAGAACTACTATTATGACTTTATTAGTCCTCTAAGCTAAAATGGTGGACTTTTACACTAGGTTTCTGACCTCATGTTGTAGCTCATAGATACCACAGTTGATGTATAAAACAACTTTAAAATGATAAAACTTATGACAGAATAAATTCACTTTCAAGAGTAAAAAATGTTGTTGTTTTTTGAATAAATGTCTAACCCCTTCACCCATATGCTTCTTACCTTCACAGACTCCATGAATTGATGCCCATCTCCTAAATATTTGGTCACATGATCAATTTCAACAGGGGGTGGCTCAACTTACCCTTTGGCTCAACTTACCCCACTCTCCCCTATTGCACTCTAACTTGTTCAGCACTGAAATTAAAAAGTGTTTGGCCACTCCTTACATATTAAATGCTTACAGACTAAGTCAGATTTTTCCATCCTACATAAATAGTTTAAAAATTGAAGGTCAATAGAGCTACATCTAGGATAAAAAGCTGGTACAGTATCAAGTTGTGAAGCCTGGTAAAGACCTTAAGACATTTGCCTGTCAAACTCAAGTGAAACTCCCCAGTGACATGTTTGCATACCTGGATTATGATTGCCCTTCAACTCAAAACATTTTAAAGTAACCAAATGATCCGGCCTTTTATTTCCATATTGTTTTCTATCATAATTTGAACAATAAACAGCTCACGCACTAACGCACTCAAGAGCATCTTTATTGACCTGTAAAACCCGCAGACACCTTATTTACCTGACAGACACCCTGCACCTGTATTAAGACAAGAAGATGAGCTGACTAACCTCAGAAAGTTACCGATCAATATCTCCACCTCTGGATGTGACCTCAGATATCTCTCATTGTCGATTCTCGTTTTGATCTGTGAATCAAAAGACCTTTTTCAGCTTCCTTCCAAACAGCACTGTTAGCTCAGATGACGGGCTAGCATGTTAGCTCAGGTGTTACCTTAAACTCGCGGAGTTTCTCTTGCTGCTCAGCGCTTAAAACACCCACGTCCAGTTTGGTCAAACCACCTTTCCCAGCCATCATTTCCGTTCAGGTGAGGCTGAAAATACTTTATTTGGATACTGGTCACTTTACTTTTTAGACTTTGTGATAATTTTGCAGGCTTGGAGCTCAATTACAAACAGGAAACCGTCAACTGTTACTGACACAGCCTCGGCAGTCTTGTTACAGGCGTTACTATGGAAACGATCTCCTGCAGTTCACAGTTGTGTCCGTGTGGTGGCAGCATTACACAGGAAGAAAAAGTAAAAATGTTCTTGTTTTTTTGTATTATGGTGGCATTTCACTTGGTTACTGACTAGAAAAATTTAACACAAAAGCAAATGTGCAAAATTATAAAATTGTAGGTTCACGTTTTTACTCAGTTGCTTGCAGTGTTAAAGATAAAAATAAGCTTTGAGGCCTTAGAAACCCTGGTCCATTCTCATACAGTTATTTCCCAGTCATTGACAATGAAGTTATAGATTTTTTTTTCTCATTAACCCTATAACACTATCACTACATTTGGTGACACCATCACTATCGCCGGGTGGTTTTGACCCGAAATAATATACCCAAGAAAAAGTACTTGTCATCAAAATATATCAAAATAGGACAAAACATGACAAATTAAAGTATTTTTCTTTTATTTTTAACCGGAAGGGGGGGAAAGTGCCATGAGGGGACCATATAAAAATGCAACACAATTATTGAAATTAGGCATTCATGAACAAAAAATTCCTATATATGTGTGTTTATATATAAACTGTAAACTTAATTTCTTTTCCACCCATTCCTGGGGCATGTGAGTCCTCCCCTGGTGAAGACTCAGGGTCCTTGGCACAATAACAGCCGCAGGAGAGAGAACCAAATATTGCATATTTTGAGTGAGTAAAAATGAGCAGCTGACTAAAATATTTCTTATCACCATATGAATAACCTTGAAAATCACTACTTTGTGATAATCATTCATAACCACTGCACTAAATAAAGATAGCATGCAAATTCCAGGACCACTCTTTCTAACCTTATTCCCTACATGCAGCTATCAAATCCACCCAAACCCTCTATCACTATTGCCAGGTGAAAATCATCCGAATACGTGCCTGTAGGAAAAAGCAGGTTTTGGATCAGGGAAACAAATATGCCTTCAAAGATGTCAAAGGCAATGCTGAAGCTACCCAGAGACCCATGATATTCAGACAAATGCAACATAATGAAAATCACATAAACATGTTTGGTCGGGTGAAAATCAGCCGGCGATAGTGTTCTAGGGTTAATGTAAATTGTTTATGATCAAGACTGAGATAATGAAGCACTTTGAAAAACCTGGGAGTATTTCATGCCACAAAAGTCTAAAGTCACATCTTTTTATTTATTTATTTTATCCTGAAACCACAAACAGAACAACACAAAAGCAGTAAAACACATTCACATATAGGCCAAATGCTTGACAGCACAATTATTTTACAAACTTTTGAAGAAATAAGTGAAGAGTGGGGTTGAAGTATTTGGTAAAACTTCACAAAGTTATATAAAAACTGAAAATGAGGTGGTACAGTCGATATAGGCCTATAATCAAGCTTACATGTAACCTACAGTTATCTCTAATGCCAAAGACATGAGAGATTTGCTTAATAGCTTCAATAAAAAGGTATGAAGAGGTATTTAAGGTTAAGAACACACTCATACAGAGAGAGCGAGAGAAAGAGAAACTATGAAATAGTTCCTCGGTTTGCTTCCAACAGAGGAAAGTCATCTTTTGCCATCTGTATCTCTGTTTTTTCAGAAGTAAATATTTTTTTATTCTCCTCTCTGTCTGAACCTCACTCCTTTTGAAGAAAAAAGTAAGTTGTGTTGTTGAAATGCTGAGCTATCATCCTGTTATTAGGCCATTGTTCTAGTTCATCCTCTTCCTCTCCTTGTTCCTCTTCCACATCGCTTGATGAAGGTTCCTGGTAATGCAGAGGGTCAAAACTCCCCTCATCCTGCTCCTCTGGAGGAGCTGAAGCAGAGGTCTGAGGCTGAGGCAGGTCGCACTGGAAAACCACACTTAGTCTTTGTAGCTTGGATGTAAATCTGTCCTTGTGCCTGAAAGGAAAAAAAACACTTGTAAATAAGCTTGACAAAATGGACTGAACTCCAATGCACTGGCTGTTTCTCAACTCAACTCAACTCAACTCAACTCAACTCAACTCACTCAACTCACTCAACTCAACTCAACTCAACTCAACTCAGCTTAACTCAACTCAACTCAACTCAGCTTAACTCAACTCAACTCAACTCAGCTTAACTCAACTCAACTCAGCTCAACTCAGCTTAACTCAGCTTAACTCAGCTTAACTCAACTCAACTCAGCTTAAGTCAACTCAACTCAACTCAACTCACTCAACTCAGCTTAACTCAACTCAACTCAGCTCAACTCAGCTTTACTCAGCTTAACTAAACTCAGCTTAACTCAACTCAACTCAACTCAGCTTAACTCAACTCAGCTTAACTCAACTCAACTCAACTCAACTCAGCTCAACTCAGCTCAACTCAGCTTAACTCAACTCAACTCAACTCAGCTTAACTCAACTCAGTTTAACTCAACTCATCTTAACTCAACTCAGCTCAACTCAGCTCAACTCAGCTCAACTCAGCTTAACTCAACTCAACTCAACTCAACTCAGCTTAACTCAACTCAACTCAACTCAGCTTAACTCAACTCAACTCAACTCAGCTTAACTCAACTCAACTCAGCTTAACTCAACTCAACTCAACTCAACTCAACTCAACTCAACTCAACTCAACTCAACTCAGCTTAACTCAACTCAACTCAGCTTAACTCAACTCAACTCAGCTTAACTCAACTCAACTCAACTCAGCTCAACTCAACTCAACTCAACTCAGCTTAACTCAACTCAACTCAGCTTAACTCAACTCAACTCAACTCAACTCATCTTAACTCAGCTTAACTCAACTCAACTCAACTCAACTCACTCAACTCACTCAACTCAACTCAGCTTAACTCAACTCAGCTTAACTCAACTCAACTCAACTCAGCTTAACTCAAATCAACTCAAATCACTGTCCATCTTAAAACCCAATTTTGAGACGGTTGGCTTTTGATAGTCTGCTAAAATACCCAAGTTTATAGATGATTCCTTGCAATGCAACTGCAGGGGTCATTGACCTCTGACCTTTGCTGTAATTCAATAGGTTGGTCTCAAGTAAATTGAGACAAGTTTACAAGTCTGCTACAAGTTTGCTAACCGTAACTCAGGGAGATAAAAAGAGGACCGTCTGAGCTACTTTAAAACTAAACTAGTGATGTCGGCTAGAAGTAAGCGGTCTCTGTCACGTGCTTAGTGCCTTGTGCTATCATTAGCTGTGGTTTGTGGGAAGCTTTTAACTAATGAGAGATGTGTTCTGCTGTTCTAAAACAGCATCGGGGGAGTCTCCTTTTGTTAGACTATAATATCACAACAATGGTTTTGCTCACACTTAACATTGTGTAAATCTGTAAAGCTTTTAGAGGATTGCAGGGATAGGTAACATTTTCAATAGCTGTTTGAAATAGTTACTGTGCGTCTCATAAAACATCAAAAACTGTTTTTACATTTCACAGCCTCACTCCTGCCTCATATCCTCAAGTCACAAAACCTCAGCACCGCTCCTGTGCATTTACACACACACATACAGTATAACTACCTGAATATGTAGACAGCCAAAGTGACTGACAAGAGGGCGAATAAACCAGAGATCCACAGGAAGTGATAAGACAGCTCTGGTTCACTGGGCACAGGGTCACCAACTGCAGAAAAAGAGGGGGACAGTGGCACAAATCCAAATCAATAATAAATGTGCAAGTGTAAGTTTGGGTTGGACGAAACGTGTGTGCATGATAGGTGTGTTGAGCCATGTTTCCTGTGGCTTGTGTCGTTGTTCAGCTCCAGTTATTATGATGACATGGCTTCCTGTGAAAACCCAGAGGGGCAGGGGGGATTTTAGCCCCAACAACATTACAGAGTTCCCTTTATTATACTTGTTTTCTACTGTTTCCCTCATGACACAAACACACACAACAAATTAATGCTAATATTTGTGTGTGTGTGTGTGTGTGTTTTTTTTTTTCTTGTTGTCTTACCTTCCATCACATCAACGTCTGCACCAGAGCCTTCTGGATAAGGTGGGAACTGCAAGTTAGAGAGGGTTCATTAAAACTGGGTAAGACACTAGAGTGTCGGTAGCAATAAAACGGTATGAAGTGCAAGTGTTAGACTCCTACCATCGTAGTCGTGAGCGGCGATTCTGATGGTGCTGAGGAGAGACAACCATAAATGTTATGAACACTTTAAAATCAGCTAAGTGCATCTTAAACATTGAAACACCCCCCTTCTCCCCACAAACAAACAAATAAAGATAAAAAGACCAGTGTTTCCAGTTTATGGTCTGACTTTTACTGGGGATTCGAAGGTAGCAGCCATGGAAATCAGCATAACCAACTTAACATGTCATTTATAAATATATAGACTGTATGTTGCCTTTTTAAAAATGTCACAGAACATAGAAAACCCGACCAACTCAAAATTGGTGAAGGTTTTGTACTATTTAAAATTCAAGTAATGCAGAGAAAGGGTGAAGTTTATGTAACTGGTTCATTAAAAATATCTCTAAAACAAAACAAGACACAGAGTCCCTGTCTAATGTTCCTTGGTATTAAATGCTGAGCTTGCAAGTGATTTCATCCTGTTTTTCTCTGTGGTGTTTGATTTATAAAGCCAATTTGGTCAGAGGTCTTGCCTAAGACTCTAAATAGAGGAGCTATTGCAGATATGCTAATTGACAAGCTGCGGCTCTAGTTCTGTTTTTTTTTTTTTTTTTCTCAGAAGCTTTTATTTTTAACACATACACTTAAATGTTCACAGGAAATAAGAGGGGAGAGCAAAGTTGATGACTCGAGACACAAGTTTCCGGCTGGTTTCTGAGTGAGGAAGTTGGGATGATATGGTCGGCTCCCTATTTGTACAGACCACCAGAAGGCTCCTTAAACCAATAATTAGATTTTAAGGAGATGAACTAATATTTCATTTTAAATGAGGTCTATTACACTGAGCAGAAAAAGTTGCTGGATGGAGTTTATTATATCTCTATGAGCCTTTATAGATGGATGGATGGATAGATAGATAGATAGATAGATAGATAGATACTTTATTAATCCCAGTTGGGAAATTCAGGGGTCGCGTCACTCACAGACTCATACACAGTACACTAACAACAACAACAACAACTGCACCTCTGCAGACCAGCCAAGTAGAGTAAAATCTGTTAAAACCAGTATAAAAAAACTGCAATAAATGCAGTAGTACTAGTATCTAGTGCTGAGGTGCACAGGTCCTCGACTCAGGTTTTGTTAAACAGTCTAATGGCTGCTGAAAGAAAATACTGTTTTGTGCACTATACATATTGTAGTCTGAAAGGAACAAAAACACAACTAAAAATAGAAAAGTTACGTATGTTTGAGAGAACATCCATGTATGCAGCTTCTTTAACACCTAGGAAACTGGACACCGGCCTCCATAGTTGTCATGACAACCTTTGTTGGCGTCCAGAAAGATCATGCTGCACAGAGCTAATTAAGTCTGAGGGTTTAACTGCCCGTTTCATTTACATCACACCCATGTCCTTGAAAGATGGCTATTCAATGTAATCGAATGTTCCTTTGTGATGAGCGTCTTTATACATCGAACAGTATTTACCTGTCCAGCTGCATGCATTCACAGGTAGACTCCAGTCACTCCACAGACCATCGAATTCCTCAGTAGCTCTGAGCTGTATCACGTATTCAACACCTGGCATTGCATCAGTGATAGTGAAGTGTTGATTTTTCTTTATTGTGTGTCTCTGTGCAGGAATAAACAACCAGATGAACACAATCAGACTGCCATAACCTGAGGTAGCAGGGTTTTTCTTGTTTATCTGAAGTTAATAGGATGCTCTGAAACTCACAAAGTAAACTTAATGGGTTTACGAAGCATGTTCTGTCTTATCAATTTTTAAACCCAGCATCCACATTTTTTCAACATACCTGCTCATAGATCGAAGAAGACATGCGAGGTCTATATTTGATCTCATATTTGAGCTCATAATGGCTGTCTTGAGACTTCCAGGACTTTGGGTAAGTCCAAATGACCTTTAACCTTGTCTCCTGTCCCGTTTCCTGCTGGACTGTCACATGTGACGGTGGCTCAGGCTGCACTGTATCGAGAGGAGAAAATCAACATCCAACGCAGCTTTTCATTTCTCTCGCAGAAAGTGGACACACACCCCTCAACACACTCACTCACAGATGCCCAGTGGGGTGAAGTGCTTCAGGTTGCTGGTGGTGTTGCCTGCAATGCTCGTAACACACAGGTACGCCCTATGATGGGTTCTCAGCTCGTCCTCATCGTAGTCCAGAGCACACCAACAGCGGGAGAGGCGAGGTGAATATGAGCACTTGATGCGACGAAACAGCTCTGACTCTCTGCCTCTTATAAAAGAAAAAAAAACAATGATAAAACAGTCCTTCAGTGTGTCTAACTTTGTTTGCTTTGGCTAGTTTTACCTTTATAGCCCTACTTTTAGTGATGCAGAATGTGGATTTGTTATTCATTTTGGACTCAAAGGGGGTTTAGTTCACTCCCTTTCCCTTTATCTGTCAACCCATAAATAGTGATTACCTGTAAAAATAAAATCAACTTTCTATGACTTTCTTTCAGCAATAAACTTAGATGATAAGCTGAACATTTACTATAAAGAAGTGTGTAAACTTCTAAACTTTAAAAAAAAATCTAGGTTTGGGTTGGCAAATGCTTCCGTTTATGCAATAATGATTCAGTATGACTTTTATTTCTACAAATCTTTGAAAAAAAAAACTGTGTTCTGCTTTCACATCTATTTACGAAGAGAACACAGACACGTACCCAGTCTGAAGGGTTGTTAACATTTCTTTATGTCAGTTTTTTTTTTAAATAAACCCCAAACAGTCTGTGTCAGCAAAATTTTTGTAGCTACATTTCCAACAAGGTAAAGACCAGATAGATTTTTGACTGTGATCAGTATAAAGAGTCCAGTCCAGATATAATACAGATTACTTTGTGAAAAGTTGAGCTCAAGAAATTGAGACTGCACAAATCCAACCCTACCCTTTTCATCAACACTAACATTACTGTCAAAATTTCAGCTAATTTTCTAGCATATGCATAAGTCGGTGTGATTGTGTTTTTGCTTTTTTACAAAGATAGCATAGCTCGTGAGAGAAACATCATGGGGAAAGAATATTACTTATGTACACAAGATGAGAATGGCCATGGACGTTTTTAATGCAGTTACCTCGTGAGCTTTCTGATAGGGCTTTAAATGATTGATAGACTTTATCCTGTGTTTTATCATCAAACACATTTCACTATCTTGGCACCACACATACATGATTGATAAGGAAGTTATACTGTTAATACCTGTCCTCACCTTTTACTTAATAAGAGATAACAATCAGGGATTATGGTGATGGCCTTGCGAGGAGTCCACTCACAGCGAAGCTTACTGCTGGGAGACCTTTTGTAGCAGGACAGTGTGGGAGTCTCTGGGGGATCTAATGCTCACATACATTAAAGAGTATTAGTTATTCATTGAGTCATACACAGAATTTAAAACTTCAATTCCACCTTGAAGTCATATCAACCACCACCTCATTTGTAGATTCAGATTCATAATAACAGACTTCTATTTTCATAAAAGGCTAAAGACACTTTCTAAGTGACGGAAACAATATTCTCTGATATTAAAGTTGATCAATCATAGTTTCAAATAGAGGAAAAGAAGCAAATATGGCAAAATGAAAATGTCTCGCTGCAAAAATTTCTACAAAAAAGACAGAAAAAGTTTATATACTTAGTTATGAAAAAGTTAAGCTCTTGCTGGATTTCTAATGTTGCTTTAAATCATTGCAGGCTTATCTAATAGTAAACTGAGTGCATCACAAGAAACACACAGCCTCAGACAGATGTATGATTAGAAACATAAACTTAATACTGAGAGTCAGAATGTAAGCCATCATTAACTTTACATCTATGACAACTAATGTTAACTTTTGATAGATTTAAAGAACAATAAACCCAGGAGTCACTTCACATTGACTTGGAGCTTTTCCACTGTTTTTACTCACCTGCAATTATAACTCTTATGGAGAACGTCTGTCTGCCTTTGTCGTAACACGTGTACTTCCCAGAGTCTGTCACTCTCACTGACGACAGAAACAGTGTAGCCCCTCGCTCTTCAACCACCATCTCTTCCCAGTCTCTGTCGCCTTTTTCCACTGACTTTCCATTCCACTTCCACTGGTACATCATTTTTACAGCTCTGGTCACCCTCCTGTCTTCCTCTCCACCTTCTTCTTCTTCTTCTTCTTCTTCTCCCTCATCATCTCTCTCCTCCCAGTTGTATTCATCCTTTAGCAGCCTGTTCACATCACTTTTCTGGGCCTTGTGAGTAATGGGAGAAGCTGTGTATCCTTCATGCGTGTGTGTTATGATTCTGTTTTCTTCGGCCTCTGCAGGGTTGGTGTGATACTTCTCATCACTTTTAATGAAAGCTCCTGTGTGCTTTGTTATGTTTACAAGGGTTGGGGTTTCACCTGAAGGAATCCGTCGTTTGCTGGTGTTTGGGCCGATTGATGCCACTCTGACTTGAACTCCATCCACCTTTACCTGACCACTGCAGGTCAGGAGTAACTTACTGCCTGGAGACACAACCAGCAAACCTGGGGGAGGCTCTGCACAGTCAAACAGACAACAGAAACACAATTTATCAAGTGTTATTGATCATTGGCTTTGAGATTTGGCACTGGTTGACAAAGCAGAGTACACATAGTACTCAACATTGCGTCACAAAAAGTACCAACTCTTTCTTGAAACTTCCTCTTTTGCTGTTTCTAGTCTTCTCTGTGTTTTTTTTTTCTGTCCCAAATCACGCACTCTTTTTTTCACCTCATTCTTATTCATTTTTCTGGTAGACCCCAATTATCATAATGTTTGTGCTCAAAACATGTAGGTCATAATGTGACTCATCTACTACAGCTCATTGTGTTTGAACAGCTCCCTTGTTTGGACTTGGCTGCTTGAAGTCAAAAGTCCAATGACGTTGTGTAGTCAAAAGAAACTTTCTCTCTGCTTCCCCAGTTTTTCCCGTCCACGCTGGAAATACAAAGTCTAGAGATGAACAACATGTAATGCTTTTCGGTTTGTATGTTGATTATTTGTAAAATAGGGACTTGAACCTGTGTGTAAATAATTTGATTAGGTGGCGTCCCTGGAGCCACACAACCACCAAACCTTCCTCCAGCACTTTTAGTTCGGAACATCAAACACGACCAAGGTTAAAATCACCTTTCATGGTCAAATCTGATTGGTTTATAGAAGATGGCAGCACGTTTGTACATGCTGAGACATTTATACAAACAGTAGTGGCTGTTTGTTCACAGTGGAAATAGACAAAACCCTCAGTGGAGTAAAACTGGCATTTCTGAAACTGTAAAATAAGAACTCAGTGCTAGAGAAGGCTGTACCTATATCCAGCATAACTTATCATATAACATATCATGAATCCTCCTTGAATTAGTCGCCACCCCAAAATCCTACAGTATGACTACTTGCCTTTTCAGAGGTGGGACTTCTGATACAATCCACTATTTGGGCTGTGCAACAACAGGCTGTATTTACATAAGGCACATTTTCTTTTACCTAGTATGTTGGCTCAAAGAAAATCACCTTTCACAACAATTTCCAAGGAAAGCTGTACAGGAGAGTAAATCAGTCTACCAAAAATGCTTTAGCACACCTTATTTTGACCCCTTATCACTCTTGGCAATCATGACTCCCGCTGTCAGTTCAAGAGGAATGAACACTGCAGTGACACAATTAATTTATTGCACAAAAACAACGACTGAGGCGGAGCTATGATGCAAAGAGTTATAAGGGTTGTCCTTTTCCTCTTTTTGGGGAGTTTGCATGAATTTGTTTGTGAATTTTCAAACATTTAAAAATTGTGATTTTGGAAAACAGTTTCTTTTCGAGTCTTTGGAGAAATAACCTTTAAAGATTTAGGGTATGTTGCCTCTGTTGTGTTACATGAAAGTTAAAGAAAAACTCAGAAATGTTGCTCTTGTATAATTCTTTGTTAGTTTTTATGTGGTGAAGACAAAAAGTAAAAAAAAAGATATTTGTTCCTGTGTGTGTGTATCAGTAGCCGAGTCGACCAGCCATCGTCAAGGCGGTGTACGTCCTTGCTTGTTAAAAAACCTGTAAGGTCCCTACAGAGTTCTTTAGGGTTCAATGAATCAGAACCTGTTTATTATTCACCACCTTCCTCTGGGCTATAACGACTGATGCAAAGCTTTTAATGTACATAACATCAACTAGCCTCAAGTGCACCTAGCACTCATCTTCAATATTTAAAGGTAGAGATCACAAAAAGCTACCTAAAATCTAACTTAAACATTTGTTTTTGCCCTAAAGCTCACAACTATTTCTGTTGTCTCAAAAGTCAGAAAGTCCTGGTCTAATCCTGGACTGAACTCCTCCAGAGCTGCATCTGCACCTACTTCTGCACGCATGAAAAAAACATTTCGAGAGCTTTAGAAACTCATAAAAATAGGCTTATTCATCCAAACCAAAACATCTGTATCACTTTAAAGTTTTGACTTTTCTCTCTAGTCAGGTTCATATTTTATTGATGTCGGATTTGGTTTTTAGGTTGTCTTTCTTTAAAAACTCATTATTATGGTCTCATCAAAATCAAAGCCTACTTGTATCAGGCTTATATATTGTGAATAAAATATTTCTCTAAAATAAATGTAAAAAACTTGCTTTCTCAAAGGATCTGCACATATTCTTTTACACATATTTGTATCATATTTTGAAATATGTAATGTTATAATCATCTAAACTATTTTCTATGACATTTGAATTGACTTTAATGTGAAATGTGTTGCATTAACCTACAGTGTGCTCGGTGTGAGTTGCACTAAGCTGAAACTGAAATAAAAACACGCTGCAACTGTTTGAGCTGCCTGCTGTGATTTATGGTTTATCTTTGGTCCAATAAAGAAGATTCGTGGTAATTATCAAAGGTTTGAAAACTTACAGGCATAAATCTGCTGCTCTTTCCAACAATTGTCATGAAATAAAGTTCACACTCTCGTGAAAAAGGACATAAGTCGCGTCTGTCCCTGATCAGACTCGTGGCTGCTCGTTTTTGACATCTTCACAGATCTTACACACTCATAAAGTGAAATCTAGTGGCCCAACTGGAGTGAGATCTTACCTTTTCTGGGGCAGGTTCCGTCGAAAATGCTGTGAACTGGTTTAGCGCAAAGAACAAACAGCAAAGGGAGAAAAATCAGCATTTTGCCAACGTCCCCCCTCTTACACACTCTTCATAATATCTCTGACATGCAAATGTCAATAGTTGAGAATAGTTGAGACCCGCATCAACTTTTTTTTTCTCGCAAAAATAATGAACAACCCTCCTGTAGCCTGTAGCTACGGGAGACAAGAGTGACTGTCTGACTCTGACAGGGGGTTTAAAGCTGAGACCGGCTTCCTCTGGCAAATGTCCGTAAGACCCGTTATTGTGAAATCCCAGGTCTCTTCCCCTTGTTGAGGCCGTTACACAGAGAGACTCCTCCTCACAGGCAAAATATTAAAAAACTCCCATACAGCCGGATACAAGCCTTGCTTTTGATATACTCGTTTTAAAACTTGTTACCCTGGATTTCTTACATTTATAAATCATATACAGTACAGGCCAAAAGTTTGGACACACCTCCTCATTCAATGCATTTTCTTTATTCTCACTACTATTTAAATTGTTGACTGTCAGTGAAGGCATCAAAACTCTGAATGAACATGTGGAATCATGTGCTTAAGAAAAAAGTGTGAAACAACTAAAAACATGTTTTATATTTTAGATTCCTCAAAGTAGCCCAATGAGCTCAATGAGCTTCATGAGGTAGTCATGAAATGGTTTTTACTCCACAGGTGTGCTTTGTCAGGGTTACTTCGTCACTACGTACTTCTGTCATCAAGGGTGGTTGCTTTAAAGAAACTAGAATACAAAACATGTTTTCAGTTATTTCACACTTTTTTTATAAGTACAAAATTCCACATGTGTTAATTCATAGTTTTGATGCCTTCAGTGATAATCTACAATGTAAATAGTCATATAAAAAATAAAGAAAAGACATTGAATGAGAAGGTGTGTCCAGACTTTTGGCCTGTACTTAATATAGTTATATAATTATTAGAATAAGTGGCATTAGTTGGTTTCTTATTATATGTAGTGTTTTGTCTTCTATATATACAGTAGTGAATCATGACTCTGAAATAAAGTTTTGAACTGAGTCAAATAAAAAAATTGTCAATCCTATGATTTACGATTTCATCTGGCAAACATGTTTTTTTTTCAAAGTGATTTACATTTGAGAGTAAATACAACACAAGAAACTGAATCTAATTAGGACCAGGAGACTTTAAAAAACTGTTAATTGTATAAAGTCGTTGGTGTTGTTTATAGAACCAAAAAGAGGTCAAGCTATTTCATATGTACTTTACCTCAGTTCCAACACATAGTATTTATTTGTTGTACACGCTTGGGTTTCTTTGCTCGAAATGAAATAGGAAAGTGTTTTCTCTCCTTTATTTCTACTTACAGTCTAATTTTTGCACATTCACTGTTTTTTTTTTCATACTTTTTTTTTCATAGTTTTGTTGAGTTATTTCATAAAAAAACATTTTTCACTCTTGAAAGTGAATTTAGTCTGTCATCAGTTTTATAAGAATTGTGTTCAGACCAAAAAAGATCATTTAAAATGTGTTTTATACATCAATTGTGGTATCTATGAGCTACAACATGAGGTCAAAAACCTAGCATCAAAGTCCACCATTTTAGCTCAGAGGACTAATAAAGTCATAATAGTAGTTCTGGGGTAAGTAAAGAAGTCTGATGAGAGAATCAGAGTTTCAGTTCAGATTGTTGAAATGTGTTACTTTTTCTTTTCAAAAATACAGCTGTGAATGTTCTGAATCACTTAAAGTCATTCTCATGTTAAAATGACTTTTTACAAAACAGCTTTTTACCAGTTATATGCAATAATAATAAAAAGATTATTGTACCAGTTATATAGTGTATAATAGATTAAAATCTGACTATCTAACTTAATTATTATCTCACCTCAGTCTGGGTCTGGAGTCAGGATTTAACAGGAGCCATTTTGAAACAAGTGGAGGTAACAAAGACACACACACAGAAAAAATCATTCGCATCTTGGCATTGTTAAGGCATGATTATCCCCAAACTCCTTCAATCTTTATTCATGGACAAATAAAACCGTAAAGCACTTTCCTGGGAGCTACAGTGTGTTTACAATATGAATCAGCACATTGTTCACATAAAATAACATGTACTGTATGACCAAGGATTAGACCATCTTTTGCTGTTCAATACTTCTGGGTTTTTCTTTCCAGAGTTTCCTCCAGGTGTAATTCGAAGGTAACTCTTCTTTTCACAAGTTTTTAGAGTCTGTAACAGCGTGTGACGTCACATTTTGAGTAACCTGATCCGGCCCTTTGTCAGACCAAAAAGAGGAAAAACACTGAGAGATTACAATAAGGTGCAACTCAGTCCGAACATTTTAAAACACATCAATATGATGCAAAATAGAAAAAAAACATACATTTAAAATTGAGGTATAACAAGTAAGACAAAAGATCAATGTGGAACAAAGGGACCACTAAGTCCTTCAACAGTCTTGCTGTGCTCTGTAACTTAAAGTAACGTTCTCACTGAGAACTATAGTCAACACAGATGCTTGAAGATAGCTTTAAAAAAAACGGCACCTCACAGGTTAAAAGTTCTGTTATTCTGCTTATTCATTCAACCAATCGTCGATTCAGATGTAGCAAAACTTGAAAAGACAAGTGGACACAGTCATCTAGATCATAAATAAAGAGTAACCTTGACTAATTTGAGCTTGCTGCTTTTTGTCTGCTAAATTGTTTGAAATAGTCGCTTGAAACATTCTTGTAGGTCAGTAAACCGGCTGCTTTCACTCTGTAACAACACCGTAAATTACACTTTAAGACACAACAGTTGACACGTGTTGTGAGCACGCTTATTTCACGGGTAAATCCCAGGTCCTTACTGGCAATCAATGACTTAGCGATCTATTAAAAAAGTTTTAGCTGGGTATTAGAGAGAAGAGCACAGTGTCGGTAGATTTTAATACAACAGTCAAAGAGCTCTCAGTCTGGCTCCAGAAAAGCACACAACTCATCCTGTGTGTGATCGACATTGGTGACCAAGTCTATTCATGTCCAAGATTTGCCTCCATCTGGTTGATATCCTTGGCTGGAGAAGCTTGGTTGTTGGAGGTAACGGCACGAGCCCTCCAACCAAACAGAGCTTCCTATTGGAAAGAGGAGGACCAAACATTAAGTCCATGCGTATGGTTTCAAATGGGATATAATGTAAAAGGGGGACAAAAGTAGCTCACCTGCACAGTACCCAGAGTGATTGTCCAGCCTCCAGGTGAGTCTCCCCCGTGAGCTCTCACTGCTGTTGCTGTGAGGACACCAACACAGGGTGTCTGAGATACGGGGTCTTCTGAATCAGATGCTGGAGCTGGTCTGGTTTGTGCAGATGGAGTGAGAACCGTCTGTGATTTTTGGGCTGTTGCTGTGCCAGTTTCCTCCTCGATGGGTGTGTCTTGTGAGCCACCAAGGACAGAGGAGGAGTTTGAGAGCGGTGGAGCTGACCCAGATACACTACTGGGAGCTGGGCTGCTCTCACCAGAGGCACTGGGAGGAGTGTGAGTGTGTTTTTTCCTGCGGAGTGTGTCGATCCAGCTGGAGCTGTGTCTGGAAGCAAAGGTGGCCAGGGCCAGAGACGAGAGCCGCATGTTCTTCCCTGAGGTGATCAGCTCTCCAAATCCTTCCTGGTGAGCGAAAGCGTAGCCTGACCTCCTGGAACCACCACGAGCACCCAGACGGCCCTCTGACACACTATTGGTGCCACGCCATCCCCTTTCCACGCCACGACTTACAGGCTTTCTCTTCTTCTGGTGCACGAGCTGAGTGTAACGCACCTACAGAGGGAACAGAGAAGAGAGTTACCAAATGCCCCACTTTGCTAATATAAATGAAGCACTATGTCTTACTGTGTTATCTCATGTGGCAAAGGGGACACTAGATGATTCTTAGCCATCATTTGAGCTTATTCCCAGCATATAAACCAGTACAAGCAGAGTTCACAAGCTAATTTACAGAAGTAACTTTTCCCCTTTTTTCCCGCCTTGATTATTTTAGGTTAGACCGAGAGAACAAGCTCCCACAAAGGGGATTTTTTTTGAGCCTTTCATTGTTATATTCTCTGTTTTACTCAAATGTATACCCAGAATAGCAACACGCAACAGAAACTGCAACCCCATCAAAAAAAGGAACTTTGTCACACTACTTTGACTGCCGCTTCAGTTGGATGCAGCAAGTTAGAGACACTCTGACTCACAAGGCTACACACTGAGCTTTCACCCGTGCACTAAAAACTGCTAGGGTCATCTGGACACACTAGAGTCAATATTTGCAGAGTGTTTGCGGTGCATCAGGGCTCTGGTGTTAAGCATAAACCCATTTACTTGAATTAACTGTATGCATGCATGCATGCACTTAACCATGAGGCTGAGATTTGTTTCCGACTGACATGTTAGGAAGATGTTGCAATGAAGAGGATGAACACATACGTGTTTGCGTGTGTTTTCTCACCGTGTCTGAAAGCTGAGGCTTAAGGTCCACCTTGAGAAAGCGGAATGCCAAAACTGGAACTATGCATATTGCTGTTGCCAGTGCAATAGTTAACCACACGACAGGTTGCAACAACGTGATCTGAGCACTACCTGTGCTTACAAATACACAGAAAACAGACAAAAACAAAAAACGTGAGAAAATTTATTTGAGGAACTTGGAGTATTTATTACAACACAAACATCTTCAGAGATCTCTAAAATATGTGCTTGGGATAACAGTGGCAGATCAGAGTCCAACAAGTATACTAATGAGTCATGTGTCACAATTAAGCTTTTGACATCTACTTGTATAAGGGAATAGTTCATAAATGTTTAAATAGTTGAATTTTAATATTGGTTTTTGTTTTAGGTTTCCCTGATCCAACCTTCATACACTTATTTTAAACCCACTGTAACGGCCAAATAGTTGTAAAGCAACTTTATCTTAAGTTCTCAACACCATCTGGAGTAAGGGTAGGAGAATAGATTGATTCACATAAGTATCGCGATTTTTTGTTTTACAATTTTTTAATCAATCTTTATGTTCAATTTTATGTTTTTTAAATTCAAGAATATATCTTAAAACCTGACTAACATGTGATGTGTACTTTTTTGGGGAAATATGGTTTCTGGAATAGTCAGTAGACAATCATAAACTTTCAACTGTTTCACTAGTGTTAAAATTGCAGACTAAAAATCGGGGAAATCGACAATATCGTAGAATCGCGATTTAAATCGACGAGGCATCCAAAAAATCGTAGAAGAATCGAATCGGGAGAAAAGCATATCGTCCCTGTCCTGATCTGTAGTATTTACTTTCAGTATCATCAGCAATATTCCTCTTTTTTGCTTTATCTGAAGATTTTTCTATTTTCTTCTCAGTTTTATCTCATCTCTTCTTTTCCTGCAGTGTCTAGTGGTACCATAAATTTTCTTCTTTTTTCACTTTGTAATATGAACTGTAACAAATGGCTCTAGTGTATGTGTGTGTCTGTATGAGTATGCATATCAACAGACAGGAAATGAGTGGGACCGACCTATGAAGCTGAACTGGTTGGGGAAGATCCTGAAGAGGGTCTGACTGTGCAGAGCGATCATGATGGCAAAGAAGCAGCCAAGAGAGCCCCACACACAAATGTGGTTGATGACCGTCCAGAAACCCGTGTCGAGAGCAATCTAGAAGACACACACACAAATGAGAGACAGCAGAGGATCATCGTGAATGAACAACGGTGAAACAAAAGTGCAAGAAGTTACATGGTTTGAAGTAAACTCAGAATTCACTCACCTGCACACTCACCACAATGACCAGAGCTGTTGCCGTGGTGACTGCAAAGGTCTGGTAATCAGCGAGGGGCACACCGGTGCTCTGGGTGGCGTCTGACAGAACAGCACACGGGACAAAAAACAGCACCACTGATGTGTAGATGCCCTGCGCGATGCATATGAAGAACTCTCTCTTGTTGAAGAGGAGATTGAGCTGCCCGGGCTCATACAGTTTAGGATACTCCAGACTCCTCTGGTCAGGAACATCCTGCAGAAAGAGGGAGAGGAGTGAGCGAGGGTGAGTCGTAACCATGGAAATCTATCTATCTATCTATCTATCTATCTATCTATCTATCTATCTATCTATCTAGTTATCTTCTGTACTTCACTTTGAAATAAAAACGTTGTACCTAAGATTGTGAGGTAATGAATAAACAGAAAAGGATAAAACTACCAGACGTTTCCTTGAATTTGAGCCACAGACGCAAAATTACATCTTCATGAATGTTAAACTTTATCTTCAAAAATATCTAGTACTTTTCTTGCTCCAGAATAACCCCATCTCTATCGTTTTTATCTTTTATCTTGCATCCCTCTGATCTTTGACAAATTTATAGCATGTGTGATCATCATTCAAACAGACCTGATCAAATATCCCCATGGCCAGCACAGGGAGGGAGGTATAGACAATGTTGTAGAGAGTGATGAAGTACTGATCATAAACTGTCTGCAAGAAAGAGAAGACGGACATATAAGATGAAGAAAATGTGAAAACGGTTACTTCACCCTCTCTACTCCTGACTTTGACAGCAAATATATCATCATGACATCCACCCTCTGACCTGTGCAGAAAAGCCACAGAAGAAGCCGAACCAGAAGTGCACCATGGTGAAGGCAAAGTTCTTGTAGAAGAAGTAGCAGAGGAATCTGCACATGCGCAAGTAAGACCAGCGGCCATGTACCAGCAGGAGGCGCTGCAGAAAACGAAACTGGGAGAAGGAGTAGTCGCTGGCCAGAACAGCCTGAATCCCTTCCTGACCTGAGATACCGACTCCAATATGAGCACCTGTTAGAAATAACAACAGGGAGGAAAGTGAAAAGTGATTCAAATATGAAATTTCATTCACCCCTGTGCGATGAAGATTGCATTTATACTTGTTTCCGGGCGAGTCCATTGCGTCACCCCGCAGCAGTCGATGGACTCGCCCGGAGGTCTCTGTACAAACAAGCGGCTGCTGGAAGAGAGTGGGTGAGTTGTGTTTAGTCTCTTTGCTAAAGAAATCAGGCAAAGTTAAAAAGATGTTTGGTGGCAAGTACTGTGGCTGGGACCCTATATGTACTATTGATGAAGTTAGGTGTTGTTCTGAGCATTATTTGTGGCTATAGAGTGGTGTTCTGGTTGAGTGTGTGGCTCTCTGTATTGCTATCATGCAGTCATTACAAAAGTTGGTATAACTAGAGAAGCAAGCGGTCGGCAACATTCATCTCTCGAGTTGAATGTGTGAGTAAAAAATCTGGAGTAGTGAGTCTTTAGATTTGTTTTTCACAGGAAGTGATCGACCCCACCCTGTCAGGTCCTCCACTTCTGCTCAGCTCTGAACCTCTTGCATAAAAACATGTAAGAAATTAAGCCATCTCGTGCACGGAAAATGCACTTGTCCCTATGACGTTAACAGACAGTCGTGTAAGATGACTCAAAACTTTCAAAACTCTGAATATTACAAACACAGAGGGAAGCAGAACCCCGGGGTTAATAGCTGAGCAAACAGTTTTGTCCTTTGGTTTCCCTTACAGCAGCTTTAAGCAAACAAAAATCTAACCTTAAACAGCTGAAGGACAGAGAGTCTGTTTAACCTTTGACCACCTTTAGACTTAATGTTGTATGCTTTGAGTTAAAATCTAACAATCCACGTTTTTTTATTCCTGCACTATTTCAATTAAACTGGGTTCACGTCAAAGTTATTTTTAATCACACCTTCTCAAATTTTACCTCAGCACTTATGTTTGTTCTGAATCTTTTGGTGTCTTTACTACACATTCGTTGATATCACTTCAAACAGAGACTGTTTACACAGTCTGAGGTTAGTTGAGAGGCCAGTGGCATGCTCTCAGCGTTGGAGCTGCCAAGCAACCAGTTCCTGACTGGATGAGGACATCGCATGTACTGCAACACACATTTCCCCACAGCTTTCATCACTATGAACATCATGTAGATAAACAACCTCTTCTCTACGTCTGCTGAGGATCTGTTTAAGATAGGTGGACCCACATGGCAACCGATACTCCTCTTTTTTTCTTCTTTCTAATCTATTCACTACCCCGCCTCCTTCCCAGAACCAATCTCCTTCTCGCGTTCATGCTTGACTACTCACTTTTGATCATGCTAACATCGTTCGCTCCGTCTCCTATAGCCAAGGTGACGGCCTTCTTGTGTTTCTTTATGAGCTCCACCACCTGAGCTTTTTGCAGCGGGGTCACTCTGCAGCAGATCACAGCTTTGCACGCACACGCTGTCGACACAAACTCCGCCTCCATGTCTGCCTCCAGTGCATGGGCCTACAGGAGTTCAGGGAAGAGAATAAACAAGTTTGAGGGTTAATCCAACAGGGTCAGAGTTACAGCTGTGGAAGGCACATACTGCAATAGAGAATATGTGTTTTGCAAATTGCACATTCCTGGCAGCTCACAATTTCCTGACAGTTGACAGTTTAACTCTCAGCAGCCTGGACTGTACATGTGTGTGTGTCTGTTATTCATACCAGGCTGTGGCCGTTGATTACAAGGGCAAACTCTCCAGAGATGCTGTCCATGAGGTATGAGGGAGGTGGAGTAGGAGGAGGTGGCGGTGGCGGTGGGGAAGACGGAGGACACCCCAGCTGTTTCCCTCCAGCATCACCTCCTTCTTGTCCTTCTCTGAGCCCGTAACTCGTGAAACACGCTTCTCCCCATCCCTCCATTCCCTCTTGTTTACCTCCATCTCTGGCTTTTGATAGCTCGATCATGCGCTCTCTGGCTCCCCTGGAGAAGGAAGAAAAATTCAGCATTAGCTTGGCTTGTATGCAGCACAAGAACAGAATTCAAGCACAACATGGCTGTAAATAAGAGAAACAAATCAAGAATCACAAATCAAGAATTATTATTATTGTGTCAGTGAAGGTGCCTCCTGTGATCAAAGGGGTACCTATCTTTCTTTACTGCTTTTGCCCTAATTATCTATCACTGCTCAGTTCTGGACAGGCTTTCTTGTAAAAGCAAGAAATCAAACTGACACATGTTGCATTAGTGCTCCACATATTTCTACTAACATGACTTTTTTCTGTGATCATAATCTTTTAAAATTGAAAAAAAAACTTATACACAAAATCTGCATAGTCAATCACAAATTACCTACATATCACCTGGTGTCTGGATGTGACAATAAAACACATTAACTCTAAAATAAGGGCCATTAGATATATTTTTAGAATTAATAGGACTTAAAAACACTCATTCATACAAACAAAAAAAGAAAAGAAAAAACTAAGAAGTGAAGGAGTAGAAAAGAAAATTTAAACTGAAAGGGTAGCAGGTGTGTGTAGGTTTTACATTCTATCAAAAATAACAGCAATGCCTTACAACCTCAAAGAAGTGAGTAACTATACAACTGAAGAGTGTAAAGGCTTCTTCTTAAGACTGAGATGTGGCTGGATGAACTGACTAACACGCTCCACTTGAAAAGACAAACTACCACAATTCAACAAAACTCGAAGGCTCTAAATGTTATACTTTCTCATAAAAGCCAAGAGTGAAATGTAAATAAAGAGTGACAAATGAACAAGGGAAAGGAGACGAAAAGGGTACAAAGGAAAGACGGGTGGTGAAGGGAGGAAGACAACACAGGGCCGTCTTTACTTCCACTGGCTTGTTTATTTTATTTACCCATTTACCCTTTATTTCTCCCCCTTTTCTTTCTAACAGTGACATTTATTTGCAGATGAAGATTCCTACAAAGGCTAGCAGTGTGCAATTTTTAACTTGGTTTGACACCTATTCCCCCACCAATGCTTTCAGATATTAAATGTAACCATTAAGAGAGGGGCCCTTCTGTCCATTGTTTATTGATTTATTCACTTTTTAGGGTATAAGAGAAACCAACTAAGTTTCGGTCTGTGTGAAAACCAGCTGAGAACTCCTCACTGGATCTTAAAGTGAAATGAAATAGAGCATTTGTCAGATAAAGGGTTTTGTCTCATACTTTCTGCACATCATTTAAAGCATCAAACTCAATCCAGGCGTGCATGCATTAATATTTTAAATCATTTCTGATCTCTTATGGCTCTCACACTGTATGGTCACAGAGACACCTAACAGCTGGACAGAAAGATGGACTGACCTGAGCTCCTGCCGCACACTCTGCACGGTGTGTCCACTGATGATGAACACCTCTGTCATATCATCGGTTAGCATCTTGCAGGAGTAACCTATATTGACAGCCGTTTCTACACACACACACAGACACACACATATGGGAAGAGGGAGCATTACTGGAGTGTAAGTGATGCATTGAACAAACATTTATTTTGGGGAGCCATGCTATGATGCATTAATGCTTTATTATGTTCAACAGCATCCAAATACTTTCACACTGGCCTTCTTATTGATTATCTGTAAAAACAGTGTGACAAATAATTCTACTCAACTGGTATTCAGAGTAACATCTTTTTTCCTGTCCAACATAATCACAGTCTTTAGCTGTCCTGTCAGCTTCTCGACAGCTGAATCTACAGCAAACATTGACCATAGGGGATGTACTATCTGCTTTATGTTTGACCTCTCTGGTAAATGCATACCGTTGTGTAAATACACTTATATGTTCCTGGAATTTACCATAGACCGCATGAGCTTCTGGGTAACAAACAGCAGTGTGCAAACTTTGTTCTTACAATGTGTGTTCAAGTGTGTGTGTGTGTCTCACCCTGCTTGTCTCCGGTAAGAACCCAGATCTTAATATTAGCCAGAGAGAGGACAGCAATGGTCTCTGGGACACCTTCCTGCAGCTTGTCCTCTATAGCTGTGGCACCCAAGAGCTGCACACACAAACAAATAAAGAGAGGAAGGATATATTCCACCCAGAGAAAAAGTCCAGTCCACATACACACACAGAGGTGCACACTGTCACTAACCATCATGTCTTGTTCTATCTCCTCATAAGCAGCTGCCAGTCGGTCCTCTCTGCAGTTGGTGGCCTTGTCAGCACAGCGGTGACTTTCCGACCATGACTCCCAGTTGTCCTCTGACAGATCTCTGTAGGCTAGCGCCAGTGTCCGCAAACCATCTGCTGCGTATTCCTAGAGCCAAAAATACACATTTTTATCCAACATACGCTGAGATGTAATTATAAAACACAGGCACAAATTCAAAGTCTTGATGTTATTTTATTTTGAAATCATTTGGTCAGGAGTTGGGATGGAGAAATGTCCCCGTCTACTAATCAATCATTTTGCAGAAGCAGGAGCACAAAATGTCAAGGTGATATGTTAGATATGGTCCGATCAGGGGAGAGTACAGCTGAGTAAGGGCTTATTAGGAGATTTTAAAACTGTTCACTATATTTTTGTAAACACCAGATGGCAGCACAACTCCATCCACGCTAATAAGAGTCAGCATTTGTGTTTAGAGACTCACGTTGAGGTGGTCTGAGGTGATGTTCATCAGCTCCTGGTTACTGGGGTTTAGTCTCTCAAGCAGCACAGTGTCAGCACCCTTACAGTACAGACGGATCCTGCCCTCTGGGTTACGCACTAAAAAACAAAAAAAACAGAGAGTAGTGAAGAGGAAATACTTTACACAAGTCTGTCAATAATCCTCAAATCCTACTTTTCAGCTTCAAAAATGTCTGTTTGGCTCTAGCGGATGAATGTGAGCTCTGGACCTTGAGGTCCTGTTGCTAGACCAAAGTTGTTGCTAGGGCAGAAGTGATTTATTAGCATGGATTTCTGGGCATACTTCCAGCACCTTACTGACAGCCCAATCACAAGAACGCCAAGTGAAGGACAAAGTGTAATCTACGAATGGGAGCCTATTCCTGTCAGTTTGTCGGTGTAGATCACATTTTGTATGTTTATTTATGATAATGGGAATTTGAAGTCTTAAAGAAAATGATGTCCCAGGTACGAACTCCTAAGGCTGATCCTTTACTTTGTTGTATGTCCCCGAACACGACTCTAGTAGTTTTGCTCTGCAGCCTTTAATAAGAAAATTATTAACAGTTAAAAAAAATAAAAAATAAAATGAAATTATAGAGTTTTTTAGCCCCATATTCATTTTAGAATTAACACTAACCATTTCCTCTCAGTAAAAGCAGTTTATAAAACTAGAAAATCATAATTCCCGCGCACCAATAACAGACATCCTCTTGCGAATGTTGTTGAAGTCTAAAATGGCGAGCAGAGTGTAGGTGACAGGCCGTCCCATCTCCGTGGTGGTTATGGTTCCTGGTGTTCGTGAACGAAACACAAAGCCAAAGTTTCGAGCTGCTGTCACAAGAGCGCCCTCATCTGGAGATTGAGCCTTATAAACCAGCTCTCCTGTGAAGACAGAGAAGAAGATGATGAATATCAGAGAGATGGTGCGTTAAAGTCAGGGTTAGCTGCTCTTCACCCTCGCTGACTCCTCATGCTCACCCTCACTCTTCTCCTCGCTCATGACGGTGTGACAGAGAGAGAGCAGGCGGAAAAACTCATGGGTGTGAGAGTCTCCCACTTTCACTGATTCCAGAAGAGTGTCGTCATAGAAACAGAAGTCAGGGTCTGCCAGGGGGTTGAAGGGGGTAAAGTCCAATCTCTGATGATAAACAGACAAGGTCAAAATGATTTAAATACACAGGTGGATGGATGAGTGTAGAAGTATGTCTTAGTAAGGATATAATTATCTCCTCACTTTTGGTTGAGGTCCCAGTGGGTCTGCCACTTCCCCTGAAAGAAACAGATGTGTGAGACTGCGCCGTGGCATTTTTGTATGAAAGTGAAAACAACTTCACTGCAATAAAGTTTAACTCTATGGTGCCTTTAATTTTCAGTTTCAGTTTATTTTAAGTTAAACTTTTCTAGCAATGTAACCAAAGGAAGAATACTCGAGTGAAATCGATGCAGAGTGCACGTTTGTGAGCATTTACCATAAGTCTGTCCATTGATGGAGCACTTATTGAAGCTCATGATGTTCTGCGTAAGGGTGCCAGTCTTGTCACTGAAGATGTATTCAACCTAAAGGAAACAAACTGAATGGTAAGAATGAATCTTTAATGACAACACTGATGCAAATATCATAAGTTAAGGAGTGGGATTCACAATATTCATATGCTTAAAAAGGTCAATCAGGTAAATGTTGCTTGTAACAATGAGTAATTAATATTCTTAAAATCATTGCATGAAGCTTTCCTCTCTTAAATAGAGACACGTTTTTGTCCATGGGTGTATTCTGCTTGACTTTCATTTTACTGAGGCCTGCACTGAAATAAACGCCCTTTTAAAAGCGTCTTTGGATAAATCAAATAACTTAACTTCATGCAGTAAACAGCTTGGTTGAAAGAAGGTGAAGGAATAACACACTAAATGTAAATACCACAAACAGGTTGTATACATTGTCAAAGTGGAGATGCCCACCTGTCCCAGCTCCTCATTCAGAGTGGTGGTCCGGGCTTCAGCTGCTGTGTTACACTGTGAACAGAACATCTGCTGGTCCCAGTTGATGAAGTAGCTGTGACCCAGTCTGATCACCTCCACGCTGAAATACACACATGTGTGTGAGAGACAATGACAGAGCAGACTAAATCATCCAACTTTAAGCAGATCTATTATTTTATACACATTTGACGACAGACAGAAAACGAGCTAACTGTTAATTTAATTCATTTGTCAACATGAACCTTCCAACTACTGACTTTAGTTAAATTCGCTAAGATGTTCAACAATCAAGTTTGCTTATTGGTTATTGATTTAAAGGGATATTCCGGCGTAAAATTAATTTAGGGTCAAACACACTACGACACCGAGTTAGACACCCCGTCGAGAGATGAATTGCTATCCTGCGGTCGTTACTAAAGTTGGTATAATTAGAGAAGCAAGCAGTCGGCAACATTCATCTCTCGAGGGGGTGTCTTACTCAGTGTCGCGGTGTGTTTGACCCTAAATTAATTTTAACTCCGGAATGTTTCTTTAATTGTCAAAAATTTACAGTCACTTTGTGAATAACGGTTTTCTGGTGATACTAATTTAATGTGTTTCCGTGACATCCAGGGGCTTTTCTATCCCACAGAGACGTTCGGTGTACTTTAAGAGACTGCCAGATACAAAAACCAGAGTAATCTGTCATGATTTATGTATAAGGGAGTGTAGGGAATCAATTAACCATTGGATCAATGAGTAGCATAAACAATCGCATCAGTACTAATAAATCTTCTCAGTTCTCATCCCTTGAACACGTCCTCACCTGACATACAGAGAGATAGGCACCACGGTGTTGAGAATGATGACGTAGGACCAGAAAGAGAGGAAGGCTGAGAACAGGAAGTTATCCACAGGGGGATCCCAGGGCAGGTAGCTCTGGAACAGCGAACCCACCTCTCTTTCCCACACTGCATTGCCCACAGCCAGAATAACACCCATACACACCAGGAAGCCAAAGATCTGACACAAAGACAGACAGAATGAACAAGAGTGAGGTCACTGGATGTACAGTCAGAAATCATAGGGCCAGGTTTGGATGGGATACATTATTAAAGCAGATATGTGAGACTGGACTGAAGCTGCTGATATCATGTCCTGAAATAGTTACTGTATGTGAAAGTGAGAGGTTTGGGGTGTCCTACCCAGAGGACCAGAGTGTTCATCAAACGATCGATGCTTGTGCGCTTAAACTTGGTGCGACCGCTGTTCTGCATTAGCTTGGTATCAGGGCCTTGGGTGAGAAGAAGAGGAGCACAGTCAGGTCTTTGACGCTCATCTTAAACACACCTAGACACGAGAACCCACACACACACAGACCTGCGAAGATGACAAGGCCATAGCAGGCCTCTGTGTTACGAAGAACACATCCTCGGAGGAGCATGTTCTGGTTGGTCAGGGTGTATTTTTTGTCTCTCCAGTACAGAGTCCCACAGAAACGATCCAGCTTATTGTTGGGGGGCTCACACACAACCTCACCTTTAAAAACACAAATTTAAAGAGTACAATTTACTATGTTTTATTCCCCTCGCTTGATTATTGAGAATTGATTAAGTCAACGATATGAAATCACGTCATAATCGCTCGAACCCAAATGCAGAAACACGCTCCTTTTGTAAATTGATATGAGGCTGAGTGTAAGTTGATTTTCTGCAGCGGTGCATTTTCTACAGCAGGTGAGAATTATGTGTGTGTGTGTGTGTGTGTGTGTGTGTGTGTGTGGGGGCGCGCTTTGCTGACACATGAGGTCTTGCACTGTGTGTGCTAGTGGGCGGGTGATAAAAGGTTGTCATTCAATGCTGGAAGGAGAGGGCGAAAAAAAAAGTATGTGTGTAGGCATGTTTCGCTTGCGTTTATTGTTTATGAGCGAAGGTGTGAAGGATGAGAGGAGTTGACCTTCAGATTACTGAGACGTGAACAACCAAACCAGGACTAAACAGCAGAACAGTTTTGTCAATCTCACCATCAAAAGAAGCCAAGTTGTTCTGGTTCCCGAGTTCAGATGTCACTGAGACGGACTGACGCACCTTCATATTGGTTTCTCTGCAAGATAATAATAACACGCAGCAGTTTAGATGGACTATCCTGTTGCTTCTGCAGATTTTTGAAGTACTGTGAGTCGATGACAAAGTGTGGTGCATTTTCTGACCCGTCCAGCTCGGCTGTCTCGATGTAACAGAGCCCATGAGGCTCAGTGCTGGACAAGAGGAGCAGGTCAGCCTGAAAATAGATACAAAAGCTGAGGTTAGCATCCTATGTGTAGGTAGCACAGGAGCAAATTAGTAATGCCCAGATGGCGATCACTAAAGAGACAAAGTATGTATACAGCAGATGCAAAAACTAAGTGAGGTGCGTGTGTGTGTGCATGTATGGAGATTTGAGAAACACTCACTGCCACAAACTGGTTGTTTTCCAGTTTAATGATATCACCCACTCGAACATTCATCCACTTTTCACTCTGTATCCTGACAGAGATAATAAAAAGAGACAGGATAAAAAAAAAACAAAGATTTAAAGTTTGAAACATGAGAAAACCTAAACTTAACTTTACAGCTTTAATAATTAAGAAGCAGCATCTGTAAGCACTTATTTGCAGCTGAAATCTAACAGACTTACGAGCCATTGATGAGAACCTGAGACTGGCGGTTGTTTACTTGGTTGTCACTCTTGTGGCGAAACTGTAAGAGACGTACATGAGTGTGAACTTTTCATGTGACTCAAAGCTAACCATTCGCCAAGGGGCATAAGTTTGTTTCGTATTTCATTTTGTCTGACCACATGCGAGCACTGTATGAGGTGCGCTTACGTAGTCGTCTGTGGCATCCTTTACTGCAGTGATGCTCAGCACCAAAGCTAAAGGCACGATGGTGGTGAACCAGGAGAGGGAAGAGATCTGAGGTATTAACTGCAAAAGGACAGACAGACACATTGGTTAAAGATCAGACACATGTACAGATTCTCTCTTCCTCTTCACTTCATGTTTTCATTTCCCATTTATCCCACCTGTAGTATGAGCAGGAAAAGAAAGTAGGTGTTGGCTACTTCCTGGAACTGCTCAAACAAGTTGACGGGCAGAAAGGTGATGATGTTGTACTTGGATGTCATAATGCAGTTACTCTGAATAAAGAAGAGAAAAAGAAATCAAAGTAATTCACTGATGTTTTTCTTTCTTATTTAGACTTCATGTCCTTAAACATTTACAGTAGAAACAAATCTCTCTTACTGCATACTGAAACTTTTCGTTGTACTCTCTGTCATTGGCTCTGACTCTTCTTTCCTCCTCTGCAAAACACAAGACACAGATTTAATCATTTAGTGGTATCATCATAACAAGAACACATATGTGTCCAAAAGCCCAGGTGTGATTCTTAGAGGTTTTTATCAGCAGTGACACAGAAACAGACAGACAGAAGGAGGAGGAGGAGGGTCTGCACTGTTTGTATATTTTTTCATAAACCAATGAATCTGGAGTGCCTGATCGAGGTTGTTTGAGTCTTATCACTGAAGACAGACTGTCACACTCAGTTATTCTGTCTTGAATAAGCACACACCAGAACTAATAAGTGGAACAATTTTCTCTGACCTCTGATCAGCAGATGCCAGTAAATACCCTGATGTTTTATCTAGACTGAGGCTATACACTGATGTTAAAACTTCAACCAAAAGGTAAATAAAAGGAAGACAGTCACATTTCTATAGTGCAGTTCTTTCTAACCCTGTTCTTTAACCTTTCGGCTGTTTTTTAGATTTCTGTAAATGCTGATGCAAAAGACTTTTGGAGTTCCCCTCCTCCTCCTCCTCCTCCTCCAGGCCTGCCTCCTCTAATATTGATGAGACAGCTTTTTAAATGAAATGACTGCCCTGTTTTGCACGGGACCATACCGTTTACCCGCACACACACACCCACGGTTACAAAATGCAGGTCTAAAGCATATTTTGCGCAGAAGGGTCCTTTTGTGCAGCTCTAAACCCATAAAATCTCTAACACACTTTTGACTGATGACTACGAGGCAATGAGGCGCCACAGGAACGGACAACAAATAACCAGCAGAGACTACTGCCAATTCAATCACATGCACGCACATAAACAAAGATCTGTGGTTTCCTGTGTTTCTGCTGCGCTGTGAAACCCCCTCTCGCCTTTTTCTACTAACAACTCAGGGGACATCTTTATGTCTGTATGTTCAGCGAGACTTAAATAACACAGGCCACTCAAATCAATACACTCTGAGCTTTCCTTTCGCATCAGGCTGTAAGACAGTGTCAGGCGTTTTTTGTTGCAATCAAAGGCTAAAAGCTGGAGAAAACGATTGATGGTGAGACTGAATGTTTGGGCAACATCATCTAAAAAATGGTTTCTTATTTTATATTGCAAAAATGATGTACGATGTTCATACAAGAATGGTCTTAAAAGAGTAACCCAGCGACAAATTATTGATACACTACATAAAGATTAACCTTGTATATTGTGCATATAAATTAATCAATTAAATTACCAGGCATGTATGTCTGAACTCAATGAGCATGTTAAACACCTTACATATCAGTTATACATCATACACACATCATACTAATATTCAGCCACAAAGACACAGAAATAAAAAAGAAAAACAGTAACATTACATAAGGAAGTCATATTCATTTTAAAGAATAAAAATAAAAAATAATTACATTTCCTCATGACGAAACACCAGAATTCTTAACAGAAGCACAACTAAACTAGCAGACTGCAGGCTGTAAATAATCTTAACTTTCCCGTCACAGTGGGAGAGCAGTTTGAGATGCAAAATCTTCAACAACTGCAACTCCAAACAGAACCTGATACGTGGCTTCTTGGTCACCAACCGATCAGAATCAAGCAGGGTCAAAACTTCTAATGTGATATTTCTTCATGAGTCCCAAAATACCAGGTAGTGTCCTGGTTTCCTTCACCAGACGACGGGGACAAGTTGTCAGATGGTCTATTTATCACATTAGAGAGGACACCTACTTCTTGACCTAAGCGTGCAGCGAATGTGTTTAGTTTTGGCCTCACTATTGAGAACATTGTAGTCCTTATAAAACGAAGCTTTACAGAGTTTTTATGTGAATTTGTGTGTGTGTGTTATCCAAATAGATGTGGTGTTTTTTAATGTATCCCTAAGCTTATGAGAAACCTGCCCTTTTCGTCCAAAGGGAGGGGATGCAGCATTTGTTTAAAGTTCATATTAATGATCGCATGTTGCAGCTGTCAGACCTAAAGTGTACGTATAAAGTTGCATCATAGCACTCAGGCTCTGGTTTAATGACATTCGATAGCTCCTCTTTTCTCAACTGGTTCATGAAGCAATATCAGATTTGTCATATCGTCAGGTGAACATCATCCTCTAACATCCACTCTGTTGAATCTTTTCCAACCCCTCTCTTTCCTGTCCACCTCTGGCACATCTCCTGTCCACCTGAAGGACATTACATCGCTTTCCAGGGCAGCGTGATCAGAATGACGGGTGGTGCCAAAGCTGCATTAACCCCCGGTGAAGAGATGCTTGTGCCAGCATAGAGACACTGAACTTCCAAGCATCTGATGTCAGGAGCAGGTGGTGTCTGTCCCTCCCGCTCCTGTGCTTGCTGACCAACGTGGATGCACAAGCATCTTTAGCAAACTGCCCATTAAGTGTTTAATGTGTCTGACAGCTTCAAGGGCATTTGGAGCCCTGACGCAGACCAGATGCTTCACAGCAAGTCTGCATGAATCTATAAAGCACCATTATCAGGGAACTTTCAGGTGGGGGCTAACTCTGCTGTAGATTAAAGGATTTCATAAACAACTGAGACACAAAGTATTGATCCAAACTAAAAGACTCAATACAGTTTCATAGAACAAAGACAGACTTAAGCATCTTCTTTTTCCTTTATTTACCCCCTACCTAGTTAAACTCCGCCCCCCCCTGCATGGACATGTGAAAGAGTACACGTGCCACAGCTCCCCTTATGTCTCCATAAGTGACACACACTCTAGAAACACAGTGAACACAGATTTGAGTCATAACAACAGTGACCGAAGCGCACAGTCAGACTGTACTATGGGAAAAGCTTTTATCCCTGCCGTGAATAAAGCTAAGTCAGGATCTGCGCAGGAGTGATCATCACTCACTGCAGCTGATTAAGTTAAATGAAGATGGCATAGTCTGCAGTCAGTACTTGCACACACACACACTTACACACACATACACACACTCAGACAGTGCATGATCTCATTTGTGATTTGGAATAGGATGCAGGTGACACAGACTGGAGGGCTGGAGGTCAATTGAAGGTGCACATGCAGTGTGATTTCTGATTGTTAGGGAGTACGGATACAGATGAGGCAGTGCAGTAATAGCCGAGGCTGGCGCCTGCAAGATTGATCAGTGTCTCAGGCTGCAGAGGCAAGGGCACCATCCCATTTATTTACCAAAAATTCACTCACATGAACACAGTTTTGTAAACACAGATGCACAGAGTTGTCAGCTTTGACTCTGAGTCATATCAGGAAAATAACCCCCTGATTTTGTGGCACAGGACTAAATCACAAGAATGACAAAGTGACCCTGGTTGGCAGCAGTCAGTTAAGGAGTATAAACAATCCGGGTCGCACTTTTACTTCTTTGTTCATAGTTACATATAATAATGGGGGTAAAAGACCACCACAGATGAGGTGATGACAAGGCTTGAAATGGAGGTAAATGAAACTTTGGTTCAGCCTTGATGGTGAAGTAAGATGGGCAGGTACAATCTTGGTTATAATGATGATGATGATGAAGGTGAAGACTGTGACAATGTGAAGCTGATGATTTTAGAGGTCGTTCAATCTCGTTACCTGTCCGGCTCGTTTTCCCTTTGGCTCCAATCAGTCCCTTCTCTTTCTTTCTTTGCAATGGGAGAACGAGAGGGAACCATTTCTCCGGGATGTCTTTCGGTATTGTCATCGTGACTTTTTGTTGAACAGTCACAGTTTAAATTCACGTCAAACTGGAGATACGGGAGATCGCCGCATCTCCGCGCGTCACGGGAGCTCTGATCTCAACTTCACACTAAAGTTGGACTGAGCAAACAGCCACCCCGTCCCATCCCTGCCTCTCTGTTTGTGCCTCCAATACACGCGTTCACACACACACATGCACGCGCGTAAACTCAGAAGGTGCACCTCTCTCTCTCTCTCTCTCTCCCTCTCTCTCTCTCTCTCCTGCTGCAGAAACACTGAGGTCATTGTTGTGATAAGGTCAGTCCTGACTGCAGATCAATTCGTCGACCGGGAAAAAGCTGGATCGGGTTAGGATTTATGAAATTGATCGACTGCCGATCCAACAACAAGAATTTCCAATCCCTTTGATATGCAAGAAGTAGCCTGTTAAGTTGCTCCGCACGCCTAATCGATCAACTCACGTGCACGTGCAACGCCTGCATCATCACTTGGAGTCCCATCCCCACCATAAACACTGTCCCCTATAACCATTACGTAATCACGTAAATAGCTGTCGCCATGGCAACTGCCTCTGCGGGGCGCACTCACAGCTGAGCGGCTGGCTGGATACAAAGATGGAAACTGGGGTGCCATTTTGGATCTACCAGGTCCGCTCGTGCAGCTGCTTGGTATCCCGTGCGTGTAAATAGAGAAGGCACTGCAGTGGGCAGGTCCAGACAGGTGCCCGAGCACGTGCTGCGCGGCCAGCCCCGTGCCGGTGCCTTAAAGGTTGCCGGGTGCACACTTCACCTAAAGATTACTTTACATGCATGAAAATGTATAGGAGCTGACAAAGCATAGTCTACCATCACAACAGATGCACAAATGGCGGAGTCATACTAAGTGTTCCTCTAGTTATAGTCTGTCCTTCTTCATATTGAGTCATGCTTGTAATTGAAGGGTCATGAGACTGTTTAGACATCATATAGCCTTTTATTTTAAGAAGAGATCTGAGACGGAGTAAAAGAAAAGGGGCGACAAACTTGTCCTCAAAAACTGAAGAAAAACCTAAACCTACATATTACACACTGCACGGAATCAGCTGAGCACAGTCAAATGCACATGATATCATTGGCTATTGATTACAGCCGCACAGTAGACAGTATTTTGCAGACAGTATTTGAACAGCGTTATAATCAAATTTCACAGTTGTACATCCTTGATTCTCTGTGAAGATTTTTACTTGTGGTTATAACATGATTGAACTTGTCAACATCACTGTTTATTCTGTTTAAAGCTTGTATTGTTATACGTAGTGCCCCACCTGAGATCGTCACAGACCGTATTCCCACAGTGGTGATGACCATCTTTCTGTGGCGTCATGCTCAGGGTGAGAAACTCATATCAGTATTAAATCCCAGATGTTTAAAGTGAAAAATCCATACCGTCTGGTACTGTTGCATAGTTAACGTTATGACAACTTAAAACATGACCCTATCACTCTCCTGATGTCACTATCTACTGTCCACAGTACTGTTAGTCTGTAAGAGAGCTGTGAAAATGACCACAATATCTCAGATTATTTAAATTCATGTAACTTGCAACCGGAAACACCATAATAATGCATGACAACAATATGCACGTTTCAGACCCTGGGCATGATTTTAAAAGATGATAGCTGCTATAGGAGTACTGTCTAATCAAGCAAATTACCCTCCATGACCAAAATATATACCACAAAGTCTCCCCCTACACTCTGTCATCTTATTTTCAGCATCACCTTGTTACACTGTTTTCCAGGATTTAACAGTATATGCTGCACAGCATGTACAACTGTGACTTGGTACTCATGATGAGATAAATATTCTCGCTACTGTATGTGGATCAAACATGTAACAGAAATTCCCTCTGTGGCCATTGTTTACTTGATGTAATGCACATCAGAGCCTGTTTAGATGATAAAAAGACAAAAGTCTCTTCTCAATACATTCATTTTGCATCCCTTATTAAAATACAATAGAGTTATTAAGAACATGTTTAATCAGGGAAAGGCAATTAAGACTTCACAAGTCCTAGTCAATATATCTGTCCAATAAGAGTTGATAAATCAAGCCAACTCAGAAGTTCCAAGATCTGCAGTTTTTCAACCTGAGGCTCCAAATATAAGAAACCCCCCTTTGACCCCCAGATTTAAAAGCACAGTTTCAGCTGCATAATTCAGGAGTTCAGTAACTGGACTTCACGTCTGGTCTGCTTTTGCATCCTTCTCTTTAGTTTTTTTTTTTTTAAATATAAACATTGAATGGCATATAAAGATAGTTGTACAACTCTATAGCTTTGATGACTTGGTGTTTTTCAACCGTTTGAATTCAACGTGGCAATGGACAAAAATCAACAAAGCCATTACTTAAACCCAAGGTTATTCCAGATCGACACATTGTAAAAGTAATTCTTTTGGAGAGCTCTAGCTTATTCAAATTCAAGATAATCAAGGCACCAGTTAAGAAAACTAGCTTTATCAGAGCCTGTCAAAGTGTTTGGTGTCATTGGTGTTGGGCACTGACCTGGAGGAGGCTTCTTTCTGAACATCTCCACTCTGCTGGCTTTCTTCTGCTATGGCCCATGAGACTGTCTGCAGAGAGAGAAGAAGAGATGAGGGGTGAGGAATTAAGCAGAGCACAGAGGAGAGAGAGGTTACAGTGGAAGAGAAGAAGATCCCTACAAACATATATTGTTACAGAATAAGAGCAAGTTTTCAAATCTGTACGCTTTTCTGCTTTCAGAGGGGAGCTAAACATTCAATCAAATCTGCCAGACTTTCAATTAGCAACATAACAGGGGCACGTTTGCTCTGTTAGAGCCATAATGAGGAAATGACATTTAGCAAAGCACTCTCTGGCACACAGTGTCTGAGGGGACTAGTGTCTCTTGCAGATCCCCTGTCAGCCTTCCTACAACAAATGGGAAACGGTAATGGCCCTTTTTTCCCCCTTTCTCTTTCCCTCATACTCTGGTCTCCTCTCTTTCCATTTATGCTGACCTTTCCATTTATGCAGTTAATATACCTGCCTGCTCTCTCTCTGTGTTTTATCTTGGCTAAGTAACATTGTAGAGAGGCTTTGAAAGATGAGGGATGAGGTTGCAGAGGCGAGCCGTTACACAATTTTGTCTTGCACACTAGAAGATACAAACAGCATGGTAGACGGGCTCGGGTCAGTGAGCCCCTGATCAATACTCTTGAGAGGGAGCAGCTCTCTCCATTTGAGTTGGGCTTATCAGCTTTCAGCTACAGTTTCCTGTGTCGTCTCTTGCCCTGTCATACACTCTCCTCTTTTATTGCATTTTATCTACTCTCCTTCTGCTCTGTAGACAAAATCGCTATCCACCGAATGCAGAGTGTGGACAGAGCAGAGGGGTTGTCTGCCATGTTCTCTCACCTCTCTGCTGTCACCTCTCACTCTCCATCTGTGGCTCGCTCTTGTATGACCTTATAGACCTGGAGTAGCTTTATGAAACGGAGCTGGCAGCCTGGGGAGCGAGAAATACCAGGACCACACTGAATATCTGAGCACCTTCTTGGCCCCCAGGCAGAACTCTTTTCATGTTTCTTGCTGGAGTCTGCCTGAAGTTTTGGAGGATTTGATGAAACAAAAATCATGAAAGAAACACGTCTTTAAACCACAACACCTAGTTCACTAGATTTAATTCTCGACAAGTAAACATGAACATATCGCTGGTTCAACTCATGGCCACCAGCCTTTACTGCATGTATCCCCTTTCTGTCTTTATTTCCTGCATCTCTTCAGCTACCCTGTCTAGTGAAGGCAAAAGTGCCCAAAAATTTAACTTTAAAAACAAAACAACAACAGTATTGACATTTAAATTTTTGTCATGTCAGTACACATAAGTTCCTCTCAGCTTTATCCATGAAAAAAAACATAATGACTCTGTGTTCTTTCTTGACCTGCCCTCAGGACTGGTTGTGTTATTTCAGGAAGTTATTAAATCACAGAGTTTTAATCTCTCCTGGGAAACAGTGCTAATAGATCCTAATATAGTTTCCTGTGGCATCTGCATGCTCTCAAAATGATCAGAAGTCCACTGAGGATTACTTTAGGAGGAAAAAAGAGCAGCAGAAGACAAGAATAACCCTTAGAGTTGACCTAAATCATCTGGTTATGGACCTGCTCACCAGATATAATGTCTATTTATTTGATGTGGATTAAATTTTATGTATTTCTTATTGTTTCAGAGTGGCCATAAATCAGAGATTTTGCTTTGCGTTTCATCGTGCTGTCAGAGTTCTTGCAAGATACTTTCTGTTGTTGTCTATTTTGTCTGTATTGTCTCCTAAGTTTGCTCATCTTGTCCTGTACTTGTATATCTTGTGCTTTCTGACATCCTGCATTTTTAACAATAAGTGATTATAAACATTTGCTGTTCAGAGAGACAACAAAAAAGGCTTTTCTTTTCTTTTCTTTTACCCACAGCCATGAAATGTTACAAATAAGAAATCGTCTATCAATTTGCTAAAGTTCTGGTTTATTTTTGTAGGTCGTACAGGATCCTCACTGTTAGTTTCAGTCTGTGTCATTAGCAGTCAAAAATTCCCTATCTGAGCTTTATACGCCTGCTGTGCTCAGCTTATGTAATGCCCCATATTCAAACACATTATCTGTCTTAAAATAAAACATAGACTGTGTTTGTGATAGCTGTTACTCTCCTCCGCTCTATTTAGGGGTATTGAACAGTTTTGTGGTTCCTGCATGCATGAGTGTCAGTCAGCTAAAGAAAGCTGTTTGAGCATAAATTTGATATCACTGATATCAACTGTAGTTAAGCTCTATTAGTACTCATATTTGGAGTACATGTACTCAATTTTTGTCTACTCGTTCACAAGGAGACTTTACTAGTGAAGCAAAAAGAGTCACTAGTACTACCAGTAGACTAAAAAATGTTTACTAGTACTACTAGTAGACAGTTTTAGGTCTACTAGTACTATAAGTACACTTAAAAATGTTAAAAAGTTATACAAGTAAACCTAATATGCTAATAAGGGGGTGCGGGACAGCAAATTCTGGCTTCCCATTGGCTTTTGAAAAAATTACAATCAATCAAGATTCTTGATTTGCTTATTATCCCTCCTACTTCATTTGCATGTGGTCTACTAGTACTACCAGTACATTTTTTGGTTTTACAAGAACTACGAGTTATCTTTGAACAGTTTAATAGTACTACTAATGAGATATCTGAAGTTACCAGTAGTACTAGTAAACTGAAATTATGTTTTACTAGTAAATATCTTTGGTGCACTAGTGTGCAAGTAGACATTACTAGTAAAGCAAAATTGTCAACATGTAGATAATTTTGTGTTACTAGTAAAACTAGTTAACCTAAAAAAAAAAATACTGTTAAAAACTCATAGCTTTACTAGTAGCATAAAATGATCTAGTCAGATACTTTCATGAGAGAGCACAGAGTAATACTGCAACCACAAAACTTGAGGAATAAAATAAAACAAAGTTGATATCAATGTTTTTTGAAGGCATGTGGTGCAGTTTTAACAAGAAATGTGACTTTAATCTACATTTATGATCCACAGGGGAAAGTGCAAGCCCTTACACGGTGACATGTCTAACTTTCAATTTGACTTTGGGGAAATGTGGACTTATTTCAAGCCAGACTGACCTGAAAATCCCCCTGACAGCAAGAACTGTATCTACTGTACGGAGAGAGCAGCTTCACTTATCATGTAGGCAAGGTGCAGAAATAAGAGCTGGACACCTCACAATGAAAACCGAGACACACATCAATACTTTGAGCTGAATGAGTGAGACTGCACAAGCCATACGTGATGTGAGGTCGACATCAACCTAGGAAACACACACACACACACCTACCTTTTCAAGTAAGCGTTATAAATCTGTTCCTGGTGAAGGCATGCTGGCTGCTCCTCTCGCCGGGGTCATGGTGAGGTTTCAGGCTTGACTTGGACGAGTTGGCCCAGAATGAGAGGCGATCACTGGGGTGGGAGGGTGAAACGAGGACCGGGGGATGAGCTGCTAAAAGAACCGTGTCGAGGTGAGGGAGGGTTCGGCTTCAACCAGGGGAGAGGAGAGGGAGGAGGAGGAGGAGCTGTTTCTAACTCACCTGCTCCACCCCCATGTGGACCTCCAGCAGCACCGAAAAAACAGCATATTCGCCAAAGATCTGACTTTGTGTTGTAAGTTTTAATTTCCTCTCAAATATTTGATCTGTCTGAGAGTTTTATTGATCTGATTAGTTTGTGGAAGTTTAGTGTAACTTACTGTTTATTTTAACAAAGTTTTTAAGAGCTACTTAGAAAAATCCTTCCTTGTTAGTCGTCTGAACAAATTTCAAGTTACCGTGTGTGATATTATAGCGCCCCCTACTGCTCCGTATGTGGTCTTAAAGGTGTTTCCTGTATGTAGCGACATATGCATGCTATTTACAATCTATTCGCAACATAACTCTAACATCAGCAAAGGAAAACAAACTACATCTGTGGATGTATGAAAAAAGATTAATAAGATTTTCCTGGGGTGGAGAGTGGGGGAGTAGTAGGGATACGGCTCAACTTACCCTGCTCCTATGGTCAACTTACCCCATACACGGGGTAAGTTGACCATGCTATAATTGGCATGCTCTATTATCAAGGCAGTTCTTTTTACACTCATTCTGTTGGTTTGCAGGGATGCACAACATCTTGAAATATATTCAGATGCACTTGTTAGAGACAAAACTATGATTGCCCTGATATAGTGAAATATGAAGAATGGCTCATCTTACCCCACTCTTTCTTACACACCTTTATTTTTAAAAGGCAAGAAAAATTATATAAATTTGGACAAAATTGGTACAAATTGGTTCATCATTCACAGAGGATCTGCATGACCACGGGGCAAAAATGTTAAATTGTCAATGATACATGCCACTAATCATTTGATACAGTTTTGACCTTCTTGAACGCACCTTGAAGGCCCATTTCTCTGTAATGGCACAATCTTGTCTAGAGTAAAGAGCTCCAGGAACTGAAGCAATTTAAAACACTGATGAAAGGATTCATGTAATGGTGGATACACAGATGTTGGAGACCTGTAATTTGTGAATCAGGGCACCGACTTGACCCTCTTGACCTGACATTCAGAAGACGAAAAGTAAAAACACACACCGTAAGTTTTTGTTGTTGTTGTTGTTGAAATGGACATTTTTGTAAAGTAATGAAAGCCAATTACAAAATATAGAAGTAGTTCATGCATTTCCTATTTCCAAAAGAACAAGACTTGAGCTGTCTCTTAAGTTGTCACTCATTTATCATCTACAGTATATCAGTAATCACGGCCTGTATTCAACACAATCATAACTAAAACTTGTATGTTTTTATTCAGTAGAGGGAGTTTGCCACAGTTTTTTCTTACGTCTAATACTCAATGCAACATTTCATAAAAAGTAAATACAACTCAGATAAATAATTCAACAGAATAAATCAAGGGTCTAAAGAATGCAGACATCAATATAAACAGCATTATCACAATCAATATCTTCTCCAGCTGCCTTCATGTCTACTGGCTGTGTCAAAGAAGTCAACTAGAAAGTTCAGTGTATAAATATGTTTTTGTTCTATTTCATTATCATTAGATATGTTTGTGCACCTCTATGGTGAAAAAGCAGCTTTGTCATGAGGGAAATATTTACAGTAACGTTCATAGATGTGCTGCCTTTAACTCTAGTCCGTCGTCCCATGTGACGCTGGGTTGTTTGATTTTGTCACTCATGGTGGAATGAGTGGAGAGACTCTCAGAAGCGTCTGGATCAGGCAGATGCCATTCAATGAAGACCACATACATTAAAGATCCTATTACGCCTCCAAGAGGTGGGGCAACCAGTGGAACCCAGAACCAGTAGTTGTAACACCTAAAGAGCAGACACAAAGATATTAAGATATATATACAGTTAAAAGACTTAAAATAATAAAAAGAAAATAATAAAAAATTGTCTAAAAAATTCTGTCTCTCATTATTTTGGCATTTATCATATAAAAATAATTTTGGTAATCCTAATTGACCAAAAACAGGAAAAGTTTAATCATATTTAATGTTAGACAGTGAGGAAAAAAAGGTTATGTGCCTTTTTATATAGTGTATGTAAACTTCTGGTTTCAACTGTATATTCTCTGACTGAAATACTTTCATAAAGAAATCCTACAACCCCTAAACACTTAAGCTGGATCCCTGTGCTGCTGCTAGCTGTTGATGAGTATAAGTGAACTTGGGTTAGCCCCAAAGTTAGAGATTACTTTGATGCATTGGACCACTAAGTCTCCTCTGTGCCAGAGCATGAAGGGTCAACATCTCCCTCTTTTTCCAGAAGCATTCAGTTTACAATGATGCTTCAAGTTTCATATGCAAGTGAGATTTGCAGACATGCAAGCAAAAATAGCAGTTTTAAAGCTTCAACCATAAGCAAGACAGTTGCTGTAATGTAAATATGTCGGTTGTCCTGGCAGTGCTACATGTTTGTCAGTCTGTCCAAGAGTTATTCTGCCCCCTAGTGGATAATAATGATAATAGCAGTGGGACTAATGAAGAGCCAGTATAACTAGAGCACATTGAGCAACAGGTTGCATCATGGATCAAACACTAGATCATAATCAGATGTTCTGTAACAAGCTGACGCTTCATGTTCCTTTGAGAGGCAAACAGCTTTGAGACGTGATAACCTCTAACATGTGATTATTCAGGGACACATGAGGTCAAAGAGCAGTAGAAATAGGAAGTAAATGGTTTCCGTCGCCAAATGTTAATTGAACAGGCTCAATTAACTGTTTTGTCTTATCAATTAGGTCTTTTTGATAGGTAGTTAATGCATTCATAAAATCAGCGTGGAGAATTTTTATGATTTTACAACTGTGGATATGTACTGTTAATGTAAGATAAGATACATACGTGAAGACCTCAGTCCCCCAGCCTGCAGTCATAGTAAAGAGGCGTGGCCCCAGGTCTCGAGCTGGGTTTATGGCTGCACCACAGTTGGCAGACATTGACATGGAGATGCCCAGTACGATCACAGCTACTATTGGAGGAATCAGCCCTGAAGGAGCAGGAGTATTCCTCTTTTCACCCAGACACAGGATGCACAACATGAGCATACCTGTGCCCACTATCTAGTGAAAGTTGAAAGAATAAAAATAATGAGTTTAATGAAGAAAGAAATGTATAAGAGAAAATAAAGATGGGGTCCTAACACTGACCTGGTCAAGAAAACTTCTGCCCAAAGTTATGTGCTCAGAGGGAAAAGTGGCGAATATAGATGCCGTCTCATTCTGGCCATAAACAGTCAATATCCCTCCGCTGAACGCCATTATAGCATCTAAGACAGTTACAAGAACGATTAAGCACAACAGCCATGTTAGACACTTGCATGTGTTTCATAGATAAAGTTGCAAAAAGACTCACCGTAATACACTAGGTAGACAAGCCCTGATGCCACATAAGCCCCCAGAAGCTGTGAGAGGCTGTATGGCACCAGCCGACTCCAGGGCACCTGACCCAGCACACAGAAACTCAGAGTCACTGCTGGATTCAGATGCGCGCCTGATGATAAAATATGAGATGGAGAGAGAGACAAACAGGAAGGAGGAGGGCAGAAGTGAATTACAGCTAGAGATTGGATGGTAATGAAATCTTAGATTATTTGTAGCCATATAGTGTGTCATCTAAGAGTTGCAGTGCCCTGGTTGATATCAATCAAAGTGAAGGCCTTGAAGAGCGGCACAAGGTGTCTGTGCAGACTCCAGCAGATATTAGAGCCATAAATCTAGAGAGCACAGATCAGCGAGATGACTGCAGTAATGGAAGAGTCATAGATCACAGAGTGAGGAAGCAAACTGAATACAGCTGTGGTATTCTAGCGTTAAGGATGTCACTTAAAGGTGTAATGCTCTATTGATTAAAGCTCTTACCAGAGATACCCTTGGTGAGGTACATAGCTGACATCACACCCACGGAGAAGGCCATGTTGACTGACAGGAACTGACCTTTGGTGTCTCGGCTTGTCTTCACCTGAGCTGCCGCAGCGCAGCCAAAGAGCTTCACAGCACATGGAGAGGATGAGGAGAAACCCAAGGAAGGCACGAGACATTAGAAAAATGAGATAGATAGATAGATAGATAGATAGATAGATAGATAGATAGATAGATAGATAGATAGATAGATAGATAGATAGATAGATAGACAGATAGATAGATAGATAGATAGATAGATAGATAGATTAAAAAAAAAAACAAAGATAGAGAGGAAAATGGACATGCATGCATTTGCTCCTAATGGGTGAATCATTTATAGGTCAAACACACTTATCTCTAAACCCGGTAATATAAGGTTGTAAAACTGTAATTTAATCCATCTGATCAGCTTACCTTTGTAATGAGCCCCCATATCTCTTACATAAGCAGCAACATTATAAGTAATCTGAATGTGAAATCTACTTAGGAAATGATTACAAATGAACTAACATTATCTTATAACCTATATCTTTGATGAAGCTTTACTTAAGATATTAATTGCCACCGCTTTCTTATTTTGGATCTAGATAACTTTGAAGCAACTTAAACTGTGGCAACTATTGTAAATGCAAAGCCATCAAAGATTTTGGACAACGGTGTAAAGTTCAAGAATGATGATAGACCATTATGTGAACACCAAACTGATTTTCGGGGTCAATAAATAAACAAAAATGATTTTAAAAAAAAGTGATAATTGTTACTGATAATGAACAAAATGTAAATCTTTTTTTGTGGTAGTAAAACAGTTGTTTATTTATACAAAGATGATAAGTGTCAACCTTATCACCTCTCTAAATTTAATCTCATAGAAAAAAAATCGCACCAATTTATGCAGGGGTACCATAAAGTAGTTGTGGGCGCACACACAGACACACAAATTAAAGGTATTTATTTAGCTTTCTGTTTCTACAAATCAAATTTACTAACACTACAAACACTTACATATAAGTGTAGCATAAATGTTAAATTTCTGTATGAGTATATCCTGTGAATTTAAAAGCAACAGAACAGAGTGGCACCTGTGAAAATCTTTACTTCAATTATCGAAGGACTCTGAAAGATGTTTGCCAAGACCCACAGTTTGAAGTAGCCTGCCAAAAATTGCACACTGCTTGGATCTCTATCTGTGCTTAAAGTCACGGGGTGCTACTTGCAGTCAGTTTAGATAAAGTCTAAATAATTGATTGTGACATAAATCCCACCTCTGACAAGGACAACAGCCAGTCATGGGTTAGGATTTTTGGCTAACCAGATTTTGAAGCAAGATGCACCCCCCCATCTTAAGACGTCCCTGCTTAAAGATTACAAATATCACACCACTACTGGAATTTTTAAGTTTCAACATTCCCAAACTATGACCATAATATTCCCTTTTATGATGTTTTTATTCTGATGTAAGAGAAACAAGCTGAACACGGGTGTAAATACAATCCGTCTCTGAGCTCTCACAATGGAAATTCAAAGACTGCTAAACTGCTTTTTAGGACAAAGATGTAAATTCAAACTGATGAATTCATGGTTTATGAACTTTTGCCTCTCTTTTTCTTCTCTTTTCCTTTTTCTATTTTAACAACTCTTTAACAAAGTTCTAAGAAAACAAAAATGCCTTGACAGCAGAGTTTGTCATGTCTGTTTTCTAAATAATCAAAAATTCATCTCTCAGATGTAACGTCACTTACCAGTAAGATGAAAGTTCCCAGAAACTCAGCCATGCACTCCCTCACCAGGGCATTTGTCACTCTCGGGGCACGTTTTCTGAACATTGCTGGAGTTAGATCCCTCTTTTCATCTCCTGCTGAACTCTGTGTTTTGGGCGGGCTACCTTTTGAGCTGAGTGTCAGTCTGTACGAGAGCAGGCACACTCATGTGAGGGAGTACGCCCCGGAGCCAAAAGTAACCAAGTTTTCTGTTACTAACTCCACCTGAGCATCTGAGGACCTGTTCACTGTATCCTCTGTATGCCTCTGCTGGATCCACTGCTGTTCAAACACTGTTACTCATTAGTTGGGTTGTCTCACTTCAGGATTGGCTGGAGCAGGGTGTAATATTCCTCAGCTGTTATATGAACAGAGGCCATAAAAAAGCAGATTACGTGTTGAAAGCCCCGAAAGAATAAATTTAAAGCACAAACTGATCCTAAAAAAACAACAGTTTATTTACCGCTAACTCTTTATTTGTCAGTGTTTTCTTAAGCCACCCATCTTAAGACAAATCCAGAGACAGCTACGGGTTAGATTTAATCACAGGACAAATTAGAGCAGACCACATAAATATATTCATATATATAATTTACTCATTTTTTCCATCACAAATCTTTAAAATCCTCTCATCTAGGTATTGTAAAAAGTTTAAATTTCACAACTTATTTAAAGCTTATAAGAGGCTTTATGTTGATAATCTCCGAATTGTACAAAAAACAATTGCACAGATTATTTAAGGACTGCAGTGGAAAAAAAAGAGGGGGTTGTAAGAGAGGCCTCTCATCATCGGGCAGCAAGATGTCAGGATAACCTTGATGGGTAAACTCTGGACTCTTAATAAATTACATAACCAAAATAATAGACAGTGTGATTGAGCTTCATGGTGAAGGATCTTTCACTGCTGATAAATTCTAGAGAGGCACATGACTGTGGCACATAAAGGTGTTGACATAAGATAAGATGTAAAGAGTATATGACAGTTGTTACCCATCAATGAGGTGAAAAAAATGTTGATTTATGTCTTTTGTACAGCTGTTCTTCTTGAAAAAAGAAATATATTTCTATATTTTGACCGTGGTTATTGGTGTTAAAAGGGAAATGATTTTTTGTTTCCACAACACAAGCTTTGGTTTGTGGTTTTCAGGTCGTAAAATTAGTTGCGTCTAATCTAATCTTATCACATCCCCTTTTGAGGAGTATCTCTGTTTTGTTATGTGTAAGAGGACAGATACCTTTAACCCACAGAGATTTTACTGCAATCAGATGGAAAGATGATATTATATCATGCTATCTTTTTCTCTTAGCTGAAAGAATAAAAAAGCACCACTTTAAATTAAGATTTATTAAAAAAGCAAATGTAAACTCCAAATGAGGTTAACATATATTTACAGAATATCACAATATGGTTTTTGCATATACTGGTGTAACATGACAAGCCGACCAAACTACAAGTAACAAAAGTTGGTTTAAAGTTGCATATATCATCAGTGCACTTGAATTATGGCTGGTACAGAAATTTCCCAGGCCTGAGGTAGATCTTGTCGATATAGTGAGGAAAAATACAAACTTTTGCCCTGGTCTCCAAAATTCTATTCCTATTAGAAATTTGTATTTAAAAATAAAAGGCTTTAAACTAATAGCAGAATTAGCCCCAAATAGCTGAATTTATAGCTTATTATGTAATTAGTTACACAGTGCTTCTGTCATAGATGGCATGTGGAATCAGAGAATTTGATATTTCTCATGTGTCCAGGTGTTGAGGGCGACGCAGCACCACATCCACAGGCCCAGAGGGTAGTCTTCTGATAAACGTCCATGCCTCCAGACGTCTCATCCCCACCATGCTGACACCCTCGATCTCCACAACCTCATCCCCGGGACACACCTTTTCAACAGGACCTCCTACAAGGACAGAGTGCTTCACTGATGAATAAGTCTGTTATGGTACAGATACGTCAAGTTTGAATATATTTACTCTGGCAAAGTATATTTATTTATCTGCATGTAAAAAAAAAATGGGGTCTGTTTTCTTGTCTTTTTACAGCAGCCATGTTACACTAAAAACCTGAGCTTTGCATAGCCTTCAGAGAAAATGTGACCTCACTCACTCAAACCTTTGAGGAAAAGTTATAGACATGAATATTTAAAAAACATATATATTTTATTATCAATATACAATTCAGGCCTCATAATTCATATTTCTGGCCTACTTGTGACTTTTAGGTTCATCTCTTTGAGTTTAAACATTGATCAAATCTCTCACCCTGGAAGATCTTCTGTACAGTCAGGGGTTTGTCTTCCTGGCTGGAGCCTACACCTCCCTCAAGGCTGAACCCCAGGTCCCTGCTGTTTTTCTCCAGACGCACACACATAAGCTGGCCTAAGAGAGCACCAACAGCCAAAACACATGACTTTATACATGACACATACATGATTTTATATTTTCAGCAGATTTGATTGTGGTATCTGAACACTAACCTGCCTCACTGGCCTGAGTCTCTTTTGGCACTTGATTTTTTGTCTGTGATCCTTTGCTACTAACACTGCTTATCCCTCCTCTCCTCAAAACCACCACCCCCAAATCTCGAGTCTTTGCTCTCCTGAGGACCCTCAGGGCTTCCCAGTGGGCGTAACCGCCCAGTGCTGTGCCGTTGATCGACAACACCTGGTCCCCTTCCTTTATGGAGCCCTCCTGGGCTGCTACCCCTGAGTGGAACACCTTGTGAACCTAAAGGAAGACAACCAGAGCACATGAGGAGACTGAGGACACTGTCTTTGGATACTGTTTAAGTTAGAACAGGTTTTTCCTCACAGTGACTGGCTTGTTTTGGTCAATGCCTCCAGCCAAACTGAAACCCAGTCCCACTCCCACTTCCTTATGTAGAACAGCCACCTGGACGTCGTTATAGTCCTGTGAAGAACAAACAGGCGATGTGACTCTAATGGAGTTTCTAACAATTTAACACACAACTATGAAGGCCAGATATATAAAATAGAATATAAAATGCCACAATGTCTGACTAATGGCAACAAGGAATATATATGCAATATCTGTCATATCATGTCACACTACATGGCATAAAATCTTTGCTAGCAAATATTGTTCTTAGCTGAGGTCTTGTGAGTTAAAACAAGTTCTCAAATGTGTTGCTTTTACCTTCAATATAGTCTGATTTAAGTATGTGCTGTGATAACTATGTTCTGTTCAGTTTCTGATTGAGGGGAATAAAATGTTCATGATTTTCTGAAATTCTTTGCATTTAATAAAGTACAACTGCATAAGGGAAGAATAAGATTGCTGTTAAACATGAAAGCCCTAGCAAAAAATGTATTGTACCTGCAAAGTGCTGTCACCCAGGCTCCTGACATCCTCCAGCAGCTTATCGAGCTCCTCAGTGGGCATAACGGACACATAAGACAAGGCAGACATGTCTGAGCTCAAGGAGGCGGATCGCCGGCCTAAAGACTGCCAATCATCACTGTCATTCTCTGACTCATAGTCCACCCCGGCAAAGTTACAGAGATCTGAAAGACTACAGAGGAGAGTTCAGAGGGTTAGATGTGACCAGATACCAGATCCATGAGATCTACAGAACGTAAAGTTGAAAACAGTCCCCACCTGACACAGAAGCTCTTACGATCTGACTGGCTCATGTTGCTCGTAATGGTCACCGAGGACTCCCCAGAGTCTGAGTCATAGTTAGAGTCTTCATCTTTTTGTGTGCTTTCATCATCATCATCCTCATAATCTTCATCATTCCAGACGCTGATCATTGGGTTTAAGCCGGCAACCCAGGCGTCCAGGTCTAACACTTGATTCTTTCCCTTAGGAAAGACTTCATTGACAGCAGGGGAGGCAAGATCAGAGGGGTCACTGTTGGGTGGAGTGGCAACAGGGTGAGGGAGAGGTAGGATATCTGCTTCAGATGTTTTGGCTGCCTGTGTGAGGACGGGGGTGCTGTCGTTTTCTTTTTCTGGGATGGGGGTGGAGTTTTGTGGTTGAGATGACGGAATGAGTAAAGGTAAGTGGTGTGGAGTGTTTGTTGGTGTTTTGTCATCATCGCTGTCAGGTGAGGCAACCACGGTGGGTGTGGTTCTCTGGATACCATCAGGAGTGTCACTGGAGTCAGACAGGAATACAGAAGTTGGTTTTTCAATTGCCTCGTCAGGACTTGAGAGCTTGGAGAAATCAGACTCATCTATGTAGAAGTTGCATCGCCCTTGTTGATCTCCATTTATTTGGATCTCAAGGGTGCTTTTGACCCTGGAGTACTTTCCACAATCTTTAACACCCTTGTCTGTTTCCTTTTCTTCATTCTCAATCAAGTCTTCCTCTTCTCTCTCTTCTTCCTTTAATCTGAGTCCAGCTTCATTCACAGATAAAGACCTTTCTGACCCAAGCTTCTTTCCCGCTCTTATCTCCTCAGATTTCTCCCCTACATCTTTCAGTCCCCCCCATTTATCTTTCAATCCTATGGTTGGCCCGTTCTTTTTCTCTCCGCCGTGAGCTTTGCTGAGTTGTGTTGGCACAGAGAAAGCTCTTCTTGGCATGAGGACCTGTCCTGTAGCCAAACCTCGAACTCTCTGTGACAGAGCCTCAAACTGGTTAATCTTATTTCTAACACCAGCCGCGGAGTTGACCTCTGGAAATTTCTTCTTCTCTGTTGATTTCATTGAGGTTTTTGTCAGGTTTGACTCAAACACATCTTCATCAGTGCCGGCACCTTTCAATTCAGCTTTTTCTTTCACTCCATCACCAGGCTCTTGCTTACTTAGCCAACCAGTTCTTTCTCTTGGTGACCCATGCGTGACATTAACGTCCTGATTTTCCTCTCTGTGGTTCGCCCAGCTCCAGTCAGCACTTCCACTTAATCTTCTCTCTCTGAGTCCAGACCAATCCCTCAAAGAAACTGAACTCCTCTCGTGTAAGGATGTGTGTGACTGAGGAGGTGGTGTTGTTTCCTCTGCGGCCCTCGCAGCTCTTATTCGAGCTGCTACGGTGTTCCTGCTTCTTGCTCTATCCAGAGACATTGTGCCAATGTCCCCTAACTCCCCACTTAAGTTTAAGTCAGGGGTCTGTCCATAGCGCTGTTCCAATGGCGCCCTCTCTCTGGTCCTGTTGGTGGGAAATAAAGAGTCAGAACCTGGACTATCTCTTTGTGTCCAGGTGAATGAACTCCTGCTTTGCACTGGGAGGAGGCTGCTTGTCTGTCCTGATGAGAAACGCCTGGGGAAGGTCCCCCCTGATGTCCACTCATATGCTCTTGGCTGTTGTGGAATGGACGAGTCTTTGGTTGTGTCTTTATAATGGGAGGCCAAAGTGGCAGAACCTTCCATTTTACCAAAGCCGGCTGACCCGTAGAGTTTCTCTATCCGCTCCAGAATACTCTGACCACCTTTGGACCCAAAAGAAGCAGATGTCACTCTCACATTAGAGCATGGTCCTGACTGGGACCTTAATCTGGAGGGGAGAGAGTGTCCTCTGCTGGTCCGGTCCCAAGCCTGACCCATGTGACTGACTGGGCTTGTCTCTTGAACAGTATTACTTGTACCCACAGGGCTGTAATGGGCTTGCATTGAAGACATTACCCTTCCTCTGGGACCTTGAACTCCTGTCCTCTCATCCAGTTTATTCATGTCCCATGTTCGTCCAGTTGAGGAAACAAACATGTCTGTCCTTTTGCCTCTGTCAGGACTTCTTTGCCCTGCCCTCCAATCCAAGCTCTTGCTTCTACTAGGCAGGTTGTATCTCCTTATCTCTGTCCTGCCACGACTTTCAGATGCAAGGCTTGCACTTCTGTCCAATCCAAATGCTGTGACTGTTTTGTCTGCTGTTCCATTCTGGTCAAGGCTGGTCAACATTTTATATCCCACTGTGTCCTTCTCCTCACGCTGACCTATCAAACTCCCACTTCTGCCATCATAACCAGCAGCTTTGTGGTCCCCCTGATCAGCTGAACTGTATGCACCAGTCTGCGTAACATATCTTTCAAACTCTCCAGCTTCCTCAGAGCCGCCCCTGTCCTCCTCTAGAAAACCTCTGGGTTTCCTAACACCAGGCCGTCGCGTGAGGCTGTAGGAGGGGGAGCTGGCTGAGCGGACAGTGAAGAGCGCTCCTGCCCTCTGCCTGTTGTACTCACTCGCTGGAGTAGGGAGCAAAGACAAGTCCATTGTCCAAGAGTAAACAGAGTTAATGACCACCTGTGAAGTGCCAAAGCCCAAAAAGGGAGCGGAAGAGTGAACTTGATATTTAAGAGATTCCAAGCAACTATCTTTAACACTGCACTCTGGCAGCCGCCTCTCTGAATGCTGCAATTTTCAGTGTGCAAAAACAATTAAAACTGGCACTTTACAGTGTCCTTATTTGTGTTTTTTTTCTAACACAGAAACAAATCCTTGATAACAAAGTTTGATATTTCAGGGGTGCTCCTGATGTTTCTCTGCCTTGTGTTGGTGTAGATCTCTTGGAACCTCCTCTTGATTTCTTGTTGTTTGGTCCCTTGGAGTGTTTGCCTTCCCGGCATGACTCTAGGGAACAGCTCCCATTGCCTGCCAAGCAAAAAGAAAAAAAAATGTACAGATTTTCACCCTCGGAGTGGATAGGCCTGGAATGTTGTGATACGTGGATTGTGGTTTCCCTTGGCTCGTCGGAAATGTCAAACACAATCATAGAGTGGCTGAGGTCAATGATCACGACATATTTCACAGTGTAACTAAACAGACAGGAGCGGATGAGAAAATGACAAGAATAAAAACCAGGAAACAGATAAAGGATGAGAGCCTGATAGTTATAAACACCATATTATTCACACTCCTGTCAGTTATGTCACCTCAAAACACACCCCTGCCTTCCTGACATTCCCCCCACACTGACTCAATGAGTCCATTCACAGAACATAGACAGACTGGGATCATGCTCTCTGTTGTACACACGGATCATAACTACTGTTTACACAAGCAACATACTCATGACTACCTGTCAGCGTCAGCTAAACCTGAACCAAAAACTGGAAGAACTCACCAAACAGCAATCCAGTCAGCGAAAAACAATGTATTAAAGTGTCACAATCCGCCTCTGTGCGGCCCAGATCACAGAATCAAAAGGTTACAGTGAAACAAAGCTGGATTCATGAAAAATGATCAGATCCGATCAGATCAAAGTCGGCTTGGTTTACATTCTCATCCTGAGGGGCTGACAGCTTCACTGATATGATGACAGGAACTCATCAGGAACATCTATGGTTACAGACATCCAGTACAAAGATTAATCTTTGATCATCAATTAGGTCAAGATTTGAATCCAGTCATCTCTGTTGACAATAAACTCATAACCTGCCAAATGCTGTTCAACTGTACTCATATAATACAACAAGGAGACCTAGCTGTTTAAATTATGTGAAGATTTTTAGAAGTGTAAGTCACTGTGTGTAACTTTGTCAAAACAGTCCCTGTGGTGCTTTCCGATGCAGGTGAGGCTCAGTGTCAGTTTACAGAAACACCTGTTCTGCTAACAAACACAAAGCCTCCCATCTGGGTAACCGGGGCAACGCTGCACTTTACTTCAAACACTGATAAAAACAACAAGGGCAACACAAATCCACTCGAAATAACACATATTTCTTCCACAATTTAGTCCAGAGTCCACACATTCACAAAAAGATGCTCCTTACCTTTTCTAGCAGAGACCTCTGTACATGTCTGAGACCGTGGTGTTGACACAAGTTCATACTGAAGGCAGCTCTCTGCAGTGACATCAGCTCCTAACTCCTCTCTCTCTCTCTCTCTCTCTCTGTACATCAGCTTTGCATGATGGACTACGTACAGTGACGCAAACCTGCCACACTGGTTTACTCTCTTGTCCTCTCTCTCTCTCTGTGTCTGTTGCTCTCTCTCTCTTTCTCCTCCCCCTCTCATTGTTGTCTTCTCCCTCTTTTCCTCTCCTCACAGGGTAACATTCCTGCCTACAGTTCAATGTGTCACCCACTTAGCAGCTCAACAGGACTGGGAGTGCACACAGACACATATCACATGCTAACATTCACACCCTAAAGACAATTCAAACTTAGCCTCACATCAACATGTCATAGCTCAATGCAGAAGGAACACAATTCATAAAGATGTGTGAAATAGAGCAAGAAAGGTCTTTTATTATCACCCCACCTAAGGCAAACCCGAGTCTAGTTATCTGGGTATAACAGGTATCAAAATACATAATAACAGTGCACCTTTAATTGGGACCAGAGACAACAAAGAGCTCATACAAACCCAGAAATACCAGCTGGGATAAATATTGTTAAAAGTACACCTCTCGTGTGACACATGTTCAGGCTAACAGAGCTCAATTGGAAACATACTTGTTATGAATCCGTGGGTTTGTAATGCAGACTGGAGGAGGGAAATATTTGAGATTGCTGACAGGTTTTTACCAGAGGAAGAAGAAGAAGAAGAAAAGAAGAGGTATTGTTGTGGGGAAACTGGATTCTGCAGTGGGAGGATGAGCAAATTTGACCCCTTGAAGAGAAAGACAAAAACCAGACATAGAAATAAAAGACAAATAGTCGTGCTTACTGTTTGACGGGCGCGTAGACGCTCATGCTGTGACTGTTGCTGATTTGCATGCACCTGCTGCCGTCTTCCGTTAAGGAAACTGTGGTCACCACATGTTGTGACACTTAAAAAAAGGGGATGTCTTAATGTTTTTCTATGTCTGCAAAAGATCAGAACTTGACTGATTGAAAAAACATTGATACCAGGACTTTGATGATCCTCACAATGCTAAGTTAAACAGGCAGATGTCTGGTAGGTTGCATAGTCTTTTGTTAGTAAGTGTAATGGCAACAGTATGACTCCACAGACACCCACCCTTGTGCCTGACAGAAGAATGGCACTCAGTGTCCGTGCAGGATGGATGCAAATCAGTGTTGTGCTCACTGACACACTGGCTCTTTCAATGCGTTTCTGAGGGTGCAGGACTCAGAGAACTATGTGAGAAAGGGCAGCTTATGGTACTTAATCAGGATGTCACAGGGGATAAAAATAGTCACCACCAGTTACATTCTTGTCGAAGGAGATTTGAAGACAGCAAGAATGTTAAAAAAATGTCAGGCACCAAAAGATTGCGTTTAATCATATATAAACTGCACCTTTGATTGTGAGAGAACCTTTTTCACTGCATCTTTGCTCATATGCCAAAACATTTGTCTGTGATAAATCAGCTTAAAGGCTTACAATAACGCAAAAGAATCAAAGACTCCCTCTTCAGGACTAGTGTTATTTCTTATTCTTAAAACAGACACCTATAAATGCTTGAAGTAAAGCTTCTTTGAACTTTTTCTTAAGTTTATGTTTATGTTTACTTTATGTTTTCATTGCAGTATTTTAAATATATGTACATATCACGTTAAAACATGTGTAAGTGTAGACAAACTTTACATAAAACCTGTTAGAAATTGTAACCATTTCACATGTGCGCTTATATGTGTGGTCCATACAAACATAGAGGTTTCATATATTTTAACATATATGTTTTAAAAAAATCAAATGAGTAAAATTAATTCCGTAGTATACTTGCATTTATGTAATGAATGTATGTAGGGAAGAGTGGGGTAAGATGAGCCATTTTTCATATTTGGGATCACTACATCAAATCAATCATAGTTTTGTCTCTAACTAGTGTATCTGCATATATTTCAAGATGTTGTTCATCCCTGCAAACCAACAAAATGAGTGTAAACAGAACTGTCTTGATAATATAGCATGCCAAAAAAGTGGTCTCCTATGGTCAACTTACCCCGTGTATGGGGTAAATTGACCATAGAAACTCTGTCTAAAAAGTCATTTTAACATGAGAATGCCTTTAAGTGATTCAGAACATTCACAGCTGTATTTCTGAAAAGAAAAATTAAAACATTTCAACAATCTGAACTGAAACTCTGATCCTCTCATCAGACTCCTTTTCTTTTTCAGTTCAGCCACTGGCTCAATTTACCTCAAAACTACTATCATGACTTTATTAGTCCTCTAAGCTAAAATGGTGGACTTTTCTGCTCGGTTTTTGACCTCATGTTGTAGCTCATAGATACCACATTTGATGTATAAAACACATTTAAAATGATATTTTTTGGTCTGAACACAATTCTAATAAAACTTATGACAGACTAAATTCAATTCAAGAGTAAAAAATGTTTTTTGGAAATAAATGTCTAACTCCTTCATCTATGTGCTTCTAACCTTCACAGACTCCATGAATTGATGCCCATCTCCTAAATATTTGGTCACATGATTAATTTCTTTTACCATTTCTAAGTAACAGGAGGTGGCTCAACTTACCCCACTCTCACCTATATGATAGTAAATTATTTGCCGTGGCAACCTCCATCCTGACATGTTATAAATAAAATTTCTGTAAGAGTGGACAGATTATTTCGAGCACTTCAAGTGTTGTCTGTTGAGAATCGGACACAGACTATTGTTACCCAGTGAGTAAAAACCACAGACTGTAAAAACTCTCACAACTGTAAAGGTAGTGGAGGTTGAAGAGACATTTTTAGCGTCAAAACGAACCTCAAATTTGTGGCTTTATCAAAATAACTCACAGCTATTGCTAGTTTCTGTTTTCTCCTGTTCCTCCTCATCATTTGTTGATTTGTTTGTCAGTTGGTTTGTCGTCGCGAGGATTCTTTAAACAGCAGACGGCAGCAGACACCATGAATCGTCACAGCAGGTGTTGCGCCGTAGAATGCACCCCAAACGTTTGATGCATCCCCTGTCGGGAGCGCGGTTGAAAGTACATAACAAGGCGAAATAATCCAAGTTTTCATTACCGTTGGATGAATTTAAAGCGTGTGCCTTTAATGATTTCATTCAGGTCATTCAGATAAGCCGAAAACAATAGCCTTCTGATTCAGAATATCTGCTGTCCCGAAAATGTATTGTTCTCTGCCTTGACAGCTTACTGTACAGTTTATATACCCAAGTACACCTCTATATGTGCATTTTTTAGACACGTAAAACAGAGCAAAAGTATGCTTTTCCATCTAACATGGTATCATGATCCAAATAATCGTGTTTTTGTCAAATATAAGCTCATTTTCTTCCACTTTAAGGAGCTAATGAGTGGGAGGGATGCAGGGGTGCAGTCTGCGGCACAACACCGGCCGGCGTCGCCCAGGCTTTCAACGGTCACATGATCAACGCGGAAGACAACAACTCAGTGAAATGTAAGAAACAAGAGCGCCTAACTTTACTATAGTCCTCTGTCCTTTGTGTTTTGTCCAACGTCAGTGTAATGTAGCAAACAAAGACGGCTTAGATGAAACCGTGTGCCTTAAAGCGGTGTTGGAAGTACAGTGAAGTGTCGTTCAGCTGATGTTAACGTGCAGGGTCAAGATGAAGAAGAACGAGTCTCTTCTGTCCAGTATTAACGTGGTCCTGGTCATGGCCTACGGAAGTCTGGTGAGTTTGTCTTTATCTGTTATTTTTACTGCAATCAACCTCGACAATAGTCAATATCTCAAAAAAATCTGATTTTGTACCTCAAACTTTCTTTGTGCCAAACTTCTTATTATACTGTTAGAAACAACTGAAAAAGAAGAAATCATCTGCCTGGACACACATCTCCTTCAGTTTAAATGTTGAAATTGTACGTTGAGGTACAAAAAGATACAAAAAGCATTAACAAGGATTAACAAGAATTTCTCTGTGAGACATTAACTCATCACTGATCACATTAAATTATATAACTATGAGACTAGGTCATATGTGTCCTTAATTACAGCACAGTGTTTTTGCAGAGCACTGGCAGCAGTTGACAAGACTTTACCTCTATCTAATTTCACAAACGACCACCTGAAACACCTTAATCTTTACTGTTTATCTAACAGGATGAAATCAGAATACTGTTTTGATAGGCCTAAGCATCCTTGCCTCAGATTTGTGTGTTTTGTGTTCTTCTACACTTCTTAAAATTAGATATATCTGGTAACCAGAAAATGCTTCACCATTATATATGTTCCACTGTATTTAGTACCCAGTTTGAAATCCCATCACAACATAGTAGGGCTGAGCGATAAAACCATAATGATACATATCGAAGATTAACTTCCCTCGATATCGATATGACGCGTGGTCAAAATGCTTTTCGATACTCGGCATTCTGCCATGTTTTGGTAGATTACACGAATAGCCGATGAAAAGGGGAGTTGCTTCAAGTCCACACAGCGCTGAACCAATCATGTGCTGAATCAGAACCACGTAGAAAACAACTGCCTAGTAGCAGGCTGCAGTTACACGCAACCATGGCACTTAAACATGTGAAGCCGACAGCACTGTCAGTAAGAAAAAAAAGAAAAGGTGTTTTGGTTTTTTGAGGTCGGACACGCAGCAGAGTAATGAACAGACAGACAAACCAATAGCACCAAAGTGAATATGAAAGAACAAAAACAAGTGGATTGAAGGTAACATCCAATTAAAAATGCATTTCCAAAAATGATAACACATTTAGTGATGCCCTGTTTTCAGACTCGACAGTTAAAAGTATTCAGGGAAGGTATCCAAAGTTATCTTCATTCAGGCTGCCTTTTTTACAACATGCACAAGTAATTTCTGTTACTGTGTGGTTTTGTTTACCTTCTACACCACTCTTGACAGAAGCCGTTAACAACTTTTGACTTTCCCCCAGGTGTTTGTTTTGCTGTTTATCTTTGTCAAAAGACAAATTATGCGTTTTGCCATGAAGTCCAGGAGAGGGCCACATGTCCCCCTAGGCCACAATGCTCCAAAGGTAACACACACTCACAGACACAGTGTGATGCTGCTCACTCCCTATGGATTTAGTACAATATCATAATATCTGACCATCTTGTGTGTGTGTGTCCTTTAGGAGTTGAGGCAAGAAATTGAAGCCAAACTCTCTCAAGTTCAGAAAATCAGCTTCGAACCTCGTCTGCTGTCTCCAGATGATGACCGGTTAAAACACATGGATCAGTCAGGTTAGACAGACGCACAAACACTAGCACACCAGTACTGAAATATCCTCTGCAGGAGTGATACAGTCAACATTTATTCAAATGTGCTGCAGGTTCCTACGACTACCTGTATAGGATGAGAGCACTGGATGCCGTCAGAGACATAGGTGAGCTCTTCATCAGTGATCTGGTATTGCTTTTGTTTTCATCATAAAATACTATAAATTAAACCACGTTGTTTAAAATTGACCTGAATTTTCTGTCATTAGATCTCCCTTTCCGGGAACTTGGCGGGACGTCCACTGCTGTGACGGGTAAAAGACTTCGGACATGGCTTCTCCAGCTGAAAAATTCACACTGCATGTTCAGAGGAAACCTCATCGACACTGTATTGGACGGGTACAATAAAGCACGCCATGGGTCAGAGGTCAGTGTCTTTGTGTGTATTTGTGGGCCAGAGATTTACCACCTCATCACACCTATAAAAACAATGCTGAACAGATCTTTGTGGAAAGCGATGTAGAAATTGAGCTTGAAAATATACCGTTGAGGTACTGAGTTGGTGTCATTCACAAACTGAAAAAAGAGACAACAACTGCTGCTTATAAGTTGGTGCTAGATACCACAGGGAACCTTGAAAAATTGTGTGAAGTCCTGCCCTGATGGGTCAGAGATATTTTAGTGTTACGAGAAGCTGCAGCTTGACAGGCTTGTTGTACAAACATGTTGTCTTATCCATATAACAATCCTAATTACTGTTTGCTTTTGCTTTCTTTTGAAATCTGCTCTGATGTCCTTTTTCTGAATTCATTTTTAGGCTTTTGGTAAAGCAGAGTTTGAAAAATACCAGGAGGCTCTGACTGAACTGGCCTCTGCGTGAGTACCAAGGCCTTTTCCCACAGTGTTTCACTTACAGCTCTCCCTTTTGTGCTAATCCCATCATGGAATGTTAATTATGTCCAAGGAACAACCTGCTTTCCCTTTGTGTTTTTTTAGTGTTAAATCTCACTACAGCAGCGGCAGCTCTCCAAGCCAGCACCACCAGTCTGCAGCCAAAGACCTGACCAACACGATGGAGCCTGCGAGCTCTTCCTCCTCCCCAACACAAACCACCTACCTCACATCCTCAGCGCAGCAGCGCAGCAAGCGGCCCAGACACTTCCTGGAGCTTAAGAACTTCAAAGACAACTACAACACGCTGGACAGTACGTTCTGAAAACCTACCAAGCCTGCCATGAAGAAAGGTGAAAGAGCTGCCAAGGATTTACTGTCACTGTAGCTGGATAGTTCAGAGTGGAGTGATAGGAGCACTGCCTTTAATACTTACACATACTGCCTGATTTAGAATAAAGTGCACATCAGATTACCAGTATACTGTGCATAAACTAAGTGTAGCGTATGCATATATCCTGTGTAAATGCATGTTTGAATAAGCGTTGATTTGACCAAAACAAAAGGAGCGCTTTAGAGCTATGCAAACGCATAAGACAATCAGTATTTATTGCACAATATAACCGCCTATGCAGACTTGTTGAAATTAACCAATGGTGTTTAAATAGGAAACAATGTTTGCAAAAAAAGCAGTATTAATAGTCGCCATGCACTGTTAATTTTATTGTTTACGTCTCTTAGTGCCTCTGCTGTCAACAGCGAATGTGACTGCCTTTTTTTTTAGCCTTAATGTTCACTCTATAGAAGCCATACTTTGTACTTAATTTAATGAATTGTGATGGTTAGCTGGGGTTTTGATTCAACAGTATTCTTGCGTATTAATTTATCTGAATGTGGGGGGGAAGTCTTTCTTTCTCCTCTCGTCTTTTTTTTAAAAGGTCTAGAAATGTCTGAACTGCTGTTTTTCAGGAAGCATCTTTGTGCCTTAGTGTTTTTAATTTTCTGTGCTTCTTATTGCAAGTCACCTCCAAAATAAAAGCAAGAAATGCTGTCTAAATAGTGCAGTTTTCAGTCAATTTACTGTCATTTCTAGTCTTGTGTCCAGCAGAGGGCGCTCCTGTCTCAATGATCACATTACAGCATGAACTCGTAACTCTTGAGAATTTTATTGGAGTATTTTATTCTGAAACACAAACAAAGTTGATAACATACTTCAGAAAAAAATCGTCACACTCTCTGACTAGAGTTTTTTTTCTTTAATATAAATAAATACAAAGAAAGAGTTGTTAGGCAAGAGTGGAAACATCCAAACACATTCATAAATATTTACAAAACAACATAAATTTGCACAATGACGAAGCTGAAATGCTTTACAGGAAATAAAAGATAGAAATAGAACGACACTTCTATGAAGCAGTTAGTCAAAGTTTCTTCATCGTCGCTGACTCTCGTTTTTCTGCTGCTTCCTCACAGTTTCATAAGGTGCCATGTTATTTATGGCTTAAGAAACAAGTTTATCTAAAACTGAAACACAGCTGGTTTTTAACTTTATATCGACTACATTAAGTATTTACACATTTGAAGCAATTTACTGTTCAATCTACTGAGTGAACAGAGTCATGGGTAAGTGGTGTGTACAAAGACGTTGAATGTAGGTCGACTTGTTAATGGTTTTTACATGAAGCGCTAGCTTAGTTAGCTTTGTTTGCTACATTTCTGAGAGATTTTACAACTTCTTAACCCACTTTGGCAACACAACTGCACCTTGCCCCACATTTTTGTTTGAACGAAACGTCAATGTCATAAACTCAAAGGTTACAAAACGAAACAGGGCAGGGCGAAGAAACTCGCACAACAAAGAATCAGTACAACATATAAAACTTCAAATGCACCTCAGCTGAGTCAGTACGCTTAGTGTTTCTACGTTAAAGTGGACAAACAGACGCCATAGAGTTTCCTTCAACAATGTAAGTGGTGGACCACTGTGGACCACTTTAGTGTAAGTGTTGATGTGTTTGCGGTCTACAAAGCTCCGCTCCTGCATCCAAAACATTCATGAGTTCAGATGTGGTGCTGTTTGGTTTCGGTTTGGTGGTTCAGTGACCTTTGACACTTTGAGTGTGTTTCTCCCGCGTCGTCGCTTCAAGACTTGATCTCGATGACTTTGATGAAAGGGAGCGGTTTGTTGGATGTGGTGGATGGCTTGAGCGGTTTGCTGGAGAAATGAGAGGGACGAAGATGTTATTACGTGGTCTTGTGTTCGACCGAGTTATTTGATTACAGGCTGAAATATTTGACGTAAGGTTATTGTTCTGAAACTCATGATTTCACCACTTAAAACAACTTAAAACACAGACAGAAAAGACAGTTAAGTTACCTGTATACGATTTGGGGGTTGCGTTCTGATGATAGGTAGGAATTTGACCTTTGACCTCCCAAGAAGAAGTCCATCTGATCATGCATCTCCCGGTTCTGCACATAGAAAATGTCAAGAATCAGTTGGCGAGAATAGATGAATATGATGGTTGCATCTCTTTCAAACTGCTGAGGGTCTGATCTTTTCTGTACATAACCTAACCTGGCATTCACGATATCCATAAATAATTTCAAGAGAAGAAGACTATGCGCATCTCTCACCTCAGCCTCCAAGAAAGCCACTTTCTCCTCCAGCTCTTTGATAACTCGGTCCCTCTCCTGAATCACCATGCGCGAGTTCTGGAGCTGAAAACAGAGCAAACACACAGTCAGGCGGAGTGAAACCCCTGCACAAATATGAACACTGAGACACTGTGTTTACGTTACTGAGTCTCACACATGTGCGCCTCACCTGCTCGATCATGTGTCGGACTTTCCTTTGCTGGCATTTCAGCATGTCATCCAGATGGTGGATCTTTTCTTTGAGAACAGCCACCTCCTTCTCCAGCTGCTCGGCCCTAAAAATACACACATACACTTAGAACCCTCTAATCCTGAGTGGATTGTCTTTATTTATTCTGTGTGCGTGCATTTGTATGCTGTTCAATTCACCTTTGCCCGCCTTTCTGGCCTTGTTCTCTGATGCTCTGCAGCTCGCGGAGTTCCTCCTCACGGTTGCGGATTGTCTCCCGCAGGGCAGCGCTCTCTTGCTCCATCCCTCCCAGCAGCCTTTGCAGCTCATCAATGCGCTGGTCTTTCTTCTCATGGTCTTCTTCTGCGATTTTTAACTTCTGCTCCTGGCTGCTCAGATGCTCCCTCAGCTTAGTGCCTTCTGCCTAGAAGATACATGGTTTACTTAGCTTAAAATCTGACTGAAAAGCAGTAAAAAAAACAGTAGTTATAAAGCACAGAAGTCAGTTCTTGGCTCTTGTGGAGGTGTGTTACCTGCAGCCTCTCTTTCTCCTCCTGGTGTTTCTTCTCTGCCTCCTGGAGCTGTGCGTACAAGCGCTTACTGACCTCCCTCAGCTTGGTTCTCTCTGCTTCTTCTTCTGCATCCTGAAAGAAAAAGAATCAAGCGTCAGATCAGCAGAAGGATGATGTAAGGTCCTGAGGCTGAATCTGAGTCCAGATCTTAATCCCATAGAGAGTGTGCAACCAAATGAAAAGGGTGTTCCCTTGAAATCCAGCTGGGTCCTGATGTGCAAACTGATAGAGAGTCAAAACTGTGAGCGCTGCCAAATGTGCATCTGCTAACTTTGAGCAGGCGAACACTAAGCAAACATTTCATGTATCTTTAATACTTTAAGTAAACATTACGGATGATTTTACAGTCATTACTAATAAAATCATCCTTCTTTAACTCTATCACTGCACATAAGTATGAAACCAAAAACAGAAAGAGAAAGAAAAGGTGGGTTGCAGTATCAGGACTAGTCAAAATCCCAAGAGAATAAAGCTGTAGAGGATCAAGCTGTATTGTTCTGCTAAGAGCTCATATCAATGCAAATAAAAAGTTGTTTTAAAGTTATAACAATTTGGAAATAAAGTCATTCTATTACAAGAGTAAAATCCTATAAAGTTATAATTTTGTGAGCAGCCAGTTTCCTCTGCCAAAATGATAATCATAAGGCGGCCCTAACACTCCACTGCAAGTCATGAAAGCAGAAGAAATACACCTAAGTTCACACACAAATGTTTATAGGTTATATAAATATGTTCAAACAATTAAAGGACATTTGAGGTAAAATCATGCCAGCATTTCTCCCAGAATTCATTACATTTGATTTTGTGAGCACTTCTAGATCTATTCAAGTGTCGTTAAAATCACTGATCGGTCAATTTGATGAAGTTTTGCTTCACTTTGGTGTGAAGGACACTTTCCTGATGATCAGCATCTAATTTGTCAATCCACTATAGAAGGAAAAAACTAGAAGATTATTGTACAAAGTTTCTCTGTAAAGCGAGGTCATAATGTATGGAAAGTTAAGTAGATGTAGAACATATTCTTCAGCTGATGTAATTATAGTCTTGTTTTTGTTTCCAGTGAGCTCAGTGGGTTTGGCTGTCATAAAGAAAAAACAGGCGTGTCGACGTGCGTCACTGGAGCAGTTGGAGAGTTTCCCTCCTGTTCCTGTTCCTGCAGCACCTCTGTGAGCGAGCAATCGCGTGACTCACGGTTAATGCAGCCAATTAAAGTAAACATCATGTTTGTTGTATTTGTACACAAACACCGACATGCAGACAGTTGTGGTTGCTAAAGGTGCTTGAAGATAGCAACAAAACTATTAAAGAGGGAGCATCTGTGGAATGCTGGCAACAATGAGGAACACCGAAACACATGTGAGGAGGGGAACAGTTTGTGCCTGAACCGCGTTCTCACACATTTACACGCACCCCAGGGTGCTTGGAGTATATTTTTACAGTCTCTCTGTCATTTGAATCCCTTTCTTTTCCTGCTTTATCACATTATTCTCTTTAACATGACACTCCTCACTCTCTGTTTGCCTTCAGGAGGTGACTGCTTCGCACGAAAACACATCTCTAAGCAACAATTAAAAATGTTTGAATCTGTCCAGCTGGACTGAGAGTTCGATACAACTTTGCACATGAGAGACTGCTCACCTGTCCGTCAGCTTTAGCTCCGCCCTTAGAGGCAGATGAGCTCTTTTTGAAGGGAACGCCAACTTTCCACCCATTTGTGTGCGGCTTGGAAAAGAAAAGAAGGAAGTGCGTGAGGAAGCAGTGAAAGATGGAGGCGCAGATACGTGGAGGAAACACCATTAAGCACACAGGGTGGGAGATACAACAAAAAGCAGCTCAAAATAGACCTACCTTGGTCTTGGCTGCCATCTGCTCCCTCAGAGTCTTCAGGCAGTACCTCACCTGTTTGAAACACAAAGAGACGTGAATCCTGAGACGGTTGAATGGATATTTTTTAGTGTGTAAAGTAACAAGTGTGGAAGAGACATGGGCAGAGAGCAGGAAGGAATTTACATGATGCAAACATGCAAGTTGTTATATAAGCCGGTCTCTGCTGTCTGTGTTAGTGTGAAAGTGGGGGTACACACTGACCTCCTGTATCTGTGAAACTTCATCTGACAGCATCTTCAGGCTCTGCTGGTGCTTCTGCTGCTCCTGTTTGCGTGCCTCTAGATAAACCTGGCACGACAAGGGATATCAAACACGGATGTTGAACACAAACATAGGTGATCACAAAACAAACACAGGCCATCTATTCCCTCACCGCCGAAAGAAACAAGGCGTCACCCACCTTGATAACCTCCACCTGCTCCTGAGTAGTTTTGACTGGTTCTGGGGCGAAAGATGTCCTGTCGCTGGCTGGCTGCACAAGTGCGAAGGCTCGTCCGATCGGCTGAGGATAAAGAGAGCAGAGGAATTATGCATGCTTTGTCTGGGTGTGATACATTTCCAAACCACATACGCAAATGAGTGAAGTCACCGTGTTTTGCTCGCCCTAGAGGAAGAGTTAAAGCATGTGTCGGATTAAGATTGCACAACAAAATTCAGTGCGACGGCCAGAAGTGCTTCCTTTGATGAATATTGTGAAACATCTGTTTGGATCGTCTGATGGGAATGATGCAATTTAACGATTAGAGTTCATAAAGCAAACTCTTTGTCCAGCAGTCTTTTCCTGATCAAATTATTTCTGTGCGCCTGGGACTGACTGTGACTCAGTAATTTCTCAGGAACAAACATTTAGCTAGAATCGCTGTGGAGACTGATCTGTAAACATCTGGTGCCACTTTGAAAGTGGTAGTCAGACTTGGTCGAAACCAAAAGTAGAGAGAGAGAGACTCATACAGAAGAAGGGGGAGGGATATTATGTAACTGCCGCTCTGGTGGTCTTGTTTTTTTTTTCTCTTTTTTTTTGTACGCCAGGCGCTGGTTTTGGTAGAACAATGGCCGTCTTGAGACGACCTGAGCGGCCATGTGTGGGAACCAAGCAAATGAAACACTGGTGGCAGCTATGGCATGTTTACAAGCAGAGTGAGTTTCTGTGGAGTTCGTGAGGAGCAGGAATGTGGCGCTGTAGATGCGTGAGTGAACGCTCGCTATGAAGTAATATCTTGGGGATTATTGAGAAGCTTTACTGTCCAGACTTCCAGATCCAAATATGGTTTGAATGATGAGCACCATCACCTTAAGTGTCCTGTTTTTTCTCCTTAAAGAAACTCTCCATCCTCACGTCTAATAAGAACTCCATCCAAGTTTGTCCATTTAAGATTTAAAAAATCTGCTCAAATCTAATTACATAATATCTTTCCATCAAGAATTCAAACTATGAATTACACGTCATCTTCAAAAGTTGATCCTCCGACTTATTTTCTCAGCTACGGTGACACAAACTTGGTTATAAAGGTGCAGGAAGTTCTTCTTACCTTGTCTCTGTGCTGATCTGTGCTCCTCTCTGGGCTCTGGCTGTGAAGTGTGAGCCGCAGCCGCCTGCACCCGTCCTGGAAAGAAAAAAGGGCAATGAAGAAATGAGATGTTGAAGTAAATCCACAAAGAGACCGTTATGTGATGGAGAGGCAGATTGAGAACTATTTTGAGGAGGAGAGGGGAAAAAAGAGGAGGAGAGTCTGAGTCATAGTCACTAAATGAAACTGAACAGGAGGGAGAGAGACGGGGGAGTATCCAGTAAGAGAGCGAGGAGGGGGTACAAGCGTCAGGGAGAAAGTTGAAAGTTTTACGCAGCCACACAGAGACAGATTGTTTGATTTTAACTGTGTGCTGTGGACGTCAGAGGGACTTAAGGCGGAAACTCTCCAGGCGCCCTCAGCCAATGAGAAACAGCGGCTGGATTTCTGGGAAAGCAGGCAGATAATGTATTGTCAAACAAGACAAGACATTACCATGGCAACAAATTCTCACAGTAGCCATAAACAATCTGGCACTTGAGAGCAAGAAGTTTGTCGGGGGAGAAGAAATGCACAGATGCAGCAGTCAACAAAAACCCTTTAAAACAACACAAACAAACCGTCCTCCTTTTAATTGAATTCACCGGGGAGGGAGAGCGAAGTTAAACAGGAAACGTCTGGAGCAGGACGTGACTCTATGAGTGTGTGAGTGCACCACAGGGAAACCCCTTCTATGTGATACACAACAAAGTGTATGTTGTGTGTGTAAGAATGCGGATGCAAGGGAGAAGGTCAGAGACATTATATAACATCGTGTTCTGTTTATTTTCCAGAGTATCCTCTCGGTGTCGACTGTGAGACACACAGCAGGCGGCGGAAGAATGTCTGCAATGCTCTGCTAGTGCAAAACACACACACACACACACACGCACACACACACGCACACACAAACACACACACACATCAGCAATAAACAAGAATGTACGCGCATTATCAAATCTATTGCCAAGATATTATGTTGATACAAGAGGTTAATGATCCACAAAGGATTCAGTGGAATTTGAAAACAATTGACTGAGATAATGTGTGTGTGTGTGTGTGTGTGTGTGTGTGTGTGTGTGTGTGTGTGTGTGTGTGTGTGTGTGTGTGTGTGTGTGTGTGTGTGTGTGTGTGTGTGTGTGTGTGTGTGTGTGTGTGTGGGAGCAAATTAGAGCGGGTGTGTGTGCAACCCTATTTGGCCTCTCTTTTTGTTCCCTTTGTTTTTTCAAGTGCATAAAAGGCCAAGCCACCCTGCGTTACCTTGTATGTCCAGTCAGGACTGCTGCAGACTTTGTTTTTGCAGCAGACTAAACAATGTGATCCCAGCGTACATTTGTGGCTTTCAAAGGAGATTTTTATTTCATCATATGATTTTTGTTTGCAGATGGAATTCAACTAATGTGGAAAACATGTTTGAGTTGAATTATGAGCAAATCAAGAATCTAAAATTATGTAATATTACAAAAAAGGCTTTTATTGTGTAAAAATGCCACATTTTTTGACTCAGTCTGAGAGAATTTGCTTATTTTTGCCATAAATGAGTGAATATGTTCACCTGTGCACACATTGCCAGCGGAGCCAGCTCTTTTTTTTTGTTTTTTATTTTCAATTCAAGTTTTTATGGAACTTTTCCAGGCATGGTACATGGCAAACTTAGTATTTTTCTCCAGACAGGAACAGGAAGTTATTAGGAGTGAACTGTGACAGACTTGTCACCTTTTTATCTCTCGAAGGGCAGAAAATGAAAAAAAGTGAGTACACAATACTATCAACAAAACATGCATCATATCTGTCCACACTCCCCCCCTGAAGGAAGCATAAAAAACAAGAAAACTAGAATCCTGAAACCTCCTGTGGGCCATTATTCACCTTTATGTAGTCCCAGAACCAGAGCCAGCTCTTTAAATTGCCGACACATTAACAACTTGACCGTATTAAGTTAATAAATTGCTAAAAACTAATAAAGGTTCAAGGATAAAGAACATATGTGCTGTTTTAAAACTCATCTGTATCAGCAGTTTATGGTCTAACTTGTAATCAAGGTGAAAAAAGGACATTTATGGTGTTATCTCCCTGTGTGTGCTGACGTGCGGTATGCCCCAACCTTGATGTTTGCCAGACGGAGGATATTAACTGGGTTGAGTTGCATAACGCTCTGATAAAGAGCGGTGAGAGCTGACAAAAAAGAAGGGATCTATAGACAATAGGAGGCCTGTATGATTAGCTTGTTATCTGTCCAGGAAGTACAGTAAGGCAGGGAGAACCAGAGAGGAACAGCTGAAATGAGAAGTTAAGAGTAGTCGGACAAAGAGACAAAAGGCAGCAGCAAGAACAATGAGAGGGGCAGAGGAAATATCCCATTAGCTGTGGTGGCGGTCCAACTATGTCAGATGGAAACTCAGGGAAACGAAAGCAAAGAATTCCCCTCTTGGTGAACATGCTTTCTGCTCAGATTACACCTTAGAGCTTTAATGGGGCATACACATCGAGAGAGGGAGAGAGAGAGGAACAGAGGGACGGTTGTCCAGAAAGAATCCATTATTATGCAACTTCTCCAACCATTCATAGATGACCAAACAAAGACTGGACTAATCCTCTCTTTGCCATTGACTATTTTACACACCAGGCCCTCTGCCTGCTCTGTCTTTGATACACACACACGCACAAAAATGCCACTTCCTTAGACAACCTGTAATACTAGACTTCATGGGAACACAGACAAAGGGACCAGTTGGATGTGATCATAGAACAGTGACGTCTCCCCGCGCATGTTCGTACCCTTTCACACGCAGATACACACAGTAACCTGCGGTACACATTAGCTTTCCAACAGGGCAGAAACTTGACACTAAGCTCACACACGGTGTCCACGCTGCTGGGTGCTACGACAAAAGATCACGGGGGTAAACCCGGGCTAAAAGGCTTACATGGCATGAAGACGCTTTTGTTTTGGGCTCTGGCATCTGAAGGTCTGTGAATAATCTGGGTTAAATTAACTGGGAAGAGCTTCTCCAAAGCTGTGCACACCGTGAAAAAGGTTCCTGGTATAAAATAGTTCAAATTCATTTGATCACAGGTAGCTGCAAGGAGCACCGCCATAAATAGTAAATCATCTTTTAGTGCCTCCAGGTGTAATACCTGCACGCCACAAACGCATTCCTCAAGCTCAAGATTGTGCGCAGATGCGAGTTAAATCACTCAAAGCCTTCTTTGCGCTGCTTTCACCATCACCTGCTGCACAGATGTCACTTTTGTCTTGTGTCCAGGTGATTTATAAACCTCAGCCTCAGAGGCGACAGGTATGAGCCAAAGGCCGCAGGTGTCAATACACTTTCTAAGTTTCCGTACTTTATTTACGCCAAGAGTTACAACAAAAAGCTTCTTTTCACCATAGGAGCTGACTTGGCGCTTCCTCATTCCTGTCTGAAATGCTGTGAATACTATGCAGAAAAAAAACAGCCTTGACCTTTAGATCAGGAAATATTCTACATGTGTAAACTTTTGATACGTATCACAGTTACGGAAACTTAGTTCTGCAGAAACATTTTTCTGCTGCTCAACACGGTTTTAAACCAAAAGAAGGAGATATAAGACAACTACAGACACACACAGTCTCAAATAGACACAAAACAATGACTCAAATAATCACAAGGAGACAAAAAACGTAAAAACAGAAATATATGAAGCAACCACAAAGAGATGTGATTGACTTTGGAGGGTCACAAATGACAGAAAACAGACAAAAATAAAGTTTCATCAGTAAAACAAAAGACAAAAAACTATCGAAAAAAAACTCTGACTATTGCAGTGGCACACAGCAGAACTACAAGGAGACTTGAATGACCAAACCAGGATATGAAGTACAATGAGAAGACTCTGTGGCAACAAAAGAGACGCATCAAACTACAAAAAAAAAAAATACTACAAGAAGACAATAATCACAAAAACATACATGAATAGATAAAGACACAAACAAAAGATGTGCACGCTCTAGTGCCCTGGGTAGTGACTGCTAGGCTCAGTCAGTCAGTGGTCAAACAAAAGTAAAAGGTTAAGATAAAGCCTGTGTAAACTTGAACGCTAAAAGATAACTAAGGTGCGATGTGTGGGTAAAGGATTCGGGCGTGTCTTACCATCCTGTGAGAAAATGAGTAGGTCAACATTGAGGGTAAACAGTTAGCTCACAACACTTAAACCTGAGTCACGACAGAGCACCAGAATTAACTACACTGTGATGGAGAACGCAATAACGATTTCAACAGTCATCTTGCTGTCAATCACATTAACCTGTTTTTACCACCTCTCTGTGTTGCGTGTAAAGCAGGTGTACTCATATATTCCCGTCTTTCCCCTACATAGATAAGACTATAGGTCATGTCTGGTACGTTTCCAGCAAATAACGTCAGACTCTTCAGACTGACATGCTGACTGGAGATGAGGACTAACAGAAGGAATGCGCTATGTCACACAAAACAGGGAAAATAAACGGCTGAGGGGATAATTGTGGCGTGATTTAAAATGTTCCCGTCTCAGTTCACCAGGTTTGAAGGGAGGAGATATTGTGAGGAATATTTCATGTAAATTTCAGATAATCACTGTTTTTTTTTTTTCCACACTGTTTCAAAGTCAGGCCTGGATGTTCCTTCAGTTTTATCTCAGATCCTATCATCCCAGTTCCAGGAAACACAAATATCTTCAAAAGACCGACTAACTCTGGAGGTTTTTCTCTGACACTTTAGGCGCAAATGTATCCTTCTAGTGATGACTTTTGTGTGTTATTCTGTAAGAATCATGAAATGTTACATGTCATGGTGAAATGTCTCTTCTGCTCTGTTTAGTCTGACCCTGTGCGTGATAAGCCTATCAGATATGTAAATACTGTAGCTAGGGAACTATTTGACTATAAGATTAGACTTTTATGAAGATGAATTTGCCTCCTGTATGCAGCTTATGTAATGTGACACGTTTTAATGCAATGCATGTTTACTTAAATAGAGGCTGAAACTTCACAGTTTCACATTTTGATTGATAACACATCCCTCAGCTGAATTAATCAGTTTTATTATGTGAGTGTAGTTCTGCCCTTTCTACACTTTGACCTCTGTGGCACTCAAAGCAACACTTACACAACAGCAACTGATACCTGAGTCTAGACCACTGACACAAATGTAGAATCAGGCTTTTAAAACCCCCTCTAATCTTTATCAATTGACTTTATAAATAAAATAATGGTGGTTGAGACTGATCCTCATTATGCTCCCTTTTAAAGGCTATGATCTGATATCTGAGCTCTGTGCTGTTGGAAGGTACTGAAGCGAGCAGGAGGCAGCAGATAAGGTGAAAGTGTCATGTTGCTCTGCAACCTCATAAACCTCAGGACAGGTGAACAGTTTACTTTTCCAGGCGGGGTAAATGATTAGATGTTTGGTGCTACAGACAGAGAAAAGAGCTCATCTAACACATGAGGACCTCAGAGAGGATTTGCATGCACAGGTCATGAACATACAGCGAAAGAGGAGTTTCAACAGGTTTCTTTCCTGAGCTTCCTCCACCGCCTGTCACCATTAAAAGCATAAGCCCTTAAACGATGCAGCAGAAGTAGCCGTGACAGGCACAGATGTTGTTTGGACAACTTCTCAGCTGCTGTCTTTATCTGTGCTGTAGGACTTGGACTAACAGGGCACTCTAATTAACACAAGGCCAGAGACTTAAGAGTTGATACAGCACTCAGAGAAGATGAAATCTTAAAAGACTCATGTTAAGACAATCAAATCATGGTGGAACACTTTACATCCCAAAAGGACCAACACATTTTACACCACAATTTACAGAAAAGAGTGTCTGCACCTCTGTTATTTTCCCACAATGCATCTGAGGAGGGTGTATTTCTTTAAAGAGAAGTCAAAAAGAAAAAAGACAAGAAAATAAAATTTAAAAGTGTGAATTATTTCAGGACACTCACCCCATACTCCTGACTTCTTATGTCCTCAAACGTGCACAGGCTTCTCGTCACTCCGTTCATCTTTGATCAGGTATAGATTAATAAATACTCCAAAACAAATAAATAATAATAATATCGAGTAATGGGAATATCCCTCTGTTTGAATGAATCCCCGGTGTCTCCTCTCGGTCGCTGCTCCTGTTGCTGTTTTCACCTTCCTCTCTCACACACCGGTGTTAGTCGGTCTGCGCTCACCCCCTTCCAGTCAGTGCCAAAGTTTAGTCAATTGGCCCCGCCCATTACCATAAATGGAGAAAAAGCGCGCAGCCGGAGATACCTGCTGCTTCAACAAAAAAAAAAAAGAGAGACTGGAGAAGCTTGTTAACGATGATCACATGAGAGTCAAGTTATTGGAGACCTTTTACGGTCGAAACTCTGAAGTTTAACTATCTTTATAGGACTATAGATAGCAGTTTCCTGCATCACATTGCTCAGTTTACCATTAAATTATTAATGTAAAGACTTTAACCCCCTGACTGAACCCGTTTAGGTCTCTATACTATTAGTTTACAGAGCAAAGGTGATTTAGTTCACTGATTTTAGACGGTGTGAAAAAGAGAAACTGTCCCCTTTGCTTTCAAATGTTAACAGATTTTTATTTTATATATATATTTTTTAATTACACGCTTTTGTTCATTACCCCTGACACCACAAATATAACACCCCTAATGTCATCTGTTTGTTTCTTTCAGGAACTGACTCGTAATAATTTCCATATGAAAATGAATATGCAGAGGACGCTGCCTGAGATAAGGTATCTGCCACATAGAACATTATGCCCTTGTTTCATCAAAGTTGCTCTGTGGTCAAAGTATCACTTACTTTTCTGTACAGTCCGTACTTTTAACAGTAAACCACAAAAGGGACAACGCAGAGTTGCTTTAAAAAAAAAAGTGCAGACTTTCCCATTGTGTCCTTATGTCAGATCAGATGTATTCAAAGAGCCCAAATACAGACAGGCTTCCTTTTACACACACTTTTTAGCCTTCTACTCCAGATTTGTGCACATTAAAATTCCCCAAAAGGCTAAATTGTCTCTGTAAGTTGATGCTAAATAATATTAGAAACAAATTAACTCAAAGGACAAATGAAACTCCACTATGCTTTTATAGGTTGTTAGAACATTTTTAACATGACAAACAACATATGTCTAGAGTGAAAATAGAGGTCACACAGATATGCCATCATAAAGCATCAGTTGTAGGCCGTGAGTTTCTCTGTTGGCATGTAGACCTCAGGAACAGCTGATCCCGACCAGCACAGACCTCAGATTGTATAAAGACTTTAATGGCATTAATGGCTGTTGAGCTGCAAACAACAGATCGCTGTGAGATTCAGGGGATGATGCTAAATGAACGTGAGGTTAAACACACACACACACAAACACACACACGGTGAAACATATCCAAAGTGTTTTTAAAAAGACCCATGAGCAGCATTGTCTCACAGTGCAGGGCGTATTTACTCATTCATGTGTGGAATATTTCATTCACACAGGTATTTTATTCCTAACTAGGATGTGGTTCACAGTTATGTCAGGCTGGTGTTCTTTTCATGCTTGATTTCTTATTAGGAATGTGACCATCCCACATGGACAGAGCACACCTCTACCTTACTACAGTATGTCATCATGTGGGCCTCCTACTGAGACATAACATGAGCCTTAATAATAATATGTGTTTACTTCACAGAGCTAACCGCACTCAGACGTGTTTTCACAGTTCAGTGTGCGAGACAACGATATGAGTCAGAACTGTGCTGTTCATATATGGAGTGTGAACACCTTGTTGGAAGATTGGTTTGCCTGAATGAAACATCTGCTGTTGAGTGTGTCAGAGATAAAATAATCTCAGGTTGCACAGGAGTTTTCAACATGAGAGGAAAAAATATAAGATAGAGAAATTTCTGGTAACATCTCTAATGCCTTTTTAATGTATCGACGTATACAGCTTTATAACAACCTAATACCTACATTAAAGGGGTATTCCGGCATAAAATTGTGTTAGTTTCAAACACATCGTAACACTGAGTTAGACACCCCCTCGAGAGATGAATGTTGCCGACCGCTTGCTTCTCTAGTTATACCATCTTTAGTAACGAGCAATACAGAGAGCCACACGCTCAACCAAAAAGTCACTCTGTAGCCACAGATAATCTCAGAACAGCACCTAACTTCATCAACAGTACATATAGGGTCCCAGCCATAGCACCAATCACCAAACATCTTTTAACTTTGCCTAATTTCTTTAGAAAAGAGACTAAACACAACTCACCTACTCTCTTCCAGCAGCCGCTTGTTTGTACGGACACCTTCGGGGAGTCCATTGACTGCAGTGGGGGGACGCAGCTCAAGGAAGAACATTTGTGATCATTTCTTTATCATTTCCTTGAAGTAATAATCATCATAATAATTAATTTGCACTGCAGACGCTGTAGTTTGTCTGCCTTAGCGTCTTGGTCTGATTGCATTTCCATGAAGAAATTATCATTAAAATGGTTACTAAAGTTGGTATAACTAGAGAAGCAAGCAGTCTGCAACATTCATATCTTGAGGGGGTGTTTTATTCGGTGTTACAGTGTGTTTGACCCCAACTTAATTTTATGCTGGAAAATCCCTTTAAAGTATAATATACTATAAATCACACCTTTATTAGGTGTAACACTCACTTACTTACTAAACATTTCTCTAAGCTGTTATGAATGCCAATAATCACTTCGTTATATGACTGTTATAAAACCATTATAAGACTTTTGTCTATAAAATGAGCTGGCATGCCTTTTTATTTTCTTTATAATAGGGGAAAGTTAGCCAAACACTTCACTTTCAACACTCTTGTTTTTACTCTGAAATTTGTAAACTATTGTTTCTCTTTCGAGTCAATAGTGAATGAACAATAACTTGGGGAAAAAAAACAGAAAAGGCCCGTCCAAGTGTTGGTCATGTGGTGACACACTGTCAGAGATTAAAAGTGCAGCGAGCTAAGGTAGAGTCATTGTGTTTACTGTGACAGTGATGAGTGTTTCTCAAAAGCAATGATGAAACTGTAACAGGAGTCATTTACTCTATTTTAGAAACATGAACCTTACACCACAAACTGATCTCCCTGTTATCATCACCAGAGTGAGTCCTGCTTGTTTTCGATGACACTGAGGTCATGTTTTTGGCATTTTTCCTGCAATTATGACAAGTTAAGCAATCTTAACAAGGCGTTGACATTTAACTGTTAAAACCACCCATTCAGTATTTTGACTTCTGTCAGTCAAAAAGCACTAAGTCTTCATTTAATTATATTTCCTGAGACTGTAAATCAGAAATAACTGTTGTTATCTGAGTTTTGTAAATTAAGTTTATTAATTTGTTGTTCTCTAGACTTTCCCTACAAAGAAGAGCCTCATTTACTCTAAAACCAAGAGTTCATTTTTACCCCTGAAAAATTAAACTTGATGTTATATATCGAGATGTGCATCAGTCGTCTCCTTTTACATTGTTATGACCTTAGTTTCTATGACATCCCGCTCAAGGCTGTCTTAACGGTCATGTTCTCTCTTACACAACAGTAGATATTATTATCCCTGACGTATTGAAATGAATAATCCCTCTCTCATTACCTCATTTATCTTTACAAATGTACAAACACAAAAACCGGTTCCAGCTTCCCAAACCCTCGCAGACTTGTATTTCCACACATGTATCACCTGTAGGCCAAGGGGAATATTTCTACAGTGAGGATGTTTTCTTTATGAACAAACATATGAAACAGAAAACACACCGGGATTTCAAAATAAAACACACCCTGCTCTTGGCAAATCAACCCCTGGGTTTAAAGCCGTGCCTGGAAACCTGGAATGGTATGGAAACCCTGTCCCACCCATGGAAAGTATGTTCCCTTGTTAGTTATTGTCTGGCGAAACAGGTAAGGTACATTAAATGAGACACTGTACAGGTTTGGTTGCACTATCTGGGAGGTGTTAGTATCATACACCGCTTCTGGTTCTACTGCAAATACTGAAGGTGTGACAGCATGCTAACAAATTTGCTACAAGGAAAGAATTTCAGGTTCAAACCCATGGGAACTGAAAATGGGGAAGGGGCCTCTTTAGCCCCTTTGAAGATCTGTTGCACAATAGCACAGCAGGATGTACAGAAAGTCTGTCCATCCCAGCAGGAGGCCATAACTCTCCTGAAGCACAGACGTCACTGTGGAGGCTGAAATATTCACACAAAGTCCTATAAAAGGTGCCAAGGTCCTAAAAAAGGGTGTAAACACATAAATAACTAGAGGACTTTGATGCTTTTCTCAAATGCCATGAAACAGTGACCTGAAGTCATAAAAATGTTCCAGTCTGAGTGATAAAAGCAAGGTTTAGTGGCATTTTTACAGAGGGAGATTTTCCTGAGAAACCGACATGGGTTTCAAAACTCCTCACAGGTGTTACAGGCAGGATTAACTTCTGATGTCACCATTTATTTTACAAATATCCTCCAAGAGCTGCAAATGTTTCCTTCAGTCTGTTTCACATGAATCTCAGTTGACCCGGTACATTCCTGTCATGCCTCACCCTGAGGTGCTCCTGGCAGAAACCGTCCATCAATGCCCGCAGTGCCAACGACAAAAGACAGGTCTGTGCTGCCCCAAGACTCCTTTGTTCAACAGCAAAATCCCCATTACATAATTTTAACTTTGACAAAAACACTTTATTTATTGTTCTCAAACCTAAAGTCAGAGTGTTGAAGGTGGGGTTATCGGTATGTCCTGCCTTTTCAGCTTCATAAGCAGCAAACAATTACACTGCTTCTCTATGTTTATTTTCTAAAATGGTGTCACTTTCATCCCCACACGCAGAAAATCAGTCCTGACAGTTGAACAAAAAGGAGATTAGAGTCTAAAACAGCAACACTGTGGGGGTCAGTGGATAAAATATCAGCATATGCAGCTTGACAGTAAAGGTCACATACAGGGCACCCTCTGAGGAGGATACATGCGGCCTACCTGTAACAAATGTTATCGGTTTAATGTGGACATTTCCTGCTGGCACATGTGACAGCGTCTGTCCAAAACCTGTTCCACTCTCGTCACTAAGGGATGAAAAACAATCATAAAACCTTGTAATCATGAACAGGTGTTATTATGTGTATTATCGTTTGGTGCTGGAATACCAAAATCCTCATTATCTCTGTGGTGCATTCAATGATAACAGCTATTTAGGGCTAAGTAAGCTCTGTTGGCCGGTGTTCAAAATATTCATCTAACTGCATACTTCCCTGTAACTCTGGTTTAGATAACAGACTGTAAATGTAGTTCCATGGAAGAAGAGCCCTGCAGCTGCCAAGTCACGAATTGTTTTTAACAGCTGTACCCTTTTGGAAGTCATCACACTCCATCAAACACAAGAGAGATATAATAAAGTTTATTTTTGAGAATGAAAAAAAAAAAAAGATTGAAAATTGTTGAATAATACTAATACTACTACTACTACTACTACTACTACTACTAATAATAATAATAATAATAATAACTTTATTTATATAGCACTTTTAAAAACAAGAGTGCTTTACCACGCAGGAAAACAAAGAAGTTAAAAACAACATAAAAAAAGAGAGACCGCTTGGGGGAGATGTCACATTACTGGCAATAAAATGAAATAAAAATTGGTTGAAGACATAAAAGCTTTGATGGATGTCATATGAGCCGAGAGGTCATTTAAACAAAGACATTATAAGAGCCCGTGATAAAAACGTGAATACGAGGTGTAAAAGGTTTTAAAGAAGACAAAATCACATAAAAGCAAGTCTATAAAATGAGTTTTAAAACGTGATTTAAAAGCGGTGACTGTTTCTGCACATCTGATCTCCTCCTGATAGTTTTTGTCCATCTATGATGAGGATTTACTCATTTATAATTCCAGCGCTGATACTACCCTGCTTTTTTTTTTACTTTGTACATTTCTGTGTTGTGCTGATCAGGTTTTGTGTATTTGTTCCCCTGATAAGAACGGTGAGAACGGTGAAAGGTAAACCTTGAAAGCTAAACGATCATCTGGTATTAAGTGTGAAGTTCCATAAAGCTGAGAATGCGGAAGCTCATGTTATTTTATTGCAGGTTGATAAAGTTATCGAGAACATGCTGATAACAGAAGCTTTTAATATACCTGAAACATGAACTGTCATCAAAGGTTTCTATTGTAGTCGCTGCACTTTGCCTCATTTGAAAAATTACATAAGCAGCACTTCAGTATTTACTTGTGAGAATCATACTCAAACACGTGTTTGTTGCAGTTTTTGGACCTTTGTTGATTTTAATTAGCAGCGTTTTTATCCACAGGAGTAAAGCAACTATCTGAGCATCTATCTGCCAAGGTGTCTTCTTTCTGGATCTCAAATCAAACGAGGAAATCATGTTAGATGTGCAAAGATGGAAGTGAATGTGGTAATCATGAAGAGTTTTATTCAACAGTTTTATTGTGTCTAAATTTCTATTGAATAGAAAACAAACCTACAGTCACAGTGTGTTTTTTCCAGTCAACATGTTTACACCAACATACGTGGAAAAAGAACTCTTCACTCAGCAGTCTAACAAATCAGAATCATTCAGTACCATTTTCCAGTTTCACTGACGAGAAAGTGATCAGCATTAAAAACACAGTGATAGCTCTGATTGTTCAAACTCTGTACAAAAATTAAGCAAAAATATTCAACAAATGTTAAATACAAACACTTTACAAAAATCATCAGCAACAAGTCGATTACAAAATCATTTTTAAGGCATCGAAAGAAATAATGAGAATATTACAGTAACTCAAAATGAGGGAATGCATAGAGATTGTGCAGATCTACAAATAAACAGTGTTTTATAACAGACAGGAAGTTATTTTGGCCTTTTTTTTTTTAACTCAGGAAAAAAAAATTCACACGGCCTGTTATATCCTAACAAAGGACTTCTCTGTTTTTTAAGCAGTAAACCACAAAACCACCAGTCTGCTGCTGCAGGGGACAGCTTCAGATACAGTGAATAAAGACCTCAAGAATTAGCAAAGATATCCAAACATTTACATGTGCTCTCTTTCTTTCAAAATTACAATTGACCGCAGTGTCTTTTTGTGCAGAAAACAACTTAAATGTTATTAGTGTTATATTTTAGCTTTATTTTTTACCATTAGGTATCCTCAAACTGTCGTACCATGTGACAAAAAGGATTAAAAAAAATAACTCCTACTACAAACCGACCTAGCGCAGATACATACATATTCTTCACATAAACAAATACTTTTAATGTAAATAAATGCCCAAAGCAAATAATTTCAGTTTCAAACCATTCCATTTGGTTAGGCGTAGCAAAGCATAAGAACTATAGATTCAGAGTTCATCTTCCAATCACTTGTGCAATCATGAAGCAATCAGTGCTCGAGTTTGGTCCGGGTTTTCAGTAGTGCTCCAGTCTGTCAGTGCATGCAGAGGGAGGGGACAGGTTTGTGAGTTCAGTCAGTTAAAAGCTGTGTGTCAGTAAAAAAACATGATAGGTGGGTTATATTATGAGTGTTTTGCCAGCAGGTAAGAGTTTAACATTTTTAGGTCTTGAGTCAAAGCCAGAATCTGAACCCTGAAACTGGTCTGTTTAAGAGGTATGAAAGGTAAAATGAAAGGTACATTTGTGGTTTTCTGTACTCCCAGCTTCATCGCTCTGTCTTGTGGGTTTTTCTGGTATTTTGGGGTCCCTTGTAGTGCTTTTGCTTGTGTATTGCATGAATGCTAGGATGTTGTTTTCTACTGTACCTCAGCAAAAATCTGTGTCGGAAATTCCTCTAAATGCAGACATTGTTTCGCTTCCTTTCATTCACTGTGATGTGGAAAAACTCATTGTCTCGCCATCCTCTGCAGTGTGTCTTTTACCTCCCAGGTCCCTCAGAGTCTGTATTAGTAAATACTTTTCTGCCTTTTGGCTTTGCTGTCAGTCTACGTGGAGACTGAGCAATTATTCACTCTTTTATTGCTTCATCTTCCCACCTGTACCCTGTGTCTGAAGTGCTTTTTATTTAACAGGAGCTGGTCTGGAGGTTGCTCTCAGTGAGGATGGAGGTGATGGTGGCAGAATCGTACAGGCTGTCGTCGTCGTCTGAGCTGAGGGCTGATGAATCCAAAGCTGGTCGCATCGCCGCTTGTGTTTTCCTCCTGCGACATAAACTCATCGTTAATTCTTTCATTAAAATTATTTCAGTTTGAACAAACTTTTTCTGCTCCTCAGTTGTTGGAGTGACAAAAGTCAGAGCTGCATGGTGAGCACAGTGTTCCCCCTGCTGTCAATACCTGGGAACAACATGTTTATTCTTGCTCATACAGGCAGAATCTCATTTCCGCTGTGGTGCATGAGAAATGTGCAGATTTAGTTTGATGAAATACCCCTCCACACTCAGGTGATTGTCGCTCTGTTTTACACACCTCACATTGGGAAATGCTGCCCCTCAGGGAGTGTGTCTGAGTCTCTACCAGGTGTCTCTAAAAGTGTCTAACAGCTGAGGAATCTGGTTTCACAGCTACTGACGTCATTTACTGTCAGATTTACTCATTCTGTGATAAAAAAGGTGAAAATAGTGCCTTTCTCGTGCTCACTCGCACACATTCATCGTGCTAATCCGGCTGCCTGAGAGTGTGTTGTATAACCAACAGCAGAAAGCTCACGCTGAGAGTAACAAAATGAGAGACAAAGAAAAGGAAATGCTCACTTGAGCTCAGTCTCCAGAGCCATGACTCTGGTCTGCAGGGCTTCTTTCAGCTCCATCTGTTCCTCCATGTCTCTCTGAGCTTTCCTCCTCAGTCCATCTATCCTCTCCAGCTCGGTCTCTCCTTCATCCACCTGCCTCTTTAGAGCCTTCACCCTCAGAGAAATCTGCAACAGTGGAAAAAGTTAGTGTGTATTTATACTTACATTTTTTTTTTTTACTTTTTATTTATTTACGGAACATGAGGTCATCATGGGTGATACAGTTGAAATGGAAATATTCTTTTACACATAAATACATATATACACACACATAAATCATAGCCAAATGTCACACTATTCAAGGTGCATACCCGGTCCATTTTTCCCAGTATTCCAAACATTTCTCCAACTGAAGTCTTTTTATTATCTTTCTTTTTATATGCCTCATGAAATATGGACATTAAATTGTATTCCTTCTCCTCCTTGAATTTTTTTATTATAATAGTCTTGGACTTGCAGGTATCTATGGAAGTCCTGCTTCTCCAGTCCAAATGTACTTACATATTTCTGTGTTCATTTACATGTAATACAAGGTGAATATGTCTACCTGGTCCCTCTGCTCAGAGTGTGTCTGCCTCTCCTCATCAAGCGCCATGTTCAGCTCTTTTAGTTTCCTCTCCAGACGACGCTGAGACGCCAAAACTGAGTTCTTCTCCCTTCACGTGTACAAATGGGGAAAGGTGTCAGACACGTAAGCAGATTAAAAAGAAATACTTTTCCTATCTCAACTTCAGTCTCATAAATGCGTGCTATATTAATGCAAAATGGTTAACAAGCTTTTCAGGAGTGTGACTTTCTGGGTCGTCAAGTAGGAGGGATCAACAGCAGTGAAAAAAGTCAAACAAATCAAGATTTCAAGAAAAGACTCGTGATTCATAGCCTTTTTCATATGCTAGGTGGCAACAGGACTGTAATGACATTTCACTGTCATCACGCAATTTTGTTCTTTCATACTGATCCTGCAACAGTGTTGTAACATTGCATAATCATGTTGCAGAAGCACACGAGGTTGACACACAGCAGGAGATTCAAACACACACATATAACCCTGTCTGCTCCACCGGCTCACAGTTCTCCTCCTGTCTCGTCTCTGTAATTCCTTGGTTACAGCCTCTAATGCAGGAACAGCGGTAGAATAAATTGGTCCCACCGCTATGGTTCAGTGACGCAACCTTTTAGATGCTTAACTGTTTGAAGAAAAATCAAACGCAAACAAAAGAGAGGAAAAATGTGATCCGGAATGAAGAACTGCTGTCCATCTGTTGCTGTGTACCTTTCTTCACTGCGGAGGTTTTCTTCCAGTTCTTGGATCTTGCTCTCCAGCTGGGACATTCCTGCTGAGGGCCGAGACTGGCCCTCCATGTCAGCCAAACGACTCCTCAGTTCCTTCAGCTGCAGGGACGGACATAAAAAGTCATGTTACAAGATAGAACTCAGAATTTTATTGTCATGTAATATGTAAAAAAACTAAGACAGTTTGTGTGGACGCACATGTCTCTCCATGGAGTTCTTGTCCAGCTCCAGGTCCTGTTTGGACGATCTCTCCTGCATGAGCTCAGAGCGGAGCTGGTCGATCTGATCTCTGCTCCTGGCCACCCTGTCTGTCATCATCTCTGCATTGTTTCTCTCCTCCTCCATCTCCAACTCTTGACGCTTCAGCTTGTCCTGACCGAGACACCGAGACACCGACGTTCATTAGATATTCTGAAAGTAGCCCACTAACTTCAAAGAGCCCCACTCACACTAGACGCCTATCATTGAACCGTTTTGTTTGATCTACAAATACTGTTGTTCTAGCTCTACACACAAAGCAAAGCTGTTACAACAACAACATGCAGACAGTAGTCACTAGCTGTGTTTACATGGGCACAAATAATCAGAATACAAATATGTCTTGTAAACATGTTGATCGGAAGATTCTGATCCAGTTTAACTCAATCGGAAAGAAATTGTATTCCAATCAAAAGGGATGGTTTATGCCGCTCGTTATTCCGAAATGCGTCAATGTAAACGCTTATTCCGATCGTGACTCTCTTCCCTGACTCGGTCTTCACTCTTTATTTATTGAGGTCAGTACAGGAGGTTTCATTGTTAACACTTTGGCATAAAATACAAGCGCAGGTGCCATGTCTGTCGTTCCGTTACCATAACAAGGCGTACATACAGCATAATGATGTCACATCTGCACACAGTGCGACCTTTGACAGGAGAGTACAATAAGTACACAAGGGCGCCATCTAACGACAACATTGAATTGGGTGAGGTGAGCCACTAACGCGTTTGTTGATTTGTTGACAGCACAGGCATCAATCCAACTCTTCTTCTGCGGTTGTTTTAGTGAAATCAGACAACTGTGCGCATGTCCAAATGCTTCTAATCTGAATAAAGCTTGGTGCATGTAAACGCACGTCATGATTGGATTGTTTGGTTTTGCACCCGTATAAACACTGGATTCAGACTCTCCAATCCCTCAAATTTTTAATCAGATCAAGAAATTTTGCACATGTAAACATGGCTGCTATTTAGCTCCAAGTGGTTTCTTCTGTCGCTTACCTCCAGGATGCGAATCTCCCGAGTTTTCTCATTCAGGCTGTTCTTTCCAGCCTCCAGTTCCCCCTCCAGGTGGCGCAGTCTGTTGGAGAGCAGCTCTTTATCCAGCTGGTGGTTGTCCCTCTCCTCACACGCCAGCAGAAGCTCCTTCTTGTGTCGTGACATCTAGTTAGAATTATCATGATATTAGAAACAGAAATGCCAGACTGACTGATCATCATTGTGATGTTTTCCATGCAAATATATGAGTACGATCATCTGAGCGTGCATCCTGAATATTATCTGTCACAACTGTTGAAGGTATTTGTGTCGGACATCATTTTCATAATAAAAACAACAAACAGGCCAAACAAGCAAGCGAGCTGGCGGGTAACCAAACGCTCACTTCTTCCTCCAGTCTGCGCAGATTTGTGCGGCTTCTCTCCACTTCGCTCTGAGCGTTGTTTCCGTGACGTTGCACCTCCAGTATTTCTTTGCGTGCCTTCTCTTTCTGCTCCTCCAGTTGAACCCTGAGAGCCTGCGTCTCTGCTTTGGCGGACTTTGCCAGGGACTCATACTGACAGAGACAAACAAACAAGGTGAATGTTTTTGTGCTTTGAAGCCTCTAATGTGTAGACGCTCCAGACTGCAGAGGCTTTCAAGCTCTTCTTTTCTTACCTCTTTGTTGATTTTCTCCAGAGCACTTCCCTGCTGACGCTCAGTGTTCTCCAGCTGGTTGATGGTCTGCTTCAGTGCCTCCTTCTCTTTCTCCGTGTCCTCCAGACGCAGGCTCAGTTCACGGTGCTCCTGGCTCAGTCTTGAAGCTTTTCTCTTGCCTTCATCCAGATCAGATCTCAGTGTGCGAACCTCAGTGTGGAGGGCGAGCTCTGCCTCGGAGTTCTCTGTGACGTTGGTCTGCAGCTGAGCCTGAAGAAACCGCAGAAGATACTCAATTATTCTAAAACACAACTTCTTCTCTAAACAGAATAATTCTTCAAATGCGCCGCAGAGTTTGACCCACCTCTAAACGTGACAGTTTCTCCCTGAGACGTGTGTTGGCCTCCTCCTGCTCGAGCTGGATGTCCTCGAGTGATTTAATGTCTAACTGCGCTCTGCTGAAACGTGTATTAGTGGACTTCACTTCTTCTTCAGCCAATGAGAGTTTCTCTTTGAGCTGGTTTGCCTCGTGTCGCGACTCATCGAGCTTCTGCTCCAGCTCTGAGATGATAGCTGGGTTTGGGAGCTACAGGAATTTGATTTAAAAACACAATAATCATTCACGTAATAGTAATAGTTTGAGTTTTCATCGCTGTGATCGAACAAATCTAAATAAGTCTTTCAAGGTCCGTACTAACCTGTTTGTTCTTCTCCTGAACCTTTGCATAGTCCTCTTTAGCCCTCTGTAATTGGTCCTTCAGCCTGTCAATCTCGTACCTAAGTTCTGCCTCCTGGTTCTGGTGAGATTTTTTAATAGAAATGACCTCCATAACTTTCTTATCAAACTCTGTCCTCTGCTTCTCCACCTCAGACTTCGCCTTAAGGAGGTCGGTGTTGCATCGCTGAAGTTCCTAAAGAGACACGTGAACAGCTGGATGATAAAAGAGCTTCATTTCTTTGCTTGTGCATCACTGATCGTGCGAGGTTGTTTACTGTACCTGACTGAGGGTCTGTGTGGCGCTTGGGTCGGGTATCTGTTGTTTCATGCCGCTCATTTTCTCCTGCAGGTCCTTCAGTTCCTCCTCGAATTCCTCTTTTTCCAGTCGGGCTTGTAGGAATCTAAAAACACGGATTAAATAAGTTTTTTCAAAACAAAACGTACCCTTTAGAGGCATTATAACTCAGGTTTACAGATGATCAGCAGTTAAATTGTGTAAGTGCATCACAACAAGTGGTCTTAATCTACTTTGAGACAGTCAATCTTGAAATTTCAGGAAGAAAATCAGCATTTCTAGTTAGCATAAAAAAGCTGGATATCTTCAGAGAAAACACCAGACGTTCTCTAAACAGAAGATTTCAGACCATCCACACCACTCTTCTGTTTCAGCGGCACTTCCTGGCGCTCCAGGCTGTGACTGCCTGTCAGGATTATTTCTGTTAGACTGCAGCACTAAATAAGGTCCACATTCCCGTCAGGAGTCATAAATTTGGGGTGGAGAGGTTCATGTGCTGTCTGCATCTAAACTTGAATCATCTAGATGCTTTAAATAGTTTTGGATTATGATGTAGGTGTGGATGACCTTCAAACTACAGACAGACACTTGTTAGCAGCAGAACTATCACTTCTACAGGCGTCTACAGGTGTTACAGGTCTGCACATCTAAACGTCAATGCTGTTCATTAGTGACTCTCACGGTGTTTCAGGGCTGCTGGGTTGCTCTCTGACAGAGAGGGGGGGAAACATAACCAGGTAGAGTGAAAGAGAAGAGATGGACACAGTAGCAGAGTAAGCACAGAGACAAAATAAGAAAAGATGGTGACAAAATCCACAGCCTGGCAAGCACTTGAAATCTCAAATCCATGTAGGTAACACTAACAAAGACTTTGTGAACAGTGGGATCTGTCTGAACAGACTCACTCGTGTTTAGTTGTGCGTAATTCGTCTCTGGTTGCGTGAAACTGCTCCATCCAGTGGCTGCTTTCGTCTCTGCACTCTTCCAACTGCTGCTGCAGAGAGCGAACGGACGCGTTCACACGCAAACGCTCCGCCTCGATCCCAGCGTGCGACTAAAAAACATCACGCAGAAAAGTTAAAGCTTGTTTAATTACTCGCTTTCAGATATGTAAATAAATGCAGATGGATAAATAATTCTGCATTTGTGTAATTTATTTTAAATATACAATTTGATACCATGTTCTCTAAAATTTCTTCAAAAAGGACCAAACTTATTGAACAAAATATACAGTTTCTGACCTAAACTTGTCAAAACTAAAACAAAATCCTGATTGGCGAGAAAAATTGTCATCAGAAACTCTAATGGTATAAGTACGCCAATTTTTTTTTTAACTTGAATTATTCCAAAACTAAATCCTAGTGTCGCTGAATTGGCTGCGGTGTCGGTGCACACACCTGAGACACCTGCTCCATGCTGCTGCGGAGCTTCTCCATGTCGGTGCTGTACTGCTCCCGCAGCGCCTCGATCTCTTTGTCATGTGTGGCCACCTCCTCCTTCAGCGCTCCCTTCAGGGCTGTCAGCTCCCTCTCCCTCTGTCTGAGCGTCTCCTCCAGCTTCTGTTTCAGCTGGCAAACCTCCATCAGCTGCGCCTGATAAGACATCAGATCCTGCACACAGAGGTAATACACAGTATTAACATGATACAGCAGACTGAGGAGCATGAATCTTTGATTTACACAAAGTCTATACAGCTTCTCTTGGCAGTTATAAGAGGTAGATGCTTTTTTATCTTGAAAATCTTTAAAGGCCCGCTCCGATGAAAATCATGTTTTTCTTGTTTTTTATATGTTAATATGGCATTTTTCTGATGCTACAGAACATAAGAAAACTAAATGCAAAATTGCTTTTCTGAGTATTTCTTCATTCAAATCACTGTGAATCTCAGGCAGACCCAAACAGCAGGTTCAGAAACAGTGAGATTTCATATGTAACCAATCCAAGCTCCGCCCCCAGAGCCATGCTATGCAGGCCGCACTCTGCATATAGAGGGGAAATACAGAGGACGAACATGGAACAAGTGTGCGCTTTAGGGGATTGCAAATTATGATATTAGCTTTCATCGTGTCCCTAAAGACATTAGTGTCTGAGAGCTGAATAACTCCTATGTTACCTGCCACTTCTACTAAACTGGCAGGGTTGTTAGGCTGCAAACTAACATGATGAGGAGTGTGCAGAGCAGCGCTGTCTCCGCCCACGACTCAGAGGCGAATTGCGAATAATCAACTAGAGCTCTGCAGAAGAAAAGCCCTTGAAACACAGGTAACGCGATTTTTGGTAAAAACTTCATAATCACAATTTAAAGACCACTGAGAACACTTGACGGAGTGGGACTTGAATACATGTTTGAGGAACAGAGAGAGGAGCAGAGGTCACATGTTATTGAGATATCCAGTGTTGGGGGTGGGTGGATTGCTCCTGTGTGTCTCTTCTGAGTTTGATTCAATGTGAAATTTTCTGAGGTACCGTCTTGTTTTCGGTGTCTCTCCTCAGATCATCCTGAAACTCAGCCAGCTGGTCCTCCATTTCTCGGACCCGTGCCTCTGCATTCTCCCTGTCCATACGCAGCTGAGTCAGCCTGCGGGGAAACACACACACACACACACACACATTATAATGACTAATTGTACTCAGCTGACCCTGGCATACTTGTGTGTCATGTGAATTAGTTAAAGTAACAAAACTGTAAGGGGTGTGCGCTTGAAGACAAAGTGGGCTTGTCATGCTCCTCTATTGCTCTGGTCAACCAAAACTCACAGACAATGGTACCACGGCCCTCCCTGCTCTCCCCTCAGTAAATGTGACTGTGTTTGAATGCGTGCACTGTCTGCTTCTGTGCCCTCACTCTGATTGTGTTTCATTTAATTCTTGCTCCTTCCGGTCCAGCGTCTCCCGGAGCTGCAGGTTTTCATCCAGACAGGACTCCAGCTCAGCTTTCAGAGTGGGATCAGAGTTGCTAACAGAGTCCTGCGCGAGAACAGACATGATGAATAAATGAGAGCAGGGAAACTTAAGACATCAGGAAGCTCTGGTGGGATAAACAATGGGCTTTGAGGAAATGTTACAGAGAGCCTGCATCTGCCCACCGATCAATATGCATAAGGGATTAAGTTCTTAGGGGCTATTAGAGATTAAGGCCCGCCCACCTTCTTTAAACCAACATATAATGAGTCATTATTAGAGTTAGATGATTGTGTGTGTGCACCTTTGACTGGCCCAGAGAGCTTTAGGGATTAATCAGAGGATTTATCTGGAGCGCACTCCGAGGAACCCCCAGCCCTCCTGGTGAGATTAGTTTAGAAGACATAGAAACTCTGAGGACAGTTTGCTACTCCAGCCGGCCTTTTTCCTTCGATTGATAGTGCAAAGTGCTCCCACTTTGCAAGGGCTGGGATGAGTGTTTATGTGTTGGCGCTGAAAGTTCACCATAAATTTAAGGCTGATTCGAAGTGGCAGGTTAATCTCTGGACGTCAAAATCTTTTCGTGGCAGGCTACTCCAATCTGCAGAGAGAACTTAAGGAGGTTTGGTGGGTTGTCCAAAAACCCAAAGCTCTGGAAACACAAGAACACATTCTCAACATGCCTTTTTCTCTCTACTTTCGGCTCTGCTTCGCTGTAAAATGACTCACATTTTTTAGCTGCTTTTGAACCTGTGAGGAAAAATGAAAACAGGAAACTGTATATTTTTTTTATACTGGGCACCTGTTTGAAACACATGCTGTCTTTTCTACATTCTTGAAAAGGATTTGCTTTCACTACGAATGCCCTTACACCAGGGCTTGACACTAACTTTTCCAGAAGAGCATAAGTTGAAAAAGTGAAGCACACAAGAACATTAGGGGCACAATAAAATGATCAAATAATCTTTGTCTTACTGGTCGACTTAAGTACTATTATTTAAAATCAATGATAGGTCAATTGGTCACATGTAATGGAAGCTCTTGAAGAAAATGTTGAAAATTTGCCTCTAAATTTAACACAAACATTTTTAGAGAACAAATTAGGGAAATAGAGAGTGTGTCTTATCGTCCGACCTTTGTACTATCATTTGAAATCAATTTTAGGTCAATTGGACTTGGAAGCTATTGAAGGAAAACAGCCTTTTTTGAGAACATCAACCAGTAATTTATTGACGGTCCCTTATTCAACACCTGACGTTGACAGCGAGGGTGAAGAGCAGATTTAACCGTGCTGCTGTTGCTATTCCCTGTTATGGAGAATGAGAAGACACCGGTAGATTAGCGGTGCATGTCCGTCGAATATCCAACTGAAAACCGTTCACGCAGTATTTACATGAAAAAACATTTGTTGCCTCGGCTGATTTTTTTTATGCGCACATGTGCCCCTAAAAAAAGTTTACAATTCGCATACATCTATTTTTAGTTGCAAATGCGAGTGAAACGCTCACACTGTCGAGCCCTGCCTCACACCTTCGTTTGTGTTTTTCTTTTCTCACCTTTCTCTCTGCATGTAGTGCAGTTTGTAGTTCGGCCAACTTTCTTTCAAGATCCCTCTTTTCTCTCGTCCACTCCTCCTGCGCCCTGTCCTTAGGCTGTTGGAAGAAAAGATAAATATGGGCACACTTATGAAACAACAGTTTACCTTAAATATGATAGAGTGTGGGAAAAGTCACAGCACACAGAGGTAGATATAAAAAAAGACAAACCTGTAGAGTCTGAATCTTCTGAAAAATGACTTTCGCTTTGTGTTTGGTCACAACATCGCTCTCATTCGACCTGAGGAAAGATTTTGTCAAAGATATTCACACTTTTTACGATCAAGTACCAGCACTTACAACAACAACTGTGTTTATTTACATTTTGATCAAACAGGATAATTTGTCAGAGGCCATACCCTTGTTTCAGGATGTTGTATATCGTCTGCATGACCTGCTCCTCCTCACTGCTCATCTCTGCACCCTGGCCCTGGTCCAGCAAAAGGTCAGGGGTCACCTTAAGATACAGATCAGAAAACTACTCTTGCAATCTTGCCTGCTATGTAGTGTTTGGAGCTAACTAAAATAATCAACAGCTGAGCATTACAGCTCATTTCTATTCTTACTTGTGCCTCAGTCAGAGTGGCCTGCGGTGTCTCCACAGACGTGTATCTTCCTGGTGAAGTCCACTGATTGGCTGAGTGTGCAGGAAACGCAGAGGAAGAATCCTGGCCACGTCCCAGGCTACTGTGAGGTGAGGACGGAGATGAGTGGTAAGGGTTTGGGGTGAGGAGAGGGGATGTTGCTCTGGGATCTTGGCCTCCGTTGTTTCCACCATCAAACCTGTTGATAAGTCTGCCGACCGGAGTCTGCTTCTGATTGGAGGGATGGGTTTGTTGAGGAGGATCTGGGTAAGACTGATCACTTCTGACTGACCCCACTGACCCCACTGACCCGTTGAGCCCAGCTCTGTACGAACCCTCCCATAGATTCCTCTCCTCCTCTCTATCGCCAACATGCCGGGCCTGCTCTCTCTCCCCCCTCATACCAATTCCTCCATCCAAGTTCCCATAACTCCCAGACTTCCCGTCCCCCGGTGGCCTGGACAGCTGAAACTCCTCACTGCCTCTCCCTCCCTCTCCATCCCTGTCCAGCAGAGAGCCATGAGACTGCGCCCGACGTAGTGCTCCACCCTGATCTCCTCCAGCATCTGCCCCATGAGTCCCTGTGCTCTCTCTCCTCCTGGGTAGACTACTGTAACTAGCGGGGTAGTGCGTTCTGAGCTGGACCCCGTAAGAGTCTCCTTTCTCTCCGTCTTTCAGGACCACATATGGCTGCCCAGCAATGCCCTGCACTCTCACTGCCACACCGTATTTAGAGGTCTTGGTCTTCTTGGGCTGGAACCCAGGCTGGCCCCCTTTAGTGTCATAGAGGTCATTGATGAAGCGGATCTGGACGCCATGGTCCACTGGGGTCTTCCTGCCTGAGGATGGGGCGCTCATGCTGGAAACAGAACAGAGAGAAGAGGGCAAAGATACAGTTTTAACCCTTTTCAGACCAAATTCACATTGATAAAACTCAAAAGACCTTTTCAAGAAAATTAAGACTTTTGTTAACTTTCTAAACCAGATTGACAGGCTACACATTCTGATACTCTGGCATTGGTAATTTACATCCTCTAGTCTAGTATTTCCTGCTCAACTTTTCAAACAGTATTCAAATATTTTGTCCTATTTGGCTCCACATTATGCTGTTGGAAGAGAGCAACTTGTCGCCCATTAGATCTGGATTTGGTTAGTTTAGGTTCTGTTTAGGTTATTTATCTTCTATCTGTGTTCGGCACATTGGATTGGTCACAAACCTATAAAAACAGTGACCAAACCTCAACTCGTTGACAACTGTTGACACTGTCATGCACAAGTTAGTGCCAATATCGGATCAATATCAGTATCAGCCAATACTGAAGGCAACAATATCGGTATCGTATTGGAAGTAAAAAAGTTGCTTCAGGACACCCCTAATTAATATACTAATGTAATGTTTGTATGTGTTGCAGGAAGTCTAATTGGATATCATGGATGAGTTACTAAGCCTGGAATCAGAGGGACTGTTTTGAAGTAGGTGGTGGTTTCACATATTAAACTCGGTTAAAAGGTAAGACAACACAAAGAAGAGTCTTACTCACTCTGTATGATCTGTATAACTCCTTCACTATCATCATTACCTTTCCTTCATTATAATATCTTTTTAGGTCACTTACCGCTTCGTTAAGTCAGATAGTTTTTCTTTCTCAGTGTGCTAACTTTAACACAATAATGGACAGATAGTTGTAGTACTGCTTCTTTTTTTTGTTTCTGTGTGTTAGTTTTTTATATTTTCTCTATGTTTGATATTTACCCTTTTTAAAGGAGCATTGACAAAAAAAATAATTTTACTCATGTTAACAGTAGATTAGTAAGTAAATTCAATTAACATTCATATAAAGTCATGTTCACTCCGTGTTTTGCAAAGTATTTCTGTAGTAATTTCATCATCACATTTAAGAAAAATCAACAACAACAAAGGAAAATATGATACCAATATTGTCCCATATCATATCTGTTGGGCGAAACTCACAACAGCAGACTCTATTACACAATTCAAACTTAAAATCAAGTAATTATAATAATAATAACAAAAGCAGATAACTGTCACAGTGACCAATATCCGTGTTAATGCACCACAACTCTTTCATCAAATTATGACACCAAACTAAAAGTACCTCAACACCTGGACAAACAAGTCAAAACTATGGAAGTCAGACGCAGCCTCGCTCTGAACAAACACAAATGCAGAGAAACACTTGCTTTCTGGTTCTTGGCTGCTTGCGTGGACTTTAGCCTCAGTGCACTCCATTAGTCATTAACCTGAAAGCACACACCCACTAAAGTATCACTTTCCTCAAAACTTTTCCAAACTCCTGGAAGTTTCTCACACAGACATTAATCCTCTTTAGAACCAAATGTTCGAAAGCAAATGGGTACCATAGCAACAAGTCAGGATATCTTCATATATTTCCTCTGAATGTTTTTGTCTTTCATGACTCCCTGATCTTCCCTCTAACTCTACCCTGATAACTCCTGATGAGCAACTCTGAAACCATGTGTAATCTATGTGGAATGATCACACCTACTACATAGTATCTAATCCACCTTATTCGTCACTGGCAATGATCTAGAGCGGGACTGAACATTCCTGATAATCCATTCACCAGCTGATCACGCCTTGTGTGACACTGTGAGGCTTCATCCACATGTTATTACACTGGCACGGTTCATTAAACACACTCCAAACCCATTACAGCACTCCCCCCCTGGCCTCTGCACCTTTTACTTCCTTTCTCAGCTTTCCAAGGTGAGAGACAGAAAGTGGGCCAAGTGACTGAAAGGGAGGGTGAGGTGAGAGAGGGAAGCAGAGTGAAAAGACGTGCTCAGCTTTTCTTCTCTTATCAGTGGCCTGTGTGATAAAATTTCAGCACACAAAGGAGTGACTACAACAGTCTCCATCAAAAAGAAAACTCTGTCCTGCTCTGACACACACTTTCATACATTATTGAAAGTCAACAAACACATTTGGATTTTCTCAACAGATTTTGGAGGCTGGATGACGCAGCCCAAAATCAAGCTGAGCCTTTCTCAGAAGAATAGAGTAAGATCTAAGTCAGCATGGTGAGCTCGGAGTCCTGAATGTGCTGTGAAAGTTTTCTCTTTTTCTGTGGGACGAGGATTGGTAAAAAACGAATGTCACAGCTCGCACTGAGTGAAGCAACATGACACAAAGGACCTTTGAGGGTATATCTGTGTGCTTGTGGTGCAGAAGCATCATCAACAGGAGGACCTGCCCATCAAACGTGCTCAGTTAGGTCGATTCTTATCCCACCCTGTGGGAGCCACAGAGGAAGCGCTGTGTCACAAAACATTTGTGCAGTTGAGCATAAAGTCTGCAGCTTACTGTCTTCACAGCAAGGTCAAGCAAACATAAAAAATACCACAGATCAGCATACGAGAAACAAAAACTACAATGCACATTGATTCCAGGCAGTATGATTATCTGAAGCACAGCCATTTGTGAGGTCTAGGAGAGCCAAGTGTTTATCAGCATCTTTTCATAATTTCATTTCTTTTACGTCACGATGGAAGAATGCGTACCCGGCTCCCATAGCAGCAGGGGTGAGGGGGAACCCATGCTTTTGTCCTACTGATGTGGGGCGGAAAATGAGGGCAGCAATTCTGGGAATTCTAAAATCATCCCATGCTCTGTCATTCCCACCCCAACACTATCTCTCTGCTTATAACAAGTTTGTTTCAATTCTTCTACTTGAAGGTTGCTCCCTCAGCTAATTCAGTTTCTCACACCGCTTCAAAATAAACATCATTTTTCATGCAGAAAGTTAGAAAGCAAACAAGTTCTTTATCTATTTGGCTACAGAGTTCTTGTCAGTCATTTTGTTAACTTGCTTGTGTTTTTTTTACACAAAGCAAATAACTTGTGTTAAGTTATAAGGGGGTAAATATTTTTGGGTACATTCAGAAATTAAAAGTTGCAGCCTTTACATATTACCAGCAGGTTAGGGGCTTCAAACAAATGCCTTATACCAAATTTTTATTGCTATAGAAGAATAAACATTGAATATGTGACTGAAACAACAATCCCAATCTGAGTGTCACTGGTGCTTTTTTTTTTTTTTTCCTGTAATGCTTTCCCGTCTGCAGTTATGCTGACGGACCTGCAGCCTCTGGCCTTAAATTGAATTTTCGCACGGTAAATTGAATCCAAGCAGCTACCCTGTTAAGATCAGAGATGGGATGGAAAATATAATTAGGATATTAGAGCGGGTGTGCGGGGAAATGAACGACGGCAATGGAGTCATGACAGTACCTCTGCTTACTCAGAGTCAGCGTGGTTTACATGATCAGATCTAAATTATACAGTTGACGGGAGCAGCTAAGACAGCTGGTTAGTTGGGCACTTTGAGTACTACTTATGTGCGATGTTGCATGTGCTGCATTTAGTTAAACCTGCAATTGTATTCATCTTATGTACTGCATTTGAATCATGACATACCTTTAGCATGTGAAATGCGAATGGGAGAAAATGATGAGGTTAAAAGTTTGAACAGATACTACTAAGTTAGGATTTTTTGGCAAACTACTGCTTCATGGGTCAGTAAACTAATAAACTTTCATTCTCATGCAGAGGCAGCAAATCCTTAATTTGGGGATTGGATTATTTCTGCTGGAAGACTGTAGTTCAACCCTTCTTTTCTGTTTCTTAAACCTCCAAAGTCTTTCATTAGTTTCTCTGTATTATCCTTGAAAATAAAACCTTGAAGGTTTAGGTAACAGCACTAAAAAAAACACAACAGTAGCAAACGCCCCCTGTGCTTTAAAGGACAGGCAGCCTCTTGGTCCTCAGGGTGTTCTCCCTCTCCATTACATTCTTCACATAAAACCAGGCCTCAGTCTCTCTCTCTAAACCTTCCTCCTCTCTTCTTTCACTCTCAAACAAACAGCCATTTATCCCTCTTTGTCGACCTACAGAACTTCATTGGCATTACAAAGAGAGACTTCAGTGTTACCAAATAGTGTACAATTATTAGAAGCGCATAAAGACACCCCTCCCTGACTTATCCCACATTCCTGACACTTGTTTCCCTCTGTACTTCTCACTTATACAGGTGGAGAGCGACTCTCTAAGTGCGTATGTGACTTTATCAGCAGCAGTGACTGTAAACCTCCCTTTATCACTCCGCGCAGAGATATGAACCCAACCAGTCTGATTTTTGCTGCAATGTCCACTCTGCTTCAAAATGACACAGTGTCAGCATATTCAGGGGCTTAAGAGGCCCCTGCTATGATTATTGTGTTATTGTACTTCTAACCAAACCTCAAAACTGTAATCTGCACTTCATTCTTGCTGCATCACCTCTTTTGCCTGACTGGAACTTCATGTTGAAGAGAAGCTCTCCATTGCAAACCTGCTATTTGAAACAACATAAAAGGGTTTGCAGAGTAATTGGGATAAATTCAAGAGCTTTAAAAGACTGAAAAATACTATTGGGGTGTTAAAATTTTATCTGAGGCTAGTTTAATTTTTTTTAAAGCACCAAGTAGACATTAAAATTGTACCTGTATGGACAGAAACTGCTTTTTAATGATATTTTTTTATTCAAAATGAAGCGCTAAAGTCACAAATTTCACCTGCAGTTACTTAAAATCTGTCTGGAAGTACATGTGAGTAAGTGAAAGGCATCTCCAACATTTACTTTACACGACATTTACAGGAATATCAAGTTATCCTGAAGTACACGGTACTGTTTACGTTAGCTGGGAGCACTATTCCCATCAAACTCTCGTTAGCTTCAGAGCTAAATACGCGTTCATGAACACATAAGTGACACAAAAGCAGTAGGAATTATTGCACAACAAACTTAAGAAAACAAATCAGCGACTCACTACATTGGAAAACCTCCCACACAGAGCATAACTGTCTGACAGGTCGTGTCTGTCAGGTTTTTTAGCTGCCTGGCTACGAGAGGAGGACTAAAAACCAACCGTAAAGTTACCTCTTTATCTCAAGTTTTCAGCCCGCTCCTCTCTCAAACTTCGCTTCACTTGAGTCCGTGATAGGTTAAATATTTTCACCGACATCCATTAAGGTCCATACAGAGAAAACAAAAGTGGTTTGGAAGGGTAACTCTATCCAAATTGACACACCAACAAGTTCATTATACGGTGACTGCAACCTGTTACCTTTGTTGGGGATGTAACCGTCCCGCCCAGCCTCTCTTGAAGGAGCGCTATGATTGGACAAGCGAACTGTTAAAGGCGGGACTATAGATTCAAGCTACGGTTGCTATTGGTGGAATACATACGTCATTTGATTATTGTGCTGGAACCAGTCTACTGTATGATTTCTCGTTTATAAAAGCAAGCCCCCATTTTAGCTTAAGTGAAACAAACACCAACAAAATTAAAATATCATAGTTTAATTTAGTGCTATAGAAAAGAGCTCAACTCCCTCCAACAGGACTTTACTATGTCATGTTTCTCCAAATTACCAATAGATGGCGCAGCTTTCTTCCAGCTGGTGCTTCAGTATCACTATACAGGGGACTTGGATTAAGGTCCTATCTTTACTGCCAGTGCGTAGCCTTTAAGAAGCTGCTATTTAAGTGGACAGCTGAAATTAAACTTGCAATTACCTACGAATCAATGTCCTTGAGTGTTTTACGCGGACACTTACGCTTTGAATTGACTTAGTATATTAATATATTAAGTATATTAATTCTATCCAGGTTTTTCAGGGGCATGTGTTTGTCTGTTATCCACTGTTTTTACTACCTTACCTGACATGAGGTGTTCAAATCTCAACCCTTCTCCTAAGGTAAGATAAGAAATTAAATCCCCATACATAAAAAAAACCCCAACAGTCTGCATATATGGAAGTAAATCTGTGCCATCTGATTTTGAATTTGAATTTCAAAAGCTGATTTTTTTCCCCCATCAAAATCAGACCTTGAATTTCAAAACTATCAAATTTCAAGCATGCATTTTTATTTCTGACCCCAATTTTTTTCACAATGATGAAATAAATTCAGTGTAAAAAAAAAAAAAGTGTCACAAAATATCGGTGAAGTGAAAATTCGACTCAAAAAATGTGTAAAAAAATCAACATAAAAAAAAAAATTGTGTCAAAGGGACCGACTCAATATCTGGGTAACCCTACGCCTATTTTCTTTACTAGAAATGTTCGAATTGATATAAAATGTCCTCTAACATAGATTTTTTCCCTTTTTTTTACACTCTATTTTTCTATGTTTATGTTGTTTGTTGATTTCTTCTTTTTTTTCTCTTTTGATGTTATTCATGCTCAGTCTAAGGCAAATATTCTATAATTTTCTTTTATGGTATACAAGTGCCTTGTTTATTTGTTTATAATTCAATAAAAAAATAAAAAACACATGAGTAACCAGGGAAAAGCAATCGATTCCTCAATCTTCCTCTGGGGTCAGTGCCACATGACCAATCTAGCATTATTTGACTGGCTGGACGATGGATGATTGAGCCAGGAATCGACTGCTCTCCCTGGTTACCTGGATGGTTAGTCACTCTGTTTTACACTGATTTTTTTGACACGTGTTACACATTTTTTTAAGTTGAACTTTTACTAAACAAATATTTTGAGAGACTGATTTTTTACACTAAATTTATTTTATCATTGTGAAAAAAAAGTTTGATAGTTTTGAAATTCAAAGTCTGATTTTGATGCAAAAAATAAGCAGCTTTATAAATTCAAAATCAGTTGGCACAGATTTACTTCCATATGCATACCCAGTTATGTATTATCACCTTTTTTTTGTTACTGTAAAACTCCCACCCCGTCCCATTCGGCCCCTCCCCAAACTCCAGTGACTTCCCACAATCTCCACACACAACTTTCCTCTTCATCTCATCTCTTCATCTGGTCGCCAGACTGGACGCATCATCTTACGCTCCGGGAATGGGAACTAAACTTGGTTCAAAGAAAAACTTCGAGTTCTATCGAGTTTACGCTCTTCAGAAGCTACTTTTCAAACTACAGGGGTAGTTGTAACTGCAGGTGCACTGTAACAACCAATGACTTATCAGACGCACAAGGTGTTGTCCGAGAGATCCAGACGCTAGAATTCAGTGTAGATCAATCTGGACTTACTTAGAAGGATAGAAGTGTGCTCCAGACTACAGTCACTGCAACCGAGGCGTGCGTAAAATCTCTGTGCGTAAAGTTGGAGCTGTTGCGCGCGGCTCAAAGTAAGTTTGAGTGAGGGAACTTGTGCGAGAAAGTTTAGAAAGCAAAAAGATTTTTCAACTTTAAAAACTGTGAAAGTGTTGAGTACCTTGGCAGTCATGGCAAAATGGTTCAGAGATTTCCCCATCAACCTGAAGAACGGAAACGAGAGGGTCCGCTCGGCTTCTGAATCCGGTCCACAAACTCGACCCAAACCCTCGTTTTCTCGTGACAGCCTGAAAGGAAATCAGCGCAAAGATGGAGGGGTAGGGGGTTTATTGGCAGGGAGAAATAGGAAGAATTCGGCGACAGAGTTGGGTCGTCACAATGCTGGTCCTACTGGGACAGTCTGGGAGACTCTCACTAATGGAAAAAGTCGTAAGAACCCCAAGGTCGAGAGTGGGGCATCAGATGAGAACCGCCAGATCAAGACTTCTAGTTTGGCGCACGCGTATATCAGCAGGATGATCAAAGTGGATAAACAAGACAAAACCCAGAAACTCAACGGGATCAGTGAGCAGAAGCTTCCAGAGAACGAGAAGGGGAGGCCTGAAATCAAAACAACGGTGAGTGACTTTAACAGAGTTTCATATTTCATCTCTTATTTATAGATGGAATCAGGAAAAGCATTTTTGAGCATGCAGGTAAAAAAGTCAATAGGATTGTTCAGAGTAAAACCAAATTTCATTGTGGGCTTGAGGTCAGGGATTTTTCTTTTTGTTTCCCACCTAAGCTCATAACCATGTATTCAGTTTCAAACGCTCTCAAAGAATACAATGCAGCTTCACTTCATTGTGTCAGATCAAACAGGCAAACACAATGAACTGACCTCTTTGCATGAGCATCATTTCTTGGCTTCCTTTAGTCGTCGCTCATCCTTGAACAACCTCACTTGCCCACCCCCAACACATAATGTATTAGATCCCAATCCCCAAGGCCTCCCTGTTGTCTACAGGTAAATGTAACTTCTGTGTGGGAATTGAGCAGGCATTGTGTTTCTTTTTTTCTGACGGGGCTTTCCCCCTTTACAGCTGATCATCCTGGAGGACTATGCTGATCCTTTTGATGCAGAGAAAACCAAGGAGCAAAGAGAGGCTGAGAGAGCAGGCGTGAATGATGGGTACATGGAGCCTTATGATGCACAGGTCATCATCACAGGTGAGCTCAGGGTCATGATCTATATCCAGTTTATGGCAGTGATGTTGAAGGGGTGGCATCTTGACCACACATTTTAGACCACTGATGAGACTTTGAGTGACCCAGCAGGAGTTATTTTTATCATCACACCACGGTTATTTGGAAGTACTTTAAACTGTCAGCCAACCCCAGTGCTGCATTTGTTTTAGATAATCTCTTAAATGCACACAAAGTGGTTTGTAAAGTAAAATACAATTAACTTATTCTTCTGCACTCAAATTAAGGTTACTGCATACCTACAATCCTGCCAAAGGGCAGTTTCCAATAGTCACCGAGCCAAAATAGACCCTCAGCCTCTCCGCTGACTTCCCTCCTTGCTGGCGGTTGCCATAGGAACACTACTGAACAGGGACAATGGGTGCAGCTTCCTCTTCCAGCTTCCTGTCTCCTGCCTCTGTTTCCTTCGCCCCATTCTCTTTAAAGGGAAGTTGGTCCCAGTGCCCCCCCTCTCATTGCGCATAGACACACACATACATAAAGTACCTTTTGGTTCCTTACGTGTGAAAAGAATCGAAAGACCCCTCACCCCTCCCTAAGGCCTGCAGGGGCCCCCCTTGGTCTCATCCAATCATTTCCCAGCAGCCAGGAAGTGGCCTGGTCAGGCAGCCAATCAGCGGCTATGTTGACCTTTTCTTCCTGTAGCTCCATTGTTTGGTCACACAATAGTGCAGACACAGAGACTACCTGTCAGACAGCAAAGAAACACAGCAAGAGAAATTTCCCCAAAATTAACAACGTGTCAGAACAAATGCAGTTTAAAGACATCAGCATAATGGACAGATCCTTATTATGGTCCAGTCAAGTATTAGGCAACACGCTTTAGGATCTGATAAACTCATAGAAAATAAAACAAATTAACCTTCTTCTACCACAAACTGTCCAAAGAATGTTTGAGGTGGAACTTAAGTCATTTGAGAGGAAAACAGACACTGGACAGTAGTCATATTTGAATACTGAAGCCTATATTGAAGCAATATCTTCTCTGTTCAGTGACAGGGACAGACTTTATCAGAGGAAACTTGGACACTGACTTCTGTAGGGGTGTCCAGGCATAGTAAACATCATGGGTCTAAGCCCAAACCTAGAAGAGTTATTTCCACCAATCACATCATCACAACACAAAAAGCTAATTTCAGTGCAAGTATCTCTGAAACCACAAACAGCAAGTCATGGTTTAAGATTTCAGCGTGGTCACTGGGGTGGACAGTGAGTTTATTTTCAAACTGAGCTCTTAAATGTGACTCAATTTAAGAAATTCCTCTCTAGAGAATCAGACAACACTCTATTTCTAAATGGTAAAAATAGTCAAAATTAATTCTTCAAATTATTTTGTCAGTAGTTATGAAGTTGCACTCAGTCTAAGGAGATAAAACAGTCTATCATGAAACTGCTCTAACCTGAGCTCTGTTCTTTTTGAATTAATACTATTTCAAAGTAGTGCCAAAACTTTGTTGTCCTTTTGATGCTGTTGGACTGTATAACTATAAAAAATTCAAGATATTTGGTTCTCCCATCATTTGCACAAGTCAGCATTCAGCTAACCTTTCTGTGACTTATAATTTGTGGGAGTTGACTATCGTATTGTTGATCAGTATGGCTCTCAACATACTGTTTTAAAAAATGTCTGTATTTCTTTGCAGCTGAACAGAAGAGACCATTCTGTTTTGGTCACCTTAGCTGAGAGTGTCACTTAGTGAGAGTTCTTTGAAAGTGTTCATTTAAACACAAGAAGAGACACAGTATGTGCTGAGGAAGAAGCTCATTGACTGAAATATGCAAACACACACACACACTAACAAACCAACAGGACAGTCACCTGCTTCATTTGAACACCTCCTCAGAATTTTTTGAAGCCAAATCCACTTTTTCACAGAAATTTTTAGTGAAAGAATAAAATAGAAGGGCAACAGTGGAGACTTTCTAAGAAGAATATACAATAGTTGTATGACTCCTTTCACCCTTAAAATGCTCTGTCTAATTTTTCAAATGAATTTTATATTGCAGAGGTCCGTAGACGAGGCTCCAAAGACCTCCTAAAAGTGTGTGTCCTGCTGGACCGAGGCCAAAGAGAGGGGAAGGAAGAGGAGAAAAAAAACACACACCCAAATATATATGACACACCCTATGAGGGTGGGCTGGAAGGCGACAGTGAGGGGGTGTGGATCCCTGTCACACGGCCTGAGTCTGACGTCCGTCCCGCTGGAGAATATGAACTGCCCTGGGAGTGGAGAAAGGAGGACATTGTGAGAGCGCTGTCAGGTACAGAAAGGGAGAGAAGGATGACGGGAAGGGTGGAAAAGGAGGGGGTTTAGGGTGTGGGGGAAGGATGCGACAAGTATTATTTGTATGGCCATGCCGCAACAATTTAGTGTTTGCTTTAGAGGGGAAATTAAACAATCCTGATGATTCGATTTCTAGACGTGTGTTTACTTTGGTAGCTTTTGATATCATCTGTCCTCTTCTCTTCAGCTCAATTCGAGACAGCGGATTGTTTCCCCAGTAAGGAGAACAGTTCGACCTCCCTGCGCCAGCAGCAGCAGCAGCAGCAGCAGCAGCAGCAGCAGCTTCAGCAGCAGCAGCAGACACAGCAGCAACAAACCCTGAGGCAGAAGAACTGGAACAATAAAACTCTTGTACCGTCTTCTCCGTCCTCCTCTTCCTCCTCTTTTCCCTCCTCTCCAATTCTCAAACTCTCCCCTCTCACACCTCCATCCCCCTCTTTCCCCACTCTTAAGCTCTCCCCTTCTTCTAGTCCCAACAACAAACTCTCTCCCCCATCTCCTACCTCCCCGAACACACCGCTGGATGGGGAAGCAGCTAAAGTGGAGCCTAACCTGCCACTGGAGAAGCAGAGGTAAGAACAGAAAAGACATACTCATCGGTAGTAAGATAGAGGGAAATATACCAGATGATGTCGGAAAAATAAGACCACATCTCACATCTCCTGAACAGGACGTTACTGGGCTGATGTGCAAAAATAAAAATCAAGATATTCCCAGATTTATTCCATTATACAGCACATACTGTACGATAACACCTCCCTTGAAATAAGTTTATAGACAAGTCTGTTACAGACTGGAAAAAACATGTGTAAGAGCATAACCAAGAAGCCAAACACACACACATACATACAGAAAGTTATGTTCAGGACCATTTAAGAGCCCAGCTGCACAAAAGATCTCAAACAATGAGAAAATACAACCAACATTTAAACCCAAGCAAAAAAAGTATATTTTAAAATTTACCTGAAAAACTTAGCAATGTACCAGACACAATCTTAATCAATTGATAACTTTACGTAGCCTTGTTTGCACCTTCTTCTTTCAACAAAGGATTACTTTTTTTTTTTTTCTTTTGGCCTGTCTGGAAGAACAGCACCCTCCTCAGTCCTGGCTGAAAATCAATCTTGACTCACTAGAAGTTGTAAAGCAATCAGGTAGATTTCCTCTAACATCACATATAGTGCCCAAAACGGTTTCAGAGACTGCCAAACTTCTTGGCCAAAATCTCACATTTATTTTGCACTTGGCTCTTGAGGGAGACTTGTCAGTAAATTTTGGCGTTTATCACCGAGCTCATTAGCCAGATGCAGCGTTCAAGGACACCCTCAAGTTCAGGCAAACACTGGAGATGTGAGTTGAGGTTTGAATAGACAGAGGAGACTTGTTTTAACAGTACAGCTTGTTTCCTTATCTCATTAAGCACAGCCTTTCTCTCTAGATGGAACATGTGTAGAACGTACTCAGAGTGGATGAACATTCGCTCCTTTTATGTTAAGGCCGAATGTAAGTGTTCTACATGTGAGATTAGCAGCCAGGCTACAGCTCTGACCCGTAGCCTAACTGCTAATGGACCTTGACATTCTATGCAGCGACGCACATCTAGCTCACTGGTCTCTTTGATTTATGTCTTTGCCCTCCCAAGTTCACCTTTGACACTGTTAACTCACTCACTCCCAAACATAAATCTGTCTGGTTTAAAGAGACCGTAAACCTTTCATGCTGTTGGAGCATTTGGCCTCTGTTGTTTTCTTCCTCTTACCATCATCACCTATCATCGACTTGACGTCTGACTTCTCTCCATATGTCACTGTGACTATATGTCAGTGATCTTTCTCTCTCTCTCTCTCTCTCTCTGGCTCCCTCCCCCTCCTCCCCCAATCCCTCTCCTCTCCAAGCTGGTACCACGGCAGTGTGAGTCGGCAGCAGGCTGAGGCTCAGCTGCAGCGCTGCAGGGAGGCCAGCTTCCTGGTGAGAGACAGCGAATCAGGAACCAGCAAGTACTCCATCGCTCTGAAGTGAGTGTGTGGATATGTTTGTGTGTTTCCTTTGAGGGTGCGTTTCTGTAAACATGAGACATGCACACTATATAATGCAACATGTACATATGCATATATGGATCTATTTTTGTCCTCTTTTGTTTTGCTGCGTGCATCACAGTCTCTCTCACTCTTTCTTCGGCTGAGTTATCACCGCCTTAAAATCAAACATTTTCCACTGATTTTAATTCTGTCTTTTTGTAATTACTTGGTGTTATTTGATGTTCTTATCTTGTGTTTTTACTGTGTATTTTATAGACTAAATATATATTAGTTTTAGCTCCTTGTGACTTAACTTTAAATAGTGACTCCGCTCATTTCCAGCTACATTTAAGGTATAATTTAACTTTAGTCATTGTGGTGTCAGCCTCTGAGGCGCTAATGCATGATAATGTGTGTCATCAGTGAGGCAGACAGTAGTGATGAGAGTGCCAAGAGCAGGTTCTCAAGGAAAGGCTGTCACTCTGTGTGCTATTTTCTATGTGAACATGTGCCTGAATGCACATTTGTGGTACATTGCTTATTCATTTGCGAGTTCACATCATTAACCTCATTTACGCCTTCACTGAGCTCGGAAAACGCGCAGCCTTATTTGACGAGTGAACACGTAGTTCTTGTGCGTTTTATTAGCTATGGCTGTTACTTTGGTAGAGTGCTTTTAACCTGTGAGACTTACTATCTGTTTTCACTCTGTTTTGTCCCATTAGGACCAGTCAAAGTTGTGTGCATATCATTGTAGCGCAGACCAAGAGTGTGAAGGGCTTGGGATTCACCCTGGATCAGAGCAGCTGTGTGTTCTCCAGTATCCCGGAGCTGGTCCATTACTACTGCACACACAGGCTGCCTTTTACTGGAGCAGAGCACATGACGCTGCAGCATCCTGTGTCCCGGCCACACTGAAGATGTGAACGGGGGACATACAACCAATGCACAGAGACATATATTACATAGTAAAGCACAAATGCACATAGAAAATGCATCAACTCTTTAATACATGTGTAAGAAAGGCACTCACAGATATGCTGCTTTGGGATGATCCTGCGTACGTCTGGAGCTCTTTCATGCGCAACCTGGTGGCCAAAGTCATTCATCACAAGAACTACTCATCACATTGTCTCATCCGTCGCCCTCACAGATCATATCAGCACCCAACTAAACTCATTTCTCTGATACCTGAACACACAAAGCACTACACTTACTATAACCAATCACATATTCGTAACAAATGAGACAGGCTGGCACCATGCCACAGAGTTAGGCCTAGTCTCTGAGATCAATACACCTGATTGGAGTATATATGTTCATCCATCTGACATGTCAATCAGCATATTGATCCATCCTGAAAATCAGGCTCATTTGCCAACCACTGGGCCTAACAAAGGAGAGAGCTTCATTGATTAGGTGATTAGAACTCGTGGAGTGGGAGGGGTCCTGTCATAGTAGAGTACACCATCAGCAAAAAATGCATGAGTCAGCGGACGTTCATAAAGTAAATATTTAAATATGTATGCCCATGCACATACCTTCATGAGAATTTGTTCTGATTAAAAAGCTATCGTATTTCATGTCAAGAGAAGTGGCCTGTTTAACCTTTGTATGTACCTTTGCATAAGTGATTAATGTATGAAGTTATGGATATTGTCAACTACACAGTGGTGTGGGCTGTTACTGCTGTAAGACTTTTATTCAGTAAATACAGTGTTTATGAACTGTAGACAAAATGTGTTATCATTAAAACTGCCTGGAACAAAAGTGAAAGCAGGGTTCGAGGAAAAGGAAGCAAAGCAGAGATGAGAAAAATAACCCAAGTGAATCTGCCATGTGTTTTTCTCTTGTAGCTGAAAAACCATTGACCTGAGTGTGAAATCAATTATAGCTAAACGCACAAATAAGCACACACATGCAACCTCATGCACGCACACACAGTCACCTTTTGCAGCAGAAGAACACTGCATACACAAGCTCACTTACAGAGAGCATACAGAAATAGTGCGCACAAGTACACACGCAGAGTGCGTACATGAAAAGTGTCCACACAAATAGCATGAACACACAAAATAAGGTGGCACATTTAAATCCTGCCAACACACACCAAGCTTCTCTCAAAACACAGAGAGGCTTTATCTGCACAATGACGCACAGAAGCATGTGTTTGCGGTGAGATATGTTTTACCAGTAAACACCAGTGTGATGGTTTGCATGGGTATGTCTTGGAGAGCGCGTGTGTGCGTGAGTGGGTGCATGTATGCAAGACTGAGTGTGCTCATATGTGCAACCATGTGTGCGTTTATGTGCATGCAGTCCTGTTTTGCGTGTGTGTTTGAGTTAGAGCAATAGATAGAGAGAGAGGAAGGAGAAATAAAGGAAGAAACAGAGGAAGAGAGAAACACAGTGAGAGAGAGGGAGGAATTCAGAATTTTTCTGTTCAGGGATTACCAGGTTGCCATGGTGATTAGTTAAAGTGAGGTAGGGCCATATCTACGGGGAATGAGATGAGGAGAGGGAGGAGAGAGGAAGAGGAAGAGGGAGGAGAGACAGGCAATAATATAAAAAGAGCTATGAATAACTGTGGTCATAGTACCACAGTAGCATGAAGCTCCCCCACAGAGTTAGCCTGCTAGCTTGGTTTCAGGATTACAGTTATGACTGTTACTACAAATTAGCACCAGAAATTAGCAACCAAAACTACAATCCCATCCCTCTTCAGGCAGCTCACCCACTCCGTACAGCTCTACTGACGCCTCCTCGTAAGGTCAAAGGGCATGTGCGATCCAAATGAAGACTGACTTTGATCAGAACGACTTCAGCAGGGCAGATACTTGCTTCTTCACCGCCCTACTGTGAACGCAGCGTTTTTCACGGTTGAAGAGCATTTTCTAATCTTGGCCTTCTTGCAACCCAGCGTGCCACAAATGGCAATGTTACACAACAACAGACACCACCAAGCATCACCCCTCCCTCCATCCGTGTGATCCGTTGGGGTGAGATCCTCCATGTTCTCTTAATTAAATCACAAAGTAGGTCAAAACAAACAAGAGGCCTGAGGTTCTGGACACATGATTCTTGCTGTGTTTGTCAGTCTGTTATTTTGGGGGGAATGGTGCATTTAGTAATCATCTAGCGTATAATCTTACTTATTTGAGTGTTCTTAGACTTCGATGCCATCTCTGTGCAGTGAAGACAACGTATCTCTTTTCATGCAGTGTTATGAAAGATTATGTTTCCAATAATTGGCTTTGTATCTGTGTGTACTGTTTTTAAAAGTTGGATTTTCACCATATAAATTTAACAGAGAAATATAAACTCCAAATACAACATTTCTCCTGACAAATACTTTCTTTTGGTTTTTCTTAATCATTTTGTGACTCATTAATAAGATTTATATGAGGTTAAACAAAGTGTTTCCCAGTTGTAAGGAAACCACAGGAGGCAATACCCGCCACCTGAAGACAGAATGACATCAGGAGAGGAAGGGACAGAGGGAGGGAGAGAGAGAAAGAGAGAGAGTGAGTGAGAGAGAGAGAGAGAGAGAGTGAGAGGGGGTGTTAGGCAAAGACAAGCACTTGTGGGGGTCCCAGCTTTTAAATAATTCAGGCAGAGACTCACAGCACTCAGTGCAGAGGAGGAGCACTGTCAGGTCAGCTCATTCACTGCAGAGCAGAGGTAGAGAGGCAGAGAGGAAGAGTGGATAAAGATAGCATGAGAGACGAAGACATTACAGAGGGAGGGTTTGCCTGCGTGTGTGTGCGCATATGTGCGTTTGTGTGTTGATGCAGTGTGTGCATACATGCGTGAGTGTGTGTGCCAGCTGAGCATGTTTTCTGTCTTTGTGCTTGTGTGTGTATATGTGTGTTTGTGTGTGTGGCTGATGAAAATAGACAAAATGAAGGAGAAACAGGTCGCTTCCTCCTGGAGCTTTCTGGTTTCTCTTAGTCACCACGGCAACCGCCTCCTCCCTTTATCCCACACTCCTGTTTACTTACAGTACTTTATTCTTCCCCAAACAAATCCTCCCCACACCTCCCACGCTTGTGCTGAAACCCCCTCATCTCCCTACCTCCTGTGCCCCCCAGTATTTTCTGCATTCGCTCTGCCACATGTCATCAGAATCACGTTAAATTTCTCAGCATTTTCATCGTACGTGTGAATCCAAACTTACTCACTTCCTTTTTAGGGCCTCCTCCCAGCAGTTTTTTCTTCCCTTTCATCCTGTCAGGATCCTGCCTGTTTGACTTTGTGGGTAGGGATTAGAGGTTACTTCAGTGATCTCAAGGGAGAAAACTAGTGGTGACTTGTCTTAAAGTTTCAGGGATAAAAAGGTAAAAAAAAGAAGCCATGAGGGGAGATAAATAGACATCCAGCTTTAAGATGAAGAAATAAGGATTTTATTTGGTGAAGGGTGTTGATTTTAAAGCTACTGTTACATTTGATTTTGGTGACCCCTGTGGACCAAGCAAACATCTTATTTCTTTGATAATTCTGTACTTTACATGTACCATAAAATCTGGAATATAAGTCACAGGCTCCCATCAAGTATAAAAAGGTTTAAACTGTTTTTTTTTTTTTTATGTGTGTGTAGACTTCAACTGTATTCCGCAATGTGAAATCTCAGATTTGTATCTTTTACTGGTAGAATATGCTTTAAATCCATAAATCCATCACCTGCAACCAGTTTGTATAGACTAGTGCCACCCCCCTCTACTGCTCACTTGGGTCCAATAAAGTGTCATTTTAATCAAACCAGCTCTCCATATTAACTTAATAGCATACCACCCTTTTCTTTACATGCAGGATTATTATCTTTCAAGGCGAGAAGCTGTAAAACTAGCCTGTTACGTATTAAGTATACCCTCACACTGCTTCTCTGAGCATCTTAGTAAAATACTATCACACAACAGAAAACCTCTCTGCGTCTTATACATACCTACTCGTATGACTCACTGTGAATGTTTTTCATAGCAGATATAAAAAACCATGCAACATGAGTGAGTCTGGCACCAAACCCAAGGCAATGGTTCACAGCATCATAATAACAATATATGAATTGTCAATCTTGTCTTTGATTGCTTCATTAGATTTGTGGGTCAGAAGAGAGACAAAGGTATTAACAAAAAAAGCTAAAAACTCCTTGCAGGTACTTTAACAGGACAGTTAAACTAAAAGGGATATTCCGGCGTCAAATTAATTTTGGGTCAAACACACCATAACACCGAGTTAGACGCCCCTCGAGAGATGAATGTTGCCGACCGTTTTCTTCTCTCGTTGTACTAGCTTTAGTAACGACCGCAGATAGCGATACACAGCGGTCTGAGGAGCTATCAACAAACCTCAACCAAAAAGCCACTCTATAGCCACAAATAATGCTCAGAACAGCACCGAACTTCATCAACAGTACATTTAGGGTCCCAGCCATAGCACTAACCACGAAACATCTTTTTAGCTTTGCCTTATTTCTTTAGCAAAGAGACTAAACACATCATACCCTTTCTCCCCTAGCAGCCGCTTGTTTGTAGCGAGACCTCGGGTCAGTCCATTATGAACTACTTCAGGGTGACGCAGCTCAAGGAAGAACATTTATAATTTCTTCATGCAAATGCAATCAGACCGAGACGCTAAGGCAGAAGAACTACCGCGTTTGCAGTGCAAAATAACTAATATGGTGATTATTACTTTAAGGAAATGATGAAGAAACGATCATAAATGTTCCTCCTTGAGCTGCGTCACCCCGCGGAAGTCCGTAATGGACTGGCCTGAGGTGTCGCTACAAACAAGCGGCTGCTAAAGGAGAGCGAGTAAAACGTGTTTGGACTCTTTGTTAAAGAAATTAGGCAAAATTAAAAAGATGTTTGGTGGTTTGGACCCTTTATGTCCTGTTGATTAAGTTAGGTGCTGTTCTGAGCATTATTTGTGGCTATAGAGTGGCGTTTTGGTTGAGGTTTGTTGATAGCTCCTCAGACCGCTGTGTATCGCTATGCTATCCTGCGGTCGTTACTGAAGTTGGTTTAGCTAGAGAAGCAAGCGGTCGGCCACATATATCTCTCGAGGGGGTGTCTAACTCGGTGTTACGGTGTATTTGACCCTAAATGAATTTTACGCCGGAATATCCCTTCAAGTTGTTGCTTTAAAACTCTTTTTATTCCATTTTTCTCTGAAGTAAAAAATCCCTAATTTAGGTAGTGTATGACTTTACGAGTCAAAAATGCAACACAATAATCTAACGTATAGGAAATTAATATTGCGGTTAGAGATATATGGAGCTCTAAAGTTTAACAAAGCCATAACATATCTTTGCTGACCATGACAAATGCTGTGTATGTGTCAAGGTGAGCGAATTGTGTGATATGGGTGATTTTGCGAGGGGGGGAACACTCTGGCATCTCTGTAGCCGAGCTGTGGTGGAGCCTCTGAGGTATGCCACATCCTCCCCTCCCCTCGCTCGCCTCCCCCCGCCCCGCCTCTCCTCCTGCGCGTCGCATCACTAAGCGATGTTCAGCACGGACAGCAAGCACCGCACCAAACCCGCACGACTCAACGCGTACTTCACCTGTCCCCCCTCGCAGAGATATCCACATATCCCCCAATTTCGTCCGGGCGAAGAAGCCTCGAGGACTTGACGGTGAGCCTTGACGTCACGATGCCAGGTACAGACTGAAGGGAGTGTTTGGCTCGTGAGGAGGAGGAGGAGGTGGAGAAGGTGGAGGAACACTGCGGGTGTGCTTGGGGTGGCCTCTCCTTCGCGGTGAACACCTTTCGGGCTCGAACGCACGTAAGATGATGGACGGCTGGGCGCCGCTTCTGTTGCTGCTGGCCCTTCTTGCCATTGCGGGAGGTGAGTAACTTATCCGTGTAATGGCTCCATCGACGCGCTGCTGCGCGTGTGTGTGAGAGAGAGAGAGACACAGAGAGAGTGTGTGTGTGTGCGCGCGCGTGTGCGTATCGTCACCTTTAGAGGGCCAAAAATAAAACACACCTCACCGAGCGTTACAGCATTATTCAGGGGGCTTAAAAACATGCGTGAAGTAACGTAACGAAAAGGAGCGGTTGAAGGAAATGTCTCTTCCATTGCTGTGTCACCATATTTCTCATAACGGCAGAGCGCGCGATGAAATGATGTAGTAGAGAAATGTTACCCACTCGAAATTGCAGGCGCGTAATACAGAAACACACGCACGAGCTAGCATGATTAGCGCGTGAGAAATCCATAAATTGAAGGCACCTGCTCTTGTTTATACGATGTGTTTAAAGCTATTACTTGATATCGTAACATCATGTGTCAAAGACTTAAGACCCATTTTTTATTTATTTATCTTAATGCTGTATAGCTGAAGAGGTTAACTGATATTCAGCAACATTGTTTAGTCCGTGACACATTTTTCATGACATTTTAAACCTACAAACTCCTGCTGATTAATTCAACATTTATTAGTTGTATAAATGAACAAACACATTTTAAATATTAAGTCTTGGTATATGTGATTCTCCTACAAAAGAGCACCATTTTATCCCTTTTTAGAGATGGAGGGCTAAAGGAAGAATTAATCTTATCACCTACTTTCCCCCCCTCCCCCCTTTCTCTCTCTGTCTCCCTCTCTCGCTCTCTCATTAACACCGAGGTCCTGTATTGAGTGGGCAGGTTAATGAGAGGCACGTCAAGCTAAAACAACTTTAACATCCTGTCATCAAAGGGAAAATGATGTGACACACAGCTTTGCAGGACAAAGCTTCTGCCTCTCTAATATAGCTTTAAGTGGTAATGGGCCTTTTTTCCTTTACTTGAATGTGAATCTGGTCAATGAAACTTGTTTACAACCGAGTTTTTGTAGTGCATGAGAAGCAAATGAGGTATCTGTTAAGTGTGAAGCTATTAGGGTGTTAGGGAATAATTTACCTCCCTGAGTTGGCTCTAATTCAGTGTTAATTTCTGTTTAGAGAGAGTTTGCCCCGAGCAGAGAGGAAGAAACCCATCAGCTGATTGGCTAAATCAAAGCAGCCTTATTATTTTCAGCCAAGCCGTGGTAGTGACAGAACAGAGGCCAGCTCACTGCCTCCGAGCAAAAAGACTGCTCGTCCCTGCCTGTGCAGCAGCACCCAAATCCACGCACCCTTACACACTTCCATCCACACACATATATTAAAAAAACCCAAATCCACACACACACACTGGACCATCTGCCTTACATTGACTGATTGTTCATCACCACCCATGGGGACAACATGCTCCTGCCTTTTCTGTTTCTCATACACACTACTTCTTTGCGGCGCACACATCACACACACACACACACAGAGCTTCTCATTTCACATATCATAATACATTCATGCAAAGACATACAGTGAAGGATCAAACACTTTGACCTCTACTAACCTGCAATTCATCATGTCAGCATTAGCCCACACATGCACAAACGCATCAGACACACACATACACATAAAATTATATAGCGAGCTGAGATGTTTTGTACTAAATTGATTAAATAGAAAAATGTAAGCAAAATACTTAATAGTCTTCAATAAGGGGTTGCTTTAGATTTTTAACCTCTGTAAACTGTAAATATTTTAATATTTCGTCAGTTTAAATTTCACTCTGCTTGTTCTCACACACCAATAACGCGGCTAATTCCCCGTATCTAAAAACCTACTTGGCAACAAACCTGATTCTCCCTTCAGTGGAGTACGAGACGTGACAGAAGCATGTCTTGTTTATGACGCTGCTTTTAAACTTGCTGTATAATATTTGCTTCTCTCCCCTGAGCATCCAGTTTTGTTGGTTGATGATTCCTGAGTTCAAACAGGGGTACGTTCACTAAACGAGAAAACGCTGCCAAGATGAAATACCACTTTAAGGAGATTCACAAGCAGTGGAGTACTAATGAGTCATCTTCCCTTGAGGAAGAAAATCTGATTAGCATCATCTTCAGAGACTATAAACTCAATCTACACACACATACACACAAACACACCCAAACAAAGGTTGAAAGAAATGCTTACATGGTTGCACACACACCTGGAGTAAAAGCGTATGTTAACAGCTTTAAGGGATTCCCTACAAAGACACATAATTGTTCTACGCATAGTTGGAAAAGACAACATCATAGTACATTAAGTTGGGAGGCGTGTACATTTGTTCACATTAGCTCATGTTGGCGTATCTTCACATCACATTATCATGTAAAAGGAGCAGAAGAGAGGAGACACTTATGCATCTCCTTCATGTAGAGACACACTAGAATGTGAGAAAGCGAATATCGGTGGTGACGGGATTAGGAGGAGAAAAGTCATAACTTTACGACAGTCTTATGTAAGACTTCGAAAGAGACACAAACAGGCACAAAACGAGTCTGAAAATTCAGTGGCCATGCAAGGACATTTCACGGACGTTTCACCACCTGTCCCAGACTGTGCCGTGAGGATGCAGCCCTCCTCCTGTGTGACGAGGATACCTCTTGTCATTTCCCCTGCAGGCCATGCATAATAAACAGGTCTGTGGTGCTGCGTTGACCTGATGTGAGGGTTACTGGATATAGAGCACAGTGTGCAATAGTCTCATCAAGCAGGGGCGTAAAAGTGCATTTGGATTAGTTTTACAACAATACTTTTACCATCTGCATCCTTTGGCTGTTGTGTTTGGTGCAAGTCTTCCTTTTTGCATGTGTGCATATGTAATCTATGTCCCTGCACTCAGTGAATATCAACCTACTGTTTCCTTGGCAGTGCCACAGTCTAGAAAGTTCTGCTCGGTCGGTTTAGCCTGTCATCACTTTTCTGCTGCACCGCTCCAGCTCACTGATCCCTGCAATATCTCAACCTGCACATTACAACAGCCCTCCTTTTGTCTCTATCTCTCTCTCTGTCACTTTCTCTTTCTCTCTCTCTCTCTCTCCCTCTCTCATTCTCTCTGTCTCTATCACTTTGGACTGGATCCCAACACTCAGCAGCGGCAACAAGATCAGATCGCAGGATATTTGGCTGCATGTGAGATTACAAACGCACAGCAGAGACCTGCAGTTGTATGTGAGAAAGTGTGTGATTCTGTGTGTCAAACAGTGGGCTCTCATGTGTGATTTTGTGCAGGATTGTGTGTGTGTGTGTGTAGCAGTCGTACAAGCAGTGCACAGCAGTGTTGTGTGGCCCTGGAGAATAAAAAGAGAGCACCAAAGTTCAACAGAAACTTAAGCAGAGGAGAAGAGGCAGATAAGAGACGTTTGGAAAGTTTAGAGGTTAAATTTAACTTCGTACAAGACTGAGTGTGTGCACGTGTGTGTATATATACATACGTGTAGTTGACTTATGCACTTACATAAAGGTAGGGCCGTGCGTATGCAGCTCTGGTGCAGGTGTAGAAAGCATCGTACTTAAGATAATGCAGCTTACTCGCTCTCAGTTAAGAGCGTCTGTGAAAGATAACACTTTATCTTGAAGATACTGGAGAAATGATCTTACATCTTTGCGTAGCAGTCTGAAAAGGAACCGATAGATAATAAACCGATAAATAAATAAAAATCCTGAGCTGGAAGAGATCACAAAAAAAAAACGTGTGCTCATTTCAATCTTGATCAGGAAGTCTGCAAGATAAGACACGAAAACAAATGAGATCAAGACCCATGTACTGAAGCCAGATAGTATATGTGCACATGCTATTCTCAGGCAGCAGTAGGCATCGACCTGGTGATGACACAGGAGTGAGATTTATGTTTTTTCAAATAATAGCCTAAATAATAGCTGTTGTGACAGGCATTATGCAGTTTAAATGATGGATATTATTGCTCTCCCTGAAATATACACCACAATAGTTGGAAGCCAGACTGCCTTTCATCCAACAGATAAGCTCTTTAAGCTATAAAACAATAAAAAAACATGATATAAATAAACCCCACTTTACGTCCTTGTACAGCGATTTCTGGAGTCTTTTCATCTGAGATTCTGCAGGGATATATCCTCTGTAAATATCAGAAGTTATTTGGCCATGTGTAAAAGGTGCACAGGGTATTTAATGTTAGCATTTAAACCCCATGATTCCTCTCTTTTTACCTATATATGGAAAACTTTCACATGTATTTTGAATTGAAAACAACATTAAGAGCCAAAAAGGTTTAAGCCATTGAAGTTTGTCTGTATTTCTGATAATCTGTTGCTAAATAAATGCTTCACTCCAAAACATTTTTAATACTTTATGTAATATTAATAAAAGTAATAGCTTTATTTATATCGCACCTTTAAAAAAAGACATTTACAAAGTGCTTTAACAGGTAAAACGAAGGCTGAAACAGGCAGGATTCAGTGGACGATAAATCAACAATCATGTCAAACAAAGACCAAACGAGTCAGGTGAAATACACAGACTAATTGATGATAGTTTATGTTTGACTGTCGATGGTTGACGGCATCACATGAGGAAAGTGGAGAAGGTGGATAGAGAATGGATAAAAGGGAAAGAATAAATCAAAAAAAGACAATAATTATAACGGGGTATTTTAAGACATGATTTTTTTAAATAGATGTTTTCTAAAGTAGTGGGGGACTAAAAGTCACTTGTTTTTTTCTGACAGACAGTCTCAAATGTAATTTGTGATGTATAAATGACAAACATGGTAAATATTCATTGTTTAAAAGCTGAAGCCAGCAAATGTTTCTAGTTTATGACTGAGAAAAACTAAAAGACGAGTCAATCAAATGAAGGATTTTCTCTTTTTTTGACTCATCAGTTTCTAAACCTGTCGTCTCAGCTCTAAAATTTATCGTATTCAGGCCATCAGGATAGAGCCTATAAACTGTAATAGCTCTATACACTCTTGCTTATATCTTGCCAACTTCTCTCTCTGTGTATTACATAATAACACAGGTTTCTGGTTTCTATAACATTTCTGTCAGTGCTTCTGTGTATTTTCTGTTGATGTAAAATAAGATGAGTTATCATAGAAGAGAAGTGTGATCGTGTATTGTATTAGAACTTGTATAACCAGTCTAACTTCAGTAAGGATAGGAGTAAAAACGTAGGAGATATGCACATGCAGTGTCTTAGTGGAGTGCTGAAAAGCTTCTGTTTCTACATCAGCTCAGCCTCAAAGGTTGTTTTTCTCTTTGATGGTGGACTTGGCTGAATTCGGCGACCATAAAGCTTCAGCCCTTAGTACATCCACAGTAGGATGGCTTTGTGTTTGAAGTGCTGTGATATTGCTGCTGGATGGAGGATCAATATTAATACCTCAGTTCTATGGCCACTACAGAGCCAATTGGGTGTTGCCAGTAGATCAATGGATCCTTCCATTATTGATTTAAGAATATTTCAGCATAAAAGGTCCCTACTGCGGCCAAAAAGCCTCTTTGGCAGAGCACAGAGAGGAGAGCAGAGAGTGACCCTTCCTTCCCTCCAACCTTTCCTCCTCTGAGTGAGCTGTATAAATTGAGATCATCACTGTAATAGTCTTAGCGAGATAATTTAATTTAGCTCCTGCTTCGCCCTCAATTTCTTCACATCTGTCTTTACGGTGTGTGTGGACTGATGCCTATGAGTAACTTTGTCAACCAGAAACAATGGAGGCTATAAAATTTAAAGGCTGATGAGTTGGTGTGGTTAAATAAGTTAGTCTAATGTTTCTTTTGGTTGACACTTACACTTTCTTCGGGATGTCAGACAAGAGCCAAATGTAGTTGTGAAGCATTTCCACACTGAATATGGTTTCCCTCTCGTCTGTTCCTGCATTGTGTCGCTAACATTGTCTGCCTATGTTTGCACATATATAACTTCCCTCACTCCGAGTTTAATAGAGAGCCCTGCTGAAATATTCATAGTGTCACATTAAGTTTGCAATATTTGCACTGGAAAACAACCAGAATACAACCGGAGCTACCAACAACATTACTACCACTCAGCTCGGCCTTTGGCATGACAGAGTGTCATATGTGGAGGCAGCCGAAGAGGGAGATCAGTCTTTGTTTAGAAGCATTAGTAAGTGCTGCAGATGAGCAACCAGGTCAGCGAGCTTGTGCAGCGATCGGGCTTGAGTGTGTGGATTTTTCTTTTTCTTTGACTTTCGCAGTCTTGTTCTGGAGATAAGAAAACTGGAATAGACCAGAATATCCCTCTGTGTTTGGGTCTCTAATTTGTCTCAGTGCCAAAAAATATTAGTCTAGACTTTCATCCTGGGCATGTGCATTCAGTCTTTTTGAGGGAAAACTAAAAATGAGAACACAGAGAGTTAGGAGAGTGGAAATGCAAACTTATACTGGAGGTTTCTATTATACTATGCATTAAAGATGATGCAAACATCTGAAAAAGACCCTGAAAAATGCATCTGTAGCTTTCAGCAGAGATGTAAAAAACACTCGGTCCATGGCCTTTTGGAGTTCATTGTTTCTCCTGATTTTTATGTATAACCACAGCCTCAGAGTAAGAAGCAAGCTACGGTTGATGGAGATTATGCCTGAATTAAAATGCTGAAACATGATAGTTGTGTTACATCAGTGTGGCCTTAGGCTTTGTTTTGGCTTCTTGTAAAGTGAGTGTTAGTCATCTTTCATAGTCATTTTCTGAGATTTTCCTCACTGTTTTTTTTAATTTTTTCCCTTTTTAAACACGCATTATTTCTCCTGATAATACAATCATCCAAACACGATGTTTCCAGTGGAATTCCTTGAGAAACAGTCTTTTTTTAACGTCATCATGATTGATTTCGATGATGATTTTGGTAATAATGCCAGACTGGTGTGCTGTCATCTCGTTCTATGAGCCTGATTTACATCATTGATGGTGAGGCATGTGGAAATGTCGGCTCTATTTTTTCTGCGTCATCATTGTTTAAGTGAGCTATATTAGCTTTCCGTCTCAGTGTTATTGCTTTGTGCTTCAGAGAACAATATACATTACTCATATGGCTCAGACATAGACAGCATTGCTTATTTCCCTCATGAATATGTGTGCACAAAGAGACACACACACACACACAAAAATACACACACAGCAAGATGACGGCCGTGCTCAATAAACAAGCAGAGTGCTACACGCATGTGCTGACAGGAAGTGTATTGATGATGTTGGATTAGCGAGAGAAGGGGCAATAAATGGACAGTGGCTGTCAGCGATGAGGAGATGGAGATAACAGGAAGGAGAGAGCGATGGAGACAGTCAGGGGAGTGAAAAGAAAATGTATGCCTGTGCTGATGATGGAATGATGTGTATAAGAAAGTGTAAAGAAAATGAGACGGAGCAGAGAGGACACAGGAAGGTGCAGGACATAAAAAAAGGGGAAGGGAGGTATTGCGTGTTGAGTTTACGAGGCATGAATAGAGTCTTCATTGATCCAGAGACAGAGGCCATCATTCCTGCTCAGTGAGCACAGCATCTATGGGGAGAGAGAGAGGAAGGAGAGATCAAGGGAGAGATAGGACCGTGTCAGGGATGAGGTGAAAAGCGCACACATTAGCAGATGTGCAGGAGCAGCATCATTGTAGTACATTTAATTTGTACCTTTTTGGCTTGGTGTTTTCATTTCCATGTCCATTTTTATATCTCCACTGAAACAATGCCAACATATTTAAAAAGCACTTGCACTTCTTTTGGGTTTATATACAGATTTGAGTTCATCCTTGTGCTTTCTCAAGTTACTGACAGGGCTGCAACTTCTAGATTTCATTTGGCACTTTTGGATACGAGTTCATATGCAGTACAACTGGCCCATACAGGACATGAACTATCCAAACCTCTGCTCCCTAAACTTCTGTTCCAGTCCAAGTTGCTGCTACCTGAACTTTGAAACATGAATCATAGTTTCATGAAGCCTTGGATCATTGTTCAGTTCATGTGATGTTTTGTCAACGGATTTTGTTTAACTACATAATTAAACAAAATCCGTCTAGAGTTAGCGTTAGTTAGCACTACAATTACTTGTCAGTTTAACAAATTATTACTTTGTTTATTACTGTAAGCCACGTTGTGCCAGTGATTTATTTAGTCAGAGCTGCAATACAGCCATCCACCCCTATTCAGTGCTGTAGCTCTGGTTAATAGCTGCTCCTATAATTCTGTACTACCAGGATATAAACAGGCACAGATGACAGTGACATTAACCCAACTTTTTGTGTTTAAAATATTTATTACTAAAGCAACTGCACTGTTATGATTGTATGCATATCTCACTTGATTGGTTAGCTAGCTTGTAGGGCTATTAGATTTTCAAAAAATCAACTTCTAACAAATATTGAACATGGCATGCAAACATTCAAATACGTTTGAATTTTGCAGTCTTATTGGTAAGGGCCTTTGCTAAAAAAAGGGGCATATTGGGTTTAACACCTGCCATTGTACTGCTGCTCGTCTGTGGTGCGTCTCCCTCCTCACGTGGCTGGCAAGCTATCAGGTGATGAGTACAACAAGCTGCTTCATACTAAGTGGACATACAGCCCTATCTTTGTCTCTCATTTATCCATCTATCTATGGTGTAGATCCCAAAATACTTCCCTCGTCACGCTTCTTAGATGTTTCAGTGTTTTTGTCCACTCAGTGTATCTTTTCCTTAACCATGTCCTCCATTTTTGTAGAACAACATGACTGTATTAGATTACTGAGGTCAAGAGTGCATGGATTGGTCAGGTTACGATCCGAGGGCTTTCTGCTGGATCACACGGTAGGCATCAGGCAGTGATGCACATATGTAACGTCCCTCAATGATGTTGACAGGGGACTGTTCTATGTGTTCACAGCACAAAACTTATCACAAGTAGAATAAAATAAAACTCTGTATGTTTTGAGATGATTTGTTGAGAAAATCACAGTTCTGAAATTAATGTTTTGGTAGCCAACATAATGAGCTATGCATGCTGTGTGTGTAGTGTTCTTCCAGTTTTACATTCCATGTGAGGATTTGGATTTGACACATATTTATATTGGTGTGCATCTGGAATAAGGATATATTGAGCAATTTCCATCCATGATACGACCGAGTCATTATTTGATCAACTTATCAATTTAAAACTAACAACTTTAAGTTACGTTTTCATCAATTTATTACAACTAACTACAGTTGATCTGGTCTCTGTTAGTTTAATCAACACCATGCATTCAAAAGAGGGTAATAAAGATGTGAAAATGTATTGTATGCATTTTGGTGGAGATAATATTATAAAATTCTGATTTAAAAGAGTAGGACACTGTTCAAAGAACTGCATGTAATTGAAAGTAGTGGAAGCAGACAACATGTTCTTTGGAAATCATGGACAACATGTCCTGTCCTCCGTAGAGGACAGGGACCACTCTGCCTGCTGTTGGTAAACAGTTCAGAAGCAAGTCACAGTAAACTGATTTTGGAACAACATCCAGGTGGAAGATTATGGCTGCAGCCTCTATTAATATCCCACTGAAATCATTCAATGTATATCAAAATGATAAATACATGAGAGCAGACCCTGAACTGTTGAGCAGCTGAAATCCTACATCAGAAGAGAATAGGACAACATTTCACTTTCAAACCTCTGGAGTTGGGTTTCCTTGGTTCACAGTGCTGATGATGCAACACAAACACAACCCTCGTCCCATTAAAAAAACAAGGGGGTTGCTGGCATCACAATACAAAACAAGAATACATTAAAAAAAATCAGTTTCATCATGCTGATGTTTTTGCACTGTTTTGATTCAAATGGGCTTTAAATGATTTGCAAACTATCAAAAATATGTTTTTGTAAATATTTTAAAGAGCATTTATATTTTTGAATAGATTCTGATCGATGTTTTTATAAGATGTTCTTTTTGAAATGAAGATTTTCTCATTTTTGTAATAAATTGAATGATCATATACTGTATGCTATTTATTTCCATGCTGTTCAGCTTTGATATGTTCTTTTCCTACATCGTTAGTACCCGGTATGACAGCAGACTCAATGATGACAACATAGGTACTAAGGTTACAGCAGCAGACAGCCTGTGTTTATCTACAGGGAGGATGTGTGAGGGAATACTGAGAGGAATGATGCAGCACAGGAGCAGGCAGATGCCAGAGAAGCAGGCAGTGAACAACAGGAGAAGGAGGTGCAGGACATCGTGTCTCTCAGTAAAACTCCTCCCCTCCTCTGTGTGGTGTTGTGACAGCTCTGCCCGAACTCCGACACTCACTCACAGACTGCTACAGATGGAGGGAGGGAGGGAGGGAGGGGACAGGGGGAGCATGAAGTGAATATAACCCAAAGCCATAAAAGACGAGCAGCTAGGGAGAAAGTGCAACACAGCAGAGGAGAATAGAGAGAGACAGGACAGAGGCATGGAGAGAGTGATAGAGACATTCAGACTAGTTGACTCAGTCTTATGATGTCACTTCTTGTAAGGAGTGTGTATCGAGCTGTGCTGACGTGCTTCAGCCGGCAGTGGTGACTAATGCCACGGTTCCAAGACTTTAAACAGTCAATACACATGGATCAGGAGTGATGCCACACAATTGTGATAGGGAGGCCATGGGGAGCGGATGCTTAAGATATATGACAGTTAAGAAAATAGATGGAAAAGGGAGATTCACTTATTAAAACCATGTAACCAAATGTACAACTAAAACACAACAAAGTCTTCACATCAATGGGTAACTTGACAAATGCAGGCAAAAAGCGTGAACAGCACGGTCAGGCGGAAGCGGCTCTACCCTGCTCCAGCTAGTCACCTGCTAGCTTTAGCTCACGTTAGCCTGAGTCACACGTTACATGACAGAAGTGGCGTATTTTTAGCCCGTGGCTCTAACCTTCACTCTTTGCTGCTTGGGAAACATCTTTTTTTCATCGCCCTGTGCAGTCCTCAGTACTCCTCACAATGTGGAAAAATGTCTTAACCATTTTGGGGTCTTGAGTGTTCAATGTGGCAAACAATGACAGTCGCCATTTTTACCTCCTTCCTTAATAAAAGTCACAGCATGAAGATGTAAAATATTTATTCCTGTTAATGTCGTTTGCTGCAGTATTAATTGTTTAATGATTTCTTTTATCACAAAATTACACGTCTTGTTAACCATATTAGTTGTCATCTCTCACTACATTACCAGAGATCAAAGTCGCACAGTGCCGTATAAATGTGTCCTGTTCTTGTCTTGTAAAAGTACAACGGATGCCAGAGAGAGACACAGATGGCGGTGACATTTTTGTCTCACCATAGAGGGACATGATGATGATGAAGATAATGTGTTCTTGTTACCAGGTGGCCTTGGAGCAGACACAGAGGAGCGGTTGGTCGAGCATCTCCTGAATCCAGCCCATTACAACAAACTAATCCGACCTGCGACTAATGGGTCTGAGTTGGTCACCGTGCAGCTGATGGTGTCGCTGGCCCAACTCATCAGTGTGGTGAGTGTGAACACACCAGATTATGTATTTAAATGTGTGTGCACCTTTTAGCAACAAAGGAAAATGAAGTATTTTTATTTCATTTACAGGGCATATACTTTAGCGTGTTGATGCGTTCGGCCGCCAAATTTTCTTTTTCCTTTTTTAACGTTGATTTATACTTTAAGACTGATGTCCTCACCTCCATGCCAGCTGCTCTCCCTAATGCAAGTCTTAATTAACCAGAAATTAGAAATGAAAATTGTAACAAAAATTTTGACAAAATACATTTATTTGTCAATATTGCATTACGTCGAGTGAGTTTTAAATGTCGGCGCTGCTGTGTGTGAAAGATAGTTAGAGACGCCAAGCGACGCCTTACGTTGCTTCTGATTGGTTTATATTGCATGGTGCCTTCCATGGTTGGTTAGTATTCGAGTAACCTCTGAAGTCAGACGTCGGAGCTGAAATTGACGCACACCTGAGTTCCCAGTGTTTCAGGTACCAAGTCAGAAAAAAAGCAAAGTCGGAGGCGGATACAAGATGGCTACACCTATGAAAGTTATTTTAGTTAGTTGCCTTATATTCCGACAAGGCAAGCGCTAAAATAACTTTCGTAGATGTAGCCATCTTGTTTCCGCCTCCGATTTTGCTTTTTTCTGTAACTCGGGTGTGACGTCATTTTCAGCCCGGACTTTCTGACTTCTGAGGTAACTCAAACGCAGCATATAGGCACAAAGGACTGATGGATTAGGCTGGGATTGGTTATCTCGGTCATTCAGTCAGAGTTACTCGAACTGCGGCAAGCCAAGTTTATTATCATGAAAAAAAAAAAAAACAGAGTATTGAATGGGGAAAAATAAGTGTAAGAAATGTCAAGTGTGGCGTGTGGTGTGAGAATGGGTCAAACTGCATGACTGTCACACTCAAAGCGTGAGGCTTGGCAGCTCTGCATGTAAAAGGATTCCAAATATGATGACTCTTACATACAAGAAGGTTTTACAAAAGATAATCTCTAATGCTGATCAACCGTTGCTGTTTAGGAGAGAAAAATGCTCTTGATTCTGCAAACAACTCTCGTGGTTAAAGCTGAGAAGTAAAACTGTGTAGTGATGCAAATCCCAGGAAACCCCGTGTCAGCTCCTTTATCGTATGGCCTGAGTTTCACCCGGATCTCTATTCAAAGCATGTCTCCATTAAAGGCAGACACACAAGCATTCTGTTAATTCTATAGAATAACAAGTAGAGGTGCTTTATGCCGAGGCCAGCGGATAACCTTCAGTGATAGAGAGATGTGCTGGCAGAGAAAAAACACTTTATATGTGAATGAATGACCAAAACTACAAGTCAGACTATCATGACAGTGTTGTGCTGAGGTGAATCATCATCATCATCTGAGCAGTGCACTTGTTATGTACTTCTGAAACACATATATTCCTCATTCTGAACATACAGTTTTGCTGCAGAAACATTTCATCATGGTTTTATGTACAAATATCATAACAGCAGCTTGATTTCAGACCCTGCTTCTGCAGAGTTTGGATGTTTTGAGAATAAATTCTTACTTGTTGGTAGTCTCCTTTTCTTGTTTGCCCATGAGTCAAATTCAGCTTTAATTCAAACGTTAATAATTTGTCATGTTACATTTCTACACCAAGTAGAATAAAACCAATCATTCTGTTTTCCTGCTGATGGTCATACAAAAGAACAAACTTGTATATTTCGCCGTGTAGGATCCACTGTTTCTGACTCTCAACTCAGTATTTTGGGACTAAAATCGGCAAAACTCGGCTTGTTTTTGTCGGACTGTTCAGTGTGCAGAAATGACTCACTGAGGTTTCCCTATGATTATTTATTTATTTCTAAATGTGTTCCTCCTTTTTTGCAGCATGAAAGAGAACAGGTGATGACGACCAATGTCTGGTTAACACAGGTGAGGCTTTCTATTTATCTGCTTGTTTTACTGCTGAATACAGTCAACTTCCTGTCAGCCTGATAAAATGTGATTAAGTGAGAGAGCGTTAAAAAAGGCAAAAGAGCAGCAGTTTGACTTGGGATTGATTTGACTGTAATTTTATAGTGTTTCCTGGTCAGTGGAGGTAAATAACAAGATACTTGACAGTTGTGAAATATAGTAAATATGACATTCATACTGTATGTGAGTGTTGATGTTTGTTACATAATCATAGGCCAGAGTGTTTTTGAACCAGCAGACCATACTGGAGCAACCGAGCAGCGGAGTAGTCAGCAGAGGAGAAATAATGCCTCTTTTTATTCTATGTTTCACTGGTTGTCGCCGGCAGAGAGTTTGATCCTGCGTCCTTTTATGCAGAGCCGTGAAAAGTAACATGGCTGAGAGAGACATCAAATCGTACACGCCCCTGTAAAAACAAATCTGACATCAACGATATGACAAGTGCGTTGAAATGTATGAGATCAAAGCTGTCCCAAAAAAAAAAAAAGATAACTCATGATGTGTTTCTCAGTTTGGAGCTCAGCCTGCTCTGTGTTTTGCGTGAGACGTATTATAACCTGTGAAATCTGAATTATGTGCCTCTGACTGGGCTGTGACCCTTCTTTACATATGACTGGCTTATCATACATTTCCAGCTGAGCTCTGTTACATGGTTGAACATGTAGGTGTGCACATTTACACACACTAAGTATACAAATATATCCACCTACCTACACTGGTGACATATGCCTTTGCTTTTGAGAGCAGGTGTTAAAACAAACACGGAGGCATATGTTCAGTTTGGATGAAGACAAATCGAATGACAGTTGGGTGAAGCCTTTTACATAGTAAATATAGAGGTTTCTATCTTCCTTAACGCACAAACATATACACACACGCACCGACAAACACTTGCATCTAAGTAGGGTAGGATCTATGACATGTAATGGAGCATAGAATGGCCATCAGCGCTCTATGGATCCCTTGGTAAAGGTAAGTAGAGGAGCCAAGGACAGCTGCCCCGAGCTGTAACACACAGTAATGACAACAATGCATCACAGTTACTGCAGACTGCCTAGCATGTGCCGCGCAGCTCTAACATGACATACAGGCAGCAGACAGAGCGGCTGTCAATGACCAGCCCATTACAGGGAGAACAAGATAATGCTGTCTTTGACTAAAGGTTACACAGAGGACGTGGCTGATGCACAAACCTGACGTGGACACATTTTGATTATGATGATTGGTTTGTGTCTGGGTACTTTTTGTTTTTTTTGTGAAAGGGTCAACATGAGTGCTTCACTCTCTCTTTGATGTCGAGTTTGAAATATGATGTAAGAAGGACAGACAGCACAGGATGTTCCTCAGGCTGACGTAGCTCCTGATGTGTCATATTGACCACCAACTAGCTGACAGACGGATAGACAGACAGACAAACGGACAGACCTCTCTTTTAGGATGTTTCCCTGCTGCTGTGTGATTGGTGGAAAAGTGACTAAGCACTTTCTTCTTATTGGCCCTCAGGAGTGGCAGGACTATCGTCTGACTTGGGTCCCTGAGGAGTTTGATGGAATGATGAAGGTCAGACTGCCCTCAAAACACATCTGGCTTCCTGACGTGGTTCTCTACAACAAGTGAGTCACTCCGCTCTCAGAGTCCTGGCCCCCCATCTCGGAAAGCATGTCGACCTGCACATGCATGTATGATCATTAAACGTACGCGGAGAGAGCCTATGCAATGTTCATATTAAACAAATAGTGTTTTAAATCAAACTCCCAGGTGTTTTTGCTCAGCTGCCACCACCTCCGTCACTTTAAATAAGAACATCTATTACATGTCGGAGGTTATAAATGCAGGCAGCCACACATGACTGAATCTGTCTGCTGGAATCTGCTCACATCACTCATGCTATGTTACTATACAGTACCTCCAGGTCTCACGAGACACTTCAAAGATGGAGTCATCTGCACTCCACACACTCACATGAACTAATACTTGTACAGTAGATGTGACACTGAAGTTGCACACATTTGACATCTCCTCCTCTTTTTAAAAAAAAAAATGTTCCTGCGTGCAAAAACGCCTCACAAACAACTATCTCTGAATTGTCAGGGTCTGCACTCAGGGCTACTTTTGCTGTTGCTTTCTTATCGCCGACATCAAGCACAGTTTTTGCATTACTCCATGTGAAATATGCAGTCCGCTATACTTGCAGTGTAGGCTGGGATGAATCCATAAGGGGGCCCCAGGGACAAACATTTGCTTTGAGCTTTTATTGATCCCCATCCACAGCTCGATCCATTGTGTGTTGTGTACTGTTTGCATCCTTTCACCTCCAAGTTCCCATCTGGTTCAAACAAAAACACACAGAGAAACAGGTTTCACTGAGTGCACTACAGGCACGAAGGAAAGACTCAAATGCAGATAAATGCACATGGACAGGTGACTATGGTTTGAATCAACCATGCAGTAATTTTTAAACAGTAATCTAATCCAACTGCATGTTCAGTTCAATTAATCAAAATGATTCTCGTTAGGTCTTAATCATACTCTGCATGTCTGAGGGAGGTAAGGATGTTGTGGACCACTCGTCTCAGTGTAATGGAAACTCAAGTGTCAGCCTACCGTATGCAAATCAGCTGATCAGAGCACTGTGATCTGTCTATCTGGCCTTCTCCTCTTTCCCTGCCTGTGTCTTTCCCTTACCAAAGACTAAAAGATCCCTGACCCTCTGAGCTCTGGGTAAAATGATCACGCTAATCCCACAAACCCCAGATCGACAGGATAGATCCTCCGAGTCTCTAAACAAGAGATTATCTCAAGTTTGATTTTGGAGGAGATTCTGATGAGCACAGGGACTTGACCGTCTCTTTAAGCAGATGAGGCTCTGAGTCAAAAACTTCTAATCAATTACCGATTTAAGTCATCTGTCAATATTAGCCATCATTAAGTTGTTCTCTTGCTAAAGTCTGTCATGAAATGGAAATCGGATCTACAACTTTAATGTTGTCAGCTGACTTCCAACCCGAGTGTCTAATTTGAGCTGTCGAACTCGACCCGCTGTGACCTGAGAGCCACGGTTCCTGTCTAGACTGCAAAATCCTCCTATTTCTCCTGTTTTTGAGAGCAGGTGTGTGTGTGTGTGTGTGTGTGTGTGTGTGTGTGTGTGTGTGTGTGTGTGTGTGTGTGTGTGACCAAGCTGACCTGAAGTAGTTCAAGTCTTCACTCTTTCACCGTCACTTTGATGTGTGTGTGTCCTCGAGCTCTTTAATAACCTGTGTTGCATAATAAGATGCGTCATGTTTGGCAGTCCGGTTGACTCAGGGGGAACGAGGCCTCTCATTAGCCATCCTGTTTAAAATGTTGTTTTTTAATTAAATCTTCTCACAAAGGTCTGACTCTCCTCCTTCTATTTTTTCCTGTCTCATCGTAACCCCTCCTTCCTGTCTCACAGTGCTGATGGCGTGTACGAGGTGTCGTTTTACTCCAACGCCGTGGTATCCTACGACGGCAGCATCTTCTGGCTGCCCCCGGCCATCTATAAGTCAGCCTGTAAGATTGAGGTCAAGCACTTCCCCTTCGACCAGCAGAACTGCACGCTGCGCTTCCGCTCCTGGACCTACGACCGCACTGAGATCGACCTGGTGCTGCGTGCTGATGTGGCCAGCATGGACGACTTCACGCCCAGCGGTGAGTGGGACATCATCGCCCTGCCAGGCAGACGGAACGAGAACCCCGCCGACCCCGCCTACGTAGACATCACATATGACTTCATAATTCGCAGGAAGCCTCTTTTCTACACGATCAATCTCATCATCCCGTGTGTGCTCATCACCTCGCTGGCGATCCTGGTCTTCTACCTGCCGTCTGACTGCGGGGAGAAAATGACGCTCTGCATCTCTGTGCTGCTCGCGCTCACTGTGTTTCTGCTACTGATCTCCAAGATTGTCCCGCCCACTTCACTGGACGTCCCTCTAGTGGGGAAGTACCTGATGTTTACCATGGTCCTCGTCACTTTCTCCATCGTCACGAGTGTGTGTGTGCTCAACGTACACCACCGCTCTCCTACCACACACACTATGCCCCCCTGGGTTAAGCTGGTCTTCCTCAACAAGCTCCCTGCGCTGCTCTTCATGCGGCAGCCCAGAAACAGCTGCGAGCGCCAGCGGCTACGCCAAAGACGGAGGGCTCAGGAACAGAAGGAGGGTGGGCGCAGCGGGGAGGCAGGGGCCCTGATGGTGGGGCTGGGGCTGGGCGGTGCAGGCGGGAATGGAGGGGGAGCATCCACGGGAGTGTTCGGCAAGGAGGACAGTGACCCTTGCACTTGCTATGTGAACCGGGCGTCGGTGAAACAGTTCGGAGGGGATCTGGGTGGAGCAGGAGGAGGGTCCATGGACGGGCTGAACAGGGTGAGGGAGGGCCGGGAAGGGGGGTCTGGAAACGTGCCACGGGGGAAGCCAGCAGGAGGAGGCACCGCTCTGACTCAGGCCCTGCTGGCTCAAGCCTGCCCGGGCTTCGAGGAGGCCGTGGAGGGAGTACGCTTCATCGCCAACCACATGAAGAGTGAGGACGATGATCAGAGTGTGAGTATTATATAAACTGTCTGATACAGTCAAGAGCGTTAGTTACAGTCTGATTGTTCCGAGTCTGACCAGCTCTGGACACTTCTGTTTGATAGCAATACTGGCTAAAACCTCAAGTCTTTACAGTGACCTTATAATGTAAAGATCGAATATCAAAATCTCTGTCATTACAGCCGTCAAATCTCTGATCATTACAAGCCCAAGTGAAGATTTTTCAGATAGAGTTTAACTTTGAGGGTTTATTAGCAGGATGATGGTAGACGAGTGTTGACTTTGATTTAAAAGAGTCCTCAGAGTTAAAGTAGCGGTCAGAATCACCAGAGAGGAATCAGAGCCGAGTCATCATTACTTGAGTCTCAGTCCAGTCCTCATTATCAGCATTCCTTTTTTATTATAAGGAGGGGCGCTGTCACATCAAACCACTAACTGTATGTACTTAGTCTGACTGTGTGAGGCCTTTTTGGGTGCGCAGAAAAGAAATTTAATGTCTTAACATTCTGACATTCTAACACTGGTGATCCTGTCACCGGTGTGGAAAATGTCTGTGAAGTTAGTGCAGTTTGTTGTGCATGAGTGTGAACCGAACCTCTGCAAATGGGGATATGTACTCGTTGATTCTGGTTGAAGGGGGGGTCATATACATTCAGCTCACTCACTATCTAGCAGAATTTTATTTTTTTTAACTTAATAATATTTTTATTAGTTTTATACATATTAATACAGTACAATTCTTGAAAGAGCACAAGATACAAAGGAAACACATCACAAACACCCCCTTTCCCTCAAAACCATGTCTACTGCTGGATATTCCTATTACTTTGCTTAAATAACAGATTCTGGAGCTAAAACAAAAATAATAATTAAAAAGAAAAAAGTCGGGTTTTCAGGTTTTGTAGATCTTGAAATATATAAGACGTTGAGAAATAAAAAGTAAAAAGAGAATAAGTTAAGTGAACTACTGTAGGTTAAGAGAAGTACATACGTATGTAGACAAGTCGCTGAAGAATTTTATTATTAAGATCTGCCTTAAATGTTTGAAATGTTTGAGTTTTAAGTCCATCTAAAATTTTTCTGCCCTTTATGTAATTTTAACTCAGCGAGACATTTTGCTGAATTGTTGCACATCCGTATCATGATAAGCAAAGTCTTCGTAAATTTGAATTTGGATTTGGATTTTGGATTTATTTCGGTATAAAATGACCGAAAGGGTGTAGGCAGAAGCAATGCTTATAAAGACTTACCCCTTATACCGTACATTAAGTACATTATACAGATACACTCTTCATACAAATATCAACACTTCAATATATATTCACTTTTCAAATCAGATAGAGTAATAAACAGGCTTTACACTTTACATTAATAATTTACAATAAATCAACAGGCATCATTGTCTCTACAGTGTTAAGAAATAAAATTATTCACCCCTTTTGCAAACACACAAAAAATTTTGACATTTGTTCGCGCTTTCGGTTTCTCAAATAATACACGGCCTCTTAGGTTGTAATTAGCGTCCCTCAGTTTAAACAGGTTCTGGACATGTTAGGTTTTTGGCTTTGTACAGGATTTGTATTGTGATGTAGTCTACTAGGTCTTTGAATTTTAAAAATTTAAAGAAATAAATAGGAGATGAGTTGATTCAGAGTAATGTTTATTGCAGATGATTCTTATGGCTCACTTTTTGCATCTTGGACCCGGTGGTTGAGTCACTTTAGTTGTGAACATTATCATTTACAGCCTCAGTCAACATGCTTACTTTTCTTAGTTTTCTGTGTTCATCCTGGACCGATGTCTGTTGAAAGTTTGAGCTCTCCCATCTCTCCTTTGATTCGCTCTTTCACATACTGAGCATGTTGCACCGTTCTTGTACATTTTGGCAGGAACTGTTGCTGAACAAGATGATACGAGCACACACATGCAGGTGAACACACGTGTCAGCTCTCACTAGAAACAATTAAAAAAACTTGCACAAAAATACATCAGTTTCCTCCCCTGCATCTTCCAAGTCTTAATGCAATCAATGCTCGGGTCAGGTCATGCACCCCGAGAAGCAGAACTCCAGTACTACAACGCTGACTTCAACACAAATGTGTAAAAAGGGAAAGGTGTTGTTCACATCCTCAAGCCCACACAGGATTATAACATGACTTTGGCATTAGCGCTTCGCTCGCTGGTTGGGTTTCATGACCTCCTGCATTGTCGCTTTTCTCTTGATCCAAACTCCAAACTCAAAAGAAGGGATATTTTTGGTTTGGTGGACGGTAAAATGCATTCACATGTGAGAATAAATTTTGGACTTAAGCTACTTGGCTGCCAGAGACACAAATTCTTATTGTACTATAACTTCTAGATGTGTAAATAGGCAGCTATTAGCTTTCATCATCCCCTTATCAACTGAGAGAGAAAGCGGCCTTTTTGTTCTTCTTTGACTAAGGTTCTGGGGTTTATGTATGGATAACAAAAGACATCAATTTTTATTCCAGGCAACACTGTAAAAGTGAAATTTACAAGCAGGTGATGGTGCCAGTAAATCCAAATAAATCCTTTGTGCCGCAGCAGTCTACTGCTTTACAGTTTCCTGCCAACAACACAGATACATCTGTGATTAACAGATGTCAACTTAAAACGCCAGTCTGCTCATGTTCTACTCGGGCACTTCGTAAATTGAAGTGCGTGTCTCTGAGTGTCTTCAACCCCTGTGTGAATCATCCTATGTTATGCGCATATGGTAGCGACCATAAAGCTACCACAGGTCTATCCGCTCAGTGTCATGCTCTTGTAATCGTGATGATGAGACGTTATAGCCGAGCAGTTCACGTCTGCCATTGGAAACGCATAGGGAACCACAGCAGAGCGTGAGCGAAGGAGACAGATCCGGTGACGCAATCGCAGCCCTCCTGAATATTCAACGCAGACATGTAATTATAGCAGCAGGATGACGTGAGCGAAGAGAACGAGCACAACTGGAAGAGAGAAGCCGAGACAGAGTGAGGGTGGCATGTTTTATTGCTCTCCCCTCAAGGCATCTTAGGAGATCAGCCTTTGCTCCTAGAATGAAAGAAACTAACACGGGAATTCACAATCCTCCAGAACTCTGTCCGTCTTACGCGTAGTAACCATCCCGTTACCGTGACAACAGCTTTATAATCCCTCCCTCTCTTGGCACGGCACACGGCCCGTCAGATCCACCTCCTTTTACTCCTTCTCCCCAAGCCATCATCAGCCGGGGTCACAGAGTCAGCACACCCTCCGTCTCTCAAGCCCTCCATCACTCAGCCTTGCTCGTCCCTCACGTCCTCCGTGACTTGAGCGTGACCTCATCAGAGCTGTGCGGCACAACCAGTCTCCGCTCACATTAACCTTTCACCTCCATTAACCCCCCCCCCCCCCCCACCCCCCACCCCCCGCGTAGGGAGAGGCAGGGGAAGAGATAGAACGAACGAGACGATGTGTGGAAGTGTGCCTCTGCTCACCTTAATCTTTCTTTTCCCTTTGTCCGTCTCCGTCCACAGGTGAGCGAGGACTGGAAGTACGTCGCCATGGTGATCGACCGCCTCTTCCTGTGGATCTTTGTGTTTGTGTGCGTCTTTGGCACGATGGGTATGTTCATGCAGCCACTCTTCCAGAATTACACAGTCAAGACCATCACAAGCTCACCTGGCTGACCACTCCTACAGCCACCAAACACGCTGACGGACAGCTCCCCTGACCAATCAGCACAGCAGGACATGAGCCGGCGGCGGCGGTGGTGGTGGGGGGACTGGTCTGATCTGGGTTTTATCATGTCTATTTGGACTGGAACCAGAACTGGAACTGAACAGCAATCACGCCCATTACCTTTATAGTACTGATTTTTGCAACGAACAACCGTTTTTCTTGTATGAAGACAAAGGAAAACACCATCATCTACTCTTACCTGCAGTTTTGTCCAGATATTTCATAGACTGACCTCCCCCTTTTCTGGCGGACAGGTCCCCTCTCTCCCTGTTCTCCTCTTCAGCCAATCAGGGAGCGAGGATGCTCTGATTCACTTCTTGTCAAACTTCACGCCAGCCAATTTTCTCGCTCGATGCTTGATGGACACATGACATGCCCGCCTTTAACTGCAGCGTTACTCATTCATGACATTGACTCTGATATCAGTGTGAAGGGGGGGAGGGGAGGTCCAGATCAAGGTTGTTATACATTCATTTTATTTTTTCAGAAATCTCCTTATGTCGGTGAACTGATTCAGTATATTTTATCATAGCATTACAACTTACCACAGTATAGCATTAGGAATATATTATTAAGATTTCTCTATGTGTTAGCTCATGCAAGGGTCTGCTACCGATAGAGAGGCTATGACGTGTTGTATGATTGTATAGATTAAACAAGAATGTGATATAAACTGTGTTACACAGCCTGTGATGCGCACACTAACACATTCTGTGTACAGGCAACAGATCGCAGAGGAAAATACTTGGAGGAGAGATGAAATTAAAGAGAGAGCCAGGTTGTGTTATTAGATGTAAGTCATGGGGATAAAGTCATAGATTATGCATGGACAGTTTTTTGCTTAGAGAGTTGTGCACATTAAGTTGAGAGCAGCAGAAGCAGCAGCAGCCCGCTGTGCCCGAGTGCTCAGCTGCAGTCGGATGAGTTTAGCTCCAGAGAAACTGAGGAATCTGAGCCAAGATGGCCGGTAGGACATCCTGTATGACGAACAGTGATAACAGGAGTCTTAAAGATGGAGCGAAGATCAGTGCTGGATCGTGTAAATCAAATTATTTTGATAGATAGATAAACGGGAATTCTATCATGGGAGCTAAAGTATTATGTGTATTAATATGTAATTTCATATTTCAGTATGTATCTTTCAGAGCATATGTATACAAGTATGTGTGCGCGTGTGTGTGTGTGTGTGCGTGTGTGTGTGTATGCGTGCCCCGTGCCCTGATGCATTATCACATCTGTCTGATATAATGTTCCGAGGAGCATACTGTATGTGCATCTCTCCCCACTCCCTCCCGGTTCTCTCTCCGGTCCTCTGCCCTTTATCTCGTCTTCCATGGACAAACACATCCCTGACATTTAGTCCAATTAAAGTAATGACCTCCCGCATTCTCAACACACCTATTCATTACTCAAGTTCTCCTTTTTTTCATCCTGGACTGGCTGCTTTGTCTCATTTCTATATTTCACAGGGACAACCAAGCAAGAGGCAGAAGGCATTTTTCAGGCATGCAGGGAGGAGAGAGGTGAATTAAATTTTCAATGAACAAGAGAGGGAAGCGACACGAGAGCAGACGCTGCAGCAGTCGAATGAGACGATAAGGCAGAGATGCGATATAGGCAGGAAACAGAAACGCTAAACTTGGCAGGTGGGAGATTTTTAACTTCATGTTGATGTAGCAGCTAAGGGGACAACAGACTGAAAACAAAGGGGAATATAAAATACAGCGAGTAAGGAGGAGTAAACAGGAGACAAAAGACTGTTAGTGTTGTTACTGCATATAAAAGCCACAATAAAACGCTGAGAAACACAATGAGCTTCAGTCACTGTCACTCAAAGTGAATTTCCCCAGCTCTTAACGGTCGCATGGCCAAGTCTGCAGCTCAGCTAAGTGCCAGGCTCTGAGCTTTCTCTCCCTCTCTCTCTCTCTCTCTCTCTCTCATCTCTCTTTCCTACTCACTCTCTCTCAATTTTGTCACAGAAGGACGGGATTTTCCAGAGGGGGATCCCCGACAGATTCTGAAACAAGTGCAAAAAGCCTCTCAGAGACCTGTGAAAAACTGTAGGCTGCACAACTCCACATGGACAAAAATAACGAAAAAAAGGCTGCTGTCCGCTCTTGATTCCCTTCTCTCTTTGACCTTTCCTCTCTCCTTCCTTTCTCCTCACTTCCTCTCTTATTATGCCCCTCTTCGTCCTCCTCCCCATCTCTCACCTTCTCCCTCCTGACTCTCAAATCTGCTCCTGTGCACACCTTAACCAGTCCAATAAAGGTTGTAGGTTCAGATTAACTCAAGTGAGTGTCTGTGTGGCATGTTTTTAATACTCTGTGTGGTGCGTAAATTACTGTATCACCCAAACTTCCCATTAATCTTACACCACAGGATAGAACGAAAGAAAGAGACGTTTCCTGGCTTTCTAATATTGATGCTGGTGACTTCCTTTTTGTGCGTTCACACACTAACACACACTCCTGCATGCTTCTTTTTTTCCTTTTTGAGCATTGGGATCATTTTAAATCCTCATTTAACTGCAGGATAAACCGAGTTGTGACGAACGTGAATGTGCTCTTGGCGCTATCAGCTTTTACAGGGAACGCTTCGCAGATATAACAAAGGTGAAGTACATTCCTGAGCTGACAAAGCAAAGGTCATACATGAAAAAAAAACTAACAGAGCTCCCTGATTCAACTTGAGCTCATTGCTGCCACCTGGTGTCTAAACTGTTTTCCTACTCTACTCCTCCGCTCCAAAAACAAAACACGGCTACATTGAACTGTATGTATGGTTCGGTTAAAGTTCACATTTATTCTTTCCAGGGAGACATTCCTTTGCTTTGATGAGTTATAAAACACAAAACAAGACAAAGAGAGATGTATTCACATATTCAACAACGACAAACTGACTCCAACTCTCCAGATTTTCACATAGCAATAAATACAGCTGCTGTTACATTGATTGGACATTGCAAACAAATAACACAAACACCCGATATTTACTGCTAATTATAGGAATTGAAACAATGGTGTTTGTGCGCATGAGCTCCATCTCTTCGGTGTTTCCTCCCTGGAGTGTGTGTGCGTGTGTGTGCAGAGAGGACATCTTGATCCAAGATGCTGTGTTCACTTCTTCTTCTCCTGCTTGTCGTTGTACTCAAGGAAGAAGTCATTACAGGCCACAGTCAGAGCTCCCACCAGTATGATGAACTCAGTGAAATCCACCTCCCCGTCATTGTTGGAGTCCAGGTCGCCCATGACTTTATCCACCGCCTCTTTATCCTGGGCGTTCTGAGGGAAACGAAACAGAAATCACAACTTTTAATCGATTTTACACGTCTGAAACAAGCATCTTATGTTGCTAAGCGTTCATCTCCGTACCCCCAGGTAGTTGCCGAGCTCCGTGGTGAGCATCTCTTTGAGCTCAGCCCTGCTCAGTGTGTATTTGTCTCCCTCGTTCCCAGAATACTTATGGAAGGTTTGGATCATGAGCTGCATGGCGCTCTCCAGGGTGGAGGCGTTCTCTGAGTTGGGCAAAGACATTCTGGAGAAGAAGAGAAAGTCAGTATCCTGCTGAAAAAATTCTGGACAATATTGTTGCAAATCAACGCAGGTGAAACCCTCTTGGTGGCACACAAATATCTTATTTCTCGATGTCAGAGTTGCTGACAGGAGGAGACATCTATGCATGGGCAAGCATGTGAAGAAAAATGACAGCTACAAACACATTTACTATGCAGTGTCTCAGCGAATCCATCTACTGACACAAGAGGTATTTGGCAGAGCAGAAACCCTGCAACCCTGCTCCTCTTCAGCTTCAGTGTTTCCTTCCTGCCAGTGGTCCTGATAAGATTGTGCCACTGATAAACTGATCCTCTGTCTATTTGTCGCTCTGCCCCAACCAGAGTACCTCTGGGAGTCAGGCACAGTCAGCAACAGGACATGTGAGCCAGCTGATAAGAGTGAAACTCTAAGCTGGTAAAACAGTCGAAGCAGCAGCAGAGGAGGAGGAGGAGGAGGAGAAGAAGAGGAGATGTAACCAGGACACACAGAGGCAACCTGATCAGGCTTTTACTTTAGCTCGGACCGGATGGTGGAAAACAAGGGATACAGGTGTAAGTCCTGCCTTTTTTTCTAAACCTACGTCACCTCTGAACTGTAAGGACTTTCCTAACCACAATCTCATCTTAGATTTCCTCATGGATGGGTGCCAAATCCTCATGGATCAGCAGCATCAGAGAGAACAGAAGTTTTTGACAAGCTCTGTTAAACATAAATGATCGACCTTTATCTTATCAGTGCACAGAGAGAGAAGTTCTTCCTGTCTTTGTTGTCAGTTTAGACAACACTGGCAGTTTACCTTCAGCGTCCACCATGCATTAGCTGCACCTCTCAAAAAACCTACTTTTCCAAGTAAAAACACTCCAAGAAACGCTGAGACACAGCTGTCATCTTCATCATGTCTTACCTGAGTGGAGGATGAGCGCCGGCCTGCAGGTCAGGGTGAAGAGAGAAGAGACAAGAGCGACTGATGTGGAGGATGAGGAGGACGGCGGTCTTAAATACACCCCTCACTCCACCCATCCCACCTCACCCTTCCTCCTCTCTCTCCTCCCTCCTTCCACCTGTTGCTCATCTCCTCCTTCCCACCCCCAACCCCCAACTCCCCCCTCCTCTCCTCCTTCTCTGTTTACCCATCAGACACCTGCCATCGGCTGAATGGCCACACCGAGGATCCACCTGCCCCCCCCCCCCATCAAACACTCTGACATATTGACAAATAACGCTAATGGTACTGTAACTGCAGTGGACATTAGTAAATTGAAGCACCCTTAATTTGACCACAAGCCCCTCTTGTACTTTAAAAGAGATTCTCAGATGACAGTATGCATCCTAGTTAAGTAACTCTGCAGAATCTGAAAACAAGCACACATCATTCATAATTTGATAGAAATGAGCACATGACAATATCAGAAACTATGCTACAGCTTGGTGTTGTGACTCTGATTGTCCTTCCACCCTGTTGCGCAACTTTCTTTTCCTGTCACAACACTTTTCACCAGGCTTAGAGGGAGTGCTAAGATAAATACTGCGGAAAAACAAAGGAGAATAACTTGATATTCCTCAAGTGTGTACGGTTAAAGCTGTAGATTGTGTCGGGGTATGTGTGTGTGTCGGTGTGATGTTTTCTGGATGAAGGGAGGGGGTAATCATGAGTGACACAGTATCCGGAGAAATGGAGTAGCAGCGATGAATGGGGCCTTCACACCTGGCAGCCATGCAGAGAAATCCCTACACAAAGACTTTGCACATAAAAGAATACAAAGACAGACATGCTGATGCAATGAAACATGCACACTTTCACACACGCTGTAGAAAACACCACACCTGCAATCACAAGGTTAAGGTAGGGCTAATTTCTTTGATATTGCACCTTAAAAGCAAACAAGCTGTGTGTCAAGGTGCTTCGTGTGGACAGATATCCAGGAAACACATGCAGGTATAAAAATAGATGATATAAGGGTGGAAAGCTGAAGAGTTACAGTGAACCAGCCTGGATGATAGAGTGTGAATGATTCTTTCTTGATCAGACAGTGACAGGAAATGCCTGATTTTTAAGCTTTAATATAACACTGACAGATTTTTTGCAGGTGGTCTAATGTCAACAGACATTGATGATACTCAACATTTATGAAACAGAATACGCTCATTTATCTCATTTACTGTTATATTAAAATTATATGTTTCTCTGGCCATTGTCATGTGAATGCGGCACCAACATAGGCAGGAGAGGTCCGGGTACATGTACACACACATACAGACACAACAAATAAAACCAATCCCCATCTCTGTTTTCATTATTTAAAGATCCTGTTAGGATTTCTTGCTAGGTTGGGAAATAAGAATGAATGTACAGCGATGCATCTCTGTGGGGGTGTGGGGTGGGTGCACTGCGAAAAAGCTAACGTTACTTTTTCCCATGGTAAGTATTTATGGTGAGTAATAAATTTTACTGTAAAAAGATGACAGGATTTTTTTTTGGGGTCATTTTAGACACTGTCAGAGGATGAAACCAAATTAGCAACAATATAAAAGTTACCAATATGTCCACAGGGGGCACTAACGTCAACACAGACAGAAAATCCCTTACAGGACCTTTATGTATGACACAACTTTTGTTCCTAAATTAAATCTTTAAAAAAAAAAAAAAAGGAGAGATCCAAAGTGGCGGTGGCATAGAGGGCGGATGCGGTGAAACCAGCTCCTGTTCATAATCCTTCTTTTTACTATAAACCCGCACTAATTTGCCATAGAAATGACTATATTTACCTCCTACAACTAAGCTAACAACTGGAAATTCCACCGAAAAAAAGCTGATGTGGGGGTGAGGGAAGAAAAAGGTGGAAAACCCAAATCATCAACAACACCGGCAGCTAGCGTAGCTTGGCCAGCAAGCAGTAGCCCCGGCAAAAGTTAATACCGAAAAGCCGCCAACATGGTTTCATGAAGAATTTTTGTGCTGTGTCTCTGCTAAGGGCTCCTGATGAGTAAAAAAGAAAAGTACTTGCAAAAAAAGTAGTTTAAAAATTAAAAGTACTGTGCAGCACTAAAGAAAAGGAACAGAGATTTACTGCAAGATTATATTCACACATTCACTGGCTCCTAGTGTTTGTTCACTCTGACTCATGGGATGGTAAATTAGTTAAAAGCCCTGGTCATGGGGTCACAAGTGCTCTGACCTGGAAACTTTCCCTCAAGCTCGTCTTACTTTAGCTGACTGAAATTTGAAAAAGATTAAAGTCACAAACATTCTCGCAAATGATTTTTTTTTTTAATTGCTAGAAAGGTTCTTACAGGATTAAAGGCACTCTTAAAATTGAAAGTGACATATTAAACTTAGTGCCATACGAAGTAGATGAAAATGAAATGGAGAGATTACGCCATAGAAAGCAAACACATGCAGGCCACAGTCATGAAATGTGTGTTTGAACTGCCATCCTGCGAGTGCGTCCTCTTATTTATGTGTCATGGCAGGAGGATATTGTGTAAGTGAGTGGGGCAGCATAGTGTATGTGCACCATATGTGTATAGTGTTGCAGAGTGGAGGGCGGCATACAATAGAAACTGCATCCTGTATGTTGGGATCTGGTTGCATCAGTTGATGCATAGAGAAGGGCTGCTGAGTCTGAATGCTCAGGGATGTCACGTCTATATATAGGTGGATGTTTTGTTAGCGATGATAGGAGCAGGTATTATTTTAGCTGTGACTGAGACAATGTCAAACCGTGTCAGGGAAACCTCTCTTTTCAAACAGTAGTGTGTCGAGGCTTCATTTCTTTCTTTTTTATACAATTTTTCCATATCTGGAAGCTGTGGCAGGGGGTAGGTAGGTGCCTGGTAAAGTGACAGAAAAAGTCCTATTAGTGTACAGTTTCTGTAGAAGATGCGTGATGTGTAATACATATAAATGTTAAAGGAAAGCAGAATGAGTATTTTTGTACAAAACACATCAATCCAAGTGATTAGGGATACCAAAATCAACACAAATGAAAATTCCTCACAGAAGCTTTAAAAACATTTAACAAAAATGAAATAGTGACTTTTTTTTTTTTTTTTTAGCATAAAATCTTTATTTTGAGAATACAGTATCCATCCTTTGCATAACTTGTATAAAACGAAGCTCAGAGTCCTTCAATGTATTCCTAACAGTGGGGAGCAATGATGCGACTTAGGAATAAGTTTGGACGGGACAGGCATTAAAGTGAAAATCAGAGCATGATACAGCTGGCAAATGGTTATGGTTGTTGCTGGAGAACTTGTGTACTTTCAGGATGGAAGATACTGAAAAGGCGTGTAAAAAAAAGAAAAAGAAAAGAAAAAAAACAAATGCGGATTTGTTGAACCAACGATCACTGGGAAGCATCTGCGTTTGAACCACACTTCTGCTGACTGATGGAGTTGGCAACGTAGCCAATCAGAGTTAGGTATTCCTGGAAGCTGACCTTCCCATCCTGGTTCTCATCCAGCCCCCTCTGCATCTCTTTGACGGCTGAGGAACAGTTTGTGTCCTGGAAGACACAAGCAGACAGATAGGCCATTAAACAAACAAACAAACAACAATATCAAGTAGTTTTTTGAGAATAGTTTTCAGAATTGTGTGGAAAACAAGGGGTGTTGAGGAGTTGCAGAAAGTCAGGTTTTTTACCTCCATGACGCCGCTGAGATTTTTCTTCACCAGTTTCTGGAAGGCACTCCCACTCAAGTTTTCTTTCCCTCTGGAAGAGCCAAGATATGTGGTGACTATGGTCTTAATGGCTGACTCCATATCTGCAGGAGGATGTACAAGAACAAAAAAAGATGAACTGAGTGGAGAAGTGGAGAGAGGAGATATGGTCATATCTAAAACACCAGAAATCTAGCTGTTAGATACAATGGGTATGGGTGGGTAAAAGCCTCATTGAGCACAAAGGGGGCTACACTCTGCATTATAGTGCCATTATTATCAGTGCCCATATACTGTATATCATGTATGCATTTTAATTGTTATACAAGTGGTCAGAAAAGCAATTACTACTAAATTGCTATTTAAATTATGCCAGTGTGTACCCTAACTCTAATGTTATTGTTTTGAACAACATATGTGAGGATATGTCCCATGAACACAAACATGAGAGTAGGTGAGACACCCAAATGATGTCAGCGTAAGAGAAGATGAGAGGGAGATGGAGATGCAGGGGCGGCTGGAGGCACTCAGAGGTAAACAGAGCGAGGAATGGAGGGAGGGGTTAGGGAGAGATGGAAGGTTTTAGAGGAGGGGAGTCTCTGAGGTATACACAATGGGAGCCGTGATCTCTGACAGTGGACATCTGATCCCCTGAAGCCAGCAGGAGGCCGCAGGTTCAGATTACAGCCTGCTGCCCGTCTGCTGCTGCACACCTCCCCTCCCACTGAGAAAATACACAACGCTCCACACTCAAGTATGAAGTCAAAGACTGTCATACAGCAATAATGCATTCAATAAATCTTAATCTGCTTTAGAGCCATGTGATGCCAAACTCTTAGCTGAATATGGAAAAACAAAAACTGTGCATATCAAAACTCATTTCTGCTCCAATCAAATTAAAGTCACTGGAAGAGTGACATAAAGTCAGTATGCACACGTACCCCATGCATCTAAGTTTGATGATAAAAACTCACAAGTCTCTTGGCTGACACCAAATGTCATGCAGGAAAAGCAGAAGTGTAAAAAGTAAAATGAACAATGGCTGAATTCCATTTAGCTGCTCCACTTTCAGGCTTTAGGTGTTTGCCCAGTGTCACACTGTCATAACTTACTGGGACATTTGTCTAGAATGGAGTCTTTGTTAACGTAACACCTCCGCTATTTGTGCCCCGACAAGCCCAGATGTCTGCTGGGAAAATAGCATGGAGAAAAGATAGTCACCGTTGTGAAACATGGGATGGTACTCCATGATCGTTACAAACACACTTTGACTTTTGCAGGATTCATTGCAAAATGAATCAACAGATTACTAAACATGCATACCAAGAAAAAAACTTAAACTGGAGTGTGCTGTTGATGAACACTGTTCTCCCACAATGCACTTCACAAAGAGCACAGTGCTTGCAGCCACAGATAATTAAAGCCAATTGTAAGAGGAGATAAAACAGTTTTTGAGGACACCACAACAAACAGATTCTGACTAATAAATCTGACATTTTGATGTCTAATTATGATGTTTGCTCGATGTTATTCACAGAATTGCTCCGTACAGCTGTTGTTTGATTGCCCACCATAAATAGACATGATGCATTGCCTCCTGGCAGTTCAGAAACAAGCTGATTCATTGCATAATTATCACAAAATGGTAGCTTATAAAATATACCTCTAAGTGTGTACTTAATGCCGTGACTTATAGACAGAGTCAGCGCTTTCGAGTAAATAAAACGGTGAACTTATCCCAGATTCAGTGGCCGACACTGCCCACACTTTTCTGTTGGATGAAGGTCTGTACACACTGGACGTGCCTCAACATCACTCTGATGCAGCCAGATGAAGCTCAAGCCAGTTATCAGCTTCCCTCAGATTTTCTTAATGGTAAAAAATATTTGGTTTTTGGAGATGCACAAACTGTGAGTAACAGCTTATATTCACACTTTGGTATTTGTGTATTTAAAACACTAAATATCATTTTTACCTCATTTAGCAATGTGATCTCACATTACCCACTGAGCATTTTTTTGGTCTAGAAGAGGTCTAAATGTACCCTAGACAACTGGTCTAGAATCAGGCTACCACAGGTCTAAAAATTAAAGTTTTTAGATGTCTAAATTAACACCAAGTTTAGACCAAGTCTAAATCTGGGCTATATCTTTACTACACTGTATATTGCTCAACTGCTATCATAATTATTTTGGTTAAGTACTTGGAGATCTGTTATGCAACTCACAGTTGCTTTTTGAAATGCATAGTTATGAAATAATGGGTTTAAGTGCAACATCTAAATTCCATCTAAAAATACAGAATTTAGACGGTTGAAATTAGGTCTTAAAAAAAAACTAGAAGTCTAATAGCTGTCTATTGCTCAGTGGGTGAATATTTTTTCTCATATTATGCTGGCCTGGGTGAGGAAATGAAAATGTAGGAAACACTATTTCCACATACTCCATATATCAACATGTATTTGTTTGTTTCAGGATGTCATGACTTTCGAGACTATTAATGACAAATTAGAGCTCTTGAGTGGAACTTTTAGGTTGTTTGGTGACCCCCTGAGAGTGTTTTCTGACTTAAAACAATCATCATTCCTTCTGTATATCTATCACCTGGATAATGCTGAATCTCTTCTGTTGAAAATCTAGGAGGCTGTTTCTGCTGCGTGCTTATAAAACACTTATTCCATGACAGGAATAACAGGCATGAACCCTTTGTTTTTGTAGGCCATATAGAAACAACAGTATTAGTTTCAATCAGTTTCATTTCCAAGTAAAGACTTCTTAGAGGAGCTTCGACCTCATGTTTTCGATTATATTTCAACAGAGAAGTAAGTACTCTTTGGTCTTTGCTCCCATTTAGCTTCCCATTGTCTCAACAAACAAGATCTGGAAGGTGTCTTGTCAGAGAAAACAAAAGAGGTAAATAAATAGGAGAGATACTTGAGTAGACAGCAGCAGTATCACAGCATTGTGGTGTTCTGCCTCGCTGCAGGATGTACAGAGTGTATTGGAAACTACCAGGAGGCAGCGGTATAACCACAGGACAGCTAATGATAATGGGTGCCTGTGGCTGTGTTGTAACTGAAGAAGCTGGTAAATCTCCCATCTGACACAGATGTCACACCTCAGTGCTCGCTCTACACACACATAAACATATAGAGAGCAGGAAAGACACACGTACACACACACATACCTAGAGAACAACAACACCAATTAGGACTTGTGATGCATTAACCTAATTACTGGGTGACGGAGACCAGGCACCCAAACCCTGGATTCTGTTTCATGGCTGCCTTCCATGCTAGCACCCACACGCATGTACACGCACACACACACACACACACACACACACAGGTGAACACATACAAGTGAGCATCTGTCATCAGCATGCTCTTCATTATTATTTCATAGGTTACTATAATTGTCCCAACACCTTCCAAATCCCCTCTGCAGACACGAAACAGAAGCCAAGGATGCAGACAGATGAATGTTTGCATGCGTTTTTATCCGGACATGTTTATTAAAATGTCTGACAGACTTCCATCTGTTATCACTGTCTCTTTTGGGTGTCATGACATGAACATGAAACCTGACAGGTTCTGTTTAGAGCTGGAGATATGAAGGACACAGAATCACATACTAGTAGAAGGGAAAATGAAGTGTGGTTGGCCTGATAAAGTGGTCTGACTGTGTGTGTGCCGCAGCCTTCCAGCACATGAGCTCCATCCTGATTCACTAACGGAAGACAGTGGTTATGACTCAAGTCTAATGAATGCTCATGTGAGGCTCAGTATATTGTCCAAGAAGCCTTCCTGGTCATTTTGTGCTGTTTTGGTAGAATCTGAACCATAAATATGCTCAGGTAGTTCATGGCTCATAAGCAGGTCAAACCAAAGAGTGTTTTGTTTCTAGTTTTGGAGTTTAAAAGAAGTCAGTAATTCTCAAGTGGGACAAGAGAAACAACTAAAAAATGATTAATACCGGATGCTTTATCTGAAACAACCTTCAACGTTTTCTTCAAATCGTCAGAAACTTTACATCAACCCAGTGACAAACCGTCTCCAAGGATACCACAATCCTTAACCAAAACAGCACAATCTGGTTTTAATTTGCACAAGTCAGTGTGCCGTGTTTATATAGTACAAACTCTGGTAAGATTCAATGTGGAAAACTGGTTACTCTGGCTATGTTGTCGTATTTTGGGGGTATTTTAAGCAAAAATAAGGTGCAGAAACCTTTATTCTGGGTTTTAACTGCTAGCACTCCTTTGAGAAGCCACATGGGATACCTGACATGTGCCTTCACATTCTCAGCCTCAGATGTTGTAGTTGTCTAACATAAGCCATAGGTTGACGGAGAGCTATTGATGGCCTCAACATAGGCCCATTATGTATAGATTGTAATCCACTTCTGTCCCATTAAATACACTCTTATGGTGTTTTAAGGTATGCTCATGTTCAGTTGTTGCATCTGGCTATGTTCACTCCGAGCCCATGCCCTGTTGAAGCTTACTCACAGTTTTTAGCCCAGATTGAATAAAAATTAAAGTAAAAAAGTGAAAAATAAGTTTTTACAGGAAACTGTCTGTATTTCATTTGAGTTGGGAGCATTGGTGCTGAAATTACAGCCTGTTTGTTCACACAGTGGTACCTCCCTAATTAATCAAACACTGTTGCTCAGACCCAGCCGGGTGAGAGTCTCAGTCTAGTTACTGTTGCAACGAGCTTAAAGGTAAGACAAGTTCAAACCAGTCTGCAGGTGATTCAGCCTGGGCAGCCCTTCAGATATTATATTAAAGAGAAGAAAAAAAAACTTCCAGTCTGAGTCTGAGTCTCAACAGACAGACCACTGCCAAGGTCTGAGGTCATAATTTTTCCTGGCATGATACCTGATAGATCATGAGCATTGATTAACCCCAGTGTCCATGTGCTCCACCCTGCTGGGGTTGTTTGTGCGAGGTGTGACTGACTCACTTCCTCTATGTTACCTGTCATCACCCAGCTCGACATATCTCCATCCGCGTCATTAACCACACCAGGGTGCAGCTATTTGAGCCCCACTAACAGAGTCTTATCATGACATTAATAATTCAGTCTGATCGGAGTCAAAATCTGATCGAGGTACAGTATGATAGTTAAACAGGGCGAAAACTTTGTCTCCTCCTCCTCCTCCTCTCCAGTGCCCAAACTAGTCAGCGCCGTGCGTAACGGAGATGTCAGGGGCTTCCACATTTACATTTAGCCCGAACTAATCCTGACAATTTGTAGAGCGGCTAGAGGCAGGACTGACACACAGGGAATAAATAAGTAAACGTGAGTCGAGACTCCGGTTTCCCTTGGAAGTGTAAAGGGATTGGGGTAAGATTACAAAGGAGAACTTGATACCTGCGGCCACCAAGCTGGGGGAATGACAAAAGAGACGCCCGCTAATTATGCAAAATTTATCACAAAGTGGTGGAAACAAACTAACTTTGTCACTTTGACTAAAATAAATCCGTTTGATGAATAAAGTATGTAAAAACAGAGAGGTTTTGTATAAGAAGTATAGTAGGAAAAAGTCGACTAACCGTTAAATCGGGAGACAAAGTTTCACAAGGGGCTCCTCTCCTTCTTTCTCACAGATCCTCCTCTGCAGACTTGAGCAAGATTAACCAGCAACACATATCTTTTCCGTGATTTAACTTCTCTCTCTTTAGCCAACCTTTTTTTTCATTGTCATAGGGCGTGTGCCTGGGAGAGAGGAGGAATGTGGAAAGAGGCGCAGCTAAAGCAACACGGCAGATTTTTAGCAACGTTTGTCAAAACCTCACTATTGTTCGAGAAAACGGAGCATTTGTGTGTCTTAATATTTTACCAATATTAGGATTTTTAAGAGGCTAAATTGACTGTGTACGCACGTGCTCATTTCTACATTTTTTGCTATCACTCTACATGTAAGAACAGGCGCGCGCTCATGTCTATAGCGCGCGCGTGTTGAGAGCTCTCTCAACAGACAGATGCCGTTCAGCCACACCCTGAAACTTTACTGACTCTGACTAAGACTGAGGGAAGAATAGAAAGATAGTGTTCAACACAGAAAGGACATTTAATCTGAAAGCCCGGACATTAAAAACACACTTTTTTTTTTTTAACCAGTCATTGACACATTTATTTGGAGTACTAAACCGCCAAAACCACACCTCTGTTTGTGTCCTAGAGGGAGAAGATAAACAGCTCAAGGTGTGTGTTCCAAGATTTAGCCGCGCCAAGAAAATAAAGTGCTCACACACACTCTCAGTTTTCAGAAAATACATTCCCTCTCTGCTACACCCTTATGGACCTGTAAGCACAAGCAGCTGTGTGTGAAAGTGTGTGTGTCTCTCTGTGTGAATGTGTGTGTTCTGGGAAACAGCAAGGACTGGTTCTAATATTTCTGAAATAGTTGTGTATTCAGAGTGTGTGTGTGTGTGAGAGAGAGTGTGTGTGCCAGTTTGGCAGTTGCTGGGTGAGAAGAAAAGTAGACTGCTGATAAAAACACAACAGTCTGCACTTGAAACAGACTTCAGGGTGTTTTCTTTTTGGACATTTTCCCATTTTTTTCTAACTGTATGGCACACAGACAAGTCAGTGTGACACATGAAGCTGGAACAAGAGTATCTGAAAAACAAGACTATTGGCTGAACCCCCCATGTCTGCTCGCAAGATGCCCAATCAGCTGCCAGAACTCCAGGAAGTTGAGCTCTCCATCATTGTTCTTATCCAATGAGCTCATTAGCTGGTCAATGGCAGTCGGGTTACCAGAGTTCTGCAGGAAAACAGGAAGATAAAACATCAAATGCTGAGAAAAATGTGCAGAAAGTATGATGTATTTGGTGTTGGGGTGGCAGAAACAAACTGACACCACTGGCACATCCACAAGTTAAATATTGAAGCAACATCAGCCGAGTTGGTTTGGCACAAGCATCTGTGGCTCTGTCGCCATCTAGTGACCAAAGTGATGAGTCCAAGTTTTCATTCAGAGAGGAACACATGGAAATTTCCACACTTGGAAAAGGCAGACCTGTATTTTTTGGAGCTGGGCCTCAGGAACTACTAGTTTTGCCATTGTTCTCTGGTCCAGATGTAAAGTACAAACAACACAGCTTCATCTAATGAAAAAGGACTAAAGAGACACAGAGCTCTCTGAAGGGTGGCAACTCCTCCATGATGACAAATCCATTGTTTTTGTGGAATGCATTAAATGTGAAGAGATTTCCTGTCCCAACATGAGGTGTAACCTCTCATTCCTGGTCAAATTCACAGGCGGGAGAGGAAAGAGGGAAGAGTTCTTTCAAATGTTCTTTTCAAGTTGTTATTTGGAGCAGAAGTACACAGAGACCACATGTATTGTACAACGCCCGTGCATCAGAGCTGAAGTATCCCTGAACACAAATGTGACTAACATTTAATTATACGGTCACAGTTAAACGGGTCAATGTGGCATCCAGATGATAGCCGTTGCTGTAACTATCCCCTCTCATGACGGAGGATTTTTGCATGGTAAACAAAGTGATTGATAGTAAATATAATTTTTTAATCTCAGTTCTAGTAGGAGGTGGTTCTTCCAGGCACAGCATTATTCAACAAAACCAGCAGAAAAAGCTGGTAGTATTCTACCCTCTACTTTTAAACCACCAGTCAGCTCTGAAGCAGAGTGAAAATTTGTCTTGTGTTGCCATCTATAGATGCTTTGAATGGAGGATAGCATTGTATCATGTCTTTATATTATTAAAGGACAATTGTATCCTGCTGCAATTTGACCTGGATGTTAAGAATACACCTGCCAAAACTCCAGACATGCTTAGGAGGTTGAATTTGAAAACCCTGAATCAGCAATGTTAATCCTTTTTTATCACATTTTAAAGACTACCCTTAGGTGCACCTTCTCCTAAGGTTGTTCATTTGGTCAAATCCAGCCTCTCTTGTTCAAGCAGTCAGGCTGCATTGCTGGTTCTGTTTACTCTCATTACCCATTAAGCTTTTATATGAAACTTTCATACTCAGCATGCAGTATATGGTTCTTTATCAAAACATAATCTTCACCTTGTAACTACTTCATTCAAACAAAGAAGCACAGGTATACATAATGTTTGTTTGATCCATCTAAGCAGAAACTACAAGGCAAGTTTTGTACCCAAACCACACAATAATAATAATAAAAGAAATATGCTAAATATAAATGAATAAATAAATGATGTCCATGATTTGTCAAATCTGTAGCCCTTACCTTGACAAAATTTGGGAGCTCAGACTTGACCAGTCTGTGGAACTCATCTCTGCTCAGCGTGTCCGAGGAACCATCACTGCCAGCGTATGCCTTGAACTGGGACACCAGCACCCCGATCGCGGACTCCATCACCAGTTAGAGACTCACAGAGAGGATCTTTGACCCATGTGTCATGAAAGATACAGGAGATTATATCATCATCAAGACTTAATATTGCCAGATAGATATGTAATTTATAGTTACATAGAAGCTAAGGTAGAAGAGACACCACAACACCAATATGGTATAATCAGCAAAACCAATCATAGACTCACCTATCAAGATGTGTATGAATATGTAGTGAAGACACAAGTCCTCCTGTCCTTTTCTAGCCTGTCTGTTCTGGTGAAGAAGATAAATCATTCACTTACCTCCCTTTATATATTTACAGCCTTTGTTTTTAAAGCATATTTCACTGTAACCAGTGAAATATTAAACCATGTAGTACCAAACAATGCCTACATTTTTCCATGACATGGTTGCAACTTTCAGTGTGGAAACAAAGCATTTGCCAAGAGTTAGGGTTTACAGAATGAATCATCTCATAAGACCGACTCACACTGATGATCAGAGTTAACACAGAGTTATGTGGTGTGTACACAAATAGTTTAATGTTTTGCTACGTTTATGCCAATGCATGGAAAATGGTGTCGCCTTTTTCCTTTTGCTGTTTACGAGGGTTTAATTGTGGGCAAAACGCTGTAGAGAGCAAAAAGAGAGCAGTGAATCAGGTATAATTACAAAGTCTGTGTAACAAAAACTTTGGAGAATGAGGCACTGGGGTTTTAGCTCTGAGAGGTCTTATTATTTAAGCACAAGCTCTGACAGGATGTGTGCAATAGGATATAGGGAAGGCCGTTAGTGCTAACAGGCACCTTAGCTTTATCATCCAAATATCCCCAAACCTTTCATTCCCTCGGCCATCACTGAGGCTACTAACCAAAAATACAGACTGAGAAATCACACACAGCTGTAAGGAATCAGTGTTTTCCATGGGCTAATGTTGTTGGCTGTCTTTAATCAATGTCTTGTGGTGAATGCAGTTTCTGGATATACTTAATAATGCTTTTATTTCTTTGCTTCAGCCACATGAGGGCAAATGCATTTTTAATGCTCTAAACTATGAGCATGAAACCTTGAAACTCAAACCTTGTGATTGTACGCCTCTGTCAAACCGTCAAGTTCAAATTAACATCTAACAATGTGTCCAGCACAGTGACACTGTAACTAGGATGGGGAATTTGCATAATTTCATAATGATTGAGAGGAAATGTTGAGCTAAAAAAAGTCAACATCATAAACCTAGATTTAAAGATAGGTCACAACAACTGATTAACAAGCAGGATGTAATATCAGAAAATCGATCTCTCTTTCTGATCATGCAGCTGTAAATAAGTAAATAAGTAAGTACGTTTATTTATTACAGAAACTGTCACAGAGCAGGGTCATAAAGTGTTTCACAAAATGTCAGTTTTAAAGACAATCATGATAAAATTAAATAAATAATAGTGAAGCAGTGAGCAAAAACAAGAAATAAGAAAGAAAAAATCAAGTAAATTGTGAGGAAAGTGGGTTGTTGTGCTGGACCTGGCTAAAATTCTTGAAGCAATAATGAGGAGCGGATTTGTCTGTGTTAAAGGAAGTGATCATTCATCGAGTCCTTCATGGCTTTCAGACCGCAGAGCAAATTGGTTTATTTATCTGTCATCTGACTCAAAAGAAATTGATGGCTAAACAGTGGTGGGAGATTCCATAAAACTGCTGAATGGCTAGATGGTTTAGAGGAGGAGCATGTTAAGAAAATTATAATACATCCCAGTACAGAACCCTGAGGCACACCACAGGACAGAGGGGCAGACTCAGACAAATAAGACTCAAGCGGCACAGAGCCTACAGTCCACCTGTCAACTGTTAATGCAATCCATTTGACCACACAAGTCTTTGAGCCTAATGCAGTTCAGTTTCCTCATGGTTTTATTAACCTGTCATGTCTTAGATAACAGCAAACTTTAACATGAAGGTAAAACAGAGGCTTATTGCTTTGAATGCTACAGGGAGTGTTAGCTTTGTTTCATTTCACAGACTTTCTCAGGTAGTTATTCATTAAACTGCAGAGTGCCTGATGAATACAGACTGCATAACTTGTTGCTTTGAACAGAAGGCGCAGCACAAATTAAATGGGTTTATGTGCCTGTGAGTGTGTGAGCACAGCAAGCCTACATTACCTTACTTTAGTGGGAGTGGCTTGGCATAAATACTTGTCTTGTGTGTGGAGAACCATTATTTCTCTTAAACATTAGGAATGAATTTCAGGGTTAAAGACGGTTAAAAAAAGAAGTCTTAACTTGTGGGACTGCAGGTTTTAGTCCCACACAGGCTTCACAACTGATTGATGTAAGATCAGTTCAGTCTCACCTGACTTCTTCTCATTTTGTACATTCAGCCCAGATCTGCTGAGTGTCCATATACAGGAGACATATGTAGAGGACAGGGACAGTATGGTAATGATACCTAAGGACAGAGGGAGAACTTAATAACAGTTTGGGCAAAGGCAAAAACACTGTTTGAGAAAACTGCTTGATTCATGACACACTAAAACTGTCACCAATAACAAATCATTTTGATCCTACAGACTTGAAACCGTTTACAGAAAAGTTCAACAAAATGCTTTATAGTCTAAAAAAATCAAAGATGTTTCTGACCTTACAGACCCAGATTTTGGTCAAATCCAGATGAAGCTTTTGAAATCACTGCCCAAACTAAAATAGTGTCCCCTCCCCCATGGCTTTTGATAGAGATACTGGAGGTCAGTGAAAAAAGACAAAATCAGATAGATGTCATCACAGGGATGCGCAAATTTTTATTTTTCTTAGGACAGTGAAGGGCAAATACAAGCATCCTGAATCTAGAAAACTTCTATCTTTGTATCTATACGCTATCAAAAAACAGACTAAACCATTAACTTCTGCCTCAACTACCCCCCCCCCCCCCCAAAAAAAAAAAAAAAAAAAAAAGAAAAAAAACAATCCCTAAGTGGATGTAACCCTTAAATCAACATTTCATAAGTATGTAAACAGTGTCATGACAAATGTTACATTCATGATAAAACGATAATTAAAGACATTTCAGTGCTCTTGAGTCCTGTACCTGAAAAGTAACATACATGCTCAACATGTCACTATTTAATGTGCCAACCAAATCTTTTTTAAACTATATATCATTTAAAGGAAATAAGTTAATATCATGCGTATGCATTGCAGCATAGTTCTTGAATATATGTTATATTTACAGACATTCAAAATAAAATAGCTGCAGACTATTCTGGCATAAAATCACCAAGATAAACCTACTTTTTTTTTCTCAGCATAAAACGCCACCCTTTTTAAAAACTGTTAATGACTTGGACATAATCTCACATGTAGAGTCAGGCTTAAATAATTATTTTACAAACAGATAGAGTCCTGGGAGTGCAGGCTGTCTAAGTGAATATGAAGTCTTCAACAGTGGCTCTGTGCTATTTGCAAAAGAAGAGGTTTGGTGCATGAATAAGACTGTACAGCGTCTGCTCTTGGAGAAAAGTCCAAGCAATGCTACATCAAAGTAAGTCTAAAAAGGTCCAAACTCCCCTACACATCCACAAAGAAGCATTACATGCAAAGCCGGACATGGAGTCTAAGAGAGATTTCTCTAGATTGAACTTCAGAGGAAAGAGCATACAAAGGACAGAGAATGTGCACGTTCTGCTTCACCACTACCTGCGACTTCTTCTTTCCACTTAAGTTCATTTCAAATATGTGGTGTAAAGCAAGATTTTTTGTCTATAGTCCAGCGCTAATGTGTGTGCATGCCCACAGGTCATGCATAAAATGACCCAGAATATAGATATGGATTTGTAAGTTGAAGATCTTACGCAACAGATGGAAGGGGGGAAAAACAGGATCCTGTAAAATGAACAGAATGATAAATGTGTACTTGTATTTGTGGTCCGATATAAAATGTTCCGTTTGAATAAACTCTCCTCTGCCGTGACTGCTCTTTGCTTCTTTTCTCACATCCATCACTCCTGCTGCTTCATCAGCCACGCCCTCTTCCGCTCGCCTTCTTCCGCTCCCCTTTAGATCTCTCCTCCTTCTCTCTGGCTCCCGGCACTGCAAACTTTTTCATGACTTCTCTCTCGAAGCCCTCCATTTCCTCCTCCAAGGCGCTGTCCTCCTCTTCCTCGTCTTCGTCGTCTTCCACCATGTCTTCCAAAATATCCCCCACATCCTCAACAAAATCTTGAAAGCTCATCTGGTCGTGAACAAAGACTCCATCCTTGAAGAATTCGGAGGTTAGCTTTTTGAGCTCCTCCCTTTTCAGATCATCCAGTCCCACCTCCTCAGCCTTCGTCAGGTAAATCTGGAGGATGGCTTCAAACTCAGGAAGGGGGACGGGGATCAAACCCTCCGCCTTAGCACAGGACTCCAGTGTACCACAGTGCTGTGGTGGTTTGGTGTTGTGCTGGAGGCGATCTCTCTGCTGGGTCCAGTACTCAGGCTGATCCAGGGAGGGTTTGCGATGTGAGTGAGCGGGCTCCCTGTGTTCCCAGAGGGGAGCTTCTTTGTGGCCACGATTAACACTGTCACTGTTTTCTTTCTGTCCCTCTCTTTTCCACTTTTGCTCCTTCTTTTCATCCTTTTTCTTCCACTCCTTATCACTCATTCCACTTTTTCTTTTCCATTCATTGTCATTCTGATATTTCCCCTTACCCTGACTTTTGCTATCTTCCCACTGCTTCCTCTCACCTCTCTCTTTCCATTTTTTACTATCTTTGCTCTTCCAGTCACTTTCTTTCTTCCACTCTTTCTTCTCTCCTTTCTCTTTCCAACCCTTTTTCTCCCATTTCTCTTTGCCAATTTCCTTGAAGCTATCCTTTCCTTTCTTCCATTCCTTCTCTCCCTTCCAGTTCTCCTTGCCCTTATACTTCTCTCCATGGTCTTTTCCTACCTTCCAATCCTTTTTCTCCTCCTTACCCTTCCACTGTTTGCCCTCATACACTTTCTCATGCTTTCCTTTTTTCAACTCCTTCTCCTCCTTCCATTCCTTTCTTCCATTCTTGTCCTTCTCTTTCTTCCCTTCCCTGTCCTTCCACGACTTTCCTTCATCACCTCTGCTAGCTGTATGTTTCTTCCAGTCCTTCTCTTTTCCTATTTTTGTCTCTTCGCTGTGCCGTTTCTGCTCCTCCTTCGCCTTTTTCCATTCTTTCCTTTCTTCCTCCCTTGCAGATTTTTCTCTCTCGTCCTTTGCCTTTTTCCATTCTTTCCTTTCTTCCTTCCTTACAGATTTTTCTCTCTCGGCCTCGGATTTTACATCCTTTTTCTCCTCCCTCGGTTCATCCGACGTTTTTGTTGTCAGTGTCTCTGTGGATCCATCTGTGACCTGTATGCTGTCCTCAGGCTGTCCACTGGGGGGCGGCACAGCTGCTTCTCTGGCGGCTGAAGAAGACACAAAAAGTCAGCACGAAATCAAACATGACAAGCAAGATTCAATTAAAACAAAGAGAAGGGAAAGAAAGAGGATTACGCTGCACTTTCCCTTGCTATCTCTCTAACTGCCAGCCTTTCTTAAATTTATCCCCCCCCCTCTCACCCCTCCCTGCCTCCCCCTTCTGTCTCTTTGTACCTTGGGAGAGTTTTAATTCAGTCACAGTGGATCTCAGTGTTTCTAGCTCTGTCTGTAGGGCCACGACAGACTCCAGCTCTCTCTTCATCCTCTCGTTCTCTTTCTGAAGGATGGGGAGAGATGCCATGTCTTTCTTCAACCTACTGTTTTCCTTCTCCACCTCTGCCCACAGCAGATGATCCTTCGCCCTCTGTTCGGCTACTTCCTTGGCAACGTTTAGCTCTTCTCTCTGTGCCTTTATGAAAAAAAAGAAAGTAAAAATAGAGAAATCAGTGATATGGTTATTCACATGCAAATATTAACAAATCAATGTTCTGATACAACACAAACATCATGAGATGGATGGATGATAAGAGATAGAATGGGCTCACACCTGAAGCTGGGCTTGTAGTACGGAAATCTGCTGGTCCCCTTGAGCTAACTTATTAAGAAGCTCTGCACTATCAACATCTACTATGGGTGGTGGAACCTCTGGATTAAGCCACTCCTGTCAAAAAATCGCATGCACACACACACACAGTACAACACAGAAGCAGAACTTTAAATGACTCCTCAGAATCATCACTGGCAGACAGACAGAGCAGTCGTGAAGGAAGAGAACAGTACGTGATGTCGAGACCAGAAATAGAGAAAGTTCAGAATAGCACAGTTGGCAGACAATAGCAGAATTGCTGCTAGTGTTGTGGGTGGTTTCCTGCCAAGTAAATCCCACTAAAAATTCCACTAGTGGTACTCACTGTTCTGTCAAATGGGTACATAAAATGGCACTAGAATGAACACAGGTTGGACAAGAGAGAACACAGACAGGAAAGGAGGAGACAAAGACATTTCAAGCTGATGTAAGACGGACCTGTTTTCCTGGTATTTCTGCATCTTTCAGCTCCCTTGTAGCATAATCATTGTCTGCAAAGGTAGAACAAAAAACATCATTTTTATGTTAATGCAGTAATACTGTCAAAAACACATTAAAGTTCTTCTTTTCTGTTGCGTATCTTGAAAGCACAAGCACATACTCAGAAAACAATCTGGTTTTTTTTCTATAAAAAGCATCTTCGTGGGCTGAGTAGAAGCAGGTCGAGGTTAAACACTCTGTACTCAATGAAAACCTTGTACTTGCATTTTTTTTCTAATTCGAGTTTGCTCAAAATGACTGGTTTACTTCATAGGGATATAGTACAGGGTTTTCACAAAACAGCAAAGAAGCTGTGTTGCCAAGGTCTCTCTCTCTCTCTCTCTCTCACCCGTGTCTAAAAGCGTGCTCTGCATTTGAAACAGACTCTGGGTAGTGTTCAAGATGCATGCACATCTTTTCTGCATGCACATCCAACACATGCCATGTGTGAGAGGGAAGCACACACACACACACAAACATGTACGTATAGGACATACCTTCATCCAGGTCCATGAAGACACCTGCAGGTATAGTACACCTCAGTCTCAAAGCTTCCTTGTAAACTTTAGCTCTACTTCTTCATCACTTTTCTCTGACTATCCTCACAGATTTTTTTTCAAAACACAGCTCACATACATACATACATACATATACTGAAGGTGTGCCTACCAGAGATAAAGATGGTACCCAGGCCCAAAAGAATGACAGCCCCCAGGATGCACTTGTTCACAGAAAACCCGCTGTCTTCCTCACGTGGTGGCAGCTGAAACTCTTCCTCCACTTCTTCTTCTTCCTCCTCTTCTTTCCTCCCAATCCGCTCCAGAGCTGCTAAGAGAGACCTGCTCCTCACCTCTGGTTCTGGTTCTGGTTCTCTCTCCTCTGCTGTCTTCTCAGTCTGCACTTCAGCCACCTCTGAATCCACATGGGTGTCTGAAACAGTGGAAAAGGACAGGATGGGAAGTTGAGGTTTACATGTTTTGTGGTTTACATGTTTTGTTTGTCTCCGTGGTAACCCATGGGCATAGATGGTTAAAGAAGCGGAACAATCATCAATCTGATAGACATTTATTCTAATTTCTGGCATATTTAGTATAATTAATAAACAAAGCGTTTGCATGTATTTTAGCGACGACTTCATTATTGCGCTTATTAGTGTTGGATAGCACAACAGCATCAACCCTTCAACCAGTCTGATGCTGTAGAATGAGACCAAAACCTCATGGGAAATGCTTGTCTTTATGTGCTCTGCTCCACATGGCGAGCTGGTTAGATTGCCATTCCTTCTCTCACTTTAAGCAGCATAATTACTACTTGAATCTAAAACAGTCCAGAAAGTGCTGTACGAGCATAATTTTGTAACTTCTTGCGCCTCCAAAATATGTTTCCAAACTACTTTGATACATCTTCGTTGAAGAGCATCGGTACTATTAATGAGCTCTGAAATAAACTCACTGACACTGAAATCTGGTTGGTAAACAGAAAGTGTGTGAAAAAAAATGCACGAGAGAGCAAAAGGAGACTCATTTTTTAATGCTGTAGCGAAAAATAAAAAAAGGGCTGCAGACCAAAAAACACCACACTGCAAAAAACTTTAGGAGGTCCCAGTCCCACTGAAGCCAATTTACTTCTGCAGGGTGTCATGCAACTAAAAAAAAATCCTCTGTCACATCATGCTCCCTGCCTCATACCAACCACAGCCTCTCCAGACAACTTCCTGGCCCAGATACTGAACAATTCCAAAACCAGCTGGTCCACCAAGTACACTTCAAACACAAATAGTACACACTGCTTAGTGGAAAAAAGAGAAGATCACAACTGATGCAAAGGGTCTAAGAATATCAATGCAAATAAACTCATTTCTTGTGGTTCATACCTGCCTGTTTCCCTATGTCAGGTGTCCTTGAAAACAGGTCTGACTCCTCCTCCACCTGTTGTAGCCCCTCCCCATTGAGAGGTTGCACTGTTCCTTCCTGTGTGACACTCTCCTCTTCTTGTGTGAACTCCCCCCCTCCCAGAGTCTCTGTGCTCAGCAGTGAAGCAGGGGGCTCTTCAGGGGACGGGGTTATATGGGTGTAGGAGTCGGAGAATGAATCTGGGTCAGGGATGGACTGTGCTGGGCCCTCAGGTAGACCCTCAGACTGGCTGAGTGGATCACTGTCTGGGACCAAGCTGCCAGAGGCTTCCACAGTCGTGGGAATAGTGTCATCGATGACAGCTGCGGGCACAGCGGTGTGTTGCTCTGCATTTGTGTCTTCACTTAGCTCCGCGGGTTGTTCTTCTGGTACCTGGTCAAAGAATCAGGTAATTAATTCCACAGGGTATGACACTGTCAGTCAAAGAGTTTAGAGATTCCTTTACGGTTTCTGGTTTTAACTCAGGCCCAACTCAGATGTAAAAGTTTTGATACTGTAGCTGTTAAGGCTTTCATGAGAACTTTAAACATAAGGCTGATGATAAGTCACTGTCTGAGGTCAGCTTATCTAGTTGAGGACAAAGACAAGAGACTAAGAGGAGTCCAAAAATAAGATCAACCAGCCAGCACTTCTATACTCACTAATCATCGAATTACTGTATATAATTCACTTCATACCCTGTCCACCTGTATTACAACCTGCAGTTATATACTTGCTATTTCTTTTCTAGGGTCAGTTGCCAAGCAACCTCTCAAGTTGCCCATAGTGGCCAAGAAATAGTCCACCTGAAACAAAGGGAATCAGGATAGCTGGTTGTAGCTTTGTACATAAAGATCCAGGAGCGAGAATCGATAGTCTCATCTAATCTTTGCTAGAAAGTCGATACATGCACTTTCTAAAATGTACAGATACTTCCTGAATATTGTGTATTCACCTTGACTGAAGCCCTATTAAAAAGAACATTTCTGCCCCCTCAGACTCCCTGATTTTACACTCGTACTCCCCAAGATTAAAAACACACTCCAAACGCAAAACTGTTAAAGGAAGATACCCTGAATGTGTGATAGCTGTGATCATGTTTTTGTACAAAGACGCACTCGGAGTAAAACACCTAAGAGGTAGCTGACTTAAAAAAGGATGAAGAGGCTTAAGACTTATACAGCTGATGCTAATAAGCTCCAAGATATACCTCTATTGGCCCCAATACCAGTCTTTAAAATCAAATGAGGACATCCTTTACTGAGTAAGTTCTCTGAATAGAATTTTCAAGATTATTATTTCATAACTCCATCAAGAAGCTGTGGCCTGAAATCAGCTGAAATGGGTCATCTGCTAGATATGAATACTCAGTTAGAAACAAATGATGTGGCTTCACATTCACAAGCTAACCAGAACAAAGTAAACACAGTGGCTCTTGTAAAAAGAATAACAAACTTAATGTATGTCCCCAGGCACGCAAAAAATAATTATCATGCATTATAATATTGCAAGTAATGAATATTGGTGTCTTACCAGGTGGCCCTCCATAGGGGGTTCCTCCACAGACTCTTCACCCTGTGCAGGCTGGGTGACCCCTGGGTCTGGCTCAACAAACACAGAAACAGGAAGCAAGAGAGGACAATTTTAGGTCAACAGTGGGATAAACACTCCACTAGTGACTCTTGCTATGTGTATCAAGTGGAATCGTTGTTATATTTGATTACCAGTAAAAGGCAAATATTATTTTTATAAATAAATAAAAACTAAAATAAAAAAAATATGACATGTTTGTGTGAAATTCAGGTCTTACAGTGCCATTCACAATAATTAGATATTATGTCAAACACCTGCTTCAGACGACAGACTATCCTCATGTTGCTCTGTTCCCTCTGCCAAAGGCTTCAGGGTTTCAGTGACAGTCTCCTAAGAAATACAGACCAACAGAAGCCATTACTTCAATAATGACAAACAGTGGAGAAGTAGTAACACCTTTAACAACAACAACCACTGCAAAGGCAGATGTGTATAAGTAATTTTAAGGTCAGAAAACCCATAGTTTAATAAAATGGGACCTCAAATAATTCTCTCTCTTTCTCTTTTATTTTGGAAATAATCCATCAATATATCAACTTAACATATTGATATTTTCTTTACAGAGGTGGTCCTACCTCAGGAGTGAGGATGGTCCAGCTGTTGTTCGAACTGCTGCCACCAGACATGGCCCCCTAGAGGCTTTGCCCGTCTCCTGCAACACAAGAACACAGAGCAGACAGCATGAGCAACAGTGGTTCAGCAAGAAAATCACTGATGATGCCTTTTACGTTTTTGTGTCTTTATACTTCCTACATTGAAGCTGGTTGTTTTTTTTTTTTCCAACAAGTTTATTCCCTAAATTTCAAACATGAGCAAGTAAGAAAATCTATCACTATCTTTTAACACTTAGTGAAGAGACTACTATCAAGCCCTTATGTGCAGCAGTGTTGTTTGGTCTGCCACTGGTCCACAGTTAGTGACAGTGTGAGTACAGCAGCAGAGGAAAATTTACATCCCCTGTTTACACATGCACACTATTTGAATACATGCGGTTTCTATTCAGCCTCACCCACTCGGACAATAAAAGACTCTACTGTAACCTGTTGCGAACACTTTGCTGTGCATGTTCAGGAAGTCCAGGTCTCTGGGACCATTCAGTTCTTCATTAGTAGTTCGTGTGTGTTGCGGGGCTTTTGGCCACTCTGGCTTTTGACTAGCCCGGAAAATGTTTTGGCAGAAACATGCGTAACTAAGGCCAGCACCATTCTGAAGATGCAGATGGGCTGTCTATTTCAAAAGCAACTGCTCTGTTAATATATGTCTGTAAAATACTACATTTCAGCTGCTTATCCCAGCTTGGAAGTTTACTGTCTGATAAATTGTTTTCCTTTTGTGTATTTCTTTAGTTATCAAGACAGCCTCACAGCACAGGATCACAGAGCAGATTTGCACATATTTCATGTTTAGTCTGGATCACTTGAGTGGATGCAGACAGATCTAACCGCTCAAGTTGAACACCACACCTTCTGGGTAATGACACACTTCACTCCAGAATTCAATTCTCTCCAGCTCCGCAATTTAGGTCTCCTAATCGAGTGCCTCCCAAGAGAGGTCTACTGAATCTAGCCTTGGGCCTTGGGAGCATTGTGGAGCATATAGTGGAAAGGCTTAAATAGATACCAGCTAAATATAGCTGCCATGAGATTGACTAGAGACAGAAAGGGGGAGCATACAGAGGATGGCCACAGGGAACAAAACACAGGAAGCGATGTTTTCAAAAGACTGTGTTCAAAACAGGTTCCTTTAAATGCAATATAAATCTGATGGCTTCTTACAAAGAGAAATAATGTCTACCTCTGCTGTTGTACATCTCATGTCAACTTGACGATTTCATAATTGACATAATACGTTTTATACGCACAGTAATCTGCTTCTAGGCAGATTGTTTCTTGGTCTAAGCAGGGGAAAAATACCAAAAAAGGTCAGGAGAAAAAAGTGTAGGACAGGCCATTAAAGGAGCAGCAGTCTGTCAGCTGAAGCACTAACGAGCATGTTCTCAATAGTTTTCAAACGGGACCACCGACCAAGCAGGCTGGACGTCCGAACTGAGCAACTTTAGTTTAACAAAATGTTCAATAGGAACAAGTGTGAAGCCTAAAACAGGAAATGTCAAGACGAGGAGGACCAAGTGAAAAAATACGCACTATACCGAATGAGAAATGCGCTTTTTACACTGCAACGTTAAACAAATGGTTCAACTGACAGGTCCACTGTTACTATTATCCACCAGGATTTAAAATTGCCAACCGTTACAACAGTCACCCGAGCAACCAGGAAAAAGTCTACAAAAAAGACGTTGTCGACGTGATAGAAGAAAAAGAAAACACAAAGAAATTAGGTTATAACTTCGACATGTAAACATTTCAACAACAAATGTAGGTCATTCTTACCGTGGTCCGTCGCTTTAATTAATTCTCCACAGCCTGTCACTTACACAGCAGAAACACTTTTGAGCTTCGCCATCCAACTTGAGAACTTAGAACGTGCCTCCTTAACTTGCATGATTGACGCGCCCTTGGTCCAATCAAAGCCAGGGTCTAGCCCTCGCCTTCCAGTTCGACCAATGGCGATGAGGCATCACTGTCGTTCACTGGGAGAGTGTCCAAGATGATTGACAGACGCAGGTGATGGTGCGTATGCAGAACATACATCTTACATACATTTTGGATTTTTTTACACGCCAAAAGTCCTCTGCATTTGATTCAGGTAGTCCACAGAGCTGTTTTTTCCATGCTGATATCTGAAATACATTACTCTCCTTTGCCACATTTGAAAAAATATTTCAAAATTTCTCTACAATATATATAAAGCCTGTACCTGTAAAATAGCAAAATATTGTGAAAAGCACTTAAGATATTCATTTGTCCAAACATGCTAAGTTTACCATATGATTAATGACAACAAAATGAACAAAACTGCAGACATAAAGGTAATTTTTTTTCTATTCATTAGTTCCTTTATTAAGCACACCAGTTTGTGTTGTACAGTGATCATCGGGGGTGCCATTCTGTTAGATTTCAGGTCAGCAGGGTTGAATTCAGGGAACTCTGACCAGTCTCACAATGATCAATAGTAATATGAGGCATCCAGAAAAGTGGCAGCGTATTCACTGGAAATCCAGGTTGGCAGCCTGTAGATAATGGATGACAGAGAGGTTTTTATTTAACATATTCAACACTATCCTTTAGTTAAATGTACTTATCGTCACTGATAATCTTATTGAATTACACACTGAACCTTCATTTTTTAAATTTGTAATTGCAGAAGACAAGATTCATACCTGCCAATGCTTTGCCAGCATCACTGATCAAGCACTAAATTCCAGATTGAATAAAAGTTGGTTGAAATTAATCTCTAGAAGCCATCATATAAAAAAAGGGGAAAAATCAATGCTTGACCACTAGATCTACTTTGTCTCAGTCCATCAATCCAGGATCTCTTTGATGCACCAGCAGCACAGAAGAAAATAGAGGCACTCCTTAACCGACTGGATGAAGCTGTAGGCAAAGTTTCCTCCCAAGAAGTTCTTGCCACGTCCAAAACCCATGGCCATGTCCCGCAGGTGCTGTCCCAGAGAGGAGGAAGGCATAGCCTGGGGAAGAGGACGCTGGGGATGCATGGCTCCAGTGGTGAAAAACGAGCAATCAGGCAGAGGCAATAATCAAGGGCAGTCACTGAGGAGAAGCAGGTGAGGTCTGACTGGGCCCGTGTAACAGCTGAGTCCCGGCACAGGGAGGTCCTCTACTTATAACCTCCTACTCTGACTACATTAACATCTTGCTTATTCTCGACTGTTCCATGCTGATTGATTAAGGGCCTTGTTTACCTTTGTAGTGTGACCTCTCTTTTGTGAAGTACAATCGCCCTATAGGCTCTAATAACCTGAATCAGCCCCCTGCTGTTACAGGCTCAACTGTTCACAAACAAGAGAGTTCCAGTAGCTCCATTACAGCCCCCACTACAGCCCCTCTCTTTGTTCAGGACAGTATGTGACAGCGTATCATACCTTCTAGCTGAGTGTGCTTTGTTGCTTTTTTAACTGTAATTAAGTGGAATAGATACCCAGGCTAAATAAATACACATTAACATAAGAAAAGTCAAACTCACAGTAAGGGATGAATGATAAATGTATTTATATATGCAATCTATATTTTCAGATACAGGTGTAAACCAACATGTTTCCCTAAAAACAAACAAAAACAGTATTAAAACAGGAACATATACAAAGTAAAAATCAATATCTGTGCACACTATTCAAAAGGAACCTTTGGCTTTCAAAAATCAAAAAAATACAACAGCATTATCAACACTATAACACCACCACCACCACCATTAACAACGACGACAACAACAGCAACAACAAACAAGAGAAAGGATTTTCATGCAACAAAGGCATCTGTGAAGAGCAATGATTACACACGACAAATTCACTAATAATGGAGAGGATCAGGTGGGTCTGTTCCAGGACACACACACACACACACACAAACAAACAGGCACACATATCAACTGCAGAACTTGAAGCTCTGACTTTCCTCTCTCTGACCTACAAACACCTGAACAGGCAGCAGTGTGTGTGTGTGTGTGTGTGTGCGTCTGAATGACCCAGCTTTCACTCAAGCATGTGTGCGTTCACATGTAAGACTGGGCATGTGAGCCCACTTTGGGGTCTCAGCACTAGTAGAGAGTTAGGTTGAACGATCCCTTCTCATGTCTAAAGTTTGGCCTCGATCTTCTTTGACGAGTTTAGTTGGCTTGAAGCGCTAAGAGTGCTTGCTGTCTGGCTTTGCGTTGCTTACCATTAAATACACAACTATGGAGACAATATTCCAACACTATGCTGACCAGGCAAAGATGGATGTTATTTACAGATGTTCAAGAAAGATCCCTCCAAATTGGTGACATCAAGTATCTGTGACCAAAAGCTTAATGCAAGAATGTGCATCAGAGGAGATTGCCATCACTGGATCTGTCATTGTGTGTCTATTGGAGTGTCGTTTTTGCAGTGTCTTTGTTTAACTGAGAGGCTTGTGTTGAAATTCTCCTGTAGGCGACTACATTTGAGTTAAGTACATAAGGTGACTGCATTGAAGTGACGTGACTGCATTGAAGAAACAAGGCACGATTAAAACAGACATTAAAAAAACAACACCATGAACTAAGAGAGGAGGAGGAGAAATAACACGGTGGACTTCTCCCCTCTCACATCCTCTTAAGTTTGTGAAAACTGCAAGCTGAGGAGCAACATTTGGCTTAACATTGTATCATTAGCAATGCTCTGAAAACATGTATGTCCTTATGTTTAATTAGCCCCGACCCACTCTTTTTGATCACTTTAAAAAAGGATAGTATTCCCTCGAGTGATTAAAAAATAAAGCAACATCACTGTACACAAACATTACATTACCAGTTACTACAGCACACTTCAGACTCATTGCTCAGACTGTTCAACATTCTTCAAAGGTCACTGAATTTAGTCTTACTAAAGTCCACATGATATGGGTCCAAAAGATACAGACATGTTTCCGGTCAGAGAATCACAGCAGATCAGAAGGGGTGTATTTGGTGAACGCAGGCAGACAACAATTGGCCAATTCGAAACAGGAGCAGTTCCAGTTTCTTTCATGTTAGTTTGTTAAAGAGTAAAATGTCAGGTTGTTTCATTTGAATTCACTTTTCATGATTCATGAATGAACTGTGTCCAAATCTCTGTATTCGTATAAATTCCTGCATTATTAGTTTGGTAGAAGTGAACACCCTCCGTTGACCAGACTCAAAGGGTGTTTGACTTTTTTGTGTTAATATGCACTTGTGTAATTTACATATTCATCTTAGAAACATACACACAGATGACTTTTGCTCCTGTCTGGAGTGCTGCCATTGTCTCTAAACCTGCTTTCACGAAACGAATCCCTCGAGTTTCAAGTCCTCACTCTTGTCCCAGTTCACTGACGAAAACCATTTCCAAATCTGCCAACCCCAAAAATATGGACTGGAGAAAGGCTCGGCCTGTCATTTAAAGGGGTCTCCGTTACTTACTCTCCCTCAATTACAGATCACAAGATCGTAAAGATAGAACCCATAGATTGTCAATGCAAACACATAGAAAAGAGTCAACATAAAGCAACAGGTCTTTGATCTACTCTATGCCTCTCAAAACGTACAAGATATTGTGTTTGTAGGCGACATTTCAAAACTTTGATATGATGTATTCCCCTTTAAAACAGTCTCATTGTTATATTCCTGCTTTTTAAGTATGCTCCTCATGCTGTTAGCACACGAAACAGATCACTGTGGATTATCGTCATGGCTTTATCTGTTAGCGACCAAGTTCATGTTCTTTGGCATGACAGGTGGTGCAGACCGCATGTGTAGTAAAGGTGTATCCGTGTTGACAGAAGGATTACGGAGTAACAGCTGCTTCGATTCTCCTGATCTCTGAATGTCCAATGAGTAATGAGTCCCAAGATAACAGATTTTAAAAAACAGAACATATAAAATGATCATTGGCATAGCAGTCTCCAGTTTTGCATACAGGCTTTCCTCACCACCAGCTGTCACTCCACGGGTCAAAGTTCAAAGGTCCATAAAAAGGGAGTGGTTGGGGGTTAAGGTGGCCCTCCTGATTATGATCGGAAGCATTTTTTTTAATGCATATTCCCCAGGCAGGATTGTTACAGTCAGGTTTGCTGCTGAAGTGCTGCAGTGACACATGAGGGGAGTGTTTATGTTTGAGCCTGGTTCAGTCTCTCAAATAAAGAATCATCGAACCGTTCAGGTTTTTTTTTTCTTTTCTCTTTTTTTTTTTTTTTGCCTGATATGCTCCAGCAAGTCTGAGGGGAAAAAAATCCCCCAAAATAAAAGATCACATGCTCAATAGCACATAAATCTCATTCAATGTCCCATATATATTCCTTTTTTTCAGGTGTCAGTTCCATATTTTTTTTGACACGATTCCATGTGTTAGTAAAATGTTTTTTTTTTTCATAGTCACACAATAAGATTTGATGTACTTAAAAAAATTTGCATTTTTTTTCTGCCCTGTTCTGAAATAAGGGCTCCTCCCTGGTTCACAGTAGGCTGTAGAGAAATTGCAGCAGTACTTCTCCATCATGGAGGGATGCGCCTGATAGCTGTTGGAGTGGAGGACTGGAAGTCACAGTTTCAGTTCAGTTTCAGATAGGACAGAAATATGTAGCAACAGCAGCATGAGAGTGATTTAGCTGAGAAAACGGTGATTTCTTTCTTTCTTTCTTTTTTTTTTTGGCTTCCTTTGTGATGGTTTGTGCATTTATATTCTTGAATGTGTAAAGTGTAGTGTTGCTTCGTGTGACTGAGCATAATGGTTGTCTTGTGTCAAATGGCTGTAGGAGTGTGTCTATATTTGGTGGAGTATTTTTTCTTATTTTGGTGTGTGTAGCATCAGGCCCTGCGCTCCACTGGTTGCTGCAGACACACTTCGCTACCAGCTGACACGATGGGGAGTCTGTTGTCCATGTGGTAACTGATGAGGTGACTCACACTTTCAAACCGGTGGTCTTTGGTGCGGACCTAAAAGACGAAATAAAGAACAGATCAAAGAGAAGTTTGAACACAAACACCCTCATACCATCATGGGTAACAATTTACAATAACCATAATTTATAGATGGTAAATAGATAGTTTATTAATGTTTAATTATTGTTTAAAAACAGCATACAGACCAATTATAAATGGCCAATAGATAGTTTATTAATGTTAAAATTAATAGTTATTAATAGTTACTTTACCATTAAAAAGCAGTGGAATTATGATTAATAATTTTCATTAGTTTTTAATGGACTATTTATTAAAGGTTTATATAGCGTTTAAATATTAGTTTTAAAACATCCAGATTAAAATGTGTGTCAGTAGCACTTTGTAGATGGTGATTATTTGTTTTTTAAACCATCTATAAAAATTACTTAGATGGTTATTATAAAGTTGCAACTGATGTTTGTAATACTTTGTAAATGATTAATAATTAGTCTATAAATCACCTATAAACATACTTAGATGGTTATTGTAAGGATTAGGTTTTTTAAATTTTTAAAATTTACAATTAATTATTGGTCTACATGCTATTTATAAATGATGATCAAACATAAATAAACTATCTGCTTACCGTTTATACATGGTCTATTTACCATTAATAAGTCATGATCATTGTAAAGTGTTACCCCATCATGTTTCTTCCTCCCTTCCCGCTCCCTGACTTACCACTCCTTCTGGGTCCACTAGCAGCAGGTGTTTGGCCTGACCCCCCTGCTGTCCAGTGAGGACATACTGCCCTGGCGTGGTCCCAGACTCCCTCACCAGGAAGTCTCCATCTCGGGTCAGCAGCCTCTCTGCCTCCCTGCGACTTAAGCTACCGTGGAACCAGGTCTCACACTGAAGCTGCTGCACTAGAGGGGGCACTGCTGCCGCTGAGCTAGGACCACTTTGGCCTGAGACCCCAAGGGCATCATCAAATGGCTCTGGAGAAATAAAAACATCCATTTGAATTAAACTGAGGAATTTAAACACCAGGTTTGAATCGTTATGTTGAACCAAACTGACTGGAGTTGAAAGAAGTGCTCTAGCAGCTGTGTGTTGTGCACTGACAGTGGACTGTGTCTTTAATGTGAAAAGCTTTACTCAGTCAACCAATCATGTTCCATAAATGCCCCTGTAATGGACAAAAGCACTCTAATTCCCTTATCTTCCTCCAAGGCTGCCTTCTGTAAGCAGCTCCACTCTTCAATTAGCCTGTCATATGGAACGTACAGTTCACAACGCTCTGCTTGTCTTCTTCGTTACTAATTAACCCCCACTCTCTTTACATGCTGAAATGCACATTGGAGCTACAAGTTATTTTGGTCATTTTGATTTAACCCCACGCAGAATTTTTACAAGGAGGCATGTTGCCACTCTTTTCCACTGCTTTAAAAAAAATCAGCTTGCTTCATTTTTTTTTTAGCAAGCACTGGTGTGAAATATCCAACAGGCTCTTACTCATGTCAAAAGCATCTCTGTGAGCATTTCCATTAGCTGCAACTGGGGGGCGGGGTTTATCCACATTGACGTATGAAGGGTCATCAAAGAGTTCCCGTCCTCCTTCTTTGGCACCCACTAGGAAAGAGGAAAGAGAAGACATCAATGACCTTGGCACACATTCCTATTTCCCAATCAGCCATGCATATTAAATAGCGATTTAAGTAAAAGCGAGATAAAGCACATCAAAGGCGGGAAAGAAAAGGAAAACTGTGGCTTATAAAGACTGATAGAAGGAGATGAAAACAGACGAGTGGAGGCAGGGCTAACCTGGTAGGGGAGGCAGAGGCTGCTTGTGAATGTCATTCTGACCGGGCTGTCCATAAGGCTGCAAACAAAGAGGCATGTCATGTAAATGATGAGCCACAGGAAGGCACAGTCGTGTGTACATGCAGAAATGAATCCCATTGAAAGAGGAAGCAAAGAGGAGCTATTATTTCTTTTGACTCTTACATTTTAATTCTCTGGTCTATGAATAAGGCAACTCTGATTCAAGACTTGGAAGAAATAAAAATATCCTTCCTTGAATTGCTGTGTAAAAACAGCGTTGAGATGTGTTGAAACGGGCATGAGTGTCTCATCCTCGTCCTTGTGTTTGTGTGCATGCCTCTCACCAGCGTGGCCCCTGGGCGGGTCCTCATGTCGATCAGGCCACCAGGGGGAGGCTGTTTTCCAGGGAAATGATTATAGTAAGGGACGTCAGGGGGTGGAGCAGCCTCATCATCTTCTTCTTCCCATGCAGAGCCGTCAAACGGAGCCATTCTGGGAGACAAGGGTGGAAGCCAAGAAAAACATGCGTTTAAGTTGAAAGACATCAAACAGACGCTCGTGTTTTCGAGCCTCATGTGGGGAACATTTTTAATATTCACCTGTCATGTGGTGTGACCAGTTTTGGAGGGTTCTTTAGGTACTGCTTGAAACGGAGTTCAAAAGCCTGACCGATGGTGCTGATGACTTCTTGGGCAAGACCCTCTGAACACTCCAGGATATGACATGCTGTAGGAAAGGAGGCTTAGATGTCTTAGGAGGTAGCTACAGCAACATGTACTTCAATGAAATACGGCTGCAGGCTGAGTTTTATATTTCAGGAACACCTCAATCGTTTCCATGGATGCAAAGACCGGGAACACAGACAAGGACAGCGTGTGTCTTTTACAGACAGTATTCTTGTTTTAAATCAATTTGGAAAATAGCGAAAACAACATGAATAACATTAAGAGTAGGTGTTGCTGGATCTTAATTTTACTAAATGAAATGTCCAACATTCCCAGCAAATATATTTATTGTCATCCTAGAATCATTTTAGAGCAAAAACCAGCTGAAAAAATATAATTTTCTTTGACTTTAAAAGTGGAAATGTTACACTGACAACCTAGAAATGAATGAAGCAGACTCTGTTCTAAATTTAAAAACAGTCCTGTTTCTTGCTAAGCCAATTTAATGCTAATATACTGTTCCTTCCTTCTGTCTGCACACTGCAGCTCCAGTGGGCGGTGCATCAAATTCAAAAGGGAGTAAGGATTGGAAAGACACGGCACTGGTTCAATGGGATTTGTTTGTATTTCAGTAAAATGGCCTAGAAGTCTACATTTACAGAATCTGCTTCAAGCCCAATCTGAAAACCTGTTCAATCATCTGATGGGATTAGAGGACAGTGAAGGCTGTCTGTCAGAGTTCATACAGGTGACAGCTGCCTGGAAAAAGATGTCATGCAGCTGTCTCTGCTCACCTCTCTGGTTGACTGGATCTTTGGCCACATATGCTACATACTCGGCAGTATCCTGAGGGAGACAGGCGAAGACAGTCAGGGAAGATGGGGGGAGAAAATATGATTGGAAGAGAAAAAGTGAGGGGCAGGTTAAAGACAAGAGAGGTTTGAAAGAAGAAAAAGAAGAAAAGAGATAAGGCAGAAGCTGCACTCGTGACAGGAGTTAGAAACATACATTCAGCTGAAAGAGAAACGACAGGAAGTGATGAGCTCAAGCCTGGTTGAGTAGGACTGCAAATCAGCGAGGCAGCTATGGAGTGAGTGGTATTGATAGGAATACACGATGACAGAAGACAGGAAGGAAGGATATGCAGGCTGAAGAAAAGATGGAAAAAAGCCAGAGTGAGATTTGAGCTGAAAGAGAGAGAGAGAGGGAGAGAGAGAGAGTGTTGGGTGACTCACTGGGTCTCCTCCAGAAGCGAAGGAGATAGACTGCATGTGATGGTTGGCGATTATCTGTGGAGAAAAGAGAGAAAAGAAAGAGAGAGGGAGAGACAGAAGGAGAGCACGTGGGTGACATGAAGTATGTGGGAAGTGAGATGAAAGCATGTGGATGGAGAGACAAATGTAGAATCATTACTGAGAAAAGTGCTTTTTCCTCCATCGAGCGACACGAGCTGCAGCAGAGATACAAACTAAGTAGGGACAACGCACGTCTGGAACTCCATTTGAACAGTCTGCAAAACCCGCCCATGTCAAATCAATAACTTTAACACTTCAGCTAATGCTCCATGCAAAATGTGTGGTCTATATCTGTGGCTTAATTTGTGAATTGATATAGTGCGAGCCTGGTATTTTTTCTTTTTGGCTCTTTGTGTGTACCATCTCACCAGAGAAACAAACATTGTTCAGCAGCTATTAACTAATTAGAGGTCTTGGAGGAGGATCACTTCCTATCCTCACGCAATGCAGAAATGAAGACGATGGTAAGAGGGTGCATTTGTGCAGCACTCAGGAAATGTGAGGCAAACAGAGTGGAGCGGCTCTAATTATATCTGGGAATCCCCTGGACATCCCAAAAGGGCATAACACACAGATATACCTTTACCTCCAAAAAAACAAAACAGAATTTAATGATTTGATGGTTCACAAATATTTTAAACTCTATATTAAACTGAAAGTAGTGCAAAGAAAACATATGAAATGTTGGAGCTGCACAGTTTTGTTGCTGATGCCAGCGACGTGTTTCAAAAAGGTTGGGACAGCAAAACATTGAAAAGGTTAAACTTTAAGAATGACACCTTATTTGGCTGTATTGCACCTTTTAAAAAGCTTAAAAAGTGCTTCACGTCGGACGTTAAGGATGAGCAATGCCAACGAAAACACCTGAAGGAATATTAACCAGGTATTTGGGTTCATTTGCACCAGGTGAGTAACAAGGCGGGGCATTAAAAGGACATTCAAGAGAAGCCCAGGCTCTTAAAAGTCAAGACAGGGATAGGTTGACCACTCTGTAAAAATGTGAGCAAATAAATCAACAATTTCAGCAAAAAACCTAGACTGGATGGCTGGAATCTCTGAGTTTACAGCTCTATGCGCTACCACCAGACAATGTCAAACCACTTTCTTCATGTATAGAGGAAGTAGATGAGTCAGGGTGCTAAACTGGCCTGTCTACAGTTCTGAGTTTTCACCCACTGAAAACATTAAGGGCATCAGACGGAGAATATAACAAAGTAGACCCTGAACTTTTAAGCAAGATCAGGCAAGAAAGAGACAAAACTTTCCTTTCAAAGCTCCAGAAGATGTTGCCATGGTTCCCATACATCTGTTGTCTGATAGCAGTTGAGGGAGTTTGTGGCACTTACTCCTGCTGTTTCCTGCTGTCTAAATATTTGCTGATGTTGTACTTACTCTCAGATGTAAGTCACTTTAGGCAGCAAAGTGTGCTCAATAAAACTATAACACTGTGATGTGACACATAGGTAATCATACTCTCTCAGATTTTTTGAAACATGCTGCTGACATCAAATTCAAAATGGCACTTTTTTTCTTCTTCAATTTTTCAGTTTCAACATTTCAGATGTTGTTTTTGCCCACAAATGATTACCTTCAAACGATTTACAAACCTTCAATCTTGTTCTTATCAACATTTTACGCAGTTCCCTAACTTTATTTTTAGATTTGAGGTTGTAAAGATAAGTAGTTGTATGTTGTTCAAATGAAAGCATTACAGAAACAAAGTCTGTTTTCATTACTGTTTGGTCAGTAAAAGCAGTAGGAAGTACAATTAAACTAATTAAACAAATTTGGGGAGAAAATTCTGGTTAATACACATGAAATAGTGAAAAATAGTAATAAATAAAAAAAGAAACAAATTTTGAAAGATGTGAATAGAAAAAAAAATCTCAGACATATAATTTCAAACCAAAAGTTAAGATTAACTCTGACTTAAACAGTGTAAATAAAACTCACCCTTAGCTAAAATTGAGCTTTAATGCTTGGATGGATCTCTGACTCAAAATCAAATCTCTTGTTTTTTGGGGACAAAGCTGACAAAAAAGTAAAGTTTTGAAAAAAATAAAAACACACACACGTCAGCAGCCTGGGTCAGCTGGTTTTGGTCTAACCTGTTTGCAGTCTGAGGCCAGCAGGTTGAGGCTGCTGGTAGAGATGGTCAGGCTGATTGTCATGCCAGCAAACTGCAGGTTACTTTTCCCCAGGATAGACGTCAGACAGCGAGAGGAAGGCTGCAGAGGAGGAGGAGGATGCTCTCTGTTAGTAACAAACAATCAATGAGCACAAACAGAAAACAATGTAATGTTTTTTTTTTTTTCTTTAACAAGGCCTAGTGGTCCTTTGAGTCCTCGCTGGCTGTGCATGAGCCAGTGGGCGTGTGTGTGGAAATGCCTGTGTGTGTGGGAGTGGAAGAACAGCTGCAATTGTGAAAGTGATCCTGTCTCCAAGGCCAACTGTGACCAATGGGGAGTAGACAGGACAGTGTGCATACTGTAGGCTGGGCCAAGAGCATCACGCAGACTGCGCCAGCACTGTTTATCCCAATCCTCCTGCTGCTGCCCTCATGGCTTTCATCCATATCTGCTTAAGAATATTTGGCCCATGCTGTGAGAGACACAGCATCAGGATGGGATGCGTGTGCTCAGCCACATTAACCTCAGTCCAGCCAAATCAAAGGGACTAGACTAGTTGGATCTATTCTGGTTTAACTGCATAATAACTTATAACTGTGTTTTGTCTGCTGTGCTGCAATGCCAGACATTCCTTGGTCAAAAAGACCTTCTATAGCAACAGGCTGCTGGATTTAGCCACCTGTTTTATGGACTGTTTGGGTGGATGTTTTTAGTTGTACAGCAGGCCTGTGCTCAGACACACACAGTCTTTAAACAGCAGACTGTCTGCTGTGTCTGCTAATCCAGAGTGCTTCCTTGGCTTGACACTGGCTCCACACAAGCTACTACCCTACCTCTCCAGCCTCCCTTGTGACAGGAAGGAGGGGGGGGGCGCACAGAGACCACAGAGTGATTGGTAATTATGTGCATGTCGTCTGCTGACTTCAAACGGGTACATTTAACCTAAATCAAAGTCTTGTAAATGTGTGTGTGTGTGTGTATGTGTGAGGGAGAGTGTGTGACAGAATAGCCCACTGACCACAGAGTGGACAATCAGACTAAATCTAGCTCTTTACAGAAAACCCTTCCCAGTGCCGCCCACTTAAGCTGTATAAATAAATAATGTCCTGTGAGGGTGTATGTGTGTGTGTATAGTGTGTGTAGTTTGTACTTTTCTCCGGCGCTGGGCTCCTTTGGCTCCGGGCACTGCCTCACACACCACAGAGATGGCCTCCCTGAAACAATAACCACACACATGAGTCGCAATAGCATATCATTAACCCTCGACACCTTCCCGGACTCACAATTATGGGGATTAAATGAGATCTGGCGGAAAAAGTGGGTGAGTGGGTGGGTGGGTGAGTGGGGGTGAGTTTAAGTCCCCTTGGCAACTGTACTTGTCTTTGCCAAGGAGACAAACATCACTACGGAAACCAGGAGGAAACCACCAGGATTCCAGAACATTCTAATTTAGGGTCTGGGAGAGCTGAAGGCATGCACACACACACCCATAATTTCTCACACACACACACACACAAACACACATTTTATATTTACGATATATATGCAAACAAAGCAGAGCGGAAGCAGTCCTGGCACAAACCAGACATGACATGAAACTCAGGGCAAGCTAGCAACAAACAGTTAGCATGCGGTCTCACCTGGTGACCTGAGTTCTGGTGTTGAAGTCCAGTGCTCGCATTGACTGTAGCACCTCCACGCAACCCATGTACTGCCCAGGAAACAGGAAGTCGACACATTAACATCAAACATTTCCTACATGACAGCCCCGTTGGACCGAGTCGACTAAACAGGGGAAAGAGCGGCGCTGCCACTTCCTAATTTCTGTCAGTTTCTAAAAAGTGTGTTTCAGCAGTGGAAAGGAAAATCTGATCGTATATTTTGGTCAGGGATTAGAGATAGTGTGACATTCACTTACCCGCACAGTGTAGGAAACACCGGAGGTGCTGACCACGCTGTCCGAGTGCAACCAGCCGCGGGTGGGTTTGTTGACGAAGGAGCCATGGCGTGTCCACTCATCTCCTCCCAGCTGCCCTCCTTCCACTCGTGCCCTCCTGGACGCCCCTCCCAGCCGGTTCATGTCCTGCAGGGGAGGTCGAGGAGGAGGAGAAGGAGCAGTTAGATTGGAAACCTGGTTATGGAGCGGAGGGGAGGAGCTCGAGCTGCTCCTGTCATCCCCTGATGACTCAATGGGTGCCTGAGGCTGTAGCGGTCTGCTCGAGGCCTTGAGTCCTGGTAGGAGAGTGGCAGAGACACCCAGGCGAAGGGATCCCATCCTGGGGAAGAAGGAGCAAAGGGTGGTGGGGCTGTTTTCGGCAGGGCGTGGAGAAGAGGGGGGCAAGATGGGAGTGAGAGACGAGGAGGAGAGAGAGGAAGGTAGACCAGGGGAGGGAGTGAGGGGGGTGGCAGGACTGGAAGGAGGGAATGATGATGGATTGGAGTTTGTTTCATCAGTTGAGCTCAGCGATTCACTCCGAAAGTGGGTGTACTTGGTTTTTGGGACAAGCTCCATAATGAACTGCAGCGTCAGTTTTTTTTTTTATCCACACAAGTCCTCGCAGGCTCTGGTGATTCAATCAAAGTGTCTTTGTCTTAGTAATCAAAGTTTTTCTCTAAAAGGACACACAGCCATCTGTCTGTCTCTCTCAGCGGAAGAGCGGCATCCATGTACCGGGTCTTCTGTCCTCAGCTCATACCAAACCCAAACTGCTTTCCCCACGATGATTTCAGGATGAGAGAAGGCGCAAGGGAGAAGTGGGGTGTCCCAGTTAGTGGTTGGATGCAGATGAAAAAAGTTTGTTTTTAGTGCACCAGTGCAGATCATGTTGTAATCAGTTCTTTTTTTAAATCTGCTTTAATGTTCATTGTGTTCCAAGGACTGATGATGGTTTTAGCTCTCCAAAGAAGGTTCATCTTGGTCATTTTGCCATAATGTAAGACAATATCTGTGAGTATCTTGACCCAGTTTAACAGCTTTTCAGCCAGGGCCAGTTATCCAGCTGTCGCCAGCACCATGGAAAATCAACACAAGTGATTGTCTCTCAACGCCCCCTTGCATGTACGTCTTACTGCACTTATATGTGACGTGTTTAAATGCATGTGAGGCAGTATAAAACCTTCACTTCCCACAATGCTTCTTAGATTATCTCTTAGTGTGTGTGTTGGCGTGTTCACATACATGCATGTGAGAAGCAGCTCCCCTTTGGCAGCTCTATCCTTCTTGACATGGGCCCATAAAAATCCTATTAGCAGCCAACGAGGGGATTGCACACACCAACACGGCAGCAACACACACACAATACACAGTTCCGATTGGTCGATACCACAACAAACACCTGCAGAGCTCAGTGGAGCCCACGACCGCTAAAGAAGAGAGAGGAAGCTTACTGATGGATGGCTAGAATCCAACACCGCACGCTTTCTTGAACACAACTTTTCAGCGTTCTCGAAATCTCTCACCGGATTCCCCTCTTACTCCCTCTCCCTCTTCCTCCAAATGGTTTCATGTCCTTTCTGAATGGCCCTTGCTCTCTCCCTTCCTGCGTCCCCACCTTCTTCTTCTTCTCTTCTCTTCCAGATTACCTCTGGCACAGGCTGGTTCCCTTTCTCTGCACTCTTGACTCCCTTCTCTCTGTCTCCTCGCTTCTCCTGGAAGTCCTCTCTCTTCCTCCACACAATGTACTCGGCCAACCTCTGTCTCTCCAACGCCTCCGCCCTCTCCCGCGCCACCACTTCCTCTCTCCTCTTCCAGATGATCTCTCGCTCCCCCTCACCCCCACCCTCGAGTGCTCGCCCGTTCTCCAGGCTGTCCTGTTTAACAGTCCCTAATATATAAAAATGTGAGCCCTGTCGGACTGCCCTTCTGACTTCAAAGATAAGGGATGGCTAGAGGCTAGGCATGGTCACCTATTTAGACACCAGTAGAAATCAGAAAAAAAGTGAGTACTTAAGACTGGGGCCAGCACAGTTGGGCCAGTTCCTGATGAAGTTCCTGATATGGCTAAAACAAGTGAGGCGGCTCTGGTTCAAGTGTGTCCCCTAAACCGAAACCGCCGTGGATATATAGACAGATACTATATTTTACTGGAGCACCATTAGAAAGTAGTAGTTTGATTCTGAGATGTTGTCTGTGTCTGATACAGTAATGTACACTGCAGTAGCACGGTGGTGATGTAACTCTGGAGAATGTAGGTCATTGGCTGATGACGACTATCGGTGGGGTTGTTGTGATGGTAATGAGACCTGATTGGTCCAGTTTGAACTCCCTACCCAGGGTTCCCTGAATGGTGCTGGAGGCTCATCAGAGTTGAACATGAACCCGCTCACCCAGCTGGAAATGCTTGAATTGAAACCGCACTTGGTTGTTATGCTGGTCTCTCTGTGCCTCTTCCTCTCACCCTGTTACTCTATTACTGCCTGGTTTAAATAACAAGCCCAGATTGTAGTCAGTTACCTGAGAGTACAGTGTTGACACAGTCCCATGTGATATGAACAAGCCAAGTGTTGGAACTGTTTCCTTTCTTATCTAAGGCAGGGCTTATCAAGCAGCAGGTTCAATCTCAGTATTACAACAAGCTACCACACAGTCACATCTCATTTTCTGCATAGACCAACCTAGAAGGCAAACAACAGTCTGTTGACATTAACAGTCTCTCGCAGAGTCCCAAAAACAAAACGGTCTGCAGCGGTTTGACCTCAACTAGAGGCAAAGCTACACCTGCAGCACTGATCTAAACTCGCCTGCCTGAAACTCAGTGCTGTTGAGGCAGTCGTCATATTTACAACCTGCTGACCTTTACCCACTCAAGGGAGAGCATAGTTTGCACACACCTGGCCGAGACACTTACACAAGGCTGTAAATTTGGCACCAAAGTATCAGTGATGCCAAGTGAAAGGGTTGATTTTTCTCCACGTGCTAACATTCAGAACTTCACTGGGTCTGAAGCACAGCAGGGCCAGCTTGTAGTGGGCGCTGCATGCATGGCAAAGGAACAGTCGCCTACACCAGTCTAGCACCACAGAGGGATTGTCTAGCAATTCTAGCTAGTCATCCATCTGGTCTTGGCCAAGAAGCACCATTGAGGATCCAGTCAGACTCATGTACGGCCAGACAGGCTGGGCTGATCTCCAGAAAGCCGAAAAGTATGGCCGGAAAAGTCACAAAAGACACCAAGCATTTGAACAATCAAAGAGCATGCAGATAAAACCAAACAGACTGGCTGTCACTCTATCAATCAAACAACAAAGTCTTCAGAGGAAATCACCTCTTGAAAAGGCAAGAAATTCAACAACAATGGACTTGTTAACACCAGGGAGAATATCAAGGTGTGTTCTCATACACAGGGGTGCTGAAATGCTCTGTCAGCAGAGTGAACCCTAATGCTGCCCTAGGGTGTTTAAGTGCACAGAACACAGTGTAGGTCAGGTGACAGCAGGGGAAATGACCCCCTACATGAGAAGAGATCCTGAGTCACCCACACAGAGACAGCAAACGGAGGAGACTGTCTCAAACAAAGCACACTTAATGATCAGTAATTAGGGGGCCTGGAGGCCAAGCAGCTGCACAGAGTGATATGTACAAGTGAAATTAGGACGTTAATCTCATTTCTCCAGTCAGTCCTGGTAATAGCACATCAGCCTGACTGATGAAGATGGTTGTTGATAAAAGGTGAGTTCAGGACAAACCAGGCTGAGCCAATGCTACAGACCAACACGCAGGATGAGGAAGGGGGGTGGGGGGGACAGGTGACCTGAAACAACCCTGATTCGCTGTGACTGCTGAGCTGCGCTTAGACAAAGACTGTCTGGTGAAAGACTAGAAAACACCCTGTCTGACAAAGAAAGTCCCAAAAAACTGCACACAAACAAGAACTACTCACGACCGCTGCTTCTAATCAGCCGAAATCACACACTTACCTAATGAAACAGCACCAGTTTAATAGATAAGACAAAAGAAAAGAACTTTACATCTCGCTTCGTCTGCAGCTGCCGCCCGTTGCTATGGCAACAGACATTAAAAGAGATGCCTGTGGAGGACATACACGGAGAAGTCCCGACAACAGCAGAAATCTTTAGACAAAGAGATAACTGCTCTGTCAAACAACACGGCAGCAATTAGCCGCTGCATCAGAGGCTCAACGTCGGAGCTCCTTTTGAACTAACAGGAAGAAAAACAACAGACTTCGATCAATAGGTTTCAGGAAATGATCAAAGTTTGACCGGCGTCGCGCCAGCCATAAAAACCCAATCAATGTTGACATCCCATGTAGGCTGCATGCACTGACTCCGACTACGGCATGTAAAGGTTTAATTCTTCTTTTTTTTAAAAGAACAAATTACTTTTTAAGTAAACAACAACCACACTGAAAATTGACTCCTAAAACACAACACTGATGTTTAGAAAACTTGCATAAAAACAACCTGAATTTTCTGTGCAGCAGCTAACAAAGATAATAATGATTGTATAACATCCTGCTGAGTAGATCTTTTCTCTTTAAGAATAGAAAATCAAAAGTAAGAAGCAGTCTGTATTTACAAAAACACACAAAAGTTTGTCAAATTCTCCTGTAGAAAGTGAGTCTAATCAATTTCCTGAAGAGTTCTGTCTTTGTTTTTTTGTACATGAATGATAAATCATTAATAGCTCCTTTTTTTGGTTTAAAAAGCATACAGTTGATCCATGGTGATTTAGCTAAAGCTGGGCTCCAAATTCACATGAGCAGCACATTAATTTTTGAACAGCCAAAGACTGTCGGGTCATCCGTCCTTTCCTTCCTCTTTCTGGCCCTTCGTCCGTCCACTCCCTGAAAAACGTGCTTCCCCTCTGATCCGCTCTTCCGCTCGATTAATTCACAAAGTCACTGCCGGCAGCTCCTCTCCATCTATGCTGTCCTCAGTTCGGCTGCCTCCTCTTCTCTTCCCTCCTCTGCCTCTCTCTCTCTCTCTCTCTCTCTCTTCAGCAGATGGTGAAATGGCAGTGCTGCCAGTGTCCACAATGGCACTCCTTCATTGTGCTCCTTTTCTCCCCCCTCACGTCTGTCTCTTATTCCCACTTTCCTTCCACCTCTGTCTGTTGGAGGGACGATCACGCTGTCTGTCCTCCCCCACCTCCTCCCAGTCTGGGTGGGTGATGCTGCCTCCCATTTCTCTCTTACCGTCTCCCTCTCTCCCTCTTTCACTCTTACACGCACACACACACACACTCGTGGCGGCTGCCTCCCCTCCCTCCACCTCTTATCCTCCCATTCTACCTCCTTCCTGTTTCCTCCCCTTCCCCCTACCTCCTCTCTGCAGCCTCAGTCATTTAGCAGCGTGCATGTGCATGCACAGAGAGATGCTGCGCTCCTGCACAATAACGCATACACGCCAAGGGGAGATGGAGATGTGAAAAATGGGAGAGAAAGTGAGGGATAGAAAGGGGAGAGGAATATGTTTTTGTGTGTACATGTGTCGGCTGGGGGGTTGTGTATGTTGACAAGTCAATGCTCCTCCTTTCTTCATGTTTGGTAACCTGAGAAACAGGGTGAAAGGGACAGAGAGAGAGGATGGAGACAGACAGACAGAGGAAGAGTGCTGCACAGAGTGTGTGACATGAGGTCACTCGGCGTAACCTTGATGAAAGTGGACACATCAAAAACACATTCACAGAAAGGCAGCGGTGGAATAAATCCCCTCTATTTCTAAAAACCGGAGCTCTCTAGGGGAAAGGAGAGGTTATCACAAGGCAAAAAAACAGCAACAACAAAGTGAATCCATAGAAGCAAGCAATAAGCAGAGACACAGATGGAGCCAAATACGAGAGCATATCTGATGAGATAGGCAGTGTTGTAGAAAGCAGACAAAATCACCCAGAAAGTGACACTAAAAGTTGGAAGACCAAGAGTCCTCAGATGACACCCCAACATATACAAAGTCCCTGCAGTACTGCGTCTGACCACTATTTTGTGTTCATTCAAGGTAGTAGTGCATTTAGGGACAAGAGGGAGCCAAATCAGACAACTGCAGAGAACGAGACGGTCACTCCAGGTGAAATCCACCACCGTACATCACATTTATGGTGTGAATAGCTGTGATTGGTTTTATAGGGATTGATATAGAAAAGCCCCCTCCACCAGAAGTCTGCACCATGCTAAACTAGTCAAACACATCAAACAAAGTGGCTCAGGGTTGGCAGAAACATAAAACCTGTTTTCTTTTAGACCTTTCACTATTTCTGCAATCTTGTATACAGACAGAGAGCAAAAAGGGAACAATAGAGTGTTTTACTGGAGAACTGTTTGACAATTCATAGCTCAGTGTACCCAATAAACTTACATCACACTGCAGTTAACAGTAAATCAGTCAAATCATTATAAATATACACAGGGCTGCACAATTATTCATACATAATTACTGTCCATGACCTTGGTGCCTGGTTTCACATGGTAGTGGTATGCTACATACTAACAAAAGGACTCTGTAAGACTCTGTAAGACTACGTTGGTGGACGACATGACTGATCCCTGGTAGTGAAGCCAAACTACTTAACAGTTCAGTTTAAAGTAGTGATTTGGTGTTCAAAAATGGATGTGATGTCATGATTCGGGATCTGAATAAAGAAATGGTTTGAACTATCAACCCCATTTGCCTTTATGCTTAACAATTCTCTTACCGATGTATTTACAATATCAGCTTTAAGGTCCTTTCACACCGGGACCGTTTTTGTCGTGCGATTATTTGGGACATCAATATATTTTTTTGAACTCATATCCTGTCAAAATCATATCCCCGGAAAATCTTAAAAATGCATCAGGCTTAATGTGTATCGTCAGGCGTGTCAAAATTCGCCTCAGAATATTTCGTGATTTCGCGTTCTATATTTGTGTCGGCCCTGGTGTGTAAGGACCTTTAGTATGACGAAGTGTCTTATGATGAAATCCACTCACTTTGTGAGACTTCCAGCTTTTCAGTTAAAGGTAATCTGTGTTGATTTATGTATTAATTTTAGAGATTAAAGTTTTTTCTGTCATTAGCTCACCATGCTTGATAGAGGCAGCCATCTGTCAACCAACAGGAAGCTGTATCTGCAGTCAGAAGCTAGACTTCTCTGTCTGAGCAGGGTAGTTAAAGTTTTAGAACTTCCTATTAAATTTGTGTCGTTGACAGAATAAAAAACAGCCTATTTTTGTTTCCACACAGAAAATTCACAGGAAATCAAGTTCTTCATTAATTAAATTGGATTGATAAGTAAACTCATTCATGGAATTGGTGTCAATGAAATCTCATCATTCTCCATCCCTTATAGTGATTTAGTTCCCTGTTGACTAATGTGGACTATCAGTGATTATTTTATAACCAAGGTAGCAGAGAAGGAACGAACACTGACGCAAGAGTCATTGAACTTTTTACAGCTTTGAGCTAAGCTAATCAGAGATATCTTTGATGCTTTAGTGGTAGGTCAAATGTGTATTTTGGTCAGCAGTATGATCATGACGTCTAGCCAGATTGCTCCTCTGCATGACTCCAAAATGCATCATCAGAGGATCTGTCAATGCCTAATATGGCAGTATCCTGCTTAGTTCACAAAAATGTAAGGGATGGATGCGTAATATCTATGAAATCAATGGAACTATGGAACATCATGCAAGACTGTATCTTATCAGACTTTGTTCTATTTAAAAAATTGTTGAATCATCCGAATTTTACTGCTGCCTTTTCAAAAAAAAACAAACATGATCTTAATAAAATAGTATTTTTTCGAGCACTATTATGATAATTGTGCAGCCAAGAACTACTATGTGTGACAAAGAGGTTGAACTTGCTTAAATCTCTCATTTTAAACCCCGAATACTGTCAAAGCAGTGTCTTTAATATCTAACATTTGAAATTTGATCTATTTGGTACTGAAATGTGTTGAGAAACAGCCTCCCCCTCGCCACTGTGTCGGAGTGTGTTTTTGATCAGCTGCTTGTATTGTTCGAAAGTCTTACCATATATTCCATGGGCCAACACAAGCTGCCTGTGAGTCTGTAGCCCTAAAAACACCAGAGTGCACATCAGCAGGCTGTACGCACACACAAACACACACAAACATGCGAACTCAAAAGCCAATCATAACGTGCTCCACTGCGGCCCTCGCAGCTACTTGACTCCCAGCATGCTTCGCTCCCTGGATCAGCTGTGGAGTGGGTCATGAGACCTCCTTGATATAAAAGAAGCCAGTTGATTAAGCGCACAGAGACAACACAGCGAAATGTGGCGGGGATTGGGCCAGAAGGAGAGGGAGAAAGTGAGGAAGAGTGATAGAAGGAGGATGATAATCCGGCGTGCATGTTCAAACACACACTCTGTGGTATGAAAGGAATTAACTAAAAGGACTGCATGTGTAGGATGTTTGTGTCTCAGCTTGCCCGAATGAGTGTGTAGCAGCCAGTGTGTGTTGTTTCTATGCATGAAGTGTAGGAGCTGCAGCTTATCACTATTTATTATACAAAACCGTTAGACACAGGGATAAGACAGAGTCCTAGATCTGCTGCTGTATGTCCATGCCTGATCTGTCTACTCTGTACTGTGGTCTTTGTGTTTGTCTTTGCATATATGTGTGTTTGTGTGTGTATAATCTGATTTAGCTGGTCTCACTCACCCCCTTGCATACACTGGGTCCAAAATCTGACTGTAGATGAGTAAATGAGCCTAGTTGCTGACCTTTCCCTCTCTGGACTCCTGCCAGACTCTGCCTAACATCAGTTCACATTACAAAGATGAGACAGATGATGATGAAGACGATGAGTGCAGAAGGAAAAGGGGCGTCCACCGCCGAGGGAAGCCGCTCTGAGTGGAAGAGACGTGCAAAAACACACGTATATTTAGATGGGGAAACGACAATCAAATTTCCAAAAATTAGGGCCTGCAGTGAACATTAGATTAGGCAGGCATTCACGAGAGGCCTTTCTGCTGGTTTCATAGCTCCCCACGCACACAGCAAACATGTGAGATGGCTATTTTAGGTTGTGCCTACCCCCCCCCCCGCCGACCGCCCCCTCAAACCACATCTCTATCTCCTTCCATCATTCCCTTCCTGCTGCCTTACTCCTCTCACTACTTCCCACTCACTGTGTAACGGTTAGTGTGTCAAATAGACTGTCTTATTTCTCCACTTCAGTTCCCAAAAAAAACTAAGGCTTTTTCAGCAACAGCTAAATGTATCCACATCAAGAGTCAAAAAACAGAAGAGTTGTGCAATAACTTTGCAAATGTTGGGCATGTTTCAACTTTTTTCTCTGGTTTCAAGATTGAATCTCTTTTTTTTTCAAGCTATTCAGTTTGTCTTACTGAGCAGAAAGGACGTGGAGTTACGATAAATGTTTTACAAGATGAAAATGAGATACAGCACAGAGTATGTAGAGAATGAAGAGTCTGAACTATCAGTTTCTTTTAAGAGATGTTGTGCTGTTTTTAGTTCTTACTTTCAACTATTTAACTAACTTACTTTTGTAGGCTTAGATGAACATTATCAAAACATAAGGCTTATTTCTTAACTACAAAACTTCTACACGTGGTCTTGTTCGCATTATAAACAATAAAATTTAAATCAAAATAAAGATTTAGATTAGAGTAGTTTTGTTTTTTAATGTACACCTTGCAGCCAGCAAGACTTTATTTAAGATTAACTAGAAGCTTCATTAACAACTAGCATTCTTATCTGCCCAGCTTTACTTAAACTATTTTCTCATCCAATGATAAAATTAGGTGTCAAGTTTTATTTTAACTGAGGTTTCATGAAGCACTTGTCTATTCTATGTGTATTATCCATAAGGATCTCCATCAGCTCTGCCCCTTTCTTAAGAGACCAGCCTAAAAAACTGGTATGAGAGGTGAGCTGTCAGCTGCTGAAGACAAGATCATGACATTTAGATCATTTAAACGACCTCTGATCTATTTAAGAAGGCGTATGTTCTCTTTCTGGAAATTTCAGTGCTTTAATTTTTATGTCAGAAAATCTGTTTGTTTATTATGGCCCAAATTGCAGGTGTTACAGATACGTGTTCCTCCACCTGCAAAATAAACCCACAGACAAAAGTAGCCTGAGGAGGGTGAAATCACAGGGTAACTCAGGACATGATAAAACAGAAGTGACAATACCTGCAGATGTGCTTCTGTCTTGGTTGAGCATCTGTATTGACCAACATTTGCCCTGTTGACAGGCATCAGCCCGTCTGCAAATAATGTGCAATGCAGTAGCTGATGTTCATCTGTTGTTTTACATCAATTTAACGCTGGCACGCTAACACACCTATTTTCTGATTCAGAGATAAGAGATTTTTAAATGTGCAGAAATCATTCCTGCTGAACGTACTCTGGTTTGTAATCATGGTCAAACGTGAAAGAAAATGTCAACAGTGTGGGAGTATTGCACCGTCTGAGAGAGATCAGCAGCAGACAGCTTGTCAGATTTCCTCCGGTGACATTTCAAGATGAGGAGGGACTTCTAGTAACGGCTAAATAAATTCAATCTTATGACTCATTTGAAGAAACACAAGAAAACAATGTTGGTATTTTAAACATTGGGATTGATACCTCCCTGATTTTCATGCCAATTGCCATACTAAAAATAATACCCTAATACAACAGTTTTTGTTTAAATGATAAATAGCAAGACAATCTCAGAATGGTCTACTTCTGTGAGGAACCCTCTTGCCTGATATCAACCTAGACCTCAGTGACCCTGATCGTCAAAAGAACAACTTCAGTCTCACACATCTCTGCCAAACAGATAGTGAAGCCCTGCGATGCAAAAAGAGGTGACTTCCAAATGTGCATGCTCAGCTTCCTGCATTTAGAGATGAACATCTAAAAAGATCTAAGATTCGTTTTCCTTCTCAAAGATTATGACGCACGAGGTTCAAACTGATGAACCAATTTCTGAAGTATGGCCTCAGTTGTTTTTTTGAAAGTTAAACCAAAGCTAAACCAACTTCTCGTTTTTAACGGCACGCAGAGTGGGATTTCATGTTAACTGTGGTTAAGCAAGCGCACTCAACTTTTGAGTGTGTTGCACTCCACTGAGCAGGAGGAAACACAGCTGAGGCTCAGGCCCCATTGTGTAGAAGTCGACATGGACAACCACATGCTACGACCTCGAAAACAAACTCCCACGGGTTGTTTCCAGAATACACACACACACACACTGACTGTCACATATGCACACATCAGACATAAACACATAGACACACTTAACCCCACAGTGGCAGACAGACAGATTTAGTGAACACATCAGACAAACACATAGAAGTAGATTCACACACACCCACGTTATGGTCTGTCAATAGTCCTGATGTGTGTATAGCAGCTTAGTATATCACAGGCCTGTTTTATCAAAAGGAAAGTTTCAGGTATCAGAAGATAAATTTGAGGCTAATGACAGCGCTAACATTCACTGCTTATTTCTGAAACGTTTGTCTGTGTGTGTGTGTTTGTGAGGCAGCGTGTGGTTATGCGCAGACACACCTGTCAAAGTGCCGTAACAATCACAAGTGTGTCACACTGTGCTGTCAGTCAAGACTACACCCTCCAGCAGTGACTGATGCGGTTTGAGCCGAATTGGACAGATCCAATTTTAATCAAGTGGATTTTGGATGATGTCAATGCTGTGATTGAGTGGCTGGGATGCTTCACTTGAACTGACAGGTTGTGTATGGGGCTGTCCTTCCTGATTGTGTTGTTTTGGTCCTTAAGGTTTTTCTTTTTGTGTGTATATGTGTGTGTTTGTGTGTGTGTAGGTGCCCATGTGTCCTGTATGTCTAGCTCATTGACGTGTGTCTGAGTCTACCTCTTTTTTTGGAGTCAGTTGATGATTGCACCCTCTCTTCCTCCTCCATTTCATCAGCGGAGATAACTTGCACCATATAATAATATCATGTCAGATGCTGCTAGTCTGAGCGGTGTGGCTGACCCCGATAAGAGCCTGAGCCCCCTGCTCTCAGTTGCCTCAATCATTCCACATGGACCCTTCAGTCTGTTTCCATAACCGCCTGTCTGACAGCGATCTTTACCTCTGTGACCCTGTTTTAACACATCTGAGGAGTGTTTTGCTGATAGGTTAGCTGATACACTCGACCCGGACGAAACTGCAAAGCATAACTTTGAGTTTAAAGTGTGATTGTGTACAGAGTTGTGTGTGTGTGTGCATGTGCTTATATGTGTGCACTGATAGGCCCTAGAGTCAACAGCATATCAGTGCAATCTGAAATATGGAGTTTATCTCGTTGACAATTTTCTGATGAGATCGGCTTGAATGTGACACTACCAAGACCCTTTCTGTAAACTCTACACTCTTTCACTTCATCACTTTAGAGGCTGAAACTAGTTGTCGTTTCCTTTTCTATTCATAGGCCAATAATTTCCACATTTTTTTTCTGTAAAACCCCCAAACATTTGTGAAAATTGACAATCACACTGTATAAATGTGACATGACAGGATAATATGGCTCGAATCAATAGTCTATGTTGCAAAAGTAGTAAGTTTGCAATAGGGCTGGGATGATATGCTTTTCTACCGATTCGATTCCTCTACAATTTTTTTAGATACTGATTTGATTTAAATTGCAATTCTAGGATATTGTCAATTTTCTTGATTTTTAAGGTCCTTACACACCGGGAACCTTTTTATCGTGCGATTATTTCAGACGTCAATATTTTTTTTCGAACCCGTATCCTGTCAATACAAGCGTTCACATCGGCGACATTTTCCCGTCCTGCAATATTGCGGCATTTATTTTTTCAGATCATGGTCGATTTTTCCAAAGTTTCGCATACTGTGTGTCCACTTCTGACCAATCAGATTGCGTGTTGTTGCTTGCGACGTCAGATTCACCGGTATATCCAACATGGCCGACTGGCTGTTGTTTACATGTCGGAGAACAGAGTGCTTTTTGATAAAAGACACAAACATTACAAAGATAACGACCTGAAGAACAACTTGTGGAGAGTCATAGCGTCGGATCTCTCATATGACGATAGTTTGTGTGCTGTAACAGTTTGCTAAATGTCTTTGTTTTAACTTTTATCTGTGCTAACATGTGCTAACGGTTGTTACCATAGTTTCATGTGCTTATCTTATCGCCTCTGATTGGCTATAAGTGCTGACCGTTTGGCTTGAACGTGTGATGACGTTTCCAGCTTTTCTAGCCAATCAGAGGTGAAAAGTCTTCCCCAGGATACATCTTTCCCCCACTGGAAAGTCGGTGCTTGATGTGTATAGTCAGGCGTGTCAAAATTCACCTCTGAATATTTTGTAATTTTGCGTTCTATATTCGCGTCAGCCCCAGTGTGTAAGGACCTTTATTCTTAAATTTGGAGAAGAAAAAAAAGATTTTTGAACAAAAAAATTGATTTATAAATTGTAAAAACAAAAATTGAGATACTTAAATGAATGGATGTTTTCTCTCACCCCTAGTTTGCATTCATGCGAAACAAAAAAAAATCTAAATACCTTCAAATTTGACACATTTTAGAAAGAAATGTTCAAAGTATTTAAAACTTGTGAAACTAGGTTAAGTTTTGATTTGTTTTCTGCTTATTGACTTTTCAATCACTCCCTTGTTTCAGCTCTACTTCAATCTGAGATTATGTGTCTCATAGATAACCAATGGGTTCTTGTGTTGGGGCCTCTGGGTCCACTTTTATCCCTGCCTTTGTGTTTAAGTGCTGAAACTGTGACAACAACTTTAACAAACTGCTCAAAAAGAAAACTGCAGATAGGCAAGTCTAAAATAAACCTACTAAAACTCAAACACTCATCTGACAGTACGAAGAGGAACACTTACATATACCAATAGGTGCACAACCCCGTGTGATCATGAGCAACAATTTTACAGTAACCCGACAGGCTACACTACTCTGTTGTCTTCATGCAACTCAAGCATAAGTAGAGCAAAGCGTCCCTGAAGGCACCACAGAGACGGAGCCATAGTTTCAAACTTTTCATGTCTACAATAACTGCAGTACATTGACGCACAGCACGCTCAGAGCCCACAGCCATGCCCCAAAAAAAGTGTGGACAACTTTAACGAGCCAACTTACCAGCTCTCTTCCTCCTCCTTTCCCCCTCGAGAAGCCCCTCCTGCCCACCAAACTGTTGCTGCACTAAACTTCACTTTAACTTTCATCCAACAGGACAAAAGGTCGACGAAAATGTCCGCCAGGAGTCTCGCAGTTTGAATAACTTCATCGGAGATGGGTCGAAACTTCTTCTTTCCTCTCCCTTTCCTTCCCTTCCTCCTCCCCCTGCCTCCCCCCCCTCTCTCTACGGTCACGACAGAAGCCACTTCCGCGAACAAATGGCAACGTCATCTGGCCGCGGAGCCTGCCTGTGTGGGTCTGTGTGTGTGTGTGTGTGGGTGCGTGCACGTGTGAGTCATCGTTTGTGCGCGCGCGAGTTTGGCTATGCTGTGCACCTGGCCCAGTCACTGCATGTTGCGCAAAGAAAGAAATCCCGGATTACACGCCAAAAGTATTACTGTTACCTTAGATAAATAGGGAATGTTTTTTTCCTTCAGCTTTTGCAACAACAAAGATTAACACATCGCTGTATAAACAACACTTTTCATCATAACCAAACAGTGGACCTATACTTTAATTTCAATTTTATCTCTTTGCATTGCATTTCTTAGCAGCAATTACGTATTCTAATATATTTTTTCTTATTTGAATGTTATCTCCATAGAAATGAATATTTTCATTGTATTTTTGGCAATTTAAACAGCACACGGCTGCATGCTGTAAACAAAATTTGCCAGTTTGTTGAGTAGGCTTCTCATAGCCAAAAGTAAAGTAGCAGTCCGTACGCAACCAGTCCTCTATTTATGACAGAATTACTGTAAAGTTTGTGACACTATGTAAAATCTGAGGTTTTAACGGTTTATGTTTTTGATGTTATTTGGCCCACATCCTGTATGCAGGGGTACTAATGTGAAAGTGGTGGTAAAGATCTAGTACGGTAGCCCAATCTGTCAATGTAGGCCTACACTTCTTGTCAAAGCCTATGGTCCAAAGCCTTATTGGGGCCCTAAGCAAATTTTGATTTTGAGGCCCTCTATTTCTGCCAATAATATTGATTGTTGATCATTCACACACCTTCACAAATCTCTATGTTTAACAGTCCAAAACATGCCTTAATCTTGGCGTTTTTTTCTTGTCTTCCCCTCCTTTCTTTTCTCTGCTCCTGAAGAATATGCCCTTTTTTGGGACATTGTTTTGCCCCACAACTACCTGCGCTTTGGATGCTTAGTGCACATTGCACAGCAGGAGGCACATAACAGTAGCAGAGCTATAAGAATCATTGGCCTACATCAGCAGCAGCACTAAAATGCTTTCACTTTATTTTATTTTTACAATAATATATATTTGATCATACAGAAAGCATCACTCACACATGCAAAAAATAAAAAAATCTTTTTTTATTTTGATTGCTCTTGGGGCCCCCTATTGGCCACAGGGCCCTAGGCAGACACTCAGTTCGCTTAAGCCTTGGGCCGGCTCTGATCTCCATATAAATAAATGTTTTCATTGTATATTTGGCAATTTAAACAGCACACAGCTGCATGCTGCAAACAAACTTGCCAGTTTGTTGAGTATGCTTTGTATAGCCACAAGTAAAGTAGCAGTCCATACACAGCAATCTGGCAACCAGTCTTCTATTTATGACAGCATGACAGTGCATTTTGTGATACTGTGTTAAATCTGAGGTTTTAACGGTTTTGTGTTTTTGATGTTATTTTGCCCACATCCTGTTTGCGGGGGTACTAATGTGAAAGTGGTGGTAAGAAATTGAGGCAGAGGTTTTTGTCAACAAACTGCAAATCTAGAACTATGGCCCAATCTGTCAATGTAGGCCCACACTTTTTGTCAAAGCCTATGGCTAATATTGGTAAGCTGCTGAAAAGCTGCATGTCCTCCAGAAGAACTCTACAGTCATAGTTCGCTGGTGCTCCTCAGACCGGACTCAAAACTGAAAGAGACTGTGTTTAAGGATGTCACTCCTAAATAAAAGTGGTGGCTGTGGCTCAGTGGTTGAGGCAGTCGTCCCTTACTTAGATGGTTGGAGTTCTCAAATATGTGGCTCCCCTTACTTTATTAATAAAGTAAAAGAATATATAAGGATCACTTTCACTCCAGCAGTACACCACCAACACTTAAAAGACTTGAATAATAAGTTCAAAATTCATCTGTTTTATCACATCAACAAAAAAAGAAAGAAAATTGAGAGGCTTCTACATAGTAGAAATTGTTGAAGATCTGAAGATCTGTTGTGTTGGGTTGAAAAAGATTGCCCCTGTGTTCATAATGTTATAGCTGGTCAGCTGAATAGGTCTATCTTTACATTATAATAGTCTGTTTATACGAGACCATGAAAGGGAGAAATAACTGAACCAAACTTAACAAAGTAAGACTCTTATTGATACTTTATCTTTTACTTTTGTTTTATTTCTGATTTATTTGTTATTTGGATCATGTATTTTTACTTATTTGCAGGTCTACTGACTAAATAAGGGTTGTATAAACCACTATTTGCAAAAGTCTTTGATTGGACTACATACACAGGATGTTTCTTGGCACAGAAAAATGAAACCAATTTCCTTTAGGTTGTTATGGCGAATGACTTAATGTTAAAATGCATTTTAATGCCAATAAAAAATACAGGAAACAAGCAGTTGCATTGCTATGTTATTAATATTTAAAATAAATAAGAGGAATAATCACATCCACATGCGGTCTGCTGTTTGACTGGTACCTAAAAGCGCCACCCACAGGCATGTAATGTGACAGCTGCAGATAGTTCATAATGTGGTATTACTGATGATAATACACAGTGAGTTGATTTTTTGGTCCTCCAGCCACCAGGGGCAGCCGAGCTGTGTCATGACGTTGGAGCTACAAAATAAAACACCGTAGAAGAAGTCGTAGGTCTCAGCAGCTGTTGCCATTGTGCTCAGATACAATGATGGACAGTGTCCGCGCGAAGACAAATGACTGCTGTAAACCATTCGTTTTGATTATCCATGCATTATTTATTTGAGCCGAAGGAAATGTGGCGCTCTGTATCTCATTTTTCGAGGTATACCAGACCAGCTAGACAAGAACGACGCTGACTTACTTCCGTGTACATAAAAAGACTGACGATAAGTCCCGCCTCCGCACACGTAATTGGTTCGTTGCAGTTCCCAGAAAATCATTCTTGTTTGTGATTGGACGGCTGACGACAGGACTTTTGAATGGCATGTAGACAGAAACTGCTACGGATACGCATCGAGGGCATATGCGGCTAAAGAGTGAGTTTACCCGGTTTACGCGAGTTTGATCACCAAATTATGCTTGTTGCAGATGTTTCTTCTCATTGCCGCATGTGTACCTCAAGAAATCAGCGGGATGTCGAGAAAACAAGACACTACATAGGTGGGCTGAATGCTAATGCTTGTGCCCCCCGGCTCAGTGTTAAGTAACGTTAACGCAGCAAGGGGACATGTCAGGTTAAATAATGGCCAACATTTGACGTCTTCAAGGATAGGACGAAGTGAATGTACGAGGTTATTTCAGTATTTCATCAACGTGTGGTAACTTCCAGTGTTTTGCAATGCAAGAGTGCGGTCAGTACTTGTAGTGAGCAACTTTGACACCTATCAGACCTCTCTGTAGGATACAAACAAGGTTAGTCCCTCAGCTGCGAATCGGGTCACATTTTGCAATATCTGGTTATTCTGTACGTCGAAGGGACAAACCATACTTGTGAAGGGTCATTTCATAGCTCGAGTATCAAAGTAGTTTTTCAGCATGACTAGCCAAACGTTGTAGAGGGCGTATTTTATTACAGAAGTTTATAGGACTCTTAAAGTCCATTACAGCAGTGGTTCTCAACTGGTCTCACTCTGGGACCCACATTTTCCCATGGTCCTTAAGTCGTGACCCACTTTTATAGAATTCAAACCAAGCAAAGTTATTTGTTATATTATAAACCTTTAAAGACTCTAATCCTTAACATAAATTAACTTGTTTTATTTAGTAAAGTTCATTTCAGAGCACATGAAGGGGACAACATGAGGAGGACAACTTCTAAAGCTGCATATACAGAAAATATCAAATATCTAATAAATATCCCATTAAATATTTACTTTTTTGACCAGCTGTTCGTGACCATAGACAGGATATACTATGTACAACTTGGTTCCGCCTCCCGCCTGTATACAGATTTGAAGCCAAAAAGTTCTCAGTATTTCCAGGATTATTATTCATTTCATAAAAACCAGCGCTGCGAAGTAGCGTTGTGCGCATTATGTGGGTCACCCGGACGAGCTACGCAATCCCTGAATGCCAAAAGGCTGTATCAGGTGTCAATCAAAGAAAACATGAACCCAATAACTTTTAAAAACAGAGCTTCACAGAAAAAAGAGGACTTGAGCACAAACCAGTCTTACTGTAATTACATGTCAACATCGCAAGCATGGGGGAGAAAAATGTATTATCTGTGTAAGAAATTTCTTAAGTTTGTCCACAGCTCCATAGAGATTGCTGGAGGAGGTGGGATTTATGACCTATACTGCTGCATGTCACAAGAGGGTGCTGTTCTCAGAGTGGCTACACCCAGCGAGGAGTCGGACGCTGTCCATTCTATATGCAGTCTATGTTCGTGACCCATCCAGAACATGTCAGCCACCCACTTTTGGGTTGGGACCCACCAGTTGAGAACCACTGCATTACAGTACCCCTAGTACAAATGATCATGTATTTGTCTATTTTTAAAACTTTAACCCCTATCAGGATAGTCAGGAGCACCTTATTGGCCAAGTATGTGTGCACATAAGTTCATACAATGAGCTTTTGAATTTTCTGTGAATGTAAATTGGCAAGAAAACGTTTCATGTGTATGGACAAATTGCACACTTTCCCTTTCTTTACCTTGTCTTCTTTTGTCTCTTCCAAGATACTTCCATGTAGGTGACCAGGAGTTATTAAGGAGCGGGCCTGGGCTGTTTTGAAACACATGGGGAAATTCTGTATAGGTTCTTCATGTTGATGTAAGAGTCAAAACTTCAATTGGTCATCACTGAAGCAAAGCAAAATGTATGGAGAACAGTAACAAATCAATTGCCTTTTACTGCATACCATTACATTGTTACTGAAACAGATGTTTGCAGTTCATTGAGTTTAAGCATGCATGCAAAGAGAAAACAATGCTCATGAGAGGGGTTGTAAACTGTTCTTTTTTGTCTTTCAGCCTCGCTTTCACCAAACTGAGTAGAGCAACTGTGCGTGTGAGGAGACTGGCAGCCCATTTCTGCAAAGCAACCATGTCAACAGACCACCAGGGTTCCAGTCCATCCTCTGCAGGCAACGGGGACGCGCCCACTGCAGCCATTCTGATCATAGGAGATGAGATACTCAAGGTGATTTGAAATTGACAGATGTAATTCATGTGATTTTTAAAGCTGTGTTGAACCTTTTAGACGCATCCACACCAAGAACCTTTAAGATCATTAAGTTGTGAGAAAATCAGAATAGACTGTCATTATTTTTGTAATTGACCTTCACACTAAAAAGTGTGATTTTAAACATTTAGATATGGCACCCTAACTCATCAGTATGCCTAAGCTCACTGGACCGCCACAGTCAAGGATCTGCACGTCATATCCTCAGGAAATCCCTCTGATCATTATCTGAAGTGGCAGCGGAGCTCAGTTTTAAGATGACATGTTCACCACTATTTCTAGACGTGACATACTCATGATTTAAACACAAGACCTTTGATTTTGTCCAGTGTCATGTCTTACATGTGTAACAGGCTCACTGTGAGTTATTGAATTTCATCAGGCAAGACTTGGATTCATTCTTGAGGCCTTGAATGTAATATTGAAGTGAGTTTTTAAAAAAAAAAGGTTGTGACTGTCTTGAGTGTCTGTTTTTACTGTTGTGTTAGGGTCACACTGTGGACACCAACAGCACCTTTCTAACTAAAGCGCTCAGGAAGCTCGGAGTGTCTGTGCAGCGAATCACAGTCATACCAGATGTCCAGGAGCTCATTGCCAAAGAGGTGGCCCTCCTCTCACCTCAGTATACGCACCTCATTACCTCAGGAGGCATAGGCCCCACCCATGATGATGTCACATTTGAGAGCATCGCCATGGCGTTCAAAGAAGAGCTACATCCTCACCCTGAGCTGACCCGGCTGGTGGAGGAATTCTTCGGAGTGGTGGATAAAAACAGTGCTGCTATGAAGCTGGCCATGGTGCCACGCTCAGCCAAACTCAATTATGGGACCGACCCACAAACAGGACAACTGCTGCGCTACCCGCTGGTGAGTCCGCAGGCTGAAAGCGTTCTCGGTGTAGTTATTTAATTGATTGTCTCTTGTTTACTGTGAGGGATCATGTTGACATAAAACAATGAACTAGATCAAATTATATCCAACTAATTGAGGATCAGTCTCTGTCTTTTCTGACAGTTTTTTAAATCAGTGATGTTCCAGATATCCGCTGGGCTGTATCTGGTCTCTGTTTTCAGGCAAATAAAAAAGGTTTAAGCTGACACAACTTTCAGGAAGATGTTCTCCCACAGTCACATAATGTCTGTTCCATCCTGTTCTGGGGTTATTTTAGGAGACAGATTGCTGCATCATCTACAAAGCAGACATTGCCGGATCGTAGGCAGCTTCTCTCAGTGAGAAAAATCATTATATTAACCGTTTAGAGACTGAAGCAGAGTAAAGGATGTACATATGCAAATATTTGCCAGAGTGAAATCATTCAATGTTGCTATTTTCTCTATTTATCAAAGTGCTCTGTCCAACTTTGTGATTACTTGATCATGATTATACTGCTTAAAGTAGAGCCGCCAAACAGACATGTTATTATCTAAATAAAAGCAGTAAATAGAAGCATTAACGAAAGGATGTTGCTAAATTCATGTGTCATTTTGTTCTAGCCACAAAAAACTTTAAATATCACGACACACCCAGAACATATGAACCACAGCAGACCAGGCATTCCTTGATAAACTAGAGTAAAACTATGTGTTTGCAGGCAAATTAAATAGAATTAGTGATTTTGGACAGTTTAAAATCTGGAGTAAACTACTGGGTGTTGAATCCCATTTTCTACAAAGAAGAACCGTCACTTTTGGGATTTTTTCAGGACTTTCTGGGTCTAAAACTTGCAGCAATCCCTCTTTCATGCATGCTCCCCTCTTAGACTGTTCTGGGGGATTTTTAAGATGGCAGTCTGTATTTCTTTGACTATAATACTTTAAACAAAAGTTATCTAGGCTTGTATGAGCTAAAAACTATATAAGTAGAGTAAGTTCTTCAGTTTCTGGTGTATCTATCTCTCTCCTTCCTCTAGGTCAGTGTGCGTAATGTGTACATCTTTCCTGGGATCCCATCTCTACTAGAGAGAGCCTTCAATGGACTGGAGCACCTCTTTGCAAATTCACGGACCACATTTTATTCTCGTGAGGTAACACCGTGACCACAGCTGAAGTTATAAAATCCATCTGAGTTTTGTGTTTGGGATGTTTAAGGGCCTGTTTCCACTAACAGTATATATATTTTTTTAACTGGCAGCACCCGATACCAACATTTCAGAGCACTTTTCTCCACAGCGCACCAGTGCTAGGTTATGAAAGTTACTCGGTGACGCCTCCACTTCCCTTTGTTGTAACAGTGAAGTTTTTAAATCACTCTGTATGCTTCAGATCTGTTATTATGCAAGGACATTTAACAGAGAATATGTGAAAAATAGAGAACCCTGTCGTGGTGTTACCAGAAGCACTAGACTTGTAAATTGTGTCCTCAAAAGAAAGCAAGAATTAATTCCTTTTCACCCCTTAATGTGGATAAGGATGATAATGGAGGTCCTGAATCCTTTAATTTTGATAGTTTAGCGAAGAATGACTGTGGTGGTGTCCAAATGCTGAAATATTTTTACCTGAGAGCAGTGTGAAAGCAGCAGCAGCCACAACAAATTGCCTTTGCTAAGAGAGTTTTTGCACTTGGGACACCTAGCACTGAAAATGCTGAGCTGTATTGGTTTTGTGCAGAGAAATGGTGCTGCCATTGGCAAATAACACTGTTAGTGGAGACAGAGCTACAGCAAGTGAGTTAAAAAAAAATATTTTTTTCATCAGGTGTTTGTGGATGCAGACGAGGCAGAGATTGCCCCAGTGCTGACCAAACTGCAGGCTGGTTGGGGCAAGAAGGTAGCTCTTGGCTCTTACCCTGACTGGTTGAGCAACTACCACAGAGTCAGGCTGGTCCTGGACTCTGACAGCCAGGAGGAGGTGGAGAAAGCACGGACTCAGCTCCTAGAAGAGCTGCCCAAAGGAAGTGTGGTGCCCCTAGTGACTGACCCGGTGTCCATCGCCACTGCTGAGGTGTACACACTGGCCAACAATGGTGAGGGGGAGTCAGAGAGTTTGCAGAATGATAGTAAAACTCTGTCAAGTTAATACAAAGTGAATATTGCAGAGAACTCTTTGACTTTACTCTGGCTCTGGGGCCGATAAAGGAAGAAATTATTGGAGTAATTAAAGCTGTAAAATCATAGTTGGTTATAAAAAGAGATTAAAATCGGCATGAGACTGATAACCAACAAAATTTGACTCCATTCATTTTTAAACATCTTCCCACTGTGGTTTTCATTTCTCAAGGCACACCGCTGGGCGAGAAAGTTACGACTGCTCTGAAAACCATTGAAGCGGCACTGGATCAGTATTCGATGGAGGAGGTCTGTGTCGGCTTCAACGGAGGCAAAGACTGCACAGCGCTGCTCCATCTGTACTACGCCGCGCTGAAACGGTAGAATCTCATCAGAGGAGAAGAGAGGAGAAAGATCTGTTACAGTAGGGGACGGAATGATTTAACTAGGGCAAAACAAATGACCTGAGAGAGAAGAGCCGAACAGGAGATTCAGATTAAAAACATAATGATAGCACTTCAGTGTAGTGGGGCATCAGAGTGAGAAATAAGCAGAGGATAGAAAATGAGTCCGGCAGCAACCAGGGACAGCTCTAAGATGAGTTGGACTAATGTTTGAGCTTCTTTTTTTTTTAACCTGAATTGTAAAGATTGGAGAAGAGAATCATAAAAAAATAAACAGGAGTTTACTTTCCTCATTTCTCTTATTTTCTCTTTTTCTCTTTTGCCACTCTCAGGCGGTATCCAGAGGGTAAAGACAAACTGAAAGCACTGTATATACGTATCGTCTCTCCATTCCCAGAAATGGAAAGATTCCTTCAGGATACAATAAAAAGGTAGAGTGTGTATACTGTTAACACTTCTCACATAATATTGAAGGTGTTATAAGTACAAATAATTGTCTAATGCTTATTTTTCCAAAGAAGTGTATAGTTATTTTTAACAACTCGCTATTTTACACTGTGTTTCCTGTAGGTATGACTTGGATTTGTTCTCAGTGGAGGGAAGTATACGGCAGGCGCTGAGCGAGGTGCAGGAGAGGAAGCCGGAGCTGAAAGCCGTCCTGATGGGAACCAGAAGGAGCGACCCTTATTCTCACACACTCACAGCCATGTGTCCCACTGACCCTGGCTGGCCAGACTACATGAGAGTCAACCCATTACTAGTAAGCACAAAATAATACCATGTCTCAAAGGTCTGGGTTAGATCATCATTTTCTTAAGTTAAAAAAAAACTGTAACTGGTGGAGAAGTTGCACAATAAGCTTTACCTGACATGCTTTATATTTAACCTTAGGAACACCTGTGATCATTATTTATAAAAACAAGAACCGAGCAGACCTCCAGCTTCCTCTCATTATGGTGTTTCAGTCTGAACGGAGCTGCAGGTGAAACTGCTATTTGACTGCTAATACAAATCTGTTTTCGCTGCTCCGGCGAGGCAATTTCCCTTTGTTACACTTAATGTTATTTGTCATCTCCACTGAAGTTTCGTAGCTCAGATCTACAGGGTTTTAACAAAATATTTACAACACCTGCACAGTTTAATCCACTTCAGCAGCCCTGCAGGAATGCAGCATTCGTGAGGCTTAAAATGTTGTGATGAATATTATACAAGCACTATCAGCAGCTACACCTGCTCGGTGTTGTAGTTTCAAAACATTTTTGACACCAATTTAAAATCAAAAACTTCACATAATAAAAGTTATTAACAGTCATGCTGTGAGAGCCGCAGTGGAGAGTATGAGCCATCAGCAGTCGACTTCATTATATGACAACTGATGCGGCATAAATGCAGCTCAGAGGGATGATTACATACCAATAAAAACTGATGTCAACACTCACAGGACTGGACGTATCACGACATCTGGTCCTTCCTGAGGACGTTATACGTGCCCTACTGTATTCTCTATGACAAAGGGTAAGAAAACATTTGACATTTCCACTTTCTCTTCTCTGTTTTCTCTGCAACATTTCTTTTGAATAGCTGAATTCTAGTTTTTTAAAGTCCTCTTTTAACCTGCAGGTACACCTCCCTGGGCAGTATGGACAACACCAAACGAAATGCGGCCCTCCAGGTGGTGGATGAGAGGGGGGTGACGCGGTACAGACCTGCCTACCAGCTAGAGAACGAAGAAGAGGAGCGAAACTCCCGTGCCTGATGTAGCCTCACCTGTTGCTGATAGACCCAGATTCCTTTGTACACGCACAACATATGATGGACATTTTTACCACACCTTTATGTGAATAGTAGCAGTATGAGATTGTGAAGAAAGTGTGTGTGTGTGTGTGTGTGCGTGAGTGTGTGAGTTCTGTTTGTTCATACACGTGAGTTTCAGTCTGAAGTAACGGCTTTTAGTGCTGTTGAATAAAACATCAATCTGTGTCATCTTTTCCCTTTGTCATGTTACTATTTTAAGAGGACTCTCACAGACAGAGGCTGTCAGTATTTCTCTTGATTCATCATATGCAGGGATACATTTGTCTTGTTTCTTGATCCATTAAGAACACTCTGCCCAGCACAGCTTTAATCAAAATCTATTGGTAAATATTATATTAGATGGTTTGCTGATGGGGAGAAAAACAGGTTTTTGTTTTTTTTGGCTCTGTTGGTTTCATAGAAGGTTGAGCAGCAGGTTCACACTGATTCATCTGTGTCTATCATGATTATTCATTTCAGTTGTGGTTGTAGGGGAGAGTGGGGTAAGTTGACCCACCCCCTGTTGCTTGGAAATGGTAAAAGAAATTGATCATGTGACCACATTTTTAGGAGCTGGGCATCAATTCACGGCATAGTGGTGTAGTGGTTAGCACTGTCGCCTCACAGAAAGAAGGTCCTGGGTTCGAATCCGGGTCAGGGCGTTTCTGTGTGGAGTTTGCATGTTCCCCCTGTGTCTGCGTGGGTTAACTCCGGGTACTCCGGTTTCCTCCCACATTCTAAAAACATACAGAAGTGGAGTAAGGTTAACTGGTCACTCTCAAATTACCCATAGGTGTGAATGTGAGTTGTGTATGGTTGTTTATCTCTATATGTCAGCCCTGAGATGAACTGGTGACTTGTCCACGGTGTCCCCTGCCTTTGCCTGAAGATGCTGGGATAGGCTCTAGCCCCCCTGTGATCCCATGAAAGGAAATAAGCGGTAGAAAATGGATGGATGGATAGATGGGCATCAATTCATAAAGTCTGTGAAGGTTAGAAGCACATGGGTGAAGGGGTTAGACATTTCCAAAAATAAATTTTTCACTCTTGAAAGTGAATTTAGTCTGTCATAAGTTTTATTAGAATTGTGTTCAGACCAAAAAAGATCATAAATCTGTTTTATACATCAACTGTGGTATCTATGAGCTACAACATGAGGTCAAAAACCTAGAATAAAAGTCCACCATTTTAGCTTAGAGGACTAATAAAGTCATAATAGTAGTCCTGGGGTAAGTTGAGCCAGTGGCCTCAACTGAGAAAGTAAAGGAGTCTGATGAGAGGATCAGAGTTTCAGTTCAGATTGTTGAAATGTGTTAATTTTTCTTTTCAAAAATACAGATGTGAATGTTCTGAATCACTGAAAGTCATTCTCGTGTTAAAATATATATTTTTTAAAACAGCTTTTTTAACATTGTGTAATAATAATAATAAAAAGAATTATTCTACCAGTTGCATAGTGTAAAATAAATAAAAATATACATGAATGTGAAGAAGTGACTGTTATTTAGTGAGAGAGAAGGTGAGGGAGGGCTGGGGTGGAGAGTGGGGGGATCGTAGGGATACGGCTCAACTTACCCCGCTCCTGTGGTCAACTTACCCCGTGTATGGGGTAAGTTGACCATAGGAGAACACTTTTTTGGCATGCTATTTTATCAAAACAGTTATGTTTACACTCATTCTGTTGGTTTGCAGGGATGCACAACATCTTGAAATATATGCAGATTCACTAGTTAGAGACAAAACTATGATTGCCTTGATGTAGTGATCTGAAATATGAAAAATGTCTCATCTTGCCCCACTCTCCCCTACCTGAGCATCATTTCAGCGTTAATACAGTCACTATATTCACCGTCCTGGTAGTGTAGTTCCCTCTGCGCACCTCACGGGTGCGTTGTTACCACTTTTTCAATTATGCAGCCGTGATTACAGAAATTACCTCTTCTGTTTCCAGACATGATTGAATTCAAACCCCCCCTCCTCTTTCTCTGCCTAGAGATTAGTGAACGGCGCGCGTGGAGAGGATCGATACCAGCCTATCTAATAAAGCCGGTCGCTTACGAGGCAACCGCAGGGCTGCACACGCTGTTACACCGGCAATTACCGCCTCACCCCCTCCACCCAGACCCCTCCCCTGTAACTTATTTGTCCGGGTTTCACGGCTTGCTTGATTTATTAATAATAACAGTAATAAAGGAGGCAATGAACAGAAGGTTTATAATCATTGCAGAAATGAAACGGTGTAGGCTCTGCGATAAAACGCCGGGGTATTGTCTGGAATGATATTTGTGTGGAGGAAAATTATATTACGAAGATGTGGCTCAAGCTTACAATATCAAACTGATGGCCAAATAACCGTGCAGCCTATTTCTCACAGTTCACCTCAAATTCTTGTCTTATGAGGGTTATAACATCTTTCTCCTTCCTTTCTATCAACTTAGTTTTGTACAGTTAGACTCAGGAATTATTTATCCATATTGAGATTTATATATGCTCACTTAGAGAAGAGAATAAAGGGTCTATAATGTCCAAAAATAATGTCAAATTCTGATTTGTCAGACCACAGGACTGTTTTGTTTCTTGCCTCAGTCTATTTTAATCGGACAGGGCCTGAAAAGTCACCGATATGTCATTGATTTATGGAACTGATTTTGAGGCTATGAAGTGATTACCATAACAAATCTGTTTATGATGCACTGACTGCCATCTGAAGGCTGAATCACAACAATTTTTGTCTGGTCTTGTCTAATTTGCCCCATGCAGAGATTTCCTCAGATTATCTGAATTTTCTCTCATCTTTTTTCCATCTTCTGAGAAAAGTTTCACAGACTTCAAATTTGGAGAGAGCATACCTTTTTTTCCCCTTGAATTTCAATATCTTATAGATAGATAGATAGATAGATAGATAGATAGATTTCCAGACTCAGGGTCCATATAAATCTTGTGTTTTTTTTGTGCCCTTTTCTATTGAATGTAGGGTTTAAATGATTTGTTAATCATTAAGTTTTGTTCTTATAGTTACCCAACTTTTTTGGAATTTGGTTGTACAAGTAAAATGTTGAAGATGAAAAAGACATAAAAACAAACACTCAGTTTAAATACATGACTCATGTGCGTCATCATGATGGATGATAAATGAGATATAACACAAACTCCAGTCGTCAGTAGAGTAAGTTCAACAGCAACGATTCCCACAGCTTGATTAAATGCTGATGTGGCATATGATCTCGCCTTCTGGCATAAGTGAACCTCCTCCCTGTTGGCTGAAGTTTAAGCTCTGCATGAAGAGGATTGTGAGAGTCTTCAAGAAGAGATTTGAGATTTGCCAAGATCAGCGAGGATGATGCCAACAGTCTTTTTACAAAGTTTGATGATGCTTCCCATGATGTTTTTGAGAATAAGGGAGAGGCTGCCAAACTAACATGATGATCACAAAAGTTAAAATAGACCCACCAGAAGATAAATGAGATATTTCTCAAAGACGTCTTCCAACATTACACCCTCCTTCACTTCTTCTAGTGGAAAAGTCTCTGATTGGCTTTTCAATACTGGCTTCAAAGGGTCACTTTCAGGGACTGATTATTGGCCTTGGCTGATTATCTGTGTCAGTCTTTTGTTTCAGAGATGGATGATAAACATGGTTGATTAAAAAAGTGAGATTCTTTCATTTTTCTGTCTCTCAGGGTTTGTTTTTTTTCCAACACCTTGTCTCACCCAATGTCTCACCTCCCACAACACCTTCTGATTAGCTAGATGTCACATGAGGGTGTGATGTGACTTCACTGTAAGTGACCTGGGTGACTGTTCACTCTTGTATGTAATGTTGAAAGTTTCAGTTTTATTTAACATTTGCTGTAAATGCATCTAAGCCTTTAATTTCATATCCCAAATTCTAAAATTTAACACCGAGTTTTTATTTTTATTGTCAGTCCGTGTCAGTTATAAATATCTGACATTAATCTCATGAACAAGTATTAATCAGTATTGGTATCAGCTTTGAGAAAACAATATCAGTAGTCAGTTTATCATCAAGGATTCTAGTATTTGTGCTGAGTCACTGTCTTTGGGACTCTTCTGCAAGTGAAAGTTGATGCCTTGGCAGGTTTTCTTCATAAAATCAGTGAGTATGATATCTCTTTTGGACTTCTTGCGTTAAATTTTTGTCTTTGAGATGTTCCCCTTCTCCTTCTCCTATTTTAAGGTGCATGCCCAAGGGATGGTCAGGAATCTCATTCCAGGTGGTGACCCAGAACTCTAAACAATGATTGACCTCTTGCCTTGTTCATAGCAGGGCTAATCTTAAAATACAATTATTTGGGCTGTGTTGCAAAAGGGTACTGGTATTTTTCTTCACATATGCCACATTTTCTTTTGTTTTCACTCTAAATCCTGACTTTGTATGTACATCCATCTTTGAGTCCTTTGCTGGGAGAAGAATTTATTGGGAAGTTTAGTCTCTCAGTTTTGTTACTTTACAAGGTTAAAAATTTCAGACAGGAAAATCTAATTTGTAAATGTTTGAAGAGATTAATGGAGATAAAAAGGTAAATGAATGCCTGTCGTTTATAATTGTTCTTATCTGCTCAGTGCATACCCCTGTATGAGTTAGTGTCTTCGTTGGAGTACTGAAATCAAAAAGTCTGTACACACACCTGGGGCTACAAAAAACATCTTTATATATAAGGAAAGCAGCACAAACAAAGCTGTGCAGCATAATGGAGAATTTTAATTTTTTACCCTACTGAAACCTCGTGAAAATATATTGTTTAAATCAGTGGTTCTCATCTGGTCTCACTCTTGGACCCACATTTTCCCATGGTCCTTGAGTTGCGACCCACTTTTATGGAAAATTTAAATCAAGCAAATTTATTTTTTGTAAAAACAAAAGCCTTTAAAGACTCAAATCTTTAACGTAAATACACCCGTTTTATTGAGTAAAATGCATTTTAGAGCACATGAACTGAGAAGGACAACTACTGAAGTTTCATATACAGAAAGTATCAAATATCAAATTGCACAAAAGGGAGACCAGCAAATGACACATTTGACTTATATGCATTTCAAAATGAGCAATTTTTCAAAATAAAAGACATGTCAAACATCAGATGTGCATTAAATATTTATTTTTTTGACCAGCTGTTCGCGACTCATCCAGAACGTGTCCGCGACCCACTTTTGGGTCAGGACCCATCAGTTG